CGCAAGCCAAGGGCATAGTCAACCCTATATTTCTCAACAGAATCTGCCCATGGGTGCATTCCACAATCCTTCAACAGTTCGGGGTTACTCCCGCTCACCTCTCCAGCCTGGTACGGTTGCGCATCCCCAAATTTCGAACCTCTTCTACCAACAGCCACTACCGCAGACGTTTCCGTCTATTACGCTTCCTATCACGTATAGTCCGTCGTCAAGCAGCAATCCTTGGCAACATCATCATTATCTCAACCCCACTCACGGCATGTCCTACTCGCAGAGTCAAGATCGATACATCTGTCCTACGTGTAGCAAAGCATTCAGCCGTCCTAGCAGTCTTCGTATACACAGCCACTCCCACACAGGAGAGAAGCCGTTTAAGTGTCCTCACGCAGGCTGTGGTAAGGCTTTCAGTGTCCGCAGCAACATGAAACGACATGAACGTGGGTGTCACAGTTTCAATATCAACCCAGGTCGTCCTTCGTTGAGGGAAACGCAACGGAGATGTGAATAGTAGACTAGACTTGCCCTCGTGCTGTCACGAGGTTAATTTGTATCTCATTTTGTTCCTCATTCGACGATATCTGTTCACAGCCCCGGGGCGGGCAATACGTACAAGGGATACGATACAAACGGACTTTTTCAACATTTGCACAATTCGTGTGGGATGACCTCGTAAGAAGACGAGAATCAGGATGGCTCTAGTTGACAGCAAAGGCGTTTAAAGGTCATTTTCAAGGCTGGAAAAGCAGTGGAGCAAATCAGGGCATTTTCGGTGGAGGGGGGTTCGTCTGCCACCAAGGCTGCATACTGGAAAGGGTTCGAAAATTAATGCAAATCATGCTACTTCCTTTGATTTTCGAGCCTCCAAATCCAGCGAGTTGTGCACGGTGTGACCTGTCCCTTCCACTGCGTCGCTTTGATATGCACGGCATAAAGTTTTAGACTTTTCCAATAAGGCAGTCATTTCCGAAACTCTATTATAGGATCTTCGGCTACGTTATAGAAGATCCCGGCTATAACAGCGTTCCTTCTGCTTAGTACAACGAAAGGATGGTTTAATCTCTTGTGCACGGCCATGCAAGCTTCAGCCAACGACGGTGCCTGAATCGAATCGAATGCCGACATAATAGCAATAGCATTTCAAACCTGGCATAGGTCAGAGCAGGTTACATGGCAGTGTTGGTGGAGCGAATCATCCTCCCGCTGGTCGCAGCCGGTCTGGTTACTTCACAGTAGTACGGAGTAGCAACGTTAGGACGTTAGGTACTCCGTGCTCCGTACAGCCGGATATGGATATGGGCCAGGGGCCACGAGTTGCCTTGGTGCGCCTTCTCGCCCACGTTGCTGGGACTCACTCAGGCTAATATAAAAGGACAGTTCCCACTTTCCATAAGCCATAAGCAGGTCAACTGATGGCTGTTGACGGTCCTTCGGCCGGAGCATGCCGTCAAACTGCAACGCAATCCTCGTGAAAACCGACGTCGCATGGCCCGCCGTCGAAGCGGAGGCTGAACCCCATCACGGGCGGAACATCCAACGTTGTAGTATTGACACTTGCAATGACCGATAACTCTTCAGCTTTGCCAATCTGCAGTTCAGGCCCTCTGTTGCAACGGGCGCATGTACTGTGTACCGAGTGCTGCAAATCTGTTTTAAGCTTGGCAGGTCCTGAGACATGCTCCGCGCCCTTTTGGACATGAGCGTCATGGCGAGGGTTGCTCTTCTGTCCCCCAGTCGCGTTACGCAACCAGCCCCCAACCAAGCGACGCTGTGGTGTGGCCGGAACCGAGCGAGGTCACGCAATCCTTTCGTGTACATTGACAAATAGAGCAACGTGCATGTCGCCATGCGTCGTCAATGCCTGCTGGACGTAGCCCGTCGTCGTGGATGGTGGTAGCCCGCGATCAACTGAAATGCCTTCTCCGTGCTAGGCAGCAAATATGTCTTTATCCAACGGCCAAGGAGGAATTGGCAGACATGGCCATTGACACTCACCCTGTGTTTCCGAGGGACGGGCAAGTATGGTTGGCCTTCTACAGAAACTCTTCCAATCCTAGTGGTTCAAAATGGCGAATTCTTCTACTGTTCCTGCTCCGCGGTTACCTTCTTCAGTCTTGTTTCATGGGTCGATACCATGTAGTTTCTGCTGACAATTCTTCGGGGGAGACGGGTAAGGTTTCATTTTCTGCCCGTATCAACGCCGCCATCGAAGATCGTCACAGAATTATGATGATCCTCATGTTTTCGTTTCTCTTTTTCTTTTCTTTTCTTTTCTTTTCTGGTCGATGGCAAATCGCAGCGGCATCCCGGCTTGTTGAGTTCCGGCAGACGCCTCATCCAACGAAACCTGGCGCGGCACTATTCAACGTTCCGTTACACCTGGTTTGAGCCTGTTTCGTCATACTGCTGTTCGAATTATAAAATTTGCAGCAGAAATCTTCCGAATGTCGTGCCTGAGACAACTGTCTCGGAGATTAAAAGCCACATACTGCCTCAGCAGCAGGTGTCAACTTTCAGTTTCTGTCCCAATCAATACGACAACGACATAGGCGAAAGCGTATCATGGGACGGCGTCTCCCTTTGAACGGTATGGACTGGGATTGTGTATCACATCTTCAAAGTTAGTTGAAACGGATTGTTGAGCGTCCGTGTCTTACAAACCGTGGAGACAAACACCAAACCTACAAGTCTCACAAAACGTTTGCCGAAAGTAGCAAGGCAAAGACATCCTTCAGAGGATGGGCGCGTGATAAGCTTTGTCAGTGACCTGACAGCAGGATGCTTAAAGAGTCAAGACCCGACTGCCCATACCATCTACACACCATTGCTGTCGTCTCCCCTCCCTTCTTTTCCATCTTCTTTGGGTGTGTAGCATTCGTCCGACGGGAGCTTCCGATATGCGGACCGGCGCCGAAATGTACATGCAAGGCACTGAGCGTTTCACAACCATGGACTTACATCATGAGATAAGCTGCATTCGTGGCGGCAAGAGACACGAGCAAGTTTTCTTCGCAGTCGCCAGCCGAGGAACCATTCGCAAGCTCGTGACCATTGCAAAATGGCGGTGTTCCATTCCTCCGCCCTCTAAGAGAGGGGACATGCGAGGGGGGACCAGAGGGGGATAATGCACACCATCTCAGGCTCAAGCACCCTGTCCCATCGCAACATTCGCACTCCAGCTTCCTATCGTGTCCATCAGCTCACATTAGTGGGTGGTGGTCTTGCTCAGGCGGCCCCGGTGCATGCCATCGAGTTGGGGCGCATCAGCTGAAATGATTGCATCCGCCACGATTTGTGAGTCAAGGTGCCTCGCCGTCTTGCGATGCGCATTGCGGGTAGTGCAGCCATGCCACAAAGAACTCTCGCAGTGAAGCCCCGGTAAAAGAGCGCAGTTTCAGCGACCGGCAGTGCTGCATCCTCGCAACCGTTTTGAGTGCATCATGGCCAACGTCGAGCATGGAGGACGGGGTGCAAAGGCTAATGAATGTCCAAGAGTCCAAGTACTCGTGTTCGCCGGCGGTGGGGACAATAAGAGGCCCGGTAGATTGGCAAAGCCCTGCATCAGACAAGATTCCATCAAATTTTAGATGAATTTGAGCTTGGCTGTGCAGCTTTCCTTCACCTGCAGTTTCCCGCCTCTGAGCCGACCCTTCCCTGCTGTCCAACAAGCCGACGAGTGACAAGATACCGAGGTACCTACTTAGTACTTGGCACCTGGGCATATGATAAATGAGCTGGTTTGCCTTCTCGTGGAAGGTGCTGTGCATTTGTTGTTCGGTGTTCCTACTTAAGCAACTGAGACTGGACGCTGCTCCCCGCAACCGAAGGAGGCAGATGACTGACGCCATACAACCAGTGAGTGTCGTTCCTTCCTAGTTCCCAGCAACCCGGGCCGCTAATCCACAGCTCCACTCGGCTTGTAGGCGCGATGTGCAGGCGCCGGAGCCAGGAGCAGGAGCAGGAGCAGGAGCACCAGCACTGAGCAAGCCGCGCAAATGAGTGTGTCACTCACAACTTGCTCGAACAGATTTGAAGACTTGGCCGGGATGACACTCCGGCTAATCAAATCCCTCATCCCTCTCCTCTCCTCTCCTCACCTCACCTACCCTCCCATGGGCTTGGGCTCCTCGATCAGGAGGTGCTCGGCGGAACCAGGAGCTTGTCCTTGACAGAGTGAGTCCGGTTCAGTCTCCCGAGTGTTGGCCGATTCCCTGCAGGGCGTCCACCAAACTGTCGAGGTACCAGACCACTCCCACGTTTCTACACCTGCATTGAAACCCCAAGGCGCAGCGTTTAACGGTTGTCCCGAGCCTTGTTGACGAGAGAAAATACAGGTATTTCTTCTCTGGTACTACCTCTTCGAGCGCAAAAGCCATCCATCTAGGAACGTGTTACGAAGAGGAAACCTTGTGTTGTTCCCAACCAACCTCGCGGCCTGGCCCGTTGAGGAACCGGCGAACCGCCATTGACATTGAACGATCTGCGCCGGCTATTGAATCCCCCCAACACTCTCCAATCACGAACCAGCTTGATAATCTTTCTCCCCCCCAGACACAGACCAAACCGACCACCACGACCTGGCTAGGGCAGCCAAAGTGAAAGGCCCCGGCCAGAGACAGACACCAGCTGGACATGCCGCGCACCCGCCATCTTCTTGCCGCGCTTATTAGCTTCGACTCTGAAAGGCTCGAAGCCATATTTCGGGCTGTCCTACCTCCACCCGTCTTCATCTCGTGCTAGTGCCAGTACGTCGTGGACCTGGCTTCCGCCGACGTCGCGCCTTCGAGATCATGCATGATTGTGCCCGACTTCACCATCATAGACAATCACCGCTCAAGCACTCGTGCTCTTCGATGCCAGCAGCGCCCCCAATCAACCCCGAACCCCCAATAACCGTCGCCGCCGCCGAGCCGTATCGAGGTCATTGACGGGCTCGGCCGCCAAGCCGTGAAGGCTTTTAGCCTTTTTAGGCGCCCTCGCATGCCTTGTGCGTGTTGCCCACGATGACGACCAATGCTGTGCCGGACACACAACTAGGGCTTTCGGCGGAGGAGATACAGCTCTTGCGGCAAGGTCAAGCGGCACTTGGAGGGGGCTCAACCAGCTCTCGCGCCGCCAGCAGAGCCAGCAGCCAAGGTCTACTGCTACTAGACAGCTCCTCTCTTGCTGCTCTGGGAAGGTATTTTGATCGCTTGATGGCAAACATCGAACAAAACATACAATACCTTAGCGAGCAAGCACAAATGTTCACCCAAGTGCAGTATGACCGTGCTGGAAACATCATTGATGGTGCTGACGCGGAAATTGCGAGATATCAGCAGATTCTGGCGCAAGTTGACGAGCTAGAGACAGACTTTGACCGAATAGCCCATATCAAAGAAATCGTGAAGGGATATCGGTCCAGAGTGGAGGCGCTCGAACGAGACTTGGAAGCAAGCGGGACGTCTAGTCGGCACCACAAGCATTCATCTCACAAGCATTCACACACGCACTCGCATAGGCAAGGCTCGTCTTGCAAGAAGAGGCCCTAAAACGGATATTGCATGTGTCCATGCTAAGCCGCCCATATCAACAGGATCATTGTTCAATACGGGCACAAAAATGCATACAACATAGCCTTATAAGCTATCCCGCCCTGCGGCCACGTTTCATCCACACCCAGCGGAATCCATGTGTCCTTTACACAGACGCTAGCTGAACAGATCAAGGTTGGACTGTACGAATGAGGAGGGAAGGAGACGATCTGAAAGGAAACCTCGAAGATGGAACAGAGGCCTCGCGGCCGCGCAAAGACACGGATAGGCCTCACGGCTTCGTTGACTTACTCATTTGGCGTTTGTTAACCCCCACCGCTTGATTTGAGCACGTTGTATTCGTTACGTTTTCTTCCTTCCCTTGTATTTGGAACAACTAGCACGATTTTGGCGAGATCCGCCGTCCTTTGTTTTATCTCGGATTGAATAATTTGCGAGCTTGCGCATTTCAGGAGAGAAATGACTCATTCAGTCGGCCCCAAAAACACTTCCGCGCATCATCAGACAGGCCATTCCGGTGATTTACCCTGTGGCCGCCAATTACAGACAGCATGGAGTAAGGGTTTGGTTGTTTTACTTTGATTTTCACGTTTTTACCCGGTGGATTTACAAAACAAGACTTTTACTGATCGCGAGATACCTTTTGGAGGGCGCACTGTTGGATTTGGGCGGCGTAAGGACACTAGGGGTTTTTTTTGGTCTTCTTATTACCTGGGCTTGGTGGAAATAATACCAGCGGAAGGGGGCAAACAGAATCAACGACTGTGGAGGGCAGTGTCTGAGACGTTTGGATGAACAGGTTGACGGAGTTAAATGTCATGCCTTCACGGCAGTCAATTTTCTGCGGTGCCAATTTCGGTGTGAACAAGGCAATCGGTTGGTCCAAACCCCTCACACTCCGCACAAGGCCACGCAAGATGAGGAACACAAAGCTTGTGCGCCCCGATGCCCATTGACCCAATTAGGATGGACGTCTGTATTCTGTATGCGCCCAATGGAACTTGTTTGTTCTCGTTGCTGGCAAACTTGGGCCAGCAATGGCGGATTGTGCGACCCATACTCGGAGCGTATGTGGAAGGGATGCCGCCGGTTGGTCTGTTGGGATTCGCAATGCGACGTCAAGGCAGCAACAGCAACGGGAACGGGCATGGGCATGGGCATGGTGTTTGTATCAAGAGGCCGAGCGGAACGGCGCCTTGCCCATCACGAATTACAATCAAGCGGCAAAATCGACGTACCAAGAGCACCAAGGAACACGAGACGAATAGACCCTGAACAACAGAGCGACTGCAAGCAAAAGCAAGAACATGCAATACGGCTGATGCCAATCTCAATCACATCCCCTCGCATCGCCTTGCATGGCATCACACATGTCCGTCACACCAGTCATCACACTCCACAACATATGAGACGAGTAAATTAAGCCGCCAAGCAGCACGCAGCACACGTATCTAACTATCTACACGCCAAACCCTCATCGTTTCCCTTCCAGCCATCTCGTGAACAGGCGAGGCTGCAAGGCAATCCAACCGTGAAACAAAGAAAAAAAAAAGAAGTAATGGTCTTGTCCAGACTATCTTGTCCTTAACGCCGGAGCATGCTCAGGTTCATAATACTCATCCCCGTCTCTTTCATCGAAACTTCCAGCAGCTATCCAACTCACTTCTAACAAAGCGCCAAAGTGTCAGACAGAAAAGACGGAGAGGAAAGGATTCGCAACGCACAAATGAAACGCTAATCATGTCTTGCGTGCCCTGCATGGAAGCCGCGTTTCGCCGTGAAGCTTCTTGCCACAGTCCTCATCCGACTTGTTCAATACATGTTTCCTCTCTCAGCGAAGCAAGGATTCTTATACCTTGGTTATTCGCTTCTGCCTCGGCAAGAAGGGACTTGGCATCTCATCTTTGTCTGGATCCCAAATAGCAACCGACTCACAGCCACTGCCGCTGCTGCTGCCGCTGCTGCCGCTGTTGCTGCTGCCGCCGCCGCCGCCGCCGCCGCTGCTGCTGCTGCTGCTGCCACCGTCTCCGCTCGCTCTTCTCTCAGTAGCCCGCTCCTTAAACGTAGCACGCTTAGGACTGACATTCTCCAGAGCGCCACCGGCTGCACTCATCGGACGACCACCCGCGCGAGCTTGTTGCAGTTCAACAAGCGTTCTGCCCTTGATGTTGTTCTTAGCCGCCATCTTACTCAGAGCCTCTCCGCCACCGACATCCTTCTTGACCGAAGGTTTGCGCGTCAGGCCGCCACTTGCATCAGTTGGGAGACCTGCCATGGATGGAATCTTGCTGATTGGTCGAGTTGGTGAGCGCGGGCGTGGCTCGGCCTGAGCACCGGAGACTGCCTTGGAGACTAATCCAGTGGCCGACGCCTGAGGCTTCGGGCGGTTGAGGGGACAAGATCTTTGCGAGGAGAGAACCGGCCGATTCTTGCCAGTAAACGGATTCTTGGCAGAGCGAATATTCCGCGTAGGTGAGGGGACAATGTCCTCGTCGTCGGATTCCATGGGGAGCGGCTCGCGAAGGTCCCATCTAGAATCAGCAGTCTTGTCCGCGTTGGCTGCAAATATGTTGCGTGAGTGAGTCGTAGGAGCTCTGGTCGCTCCACCACGGCGGGGCGACAGGGAAAGATTGGCAATGGCCATGGGACTGGGGGAAGCCATTTCGACATCCATTGGCGTTCCGGCGTGACCAACGTGCATTGTCTGGGCTCGGCCGAAGGGTGTCCGTGATGCTCTCTTCAGATCCTTGGACGCCTCTGGACTGTCAAGAGAGTAGTCGGTGAGATCTTTTGTTGAGGCGAACTCATCGCCGCTGCCGCCGTTCAACGACTGCGGGTAATCTGACCTAGCCATGGATGACGCATGATCTTCGACTGGACGAATTACTTCTGACTGGACATGCTTTAGTTTTTGCAGTTCGGCATCGACGCGCACCTTGATCTCCTCCTCAAATCGCTGTTGCAGCTGTTCGATCTCAGCATTGGCGAGACGATCAATCTCCAGCCGAGCCTTGACCTCCCACTCCCTGCGCAGTTGGGAATCAATCTCTTCCCGAATCATTAGTCTCTCGCGCCCGAGGTTGGCCAGTCTCTCATTCAACTCTTTTTCCTTTTGATGCAGCAGGTCCTCCTTTGCGCGCAAGGATTTGTTCAGGGCGACGACTTCCATCTCTTTGCGCATCAGCCTGACGACTGGCAAATCGAGCAATTGAACTGTATCCGGTCGCCGGTCCGGATTCACCTTCAGGCAATCTCGAATGACCTGATTCAGTTCGGGGGAGTATATCTCCGGTAACGTGGCCACCTTGCCCTCCTTGATCTTCTGCACCAGCTGGAAGTGTGACTTTGCGTTGAAAGGAGGCTCCCGCGCACAGAGCTCGTAAATGATGCATCCGAGTGACCAAATGTCCGACTTCAGAGTGTACTTCTCCGCCGCACAAATCTCAGGAGACATGTAGAACGGCGTCCCGACGTACGTGGACGCAAAATCATGCGACTTGATCATCTTGGACAGCCCGAAATCTCCCAGCTTGACCGAGTTATCTTCTCCCAGGAAGACTGCATGCCGTCAGTATCCATCCCGTAGCCACGGCTGCAGCCCGCCACAACATACCATTCTCAGGCTTCAAGTCCCGGTGGAGGATCGTCATGGCGCCCGCAGGCACCTTTGGCGTCCCGTTTGCGCTGCCCTGCGTCAAGCCCAGTGCGTTGGCGCCCGCCTCGGGCGGATCAACGCCGTAGTGACATCGATACAGCGCCATGACGAGCTGGCTGAAAATACTCCACACAAAGCTCTCCTGCGCCCTCTGTCCCTTGTGCTGCAGGTCCTTGATCACCCGTCCGAGGTCCCCGTTCCCGCAGTACTCCATGTACAAGTGCAGGTCCTGGCTGGCTTTGAGGTGCTCACGGTGGTAGTAGGCGACGATGTTGGCGTGGCGCAGGTGCGACAGGATCTGGAACTCGGCGTGGAGCTGCTCTCGCTCCTTTTGGGACATGCGAAGATACGAGATCTCCTTGCGGCACATGATGAAGCCGTCGGCCTTGCGGCGTACTTTGCGAATCACCCCAAAGGAGCCATGGCCTAGGCGAGAGAGGCGGTCAGAGGCGGGCCGGGAAGAAGACCTGGGCAGGCAGATTACGTACCAATCTTCTCCAGGGTCTCGTACTTGTCTTCTGACGACATGGCGATGGATGCTGTCCCGAGAGAGAGCCGACGTCAATCCCAGGGCGGTCGTGCTCGTCCTTTAGCAACCCATAAACGCTGTCATGCAGTACGGTGGCAGGAACACGCTTGCAGACAACCGAGCTCGCTGCGTGGGGCGCAAGACACCGCAATCATGCAACCGCAAGAGAGAGAAAGAAGAAGAAAGAAAAAAGGAAGGCAAACCCTGTTGTGGTTCGTGACGAAGGCTGTGACTAGTGATGATGATGATGGTGTTTGTCGAGGGAGGGGTGGCTACTTTTTGTCGTTGGATATCGCTGCGGTCAAGTTGCAGACACCCAAGGGATGGAAAGCATCGGGTTGTCCTGCTCACGGAATAGCGTCGTCGGGTTGTGCATTGAGCTGTCCACGGCCAGTGGTCGAACTGACCGGGCTGAGAGGACGACGGGGCGTAAACAGCAGCGCTTGCTGCTATGGCAACGCGCTATCGATAACGGGAACAAGAGCCGCCACTGTGGCGCGGCAGCAGCCCTGGCTGAGGCGTGGCGCGGCGGTGGTGAAGGGTCGGCGGTGGGCGGCAGCGCCGGCCAGCCAATAGCGACGGGTTCGGATGTGTCGCGGCTTGCGCGGGCGCGCGGAGCCGCTGGAAACGCCGTGAGTGGGGACTGGGACCAGGACGCATCTCCGGTTCCCCCCTTGACGCTCTTTCGCACTTGGACTACTCGGTAACGTTGGATTTCTCTCCATTCAGCTCATCTCATCGTACCTTGCCTGCATCTCTCCCCATCTCCCATGTCCAACTCGGTGCAGCAACACACACGACATCGACGGCACGGGGACCCCTGTGCTGCAGCAGCTGGACATGGTGCTCCGTAAGCACGAATTGGAGGGGAAGCTGGGCGAGGAGAGCGCCATGATCAAGAGCGGCGTGCTGCGCGACGAGAACCCCCTCGACCAGAGCGAGGGGTTTGACGAATTCCTGCTGGCCTGCAGACACGGCGACTTGCGCCGGTGCCAGGAGCTCATCGGCCGGGGCGTCAACATCAACGGCAAAGACCGGTTCGACTACACGCCACTCATCATTGTGAGCACTGAGCACTGCCCTTCCCTGCCCCGGAGTCGCGGCGCGAGTCTGCCCGTTTTCTCGTCTCCGCCTGCGCCCGGCTGATTCCGCGTAACAGGCCAGCCTCTGCGGACATTACGAGCTCGTCCAGCTGTTGCTAGACTCAGGTACCTGCTTCTCCATCTCGTCCCGTCCGTCATCGGGCACGGACACGACGCCGCCGGGCATCCAAGGCTAAGCAAGTGGCTCAAGGCGCGCTCGCGGAACGCAACACGTTCCAGGGCGAGCGCTGCATATACAACGCCCTCAACGACAGGATTCGAAACCTCCTCCTCCAGTACGACTTCTCCAAGTCGTCAGACCCCTACGTCTACTGGTCCGCCCACGTCTCGAGCCTCCTCACCCGCTCCGCGCCAAGCACGTCAGACATGTCGCTCACCTCGGGCTCGCGCACCTTCAACCTGCACAGGTTCCTCCTGGCGTCGAGGACGCCCTACTTCCGCACGAAGCTGGAGGCGCAGCCCGAGACCCCCTCGTGGCATCTCGCCAGCACCGTGCCCGTGGAAGCCGTCCAGATCGTCCTGCGCTACCTGTACCTCGGCGACCTGCCCAGAGACCTGGTCCCCCCCGGCAGCCGCGCCTCCGAGGAGGACGTCGTCAGGGGCCTGGACAAGATCAGCAAGCAGCTCGAGGTCGAGCACCTCTGGGAGGCCATCATGGCCACCAGCGACCGCCGGCTCGCGCGCCAGCGCCGCCAGGAGGAGGAGCAGCGCGCCCTCAAGCAGGTGGGCGACTTCTTCCGCGCCAAGGTCCTGGGCAACAAGATGGTCGTCGACACGGCGCGCGTCCACGACACCAGGTGGAAGCTCGGCAACGCCGCGTTCGCAGACGTGCTCCTGCGCGCCGACGAACCGCCCGCCCCCGGCGCCGGCAGACGGCCTCGCAAGTCCGCCCTGTACCCCGTCCACAAGGCCATGCTCATCCGCAGCGGGTACTTTGACAGGATGTTCTCGGGGAGCTTTGTCGAGTCCCGCCGCTCCGAGGACCTGCGCGTCGTCACCGTCGACTGCGCGCCCCCGGTCCTCGAGCTCGTCCTCGCCTTCTTGTACACGGAGAGCACCGCGTGTCCGCTCCAACACGCCCTGGACCTGCTGTACACGGCAGACATGCTCCTCCTGGACACGCTCAAGAACAAGGCTGCGCAGGCAATCAGCACCCTGGGAAGCGCCACCTCAAACGTCCTCGTCGACCGCACCCACAGGCACACCAACGGCCAGGCCAACGGGACCAGGCACGCGGAGCGGCAGGCGGAAATGGTCGAGGCGGAACCCATCAATATATACAACGTCATCCACGCAGCTTGGGATCTTGGCGTGCAGAGGCTGGAAGAATTTGCGGCGCGCTACTTGGCCACCAGGTTGGAAGACTATATCGACGACCCTGATTTTCAGGAACTTATCCGTGAGAGTGCGGCGCGAATCCAGCGTCGCGAGGAGACGGATACGATTGAGTTGCTAGATGACATACGATTCTATTTATCAGAGCGTTTCAGATTACGTTTTGAAGATGCTGGGCTGGACGACATGATGATGGATCAAGATGGGAAAATTGACGTCGAGGCGGCCGTGTCCTCGCCAGAACGGGGGGACGTCGTGGTGACTGGACATGGGGCACGCAGTGGAGCAGAGAACGACGGGGTTGTCGAGACTTTGCATGGTGACATGGCCGAGGATGAGTTTGTGTCGGATGCTATCAATTATCAGATCCTGTTGGGCAAGATCGACGCCATGCTGGAACGGCTGAAATTGGATGCCTAGGTTGCCTTGTTTGGTTGGTTGAATTGGGATGGTTGGTGTATTATACGCACGACACGTGTCTAGTTAGACGATACATGTTGCAAAAGTAGAATGGTCAGTCATTATGGAATAGAGTGTATCCAGAATTTCCATACTTCCATCTAGCTTTGCTGATGCCACACCACGTTAAACGCTCGGCTTTGCGTCCAAGCCATCGTCGCATTAAGAATCTTGGCCTACTAATAGTCAACAATTTTCAACATTGACCTCAACTTCTCGGGCAATTCCTCAGGTTTGACCAATCCCATCTGCACGCAATCACCCCAAAAGAAAAAGGCCCGGCTCTGTGCATAGCTCAAGTAGTCAAATTCATCAGGGCCCAACTCTTGCTCGGCTTTTGCGGCCTCCTTTTCAGACACGGACTCATTGTTGGCGTCCAGACCAGGAACCTTGGCTTGTACAATGCCCCATGCAATCCAGAAGGCGCTGCAGGCAGGTCTCCAAAGGCGGGTTTCCTCCATTAATTGCCGTACGTGTGCATCGCTCTGTTCTTCCCGCGCACGTTCGGCGGCGCTCCAGCCGCCGGGCGGGACGCGGGCATCAAGCATAAAATCAACGATGGAGCTGGATGAAGGCGTAGGGCCTAGAGATGGAGTAGGTGGACCGCTATCCTGGGGCTTGATCCGGGGAGTCGAGCAAGCAACAGGAAATTGCGGTCGATGGTCAACATAGGCCTTGATGAAACGTCGTTGCGCTTCAGGAGTTGGGTATCTCTCATGATTGCAGGCGTAGGAAGTGACAGGATCGTGGTAATTGTACGTCCACTCCGTAAAGTGATTGGCGAACTCGAGACCGGGAACATTGGGGCCGGCATATTCAAAGTCAATAACAACTAACTGCTTATGCTTATTGGCCGGTTGAAGCAGCGGCGACTTTTCGTCGTCTGGCTTAATACGCAAAATGTTTCCGTACTGAGTCTGTTGAAGACCACGTCAGCCACATGTCGCAGAGTGCGGGGACCATACCATCACTCACATCGTTATGTGCAAACACCAATCGCTCCTTGATAATTTCCTTGGGCTTGTAGCAGTTGGCCAAATGGGTTCGGTACTTGACTACCATGGCTAGGAACCGCTCCCAAGGCGCTCCGCACACATAGCCATTGGCTTTCCAGGCGTGAACGACAGAGTCGGGCTTGGCTAGCGGAGGGGGGGCGGTATCCAATTGCCTGTCAAGATAGGCCATAATCTTGGCTACATTTTCCACCCACTGGTCCCAATTCTTCCACACTCCGGGGCCACCATCGCGTTCAAGGGGAAGGAGTTCGACACCATCGTGCAGTTCCCTCATTCGCTTGGCAATTTGCTTGGTGGTGTCTGGTTCACGCAAGTGAGCAGGCGTCAGCGTGATGGAGTTGAAGAACTGCTCAAACCGGCCATTCTGAAACGTTCCCAAAAGTCGAGGACCAATCTTCTTCCGTGCTAGACGCTGGAGAACCTTCAGCTCGTTTTCACGGTCGATGAGATGCTCCACTTGAGGGCCATAGACACGCAGAAGTAGTTTTGGGGGAGTCCTTTTGCCCTCGATTTCAGCAAGATCCACTGGAGGCGTTACGACATAAACTGCGTTGGTTAAAGCCCCACTTAGTCGCTCAACTGTGATGGTGTCGCCGCTATTCAGGGGGATGCGTCTCCATCCTTTCAGCTTAAGAGTGTGAGCAATACGGATGATGTCATTCTTGAATGTGAGCCAAGGATCATTTTCGTACGCCTGGCCGCCCGGCGTGTCATTCTCGCTTGCAACACCACCAGTGTAGCTCATCGTTTTGGAATTGTCCAACCAGGCGTCACAGCTTGGCACAATAGCATCGCCGTCAAGATAATCAGTGTCAGAAGAGGCTGTACGATTTAAGCTGGGCTTTGAGTTGGCACGGCGCCGGCGGGAGAGTTTAGGAGGATGTTGCGGAATGGAGCTCAGACCAAGCGATGCTAAAGAATCTTGCAAGATGTGCTCGAGTTTCTCAAAAGACACGTCGCTGGATTGCGAGTCGACAGAGTCAGACCTGTCACGAGCTGGGGTTGCGAGAGTCGAACGGTCTCGATCAGGAGGTGACTTTGACTGGCGACGAGAAATGGGTTTGCGAGAGGCAGTCTTTTTTCGCTTTTCGTGCTCCAACCAGTCGGAAACTTGAGCCAGCAGCTTCTCAGCGTAATACTGGTGCCTCTGCGAGTGATTATGACCAGAGGAGTGCGCCGAATCGTCATCGGGGCGCAGAGCTGGCGAGCCTTCGGTAATTGAAGATTTACCCGATGCAGACTTGCCACTTAGTCGACGGCTCAGTCCTGCGCGGAAGGTCTTGATGGTCTGGGGATCTTCTTCGAAATCAGGAACAGGCTCGGCAATTTGCACAGCTGTCTGCATGTAAGCTTGCGATCGACATACGGGGTGTTCACTGTTGGCGTCGGCGTAAACAGCTTCACAAGACCGTGGGCTGGATTCAGCGTGTGGCAGTCACAAAGCAGACCACAAACAGATCGCATAATGAGCAGAGCCGTCGTCATGATGCTTGAACGCTTTTCCAGCCTGCCCAACGATACGACAGATTCGATCCACCCACCTTTCAGAGCACCGCTGGCTGGGGGCGTCCTGTCGCCATCGCCATCAGATTTCAGGGCTGATCGCAGAGGAGCAGGGCCAAATGTCGTGGGGTCTTGTTCAGCCATGATGGAGCAGCGGTCTGTCTTGCCTGCGAAAGTCGGTCGAGATGGAGGCGAGGCGAGGCTATGAGATGCGCAAAGAACAGGATGTAGACGTCTGCCTTTGCTTTTCGAAACAGAGGACTGGCCACGGGCAACGGCTGCGAAGTTGGAGGGAGCCTGAAGAGTTAGGCGAGGGGCCAGAGACCAACGGGGTCGCTTGGAGAAGTAGTGCAGTATGACGAGGGAAGTGGATTGTTGGTGGACTCGGCAACAATGATAACGGGTTAGTCTTGCCAGGCCTGTTTCCGCCGTGCCCAGTGGCGCAAATTGACAGGCAAAATAATGAGCTGTCTGAGACGGGTAAATGTCAAGTCACAACATGGCTTCTCAAGTAACCCAAGTGACACAGACGTAGAGGTAAAGAAAAGAGTCCGAGAAGGAAGAAGAAAAAAAAAAGAATGCAGCCGCGCCGAGGAAAGCCAGCGTAGGAAGGCACCAAGGGGGGGACCTCTCAGGTGCATGTGACCTCTTGCCCGGTTTTCTTGCTGGTCGACCAACAAGACGGCAGGAGCGTCCCCAAACCCTTCCTGGCCTTTCGCAATTGCCATGTGCCAATCACTCATTCGTAATATTTGTGTCCCCAATCAATTCCATGTCTCGACTCTCGACGTCAAATCGACAATTGACAATCGACAATCGACAATGACCAACCAGCCCAGACACAGCTAGCTTTTTGGTCCGACGTTCGTGCATGGGTGTCACAACTTCGCCACCCCGTGTTGTCTGTCGTCTTCATGAGACAAGAGCTACGCTCTGGTGGAGCCGTCCCGGACCGACATCTGCAAGTTTAACCAAGAAGGCTAAATGGCGGGCCCCACCGTTTTCCATCGACCAGCATCAAACCGAACTGCTACATTCCTGTCATGCTTTCCGTATAGCGTCATGTCTGCGACCATATGGTATGAGGAAAGAGGAGAGAGAGCAGATGGCTCAGCCGCATGCAAATAGGAATAGGACCCGACGACGGTGCCGCAAGTCGGGGCTGCAACCCTCCCACGCAGTCCTGACCGCATCTGAGTCTGCAACCTCGTGTGTCTCTCCGCTCTCGACAACCCCGTGCAGAAATCGCTACTGACAGAGACATCTCTGGGAGCTAGGTCTATCCTCTATATATTTCCAGATCTGTCTAGCTTGAGATACTCACCCAACCCAATACTCATGCACCCTGTAAACTCCAAACCACCCATCAACCACCCTCATTCCATCCCCCGGCCCCCGGGGCAAGCAGCGTCTTCCTGTCAATGTCAACGCCCTCGTTCCTCAAGGCCCAAACAATGCCATCTACAACATCATCCACAATAGCGGCAGGCTTGTATCGCGGCTCTCGCTCCGCCTCCGTCTCCGTCCACACCCCCGTCCTCACCAAGATAGACACCCATTCCGTCCCGTCCTCCGGACAGTACTCATTCGCGCCGCGAATGTCACTCTCCGGATTGTCCCCAATCATGTACACCCTCCTCAACGGCGCGATATCCTTCCTACCCCCGTCGGCCTGTTTGCCTCCCTCCATGGTCGAATAATACTGCAGCAACCGTGTATGAGCGTAATCGTACGTAAATTGGGACGGCTTGCCCAGCGCATTGTACTGCAGCTCAGCGCCATTTGTGACCGCCCGCCAGACACCCTTGAGGGCTTCGAGAAAAGCCCCAGTACCGAAGCGATTCATGTGGTATTCCGCCTTCCACACAAGATCCAAGTTTGAGATCCAGAGCTCCGGCTGGCCGTCCTGTTGCCACCCGTTGTTCGGGAGAGTGCGGTTGCCGTTTCTGGAAGAAAAGGTTCCCAAGTAACCCTTGTGGGAGACCAGCAGGTCGTGGATGACTTGGATGTCGAGGGACCAGTCACGGGGGTCGTTCCAGACCAGAATCTGGTCGATTCTGAGGGCGTTTCCGGCAACGCTCGTGCTGTACGGGTCCGTCACAGCCGAGGCAGACTTGCCGTCTGGTAAGGGGCGGAACTCTGAATGCAGCGTGTCCTTCAACTTGTCAAACGGGTACAAGTGGCCATTTGCGTGTATCAAATCCGCTGGTGTGACGGCCCGATCAAATCCGTATCTGAGGAGAAAACTAGTCAGACGTCTGAAAATATAGAGGCCGTTTTTGGGGCGGAGGGGTCCGCGGGGACCAGACTCGTTTGCAATCTTTCTTGCCGTCTCGGGATGGGATCCCGTTATCAGAACAGTCTGCTTCTTGACTTCGCGAGCCCACCCGCGCATGGGGGTGTGCGACAAGATGACCCTGTCCCGAATGACATCCTCATCAAGGGACAAGCCAAGGCGTTTGATGAGGGAGGCTGCCTTGGCGTCCTCGTGGGCGCCGCCCCCGTTGGTGAGGAACACGTAGCGCATGTTTTTGGAGCGGATGCTGCGGAGCATTTCGTGGGCGCCGGGGATGCCTTGGCCACCGCGGTATAGGACCCCGTCGATGCTTTTGCGGTTGGTGTTGGCACATTAGTATTAGTATACCGGAGGCCTGGAGGCGACGCGTTGGGCGAGGGTGGTGTTTTGCGGGCTTACTCAAAGGCAAAGGCAATGTCCGACACGGATCCGCCGTCTGGCGCTGACGGCCAGGCGGCATCTCCCTTTGGTGCGTGGCTTGATCTTTGAGATAGGTAGGAGGTGCTGTGAAGTCCCCTCACATGAGCTTGGCTTGCCTGCCTGCTTTCGGCGTGTCGGATGAGCGAAGGAGGTCGTCGCGGTGGTTTGGTGGTCGCCGTCAGCCCCAAGCGCCGCGTGCAAAGGGCGACGCGAGACATGGCTGTGACCTGTCGACGCTGTCGCGGAACCCGGCTACCACGCAAGTTTGGTGATGGTGTTGAGGGATGACGATCGAGGGGTATTGGGTGCTGGTGATGGAAGTTTAGAAAGATGTGTTGCGGGAATGCGATATAGCATACACAGCACGTGGTGTCGTGAAGCCACCCGGACTCTGCCGCGCTCCCTCCCGCTCGCTCCCGCTGTCGGAGACTCGGAGGGCGTGGGGTCACGTCTGGTCGTTGACGGGTTCATCTGGTGATGCCATGGTTTCAGGTTTCCACGCGCAACACCAAGCAGATGGAATGCGGGATAGCTGCAGTTCGGATGTTGTCGGGGCGAAATCTGTACTCGCGCAATCACTTCAACGCACTGCAGTAGGTTTCTGTGGTTGGCATAGTCTACGTACGGATCATCATACACTAGTTTACATGGACAAGTACGGGCTCCAATCGTACACTCAGTTTTACACGGGTTTCCAGCTCGACTGGAGCCTCATTTCTTCCAATCCTTCACATGGTCCAAGATGAGCTGGGCGCCCTGGTCTGGAGAATGCTGTCGCCCCAGAGCCTCAACAAAGTCGCCCTCGGGATCCATCAGGTAGAAGTAAATGCTGTGATCAACCAGGTAGTCTTGGCCCGGCTTGACATTTTGGGGTGTGCTAAAGTACACTCGATACTTCTTGCAAAGGTCCTTGATCTGGTCGTACGTCCCAGTTAGACCAATGAACTTGTCGTGGAACTCGGAAAGGTAGCTCTTGAGGGCGGGGGGATCATCGCGCTCGGGGTCGCAAGTGATGAAGATGGGGAGAAGTGCACCGGGGGCCTTTTCTTCGACTACATCGAGCATGCGCGCCATTTTGTCGAGTTCTTCCGGGCAGATATCCGGGCAACGGGTGAAACCGAAGTAGACCTTGCAAAAGCCAGTCAGTCCATCGTCCCCAACCCAGGCGCGGCACAGCAAGCCGCCGCGAGCGCAAGTCGGTGGGAGCGTGAGAAACACACCAAAGAGTATTTGCCCTTCATCATCTCACTGGTGAATGGCTTGCCATTTTGGTCTACCAGCTCAAACGGCCCCCCGACCTTTGGCCGGCCAACACCCTTGGAGGCATCGGCTATCCTCTTTCTTTGCATCCGCTCCTTCTCAAATTCAAAGTACCAAACCAGGGCGCCGCACGTTGCGGCGAATAGAAGTCCGGCTTTCCACGAGAAGGGCTGTTTGGAGGGGGTTACTTGGTCAGCTAATACGCTCCCTGACATGTACATTAACCCTGACCAAATACGGGCGACCACATACACCGGTGCTATGTCGACTCTTCGCTTGCTCTACAGTCGTGTACTTTGTTCGTCTCTGCAACATGGTCTGTCGAATGGGGACCGGCGCGCGAAGGAGAGTTGCCTGCAAGGGCGTCGGCTGGAGAGCCCGGCGTGAGAGACATCGCTGACATTCTGTGAACACGCCCCGGAGGACCTTTGACGACGTTGACGATGGCGCCATGTCGGGTTTGAAGATTTGGAGACGGAGCAACTTTTGTGGAAGCTCCAACGCGAATGCTGATGCTTGAAAAAAGCAAAAAAGCCTGGTTGAGTCGTCCGATGCTGCAACGGCATGGGGACAAAAGCTCTACGTGGATTGCTATTGGTCACCGATAATTTGCCGAGACCGAAGCTGCGGCCTGGGAGCGTCCAGACGCGCACCCCCGTTCCTCAACGTCACTCCTGCCCTCATGCTTCATAAAAGGGTTCGTAATGCAAGCTCTGTTCAGCTTCAACTACATCTGACTTCAGCAATGAAAGTCTTGGTGAATCTCTCATCATCGTCTGGCTTCGGATCAGCATAGTACGGAGCGCTCTCCCGGCCAGATCCTTCCGTCCGAAATGGATCAGCGACCCGGATCCTCGCATGAGGACCGTTTGCGATCTGGATCTGCCGACTGGGCAGTCAAGTCTGACCATGCAGTTATCTCCCCTTGGGTTGCCGGCTCAGACCTCGCCTCAGCCTCGCTCAAGTCATCGCCAACACCACTTCCTCTGACGGAGACGCCCGACTCTGCAGCCATGGCCGTTGCGTCTAAGAAGAAAGGCGCGGCGGCTAGCATTAAAAAAGTCCCAAGGAGAGCAAGGCCTGGCGGCTCAAAGAGAATGAAGAATATGAAAACGGGCTCGGCGGCGCTAGGCGTAGACGAAGCTTCCGGCGATGAGGAATCCGACAACGGCCCGTACTGCCTGTGCCGTGGTCCCGACGACCATCGCTGGATGATTTGCTGCGAAAGGTGCGAGGACTGGTTTCACGGAGAGTGCATCAACATGAACAAAGAAATCGGCGAAAACCTCATTGAGAAATTCATATGCCCAAACTGCACAGCTGAACGCGTTGCCACCATCTACAAAAGAACATGTTCGCTGGGAGCTTGTCGCAAACCGGCGCGCTTGACGCAGAGCCAACCCAGCGTGTTTTGCTCTAATGAGCATGCGCAAACATGGTGGGAACGAATGGTTAGCAGGCTACCCAGAGCCAGGGCCAAGAATGGTCTCAGCGATCAGCTGGCGCAGGATGAGTTCGTGGCCCTTCTCAGTAGTGATGTGGTAAGTAAAGACGAGGCCGGCATGTGGAAACTGGTCAGCATGCCTTTTTCGGTCGACCCGACCAACGACGTGGATGCGAAAGGGGGCAAGTATACTCTCCAACAGATGGTGTGCCACATGCACGACTGACAAGTACAACAGATGACGCTTTGTCCGAACTATTAAGCGACGAAGAGCAAAAGTTTCTCGACGAAGCAGCCAGGGCCCGATCTGAGCTAGCGGAAGAGACGCTCCTCTGCCACAAAATGTTCGCTCTAATAGAGCTGGCTCAAGAGCGCAGAAGAGCGGCCATTACAGCCGGACGGTTCGGCGACGACATTTGCGGCTATGACTCCAGGCTGGACGCGGTTTCTGCGCGAGACGTCTTCTCGGCATTTGTGAAATCCCCCGAGGGTGAGGAGGTGTTCAAAAACTCGAAGCTCGACGATCCGCTTGGCGAGGATGACGCGGTCAGAGGAATGTGCGAACGAAAACGCTGCAAGACACACAGCGGCTGGCAAAAGATGCTCCCCTCGGGCGTGAAGCACCACATCCGGGAAATGGCCGGCCAGGCGGCAGAAGTGGAAGAGGAGGAGCAAATCGTCCGCAGAGCCGTGGCGGAGCGATGGAGGAGGAGGCAGGCGGAGAGTAATTGGGTCGAATCTGTGCATGAATGATGAGGTTTTCCTGTGGCAAGTCGGCTCCGACAGGGGAATCAGAAGGCGTTGCGGGATACGGGCCATACCCTTGACGAACTGATAACACAAGGGGAGACGGACGGGATTTCAAACGTTGATGGCCGGCCAGGCTGATGAGCACTTGTGAGCTGCGCGTACTATCCCAACGGCCGCCAACATCAAATTTAGAATTGTTGCTCTAGACGGAATGTATCCACAGACAATGAATCATGCTCAAACCCGTTCAAGTTGCTTGTAGCTATTCGGCGCGTTCGTCATCTCGTCTCGCGTACGCACACGGTCTAACCGCATGCATGACATGACCCCAGGGTCCAGATTTGTCAAAGTCGAAGAGGGGCGAGCAGCGGGGTAGCCAAGGGAGTTTCGACGACGACGTTTTTCTTTACCCGACAAAACAGTCACTCGTTTCCGTCACCTTCGATCGTCCGTCCGCTCGCCGCCTCCTGCAGGCCGTGTATTTTACCGCGTCGCTGCGGGCATCCCGTCGCCGCAGCCCTCAAAACTACTCGCATCAAAAACATCAGCACATCAGCTCAAGCCGCAATGTCACACCCCGAAGAAGTGGACGACGACCTCCTCGACCTCGAAGACGCCGCCGAGGAGATTGAAAACTCGGCCGACGACATCGCAATGGACTCGGACGCCGAGGACGAGGGAGGAGAAGAAGACGAAGACGAAGAGGTGCTCCTGCAAAACGACTCCATCGCCTACTTCGACCTCCCGCCAGACTCCCTCTTCACCATCGCCCAGCACCCCGTGCACCCCTCTCTCGTCGCAGTGGGCGGCTCGGCAGGGCCCCAAGAGGACGCCCCCGGCGCAGGATGGCTCCTGGATACGTCGGCCGCCGCGTCACGGCCCGTCCTGCCCGCCAGCTACGCCAGCAACCCCGCCGAGACGCCCAAGAGCACACAGCTCGACAGCCTGTTCGCCCTCGAGGGCCACACCGACTCCATCAACACACTCGCCTGGACGCTGCCCCGCGGCGAGTTCCTCGTGAGCGGCGGGCTGGACGGCCGCGTGAAGGTGTGGAAGGCCGACACGCGCCCCGGCGCCGTGGAGATGACGCCGGTAGGCGACGCCCAGGAGGTCGAGGAAGTAAACTGGATCTCGCCGTGTCCCTCGCCAAACCACCAGAACACGGTCGCGCTCGGCGCGTCCGACGGCTCAGTATGGGTGTACACCATCGACGCCTCGGACGCCTCGAACCCCCTACAAATCGTGCAGAGCTACTTCCTGCACACGGCGCCCTGCACCGCCGGCGCCTGGACGCCAGACGGACACCTGCTGGCGACCGTGTCCGAAGACTCGTCCCTCTACGTCTGGGACGTCTGGGGCGACGCGGCCGCGCGCAACGTCACCGGCGAGAACGGCATGACGGTGGTCTCCCTGACAGGCGAGGACCAGCGCTTCGAGGTCGACGGCGGGCTGTACTCCATCGTCATCGACCCCAAGGGATCCTTCGTCGCGACCGGCGGCGCGGGCGGCGCCGTGAAAGTCGTCTCGCTGCCGCGTCTGTCGGCCGCGGATGCTACCGCCGGCGGACAGATCCTGGCGTCGCTGCACACGCAGGGCGACAGCGTAGAGTCGCTCGCCGTGTCACTGACGGCCACCACTCCGCCGACGACGCTCTTGGCGGCCGGGTCCGTCGACGGGTCCATCTGCGTGTACGACGCGGCGCGGCGCTTCGCTGTGCGGCGCCACATTGCCGCCGCGCACGAGGACCATTCCGTCGTCAGGCTGGAGTTTGTGAAGAATACCTGGTTGTTGACGAGCTGCGGCATGGACGGCGTCGTCCGCAGATGGGACTTGAGAAGCGGTGGCGCCACGGATCGAGGTCTTGTCAACGAGTGGAAGGGCCACAGGGGCGGCGGCGAGGGCGGCGGCGTCATGGGCTTCGTGCAGGGCGAGACGGGCGAGAGGGTCGTCACGGCGGGTGACGATGGCGTGGTTCTTGTTTTCGAGGCGTAATGATGTCGCCGTGGGAATTCACACACGAAACGTGCCGCCAATGATGCAAGACGGTCGCCTAGGGCACAGGGTATTTGTACATTTCACATTCGCACGGGACCACGTAGAAAGTTGCAAACAAGGAGGCGGCGTCAGCCGGCTAGTGATCCATTTGTCCCATTGTTAAGATGAGCCTCTTTTTGTTTCTTTTTTCTAATGTTGTATAGTCCAAATATTCCCAATGCCCCGAATGTTGAATTGTTCGAGAAGCGGATGCCTCATCAAAACGCCCTAGGCTAATGAAAGCAGGAAGAAAAGAAACAGCGTACTGCTTCGGCACTTCGTGAGCGACGTGTGTAGGTTAAAACGTGCCCTGGTCTAATGCGCAAGATAAAAGTAGTACACATCATCCTTGCTAAATGTTGAAATTCTTAAACAAAACATGCTCGCGCTTTCAATTTCATCTCCCTTTTGGCGCTTTATTCCATCAGGGGGGTCTACTGGGTTGAATCATACAGACGTCTGTGACTGCGTAGTGTCCTCGACGGGGGGGCATGTGCAGAAAAGGTTGGTGTCGCCGTAGGCTGTGACTGGCTGTTAGAGGCGAGCAATCTTTGACAGGGAATCGGAGTGAAGAAACGTCGTCACTTACTGTCGTCGACACGAGTAACGGTAGGCCAGAACTTCTTTTCCATCAGATAGGGAAGAGGGTAGGCAGCCTTCTCGCGGGAGTAGGGACGGTCCCACCTACCCTCGCCGTCGCCGACGAGGAGGTCCTTCTGGGTGTGGGGAGAATTGCGGAGGACGTTTCCTTGACGAGGCTGCTTGCCCTCCTCGATTTCGCGAATCTCGGCGCGGATGCTGATGAGGGCGTCGGCGAAGCGGTCAAGCTCCTCCTTACTCTCACTCTCCGTGGGTTCAATCATGAGCGTGTTGGGGACAGGCCAGCTCATAGTGGGGGCGTGGAAGCCGTAGTCCTGCAGACGCTTGGCGATGTCGATGGCCTCGACGCCTGCAGTCTCGCGGAATGGGCGGGCGTCGATGATGAATTCGTGAGCGCAACGACCATTGTCATTGGTGTACAAGATGGGATAGTGATCCTTGAGGCGGGCAAGGAGATAGTTGGCGTTGAGGAGAGCCATGGAGGTGGCCTTGCGAAGGCCTTTGTCACCTATAACCTTGTCAGCAAACTGTCAATAGTAGTAGAGGTACAGCGTCATGTTGGCCTACCCATAGTGGCAATGTATGACCAGCTGATCGGGACAATGCTCGCGCTACCAAAGGGGGCGCTGGACACAGGAGTCTGGCTGTCCTTGTGAGGCAGGAAAGGCTCGAGGTGAGACTTGACACAGATTGGGCCAATCCCAGGGCCGCCGCCGCCGTGAGGGATGCAGAAGGTCTTGTGAAGATTAAGATGGCACACATCGGCACCGAGAGCGCCGGGCGAGGTGAGGCCAATCTGGGCGTTCATGTTGGCGCCATCCATGTAGACCTGGCCGCCGTGGGCGTGCACAATTTGACAAGCCTTCTTGACACCGGGCTCGAAAACACCGAATGTGCTGGGATACGTGACCATGAAAGCACCGAGTTCTTCTTCATGCTTCTTGCACTTGGCCTCGAGATCGGCGAGATCCAAGTTGCCGGTAATGGTGTCACACTTGACGGGGACAACGCGCATACCAGCCATGGCAGCGGATGCAGGGTTGGTACCGTGGGCGGAGACGGGAATCAGGCAGATATCGCGCTTAGGACCAGGTTGCTGCTCGTGGTACTTGCGAATAGCTCGCAGACCGGCAAACTCACCCTGGGCGCCAGAGTTGGGCTGCAGTGAGGTGGCATCCATGCCAGTGAGAGCGGCCAGCTGCGCAGAGGTGGCGCTGAACAGTTTCTGGTATCCCTTGTAGCTGCTCACGGGGGCATGTGGGTGAATGTTTGAACTTTTGTCGTGGCCAATGAGTTCCATCTGTGTCGTCCCGTTAAGCTTCATGGTGCAGGAGCCCAGTGGAATCATGGAGTGAACCAGGGACAGGTCCTTGGACTGCAACTGGTAGATGTATCGAAGCATCTCGGTCTCGCTGTGGTGTGAGTTGAAAACGGGATGCGTCAAATAGCTAGACTCTCGGCGGACAATTTGCGGGATGCCATTGACAACTTCGTCCAAAGACGGACTCCAGCCCTCGCTCCAGAACTTGTTGGCAACCTCCAAGTTGCGGTCCGTGTGGTTCTTTTTGGCCACAGCCTGAAAAGCCTCGACGATGCGGACATATGTGTCCAGAGTGAACGTAGTGGGAACGGCCAGAACCGCTTCATTGCTAGTCCAGGCCTTGCCCCCGCTGATGCCCCTCTCCAGAAGCTCCTTTCGGAATACCTGGCAAGCCTTGGGATTCTCAAAGCTGATTGCAATGGTGTCGGACAAAGCACGACCCTGAGGGTCGAGAGTGAGGGTAGGAACGGTAAGGCCATAGTGCTGAGCGGCAGACTGGAGCATGCGAGCGTAGCGGAGGTTGTTGACGGCCATCTCCCTCAGCTGAGCAGGTCCATGGTAGATGGCGTACATGGCAGCCATGTTCGCCAGGAGAGCCTGGGCAGTGCAAACATTACTAGTGGCCTTCTCGCGGCGAATGTGCTGCTCGCGCGTCTGGAGAGCCAGTCGGAGAGCACGCCCTCCAGTGCGGTCCTTGGAAACGCCAATGATGCGGCCGGGCAAGCGACGCTTGCTGGCCTCCTTGACGGCCATGAAGGCGGCGTGGGGACCACCGAATCCTAGAGGAACACCAAATCGCTGCGAGTTACCAAAAGCAACATCAGCACCCCATTCGCCAGGAGGCGTCAAAAGGGTCAGGGCGGACAGGTCGGTGGCAACGCTGAAGAGGGTGCCCTGCTCGTGGGCGACATCAGCCAGATGGCGGAAGTCACCAACACCGCCGTTGGTGTCGGGGTATTGAGCGAGGACACCAACCAGATCGTCGCCGAGAGCTCGGATCCTTTGAATGGCATCGGTTGCGGACAGATCCATCATCTCCAGACGGATGCCGAAGCCCTCGGCACGGCCTCGCATGACCTCGAAGGTGGCATTGTGGACGAGATGAGAGACAACATAGGTCTTTCCGGGGCGCTTGGCTCGAGAAGTCGAAAGGTTGCCGAGGGACATGGTCATGGCCTCGGCAGCGGCAGTTCCCTCATCGAGCAAGCTGGCATTGGCAACAGGCAGACCGGTGAGGTCGGAAACCATGGTCTGGAAGTTGAGCAGCGACTGCAGACGGCCCTGGCTGATCTCGGCCTGGTACGGCGTGTAGCTGGTATACCAGGCAGGGTTCTCGAGTATGTTTCGCTTGATGACAGCAGGGATTTCCACGGGGTAGTAGCCACCGCCGTTCATCCAGGTGTGGATTTCGTTGTGGGCATTCATGGCCTTGAAGAGCTCGGCAACGCCAGATTCGCTGTAGGTCTTGGGCTGAATCGTCTTCTGGGGAGGGAGCATGATGTCCTCGGGGATGACCTGAGCAACAAAAGCCTCCAGAGACTCAAGGCCAGAGCCCAACTGCTTGAGCATGGCGGGGATATCCTCGTCGCGAGGACCAATGTGCCGGGCGGAGAAGTCCATCCATGGCTCAGGGTTCCCGTCGCTCGTCTTTTGCATGTCGAGATAGGCCGGGTCCTTGCGAATCGAGCCGGGCCGAGCCTTGGGGGCCGCAGCCCCGGCGGTCTGGGAGAAGCAGCGTGAGACAACGGCGCGAGCAGCAACAGGCGTGCTGCGCGCAGCGGCGACGAGGCTGCAGGATTTGGTGGCAGCGGCAGCGGTGGGCGGCGCGGCGCGGCTAACAAGCGCGGTCGAGGAGCGCAGAGGCGCGCCTCGGAGGGCCAGTCTCGAGGCCATTGCGGCCAATGGACCTTGCGAGCGCTGGAAGATGGAGGATTTCCCTGAAAAGAGATTGCGATTTGCCCTTTACGTTGAAGAGGATGGTATCCCGCAGCCAAAGTCTTTTCGGTGATTTTTGGCCGGCGGCCCGAAGCCTCCTCTGTTGCCCCACGATGCGATGGGCCAAAATCCAGACCGATGACGGCGGCTGGCGAATGGTGGATGGCGAATGCGGCAACGACGATTGCAGCCGCGCGGATTGAAGGCAAGCACGGCAACAAAGTATCAATCAATACTTTCTGGAGCCCGCCGCGATACGATGGACTGCAAGCAAGCAGCCGTCCTGTCCACGCAATGAATGTGAAAAAGGAGAAGTGGGAAAGCAAAACAAGGAAAGATAACGGGCACACCGCACGGCGGCTACGAGCATGACATCCATATGGACATCGTGCGTCGTCCGATCCCGCTTTATCGGCAAGTGCAGGCCCTTTTTTTTTTTTTTTTTTTTTTTTTGCCAGACGACTCTCCACAGATTTCACGGCCATTATCGTTGGCGGTCCAAGCTGTTCTCGCGCCCGACACGGCAGGCGTTTTGAAAACATACTGAAGTACTTGGGTGGCCGCAGGGTGGCACTCGGTCGTCCGCACTCCGAGAGCGCACTGGGGAGACGCAGATGTCCGGCGTCTCCCAATGGAGGTCTTGCCGACGACTGTGCCCCAGCCTCCAGGCGCTTCCTTCCCCAAACAGGTCGCTGAGGTTCAACGTTGTGTAGCAATGCTTGCGGCACTGGCATGTCAAATGCAATTGGATTGGACCATCACTGCACTTCCTTCTTCCTCTAACCCAGCGCCTGCCTGCGTGCACTTGGACCGACAAAGGAAGAACCCATCAATCGGAACGACTCGGGCCGACGGTGTGCAATGCCAGCTGCCTCTTACGGGGACATGCACACCCTTAGTCACGTCGTCGTCGGTTTGAAATTTCCACCGCAACACCACCAAGTCGCCGAAGTCGCCCTTTTCTTACGTAAATACCACCGCCTCCCAGACAAACTTCCTGGGGCAACGAATCACCCGAGTCTCTTCTCCCTCTAGCATCGACAGCCTGACAACCCATATTCCAAAATGTTTGGAGGATGTACGTCTTGCCGTCCTTGACCGCACACCCCCCTTGTCCCCTTTGGCCTACGCTGTACCTCAATATTGGGTAATCGGTTGGGAAATAGCCCGAGCTGACGTTGTTTTTGCTTGATTTGATCCAGTCGCTCCCCCGCAGCAGTCTCCCGAGGAAATCCGCGCCATGGAAGCCGAGGCTACCTTTACGGTGCAGCAGGTCGTCGCTACAGCTTTCATGTTGTATCTCTGTATGTTTCGCCCGACTGAGAAGGAGCCTGGATAGGCCTTTGGTCCGTCACGTCGAGAGCTGACCAATATCAAGCTCCTTTCGCCATCGACATGGCCAGTAGGATCTTTTAGACCCGCCCATGATCTGCTAGAATTACAAGACCCGGATGATCGTGGGACGTATTGAAATAGCCCGCTGACGGACGCACCCGCGCCGAAATACTGAATCGAGACGCAGGCGGGTCATGATCTTTGTTCACGATGTTAGACGCCTAGCTCTTTTCTCGAATGGGATATCAGTGCGGAATATCGTGTGCCAAATAAAAACGGCTACGATGTAGACACCATGGCGGCCATCTTGTCTGGTTGCCAAATAGAATAGTTCAGACAAGAATCTATATATGCTGTGTCCAGCGCCGTCATGTGCACAGTCAAGTCCCCAGAAACTCAAATTCAGCCTACACTAGGTCACCAGACGCATCTCCACGATGTTACAAGCAAGTAATGAACAGTCCCAAGAACGCCAAGTTTAAATATACTCGACCGCGAGTCAACCAAACGGCTCTACAAAGCTGTGAAGTGCGTCCATCGATGATTGCTCTATTTTCGAATCGCGTTGTACGAGAAAGGTCATCCTAGCAACGGAGCAATAAGCCCAGTTTCCTTCCCCAAGTACTCCACTATCATCATACCCCAGTTCAGTCATATCATCTTATTTTCAAGCTGGCATTGCGGCTCTTCTCCCACTCCTCGAAATCGACAGCCAACGCTTCCACTTCTTTCTTCAGGTGCTGCAGCTGCTTCTCGTAGTCTTCCAGAACCTGTAATAATCCCGGTAAGTAATTGCTCGTCCGTAGGAAGACCTTCAAGTCGAGAGTTGGACAAAAACGTACCCTCTTTGCCTTTGCCTCGGTCTCCGGGTCCAGACCCTCGCCGTCCGGGCCAGCAGGTTTATCCAGTTCCTTGTTCAAGCGATCTGAATACGCTCTCAACACAATCAGCCGGCTCCACAGCTCCTCCTCTCTGGCTCCCAACGCAGGATCCTGCACCTCACGTTCCAACGTCTGCAGCCTGTTCTTCAAGTCATCCTCATCACCACTCAATGCGTATCCGCGGTTCCTCAAGACCTGTACCTTTGCGGCTAGGGCCAAACATCTCTCGCTGATGGCAGTCTGCCGTCTCCGCGCCGCCAAGGCCCGCACTTCCGTCTCCAACTCATGACGCTGCAAGATGGCATCCAGACTGCCATTGATCTGGTGCAGACGCGTATTGAATTCAGAAATGGCGCGCTTTTGTGTCTTGAGACGGTCCGCAACGCCGCCATACCCACAGCAGAGGACGGGCATGAACCCCGGGGCGGGTTTGTTCTGGAGTGCCTCTTCCCACTCGCGAGGGTCTTCGTGGGGTTGGGGCTTGTAGAAGGGGATATGGGCTTCGTCGACTTTATTGTAAAAGTAGTGCTTGAAGACACAGCTCGGGCTTGCGGGGTCCCATTTCTCGGTGACGAGTTTGATTTGATCGAGGATTGGTTTTTGGTCTATGGGGATTGATTAGCTTGGCTAGAGAGGCTTCAAGGAGATTTGAACAGAGAATCCTACGAGGCGTTTCTTTGCCAGGCTGCCACAGTGAGCTTGAAAGCTGGTCTTGCGACTGCGCCAGGGCCGGCATTTGCTGAACTTGCTGCTGCTGTGCCGTCATCGAGTTGCCCAGCGCGCCGGGCTGCTGGCTGCCCATGGTCTGGCCGAAGACACTGCCTGTCTGCTGCGCAGGTTGTGTCTGTTGTGTGGTTGGCGATTGACCAAAAAGGCCGCCGAAGCCCAGCGGCTTCGATTGGCCGAACAGCGACATGGTGATGGCTGATGGATGTTTTTTTGGTCGTGTTGCTCAAGTCGAGCTCACCGAGGGATAGAGGGCGCCAATATGCCTGCTGCAAAGCAGTCCGGGGGGCGATGGTAGTAATTTCTTGACTGCTGCCAGGAGTTGCAAGGTCGTGGGTTGTTCAGAGGCCAGGTTTCAGGCCTTTGGGCACGGCTAGAGCTAGCCGCTGCTCGTCTCGTCTCGGTACAGCTTCTTTGTTTGTTGTTCGCGCCGTGTCGGAGGAGATCAAAACTGAGCTGCGACTGCGCATCCCCAATCATGTATTGGGCCAGGTCTGGTCTCCACCTGGCAGCCAATCACGAGTGGTCAATTCCAACCTCGTCTCAAATTCCCATTCAACGATCGCACCAGCTCACCAACTTATTATTCTCGGTTCGACCAACGGGCAGCCCCAGATACAGGCAGCATGGCGACCCGACGACCTCAGTACGTGTTCTATCTACGCCGACTTCCCCGCACGCTCTTCTATTTAGGCATATTAGCGCCGGGTGGGATGGTTCAAAGCACCTTGGAGGCAACTGAAAGCGCTCTTTGGCTGACCGCGTGACTGGTAGGTTTCATCAGGAAGTCCTCATCGACACCACGCCGCTCCCTGACAACGTCCCCGCCGTCAAAGAGATTGGTGCCAGCTCTGCGCCTCTGTTGTCCGCGTCTTTCTTCATTGGCGCCCGATGCCGCGACTACAACGATGACTACATGCAGTGCAAGACGGAGACCCCGGGTCGTGGCGAGTTTGACTGTATGAAGGAGGGTCGCCGGGTCACTCGCTGCGCTCAGAGCGTGTACGTTTCCACCACATTGCTTCATCAGATCGTTCATGGCTGCAATTCTGCCAGCAATTCTAGCTCGGACTGACTAGGGGAGGGGGGGCCGCACGAGGCAACGAAGAATGCGAAGCTGACAATGCAATAGGCTCACGGACATCAACACCCACTGTCTCTCCGAGTTCCGCAAGCACTGGGAGTGTCTGGACGACAGAAATCAGCAGCATTGGCAGTGTCGCCCTGCCGAGTGGAAGCTGAACAAGTGTGTTTTCGACAAGCTGGTAGGCCGCTTCTTCGCCCAACGTTGGCTCATCCATGTTTCTGTCATTATTATTTTGCACGAAAAAAACCCATATTTGGAGGGGGCAATGAGCTAATTTCACCGGTTTAGAAACTCGAGAAGAAGATCCCCGACCAGCCCAAGAACGTTACCCCCGTCGAATTGAGGCCAAAGCAGATATTTTCTGATGTTCGCATTGGTCCTGGTGATGGTAAACCCTTTATTCCGGGGCAAGATGCGAAGCAATAATTGCCTGGCGAAAGAGTTGCTAGTTACGCCTTGTATATTTAAATCCTACTGAACGAATTACTCTTGGGCAGTGTTGCGTGATTCAAAGACGATTCTGCCCAGTCTCTCAAGTTCCTATTTCCACTAGGTGCATAGAGCTTGTTCCGTCCAGTGCTCACAGCATCACTCGCGTTGGACGGAAATCTTGCTGTACAAGATATACCCCTCGAATTCCAACTCTTGTGGGCCCCTCGAACAGCTTCAGCGTGACCCTTCCAAGTATCGTCGGTTGTTTCTGCCGCAGGTTTCCTTTACCCCCCTTGCTGGTGCGCAAAAGCATTCTATGGAGTTTGTTCAAGGAGGGGCGGAGGGAGGCAAGTCTTCTTAGGCAACTGTAATACTCGCTCCCGGCTCCTTGCAATTTATCCAAAGCTACATTGTAAACAGGATAATAGCCAACAGCCTCCTGATATTTTCAAGCCTTTTGTCCCGGGATGTTTCCCGGCATCGTCGACCTCAGAGCGGTTCCGAAGAACGGCCTGCTCATCCTTGGGATGGTCCGCAATCCCAGGGCCGACGAGGGCCCTAGGCTCATCAAGGGGATGCAGCAAGAAGAAAAACAAGAGAGAAGGAACACACAAATGGTGAGCATGGTCAAATCGTTGGATCGGCCTTTGTTGAGCCGTATCCACAGCTTGTTGAACTCAGGCGTGAAAAGTCACTAGCATCCACAAGGGCCGGTACAGGCGTAGTCTAGCTTCGGAATACTAGACTCCAAGAGCACGCTGATGACGTTGCTGCTGAACATGCTAAAAGAAAAGAATATAAACTCTGCCAGACAGCTCCTGGCCCGCATCATCAGGTTGACAAAGCGTACACAGGCGTGTATCAGGCTTCGCTTGGGCCGAGAACATGTCGTAGCACCAGGAGGCTTGTACGGTTACAAAGGAAGACTTACGGTCGCTGCAAAGTCAAACTTAAAATGACCTGGACAGTCGTCCACGGTCGCGGACCAAAACTGGCCCGAGCCACTGGGTGGTTTACCTGGGTTAGGTAACTGCTTTTAGCTGGTGATTTTCTCGTTGGAAGTCGACGTTGCATGGAATCTGCGCGGGGACAACTGTATGGAACATGGACTGGTCGCTGGCTGAGATTGATCGCGTCTTTGTTGACGCCTATTTCTTTGACGACATCTCCTGCACAGGCACCGGCCGGGTTGGTCAAGTTTGGGGACTAGGAGACCCGAGAAACAAGAGGGCCAGCAAAATTATAGAAAAATCTAAAACAAATAAAATAAAATCACATAAAATATCTAAAAACAACTGCAAGAAGACACGTTGGCTGAACTAGGCTCCTTGTTTCCTTGAACCCCCCTCGAATAGGCTGGCTCACTCCCAGCGGCGCGCTTGCTTCCCTAGTTTCGAATCGCATTGTCGACCGTCATGTCCGCCTTGTTCAGTGGAAGGCTTCGTCTATCTGCCCGGACAAGAAGACTTTTCCCTGGACGGAGAGTAGCAAGTAGTTAAGTACGCTACGCTTGCCGATGTAATACATACTCCGTAGTAATTGGCATCTCGGCTGCTTGGTCGCAGCTTTCCTGAAGCCGCATTATTGGCGCATTTCATGGCAGGCTCTCCGAGTTGTTTATTCAGCAACCAACACCGGAATGCCATCTCCACGACGAGACTCTTTGACTCTATCGCGAAAAAACAGAAAGACGAAGGTTTCTGTATCAGAGTCCCAGATGGTCCGGAGGCACCTGCACGGCGTGGACGCCGTGGCCGATGTTGAAGCGGACTTGGGCACCAGAGTTCGTCGTTGAGCGTTTCAGGCGACGGCGTGGTGAAGCACAGCGATGGCTCGCTTGCACAGACATGGGCACTCGCCTTCGTGGTCTCTACGCTGCTCCCGCACGCTCCAGCCCGCGGCCAGCTTGGAATCGCATCATGTCCAGGTACGGGTGACTACCCTACACCACGACAAGGCTCAAGAGTCAAAGTCGTGCTCACTGCGGAGACCCTAGTGTTTCACTCTCCCGGCCGGCCGGCTGGCGAGCGACAATGGCCCCAATCATCCCAACCATCCTGGGTACCAACCAACGCAAATGAATCGTCCCAAGTAGTAGTCGGTCTGCAGCAGACGCCTTGCATGAGACGAAACGCGGCTTTTCGTGGTGTAGTATTGTGGGACAAGGTGGCCGGTATGATTGCCGTGGCCCGCTGATGATGGCGACCCGCCCGTGGGCAAGGACGAGGGACCTGCAGGAGTCAGTGACGGCCGCACTTGCAGTCTTCTCGGTCTTTCTGGACGAGAGTTTTCAGCTGCCTGTACGGGGATGCACCCGGGTTAAGTACTCAGGAGGTAGCTCAAGTACCTACTCCAGTACCTACCTTAAGTAGGTACTTAAGGAAGTAGGTACTTAAGTAGGCAGAGTACTCATCGTCTTGTATTTCACGTACTTACTCGGTAACTTACTACTTGACGTAAGCAGCATTCATTGTAGGGGTAGTTTTCGGAACTTGGCATGGACGCAGGACAGGACGGGACAGGACAGGGTCAGTCGGCGGATGGCTTGAATCAGTTGCTTACTTTATGATTACGGAGTATGATGGAGACAGACGTCGTCATGTTGAGTGCGGAATACCATCACTTCTCGGAAGTTGGCTCGCGTCCGGGGATGCATGACCTGCTCGCTGGTCGGCATGACGCTCTTGAAGTGTTTGAGCGACGGAAGAAGCCCTGATGGAGCAAGCCACGGACGGTTTCAGGGCCGGAAGCCCATCGGAATCCTCCGTACGGAGTACTTGAGAGAGAGATTGACATCCCTGCACACTTTGATTGGAGGACTGCAAGGCCGGCAAAGAGGGCCTTTGTCGAGACGCATGGCAACAGTGAGATGAAATGTCACAGAATCCATTTCTCCTTTCTTGGCCCTGCCATCCGCGGCTTGGCACGCCGCGAACAAGCTTGATGCTGCCGTGCCGACTGCGTACATCCCAGTTGGCAGTGGCAGACTTCAAAAGCTGCGCAAGTGTTCCGGAAGATGGGAGGACGATGCAATTCAGTTCAATTGCGGCGAGTCACATTCCAAACCGCCTGTGTTTGCGCGACATGACGTGAACCCGAACCCGGCCCTTGTGTCTCTAGACTCTTGGCCCTGGGTCTTGGAATGTAGGACAACAAAGCAGACGCGGGGGCCGAGGTACGTACTACGGGGGACTACGCCGCCAGCGCAGCAGCAGCAGCAGCAGCAGTGTGCACCTCACAGTACGGAGTACGTACTAGTAATACTCCGTACGTCAGCAGCACATGGGCCTGCCTGTCTTGGGTATTTCTCCGGGCCAAGTGCTTGCACGTGTATGCGCGCAAACACGACTCAACTTTTGTCTCAGATGTCCACGCTCCCACGCTCCCACGCGCAGGGGTAACCTAGGCGAGCAGGTGCAGCACAGAGCCTCACGCAGAAAGCACTCGCGCGTGAGACAATGAGATACGTACAAACAATCGACTGAAGACGCTTCCGACCATATTATTGATCACGGACAGTAACAGCGACGCCTTGAACGGCTCAGACTTGTCCCTTCAACATCGCGGGCACCACAATTCACCCCCAATTGGCCCCCAGAAGATTCTCACGCAGGAAAATGAACAAACTTTCCCTCCTTCGGCGCCAGGTGGAGAAGGGGGGATGAAGTCCGAGAGGTGCCTGGAGAGAAGGTCGACAAGGGTTTCAGAGTTTTTCTTCCCTTTACGCAGGATTTGCTCTTCTGCTTCCTCTACTCCTTCTCTTTCCCTCTTTTTGTTATTGTTGTTATTATTCTTATTATTTATTTTTTATATACTCCGTACTCTTGTCAGAGAGAAAGGGCGGCCATGTGGGTCCGTCGACAAGCAGCCAAAGAAATGAGGCATGTTTCAGGGACGATGAGACCCACTTCCGCCTTGCATGTACGTACCACGTACTGTAGCTTGTTTGATGGGACTACTCATGGCCGCGACATGCTATTGGCCCATTAGCTTCTCTTCTGCATGCCATGCAGCAATCTGCGCAACGAAGCTCGAGTGGAGATGGCGAGAGAATGTATGAACTAAAGTACTCAACAGCGTACCTGATGTATGGCTGAGATGTGGGCTAAAGGGCCTCAGAAAAATGAACAATAGGGTCAAGCAACGGTCCTTCCCAGCCGCCACCATCAAGCCCAAGCCATACGCCATGCTCATGAGCATACAACAAACATACATACATGCCTAGGTACATGAACCGTAGCAGTTGATACACACACGCGCTTTGTTGTGAGCAATATGTATCCGTGGCCGCCGTGGCCGCCGGGGGGGAGGATTCCTACATCGTGAACCAAAAGATCGAGGAGTCTCAGATGGCGAGAACCGGTCTGCAGGGAACGAGACCGGCAGCTGCCACGGTATTTCTCAGTTCGGACGAGACTCCAGAGTCGTGTTCGGCAACTTGCGCCATTGATTGAAGCTTCCAAGGTTGTCAGTTCTTGGCTCTTCACTCTGGGTGCCTTCGCTTTGGACCGTGGTCGTGTCGAACCGGGCCTTTGCGAACGTGAGCATCATTTGCCGTGACAAGAGGGCGGCGCCACTCTCATTTCATGTCACCCAATGAATGGATGAGCCCGATGAATGGATGATACGACTGGGCTTACCTTTGTCCATTGGACATGGAGTCACCTGTGCAGATTTGAGAGTGCTAGTACTCCGTACGGAGTAGTACCGAATATGAGGGTTCCAAGTGAGTCTCATCCGTTATGCAACATGAGCAGGAGCCGAGCATACGTACTGTATAATCTAACCCCTGCTTTATGAAGCGTCGGCTACAGATGGCGAAGCACGTGCGGTCTGCTGCACTAGACACGCCCCATACCGTGCGGACGAAGGCCCTTAGCGCCAGGGACCAGGCTGGGAGCACGCCTCGCTCTACTTCCACCATTTAAAATTACTTGCCCCAGACATGGATTGATCGGTCGGTTCGTCTGGACAGGGATGACGGCAGCGCGTGCCGGACAAAGGGCGGTTAAGTCCAGGCTTCGGGCTCTGTGAAGACGCTGGTTGAACGCACCTGGGTACTCCGTACCTTGAGTAGGTACTCGAGCAGGTCTAGCACAAAACAACAAGTCCTTGCCCTTGGCTGTGGAGATTGCTGGTCCCGGACGACGTCGCTGAGGCCCGCTTGGCCAATTTACCTGGCAGCTACGGAGTACAGTATTACGTAGTACGTAGTACTGGCCGCACCTTCCCGTACCCAATTGCCCTTATTAGACCACCACCCTTCCGCCGATCTCCTACATCTCCCTCCCAAAGCCACAGACCTGGCCGTCGACTGCCTAGAAGGCATTGCCACTCCTTTTTCTTCCTGTTCGCTGCTTCAACCTCCTTGCGCCTTTCGCCTTTCGCCTTCGGCCCTCCGCTCCTTTGTGTCCTGGACGGCACGTTACGCTCCCTGTGATCCTCGCTCTTTCTCTCGAAGGCATTCTGCCTTGCGACGACTGTTTGCGCATTGCCAGTCTGTGAAACTACGTCTGACGCCTCTTTTCGTCATTCGTATCCTCTTGGCCTTGACGCCTTCATCTTCAACGTCCTTCGACCACCCCTCGTGTTGTTTCGCCGTGCTTCAGGCCATCTGCGACGACAGCAGTGCTGCCCAGCTGTTTCTGAAAACGACTATCCCGCAGCAGTCTGCGCTTCCACATATCGCCAATATATTTTTGTGTGTTTCGTGGTTCAACTCGACAAAAGGTATAGGCTTTTGAACTTCTGTCCTGATCCTACCCCCCTCTCCCTGTTCAGCTTTTCCGAGTTCAGCACCCTTATTCAGGTCCGTCATGGTACTTTGATGAGTTGTGTATATTTGGTCGATTTCGCTGTCATGCACATCAGACAACGCGCTTGCAATGCCAACAAAACACAAAGGGGGAGTAGCCATGAGCACGTTCCGCTGCGTTGGCATATCCGCGAGTGGTCATCCCGTACCAAAGGGTCGGTCGTCAGTAGTACTGTCTCAACTCGGCATTCCCCATATGGACTGACATTCCACGGCTTCTTGTCACCCAGCCACCACTACTCCACAATCCAATGTCTTGAGGTTGCGGTTGACAACAAGTTGCTGGTTTTTATCGTATGACTGGCAGCGTCAGGACGGCGGTTGTCTGCTACGTTGGCCTCAGTCATTGTTCTCTACTGCTGCATGACTGATTGCGAGACCAAACACTGCTTCTTGGTTGATTTATATATACTGCGGATGCTCCAAACGCACACAAACTAACCTGGCGGTAGGTCATCCAAGGCTACTCAATATGAAATCTTCCTTGTTCCTCGTGGCCGCTAGCGCCGCGGTGGCTGTCGCTGGCCCTCTGAAAGCGCGTGCTTTGGAGACTGTAGTGTCTACCATACACTGCACCAAGACTGTCACCGTGGGCGACCCTGGGCCTACCCAACCCCCCATTTTTCTCGAAAACAAAGTAGTAGTTTCTACTTCCCTGGACGCACTGGACCGACAACAAGGCGGTGCGAATCAGAACCACTATCCGCAGCCTGTGCCTCAACCTCAACCTCAGCCTGATCCTCAACCTCGGCCTGAGCCTCAACCTCAGCCTGATCCTCAACCTCAGCCTAAGCCTGTGCCTCAACCTCAGCCTAAGCCTGTGCCTCAACCTCAACCTCAGCCTGAGCCTGTGCCTGTGCCTCAGCCCGAGTCTGATCCTAATCCACCTGTCGGAGACGCAAACTCTTACCAAAATCAAATGCTAAGGATACACAACGAGAAACGTGCACTACACCGCAATACTCCCCCAATGAAATCGGATCCGAAGCTTGCTCAAGGCGCTTACAAAGTTGCTCAATCATGCGTGATGGAGCATAATATGTAAGTCATTCCGTTCTTGGAAAAAAACAGTTAAAACGACTTCTCACACAGAAAAAGGGACGTCGACGGCGGTGGCTACGGCCAGAATCTTGCAGCCGCCACCACCACCTTAGAGGTTGATCGAATCTCAGGCGCGGATAAACCAACTGAGTTTGGCGTCACAGCGGTTAAGGAATGGTACGCCGAGATCACGAACTACGGGAGCCGAACAGGGGTTTTTCTGCACTATTCCCAAGTTGTTTGGGTAGAGTCGGTATCACTTGGTTGCGCCTCTACGATATGCCCAGCAGGCACGATCTATCCCCAGGAATCAATCTTCACCGTCTGTCATTACCGGAAGCCTGGTAAGAGGATGATTTCCCACGTTTTATGTTTGACGTCGAATTCTGACACTACACTTTAGGCAACGTTCTCACAAGGATGGCCGAGAACGTTTTACCGCTCATCACAGCAAGCTGAGGCCAGCACTATGAATGCGAGTGATGGTACAATCCAGACTGGTGGTAGACGGCATCAACACTTCAACCCGTATCTGGTGGCTTGTACCAGGGGCGTGGTAAATTTCGCTTCTCAACTGTACTTCATGGGCCACATGATACTTTACAATCTTGGTCTTTCTTTTTATAACCTAAGATTCTTCTCGTTTTGTTTCTCTTCTGACCGGCCACTCATTGACAACGTTGGTGTTAGATGGAAATTGATCATATTGCTGCTTGTGCTTGGCGTCGCCCTGATGCAGTTGAACGGAGCAGTAGTTGGAGGCACTGGATGTTTCACATGTTTCGTTCCTCGTTTAGGCGAAGAAGTACTCGCACAATTGATGGTTCCTATGCGCGTGCTCCTCAACTTGCCCTTGTGTGTGGTGGGTTTGTTAAGCCGCATGGTGTTTGTTCGGCGGCAATTTCGTCTTTCAACCCCAGAGCGGGCCCGGTCGTTCTGTGGGCATCAATGTCAATTGTTGCCTGGGAGCGAGTTGCGTGTTGATTCATGTTATCGGTTGGCCACGAACAAATCAGGCTCTACGATCAAGAGTGTCAAGGGAGTAGCTGTGGTTGTCATGCCATTTGCATACTGTACTGTCTGGCTGAATGGCCATGGCCCATGGCAGCCCTGTTACTACCGCTTGGAAAGCTCGCGAGCTGCGCCGTACAAGGAAGCTTTGTTTTCTGATTGGAGGCTTTGGCAAGGCAAGGCAATTCTACGGCACCAGACACGTGATGCTCGCGCGTGCTATTATTTCTGTCTGTCAAATTAAAGACTCAAGACTCCAGTCAAGAGTCAAGGCCAACTTGGACCCGAGTCCCCAACGCGGATGCCGGATACAAATCAGCCCACCTCTCTCGACGACTCATTCTCGTGTCCAACATGGCTTCACCATACGTTCCCATTGAGAACAAAAAAGAGCTCTTCTCGTCATGGTGTGCTTTGCGCAGAGCTACTTGTCCGCCTTGTCGGTACCGTTCTAGGCATACCACTCGACTGCTGCGCCGCACGAATGTATCCCTGCCTGTCGTACAACGATCGTGCGCGGACATATTTGTCCAGCTTCCAGTAGTTTTCGCCAATCTCCCTTGCCAGCAGGTCGCGCTTGGCCTTGAGCTCCTTGGCTTGGGGGCCGTCGGCGCCCCTGATCCATTCCTTGGTGGCGTCTTCAAACCTCTTTGCAATGTCGTCCCGTTGTAGCTGGAGCTTGTCTCGGGTCGCAGTGTCCTTCATGGGCTCATTCTCCCCCTCGACAGGTTCCTCGTACTTGTACTCCCAGTCCTCGTCGCCGCCGAGCTCCTTGATGATGTGCTCCGGCGCGATGAATTCCTCCAAATCCTTCCGAGTATAGGTGAAGTGGACTTTGGCGGCAATGACGGGGTCGAGCCAGCCGTGGATAACTTTCCAAATACCTTGCATCACGATTAGCTGTGGACTGCAGTTCGGGACGAACCAAGGCACGGTTCATGGTTACCCTTGAAGATCCAGGGGGCGTTGTGAATCAGCACAGCGCCAAGCGACTCGGGGTAGTTGGCCTCGAAGCACATGATGATGAACTTGACGGGGACATAGTCCATGTTCGCGAGAGTGAAATTGGTCATGTCGAAGACGAGGCACTTTTGACTACATCAGCACCGTGACTCTCGAGAGAGCGACGCGCACTCGAATCAACTTACAGCAGTCTCAACAGGCGGGTTGAGCATGAGGCGCGACGTCTCAATCAGGTACGTCGTATACTTCTCGACGCTCTCCGCGCACTGGTCGGATGCTTTGTGCAGCCGGGCTCTGACAACGCACAGGATTCGGCCCTGTCGGTCGGTGCCATGCAGAAAGCTCTTGCCCATGCGGATTTGCTTCATAAAGTCGTGGCCGAGCGTCTTGGTTGCTTTGTCGGCGCTCTCTGCGTCTGCGACGGCACCCGCCTCGCCGCGAGTCATGATGTCCTCGTCTACCTTGAAGTCTTTGAATCTCCAGTTCATAGCCTTGAGCATCATCGCGAGGGCTTTGTTGACGTCCCATTTACGAGCTCGCAGGAATCGCAGCATGACCATGTCCGGGTGCTCGTGCTTGACGGCGCCAGTCACCATGGCGCGAATCTCCTGGGCGGACTGGCCTTGCAGAATCTTCTGAAACTCGCGGATACTTTCGGCCGACTGGTCTGCGAGCAGGTCGCGCCATTGCGCGATGGTCTCGCGCGGTGCTGCCTCCAGGCCTTGCCTGAACAGCTTGATGGACTCTGGCGTTTTCATGGCCATGAGCTGGGTAAATTGTTTTGACAGACGCTGTTGCTCTTGCGGATCAGTCGTGATGACTTGCAAGGCCTCAATCACGTCGGCGGAAGGCTTCGCTGCCGGGGCGGCTTCTTGGGATTTGCGTCCGAGAAGGCCGGCTCGCTTTGGAGGCTCGGCGTCCGGGACGATTTGTCCCGCGTGCTCGAACATGTTGTACAGCATGAAGACTGTCTGCCAGAGCTTTCGAAGGAGAGCCTCCTGCTCGGTTGTCAAGTTACCGAGGTGCCCTGGGGCTATGTCGACGGATCCGTTGGAAGACATGATGGTGCCCTGGGGTTGCAGAAGCTCTCTCTTTTGTTTGGTATAGAAGAGCGTCTGGAGATTGCTGGCAGAGACTTGTAACAAAGCCTCTGTATGACGGGATATATGTTTGTGCTCGAGTGCTGCCAACAGACGAGGAGAAGGGAAAGCAGTGAGTAAACAGGGTGATGCTGGCACGGCTCATTATTGGCATCTACAAACGTTAAATAAGAACCTCGAGTCATTTCTCGACGGTATGCTTCCCCTGAATATCCTTTTGGCACAAGATTATGTGCATCTGGGTCTTGAAAAGGGTAGCGGACGAATCAAGATGCCACAGACGGAACTCTAGCCGGCAAGCTGTGTGCGGTTGGGCGGTCGGACATTGTAGAAGCAAGCTCCAAGACGGTTGACTCCAACGACGATGGTGACCAGAGGCCATTTTCCATGTCTGCAAGGACCACCACCGCCTCTCTCAGCTCTCAGCGTGAGTGATAGTTTGCGGTGAGGGATGATCCAACACCCCACAGGTTGAGACCGTGCACACGACGCATCACCCGGTGAACCCTGAGTGAAGGGTCGTGGGCCTCTGATCAATTCTCGGAGAGCCGAGACTGGGGAACCCAACACATGCAGCCCGCCGTGCGTAAAAGAGGGGTCTTCAAGACTGGGTAGCGGCCCAGACCGACGTGTACGGGCTCATTCCGCTCATTCCCAAAGCCGAGTCGAGCAGAATTGTTACCACGTGCCTCGGGACGGTCATCAAGTATCATGGGGACACGGTTTCGGCCGAGCGGGCGTTTCGAAGGCGGCGCCACACAAACGGCACCGGAGCATTGAACTGTTATCGGGACCGTTTCTGTAGAGTTTCGCTTTGACAATCGACAAGCTGCAAAGGTTGTATGCACGGCAAACTGAAACCAGTAAGTAGACGATGCCATCATCCCAAGAACAGCTTCTTGTACTCGGAATCCGGATACCGCGAAGCTTCCTGCCATTAGTACCAATTAGTGCGGCAGGGGAGTGGTGAGGAGATCAAAAAAAGTCATTGGTCAATATATTACGCCTTGGATTAGCCAAGGGCCACGCCTCCCAGCGCTCGAATAGAGTAGGGCAGCAGCAGATCCGAGAACTCGATTTGCATCTACTACTGGATCAAGCTTCCACCATTGACGTCGGAGCCAGGGTTAGGGTCGCACGCCTGGTCTGCATTTCGGATCACGTGGGGGCTTGGCCGCCGTTGGCTAGAGGGGCAGCTTGCGTCATTCGCGGCAGCTAGTTGACTTATAAATAACTTATTTTGACGGTCCACCGAGATCCAATTCGAATCCGGACCAGGAAGCAGCTTATGCGAGTCCTCCTGACCAGTGACCAGTGACCGGTGACCAGTGACCATTGACCAGTGTCCGAGCACGCGTATGAGTTGTACGGTGGGCTCATGCGTGGCCCAGACGCCCGACTCCCGACCACGATGACCAGCAAGCAGCGAGCGGCGAATGGAACCAGTTGAGCCTGACCACCACAAGGCAACGTGGCCAGCCGACACTCCAACGCAGCCCCCATACCTTCAACGTCAGCCCGCTCAAGGGCCGGCCACACATGGCTGAGGCTGCTGCGGCCAGCTGAGCTGAACCAGACATGCCCCCTCATGCCGTCGCCTTGGAGGACAACCCAACGCAACACATGCGTTGTTGACCTTTGTCCGCCATGGGCCTGTGTGAATACTGCACCAAGCTTCCTGCCAAGCTCTTTAGTTCCCGCCGGAACGAGCAGAGCGACTACGACCACCAGCCGACATTAAGTGCTCTCGGGACCTCCGCCACGGGGGGTTGTCGCGGCTGCCATCTCATCCTCCATGCCGTGGAAAGCAGCCAATCTGAGCACGCTGCGCAGTATGCGTTGCCGAGAACTTGGAAGCCAGACGATCGGGTGCGCCTGAGCAGCACCAAGTTCGGATGGCAGGTCGTGCGCGTTGGATGGACTGAGGCTGGACACTTTCGAGGCTTTGCGATACCTTCAGACTGGAGTATGCGCCCTGGATCTGTCCCTCTTCCTCTCCCCCTCCCCACCGCCACAAACCAAAGAAGACAAGAAAAGACAAGACAAGAAAAGACAAGACAAGACAAGATAAGACAAGAAAAGAAAAGAAAAGAAAAGAAAAAGGAAGCATAGAAAAGGGAAGACACGAAAGAGAAGAAAAGCCTTGCGGCTAACGCATGGTGCTAGAAGACTGGGACGCTCTGCAGTCGCCCTCATTTCGCGGCGCGGGACGAGATGATGGTTCTGTTCGCCACCTCGTGTACGAATCTCGTCTAATACAACGTTGGTCAAGGGATTGTTTGGCAAATCACAAAGACTGCCACCACCGCAGTAGGACCGGTTTTCTCCCGACTCGGCTCATCAACGTGGGAACAGAGGCTGGTCCAAGGCTCACTCTGGTCTTGAGTGCGGAAATCGAAACCGCAGACAAGCGGTACATCGCCTTGAGCCATTGCTGGGGCTTGACAATGCCCGAGGCCGGTAAAACAATGGTCAAGACGCTGAATGACCATCTGGCTTCCATCGCCGAGGACAGGCTGCCTCGTAGCTTTCGGGACTTTGTCCAAAACACGCGTCGTCTCGGCGTGCCATATGTCTGGATCGACTCGCTGTGCATCGTGCAAGATTCGCGAGAGGATTGGGAGAGGGAAGCGGCGCAGATGGCCGACGTCTACTCAAACGCCCATCTCACCATGGCTGCGTCGGGCTCTGCAGACGGCCGAGGGGGTTGCCAAGTAGCAGACCACGTGCGATCATACGGTCCCGTCGACATTGAGTGTCGAGTCAATGTCGACGCCACCGCCCCGGCACGAGATTCGACAGCAGCAACAATAGCCTTCCGGCTCTGGAGCCGGGACACGTACCCCGTCGGACAGATTCTGGGCATCGACCCTTTGACGAAGCGAGGATGGTCTCTCCAAGAGAGGGAACTCTCACCTCGGGTTGTCCATTACTGTAGGGATACCATCCGCTGGGAGTGTCGCGAGTCAAGAGCAACAATCGAGTTCCCCTGGTGTGACGCGGCCTCCTTCGACGTCGGACGCTTGTTGGACGGTGCATCTTTCACCAGGCCGACACTCATTGGCGTGCCCAACGTCAGCTCAAAACCATTGAGCTTTGTCACGAAACAGAGGCTATCCTGGTTCGAGCTCGTCGACCGCTACACCAGCCGTGCCCTCACCAAACAAACAGACATACTCCCCGCCTTCTCCGGCATCGCCAGGTCTATCGCCGCCACCACCTCCGACGAGTACTTGGCCGGGCTTTGGAAGTCCTACTTTGGACATTGTCTGCTGTGGGCGAGCAACTGGCACGTCGGCCGCGGGTTCAGACAGCACAGTCGTCCGGCCGACCACCTCGCACCGAGCTGGTCGTGGGCTTCGGTCAAGGGCCCGATCCATTATCTGTCGTGGATCAATGGCTACTGGCACAGTTTCAATGCCGACCCAGATCCCGCATACGTGCCGCGACTTGTCGACATCTCGCTGCAGCCGTCTTCAGATCCATACGGAGCGCTTCGAGCCGCGACGCTCCGAATCGAGGGCAGAGTCGCCATGGCCATTTGCAAACAGGAAGCTTATGCGGCGCCAAAGGATCATCTCAACATGACCTTTACCGCCGGGCATCAAGATCGACAGCTTCTTGTCGGAATCAGCGGGGGTAAATTCGAAAAGGTCGGCGATATTCGTTACGACGTCCCGCTCTGTCCTGATTGTTCGCCAATTGGTAGACTCGCACTGCTTTGGCTTCTATGCTGTATGAATAGCGAGAGGACTTCTGAAGGGAAAGTGAGTACATTTGCCATTGCTCTTCAAGGAGATGACGACGACGACGATGATAATGCGCGAGGACGGACGGCAATATCTCCTTTAGTGCCGACTCGCTTTCGAAGAGTTGGGGTAGCTTGGGGAATCGACCCTTTATTCTGGAACAAGGCGGTGACTGCCACTCTGACGATAGTATAACGATTCCAAAGGAAGGCGTGCGCAGTTTTTTTCTATTCAACGTCCACAGTACACTTCTGAATGTGCACATTCCGTTTCAGTGGTTGACAGACATATCGTGGATCATCGTTCACATCGTCTTCTTCCCAGTGGCTCGCCTGCCACAGCTTCCTCGTGGCGCCGATGCCCCTGTGATCCTACAGTTCTTCAGAAAACAACAGGTTTTCAAATCATGAGAAGCCCGAGTTTACATGAATTGGGCGCGTCAAAATACAACAAGGGGAACCCAGGTATCGAATCAGCGCGAAGGGTCATGAATCATCAATCCCTACCTTTCTGACCTCCTCCGTCATTGCATTGTCTTGTCCTTGAATTTAGGTCTTTGAGAAACCGAACGCAACGAGCCAAAATACATTGTGTGCATGGAGATGATACAAGTTTCAACGGTTGCGTATAGCCACGCCAAAAGGCTCATCGGCCCAAAAATAGACATTGGTATTACTGATACAGCGAGATGACCTAAACTCCGTTAGTAGTGCACGACGCTGTCAAGAAGCCAACGATTCCGGCGACCTACCGAAAATAATTGGTCGTCGTGTGATGGTCTGCCAGAATTCGTCGGACGTGAACAAGTCAAAGGCGCCATCCCACTTCCACGGTCCTTTTAAGCGGAACTTCGTGTTGAGGTGAGCGCCAAAGATCCAAATGATGACAAGTTTGCACCACGATATCGCCTGTCTCCATGAGAATAGCCTGATAATGTCGAGTATTCCTGGCGCCGAGTCCATGTCGAGAGCTAGCTGGTATGCGTAGCTTTCATGGTCAACCCCGTACTGGATTCTGGCACCGGGAAGGGGTCGAAGCTTGTAGTGATGCTCATCCTCGGGGAGCAAAGGCCGCGGGATGCGCCGGGGGCACAAGAGATTGGTAACCCAGAGCTGGGCTTGCATCTCTGCAAGCGGCGGAATGGCACCGAGCGATGGGCGAACGAACCCGATGAAGCCGACCGTTGGGTCGTTGCGCTTCCATATCTGGCGTACATCCGCGCGGTCAGGGGTCGGATACGGGATATCAGTCCCGTTGGGAGACGTGTTGAGAAACGGGAAACTCTGTTTGTATCCTGTACACAGGACGACCATGTCTGGCTGGATACGCTGTCCTTTCATACGACGATATTCGGGACGCCCGTTGTTGATGAATTGCACGGTTCCATATTTGTCGAATTGTAGAGGGAATGGCGCGAGATCTACGCATCTGCCGCGCGTGTCGGGAATTGGTGTTTGCACAAAGAACGAACGCAGGGAGTACAGCCACAGAGCGGGCCCAGGGACTTTGGGCCTATATGGCTCACTGAGATAATGGCACACCTTGATGGACTTGTTGAAGAAGACTAGGACGTAATACCCGTCAGCGAATTCCGCCTCAATGGTGCGGGAGACAGGGGCGGATGGATGATGGGTGGACGTACGCCTTGATGGGTGGTCTCTCTCACGGCCGACACCACCGATCCACTGGTCCATTCCCAACGTGGTACCAGAGGAAATGAAGAGAAGGGATTTGATATAAATGTTGTAATACTCCCAGAGGAGCGTGTCGTTTCGCCGAAGCATGTTGTGGACATATGTAGTGTCAAACATGTTGGCCCGGCTGATATCAATGGGAATACCCGGCTCGTTGGGATTCGGCTTGCGAAGACACGGCAATATGACCGGACCGGGGTTTCTCTGCCACGCGAGTTAGCTGATCAGTTTCCGACACGACGGGTTGCCAGCTGACCTTTGGTGCAAAGTGGAATCCATCCCTGTGGCACAAGATGACTCTCTCAACGTTGGGAGTGGTGACGGCGAGGTAGGAAATATCTGCCCCAGTCTCGCCAGAGCCGACAATCATGACAGTTTTGCTAGAGCTGAACTGCTTCCGGGCTTTGAACTCGGACGAGTGTATGACCTGGGGCACGTTTTGGAGCCCCCTGATGTCGGGGATATTGGGCTCAACGTGTAAGCCCGAGCACGCCGCGACGGCGTCGCAGTCCCAGTCAAGGCGGTGACCAGTTTTCGTTTCATATATGACGGTGTGGCCTTGGCCACGACGCTTGACAGCCACGACGCGGGTATCAAGATTGATATGAGGCCACAAGTCAAAGTGGGTGCAATAGCCCTCCAAGTAGTCGACATAATCGGTGGCGCTGAGGAAGTCGGGCCCCTGTGGCCGGCGAAAGTCGGAAAAGGTGGTGAGTTGCCTCGAAGACACTAGCTGCGGCAAGATTCAATGTTAACCAGACATGACACGATGCTCTCGGTGGCCCCTGGACCGTGGACCGTGGACCGTGGACCGTGGACCGTGGATCGTGGAAAGGACTCTCACCTCGGCGTCCTCGTACACTCTGGTCGAGAAGGTCCCCCCAACTTGAGACTGATATTCAAAGAGACGGGCCTCGACGGGCTTACAGGCCAGGAACTCGTGGGCTCGGGTCAGGTACTTGAGAGTAACGAGTCCTGAAGGGCCTCCTCCAATGATGGCCACCTTCAAGACAGGATGCCGACGTCGATGCTCGGATTCCGCCACCATGGTCGTGGTTCATGTGTATACAGGCTGGTTGGTGTAGGCTGTCCCGGCTCGCATGTCCATGGACCATGACATGAATACGTATAGACCGTACACTTATATAGGTAGGCAGACCGGGCTTGCCCCGAGGGACAAGATTTTCGGCCATTGACCTCTGTCGTGCATCTTGTCACCGCAACCAGCAGTCCTGGGTCGAGTTGGCCTGTTATCCACCAGACTGACCACTCTTGGGAGCGGACACAACACATTTACATCTCCCGATGCAGAGCGATGCGGGCGCCATTGATGCAACGCCCATCGGTACAAACACACCACGCGTTGCATGGACATGTGTCTCAGAGCCAAGTTGGCTGCAAAGGCGGACGTACATGATGTGACTAGTATGAATGCCTTTGACGGGGCCCAACGCTGCCGGCGAAGTCTCTCGTGGCGAGAACGGCCAATGAGACGCAATCAACCAGCAGCCAAGAAACTCAGACAAGCCTAATTCCAAGTACTCGGTACGGAGCACGGAGCACACTACTCCGGAGCCCGTACGGAGTACTTGCCCTTATAAACGCTTATACCCAGGTACCCGGGTCAGGCAGGGCAAGCGCAGGCAGCGCAGGCCATACTTTGATGGTTGCCTCAATGCCAAGGCGGCATCCTGGGCTTCACAAAACAAGGACAGAAGCAACTCGAGTGCCCGACGGCCGTCCTTGGTCTTCCTCGAGCAACCGACGTCGACGTCGATACAACCTACAGGCAGCACGCCCTTGGCCGCGGTCGAAAACGACGTCCAGCACCGACCTAGCGGCGAGCACGATATATCCCCCCGATGCGCCCCCACAAACCAAGTTCTCGTTGGGAGGTTACCGAGGGTCGGGCTAAGACACTGCCGGCATCTGTCAAGGCCGCCTTGTGCGACTTCATCACGTCCGCCCCCGACTCCTGGTCTGCAGCTCAGCTGCCTGCGGAGAGGACGGGGGTCAGCTCCAAGTCCCCCCAAGGCCAATAAATGCCTCAATCGCCCATTTGTTGGTTCTGTTCAAGTTCCCGGTAGTTTGGTTCGCTATTGTCTGTGATGCTGCTTTTTGGCTGCAAGCCACCGTCACAATGGACGACATAAGACCCGTTCAATATCAATATAAAACATCAGACATCCATTGGAGAGCCTTGCCCACCGAAACGGGGCTTGGACACGCCGGACCACGCGATTGGTATTGTTCGAGACGTATCGAACCCCAGGCGAATAAACTCCAGGGTGTAGAAGCGGAGCGTCTTCAAGGAAACACACTAAGCTGGGAGCGTTTCTACTGAAGTTGGCTGCGCTATTCAAGGTTGCTTCATGACAAGGAGCGGATGGCGAACCGGAGGCTTCTCAAGTCTCCTCCCTTGACCCCCTGCGGCGCTCTTCATTTTCGTTTTCGCCAAGAGCGCGAGAAGAGAAAAGCAAAAAAAAGGCCATCGCGAGCCCTATGCGGCGAAAAACAGAACAGGGGGAGACGCTCATTGCGTTGGAGTTGGCGGCTGCTAACTGAGCTAACATCAGAGCTGAAAGCCATCGATTTTCCTGGTTCAATTCGGAAGGAGAAAAAAACCTGCTCAAGCTTGGGGAGATGTCGACTGAATCCAGAGCGTGAGAGAAATATCTCGCCAAGGGAGTCGCTGTACGTTGAGCTGCAGGGCGCTCATGGAAACAATCCTTCGTCGTCGTCGTCGTCGTCGTCATCGTCGTGTCGCCGCCGTCGCCGCCGTCGCCATCGTGATGCAAATGCCCAGCACGAACCACCTCAGCACCGACACTTTTGGCATCAATGATTTTCAAAAATGAGAAAAAAAGCAAATACCTTATTACCATGGGGAGCTTAATAGCAGGCGCACTTGGCAATGCCGTGCCAAGCAACATCGGCAGGATCCCGCATCCCACAATATGTACACTCGCTTTTGTTAGACTGCGTTCCTACTGTACGGCACGGGGTACATATCCATCCAACTCCACCGGAATACCTCTCATCATCCACAATGGCGGCCTTGTCCATGGCTTACGGGCTTGCATGATCGATCACGCTGTGGGGTTGCGCCGTGCCGTCTTGGAGAAATCGTGGTGTGACGTGGCGGCGCCGAGACTCGACAGGCCGACAAGACGACACTCATTACTCCGTACTATTACGTTCGCTGCTGCGTTCTTACGCCCTGCTGTGCAACCACGCGTGCCAGCAATTTGGAATCTGCTGACGAGTTGTTGCTTGACGCCACCGATGCAACCTGCTGCCCTGGGATGCCGCCGTCAATCCCTGGCTGCTCAAACAATAAACCTTCGCGCTCTCGAGATGATGGTGGGCAAGCAAAGTAAGGAATCGCCCCAGAGCCCGTCAGCACTTGTGGGTTTTGAACAAGTCTGGTGTGTAAGATTGTCAAGAAAAAAAAAGTGACTCGGAGAGTCATGGTGGTCGTTACTCTGGAGTTTGCTAACTATTTACAAGGAGAGTATTGTCCAAACATATACAAAAATGTGAAAAGAAAAGGGGAAAAAAACAAAGAGAATGAGCAAGTCTGGTATGGTACTGTTACATCATGACTTCAGTGCCAAAGGATAACACTTGGACACTTCGCCTCCCGTCACCGAGTGCATCAAATCCCTCCTCCTCAACATATCCAGGCCCGTGGTTGCGTCCTTGACCACAAACACTTTGGATGCAGTCTTGTCAACAAAGTCGCAGACCACGGGGAAGAAGACGTTCTCCGCGTCATCTGCTACGACGTAAAAGTCGTCGCCGTCGGGGTTTGGGAAGGGTACCAGTGCCACGGTGACGGCAGTCCGTGGCACTTCAGCAGCGCCGCCGGCCCGGAGACGCGAGACGCCGAGCGTGGACATTGTCTCGCTGTAGTAGTGGAGTGATCGGTGCACAGCGTCCTGGACGACTTGGGCTTGAACCGTTGTGTTCCAGAGCCCGGAACAATAGCCATTGTCCTGGTTGTCGTTGCGGACTGCGTAGATGTTGCCGTTGGCGCAGGAAACAATCCTTGTCGAGCCACTCGGGTCCACGAGCGGCGAGAGCCCGTGGTAACTCGGACTATTGTTGTACAGCTTGGTAGGGACGGATTCCACGTTATACTTCGGTGACTTTGACCCGCTGCCAGGCTGCGTCGTCTTGTTTGTGGCCTGGACGTGGCGCCGGTCTCGCGCGATTCGCATGGGACGCGTTCCGTCGACGAGCGCTCGTCGTGCTGGCTTGTTGTCGTTGCTGCTGCTGCGAAGTAAGTGTTAGTGAGACTTGCTGTAGGGAGGGAAAAGACAAGGACTCGTCATGGACAGACTCACCCAATGCATCCCCTGAACAAGGCTCTATCCTTGGTATCCAACAAGGGAGCATCGTCAGCTTCAACCAGTCCGGCCCAGAGCCTGTTGCGCCAGCTGAGTTGAGTCACGATTCCTCGACAGCCTTCGCTGTCCCCCAATCCGGCCACAATGTTTCCAGTGTCCGTCAGATTAGCAGATACAGCAGCTTTGGCGAGGCCCTTGATCGAAGGCTCGTCGACAACGCCGACAGCCTTTTCAAAGGACGAAATCTTCAGCCCACACTTGAGGCCGACGGGCAGCCCGAACTCCGCGGAGACCTCGACTTCGCCGGATGCCTCAAAGACGGGCTTGAAGTACGGCTCCCAGCCGGTGTTCCTGTTCTCATTGGGGTTGACGAGATCTATGACAACCAGCGAGTCCTGGAAGCCCATCTCGGCCCCCACCAAGACCTGGCCTCGCGCGGCCGCCTCGAGAACCACACGAGCGCCGACAGAGACATAGGGCCCGATGGTGACAACTCCAAAGGACAGGCCCGGGAGCCCGTAGCTGAAGAGATCATAATCATAGTTTTGGCGGAGCGACATCTCGGCCTCGATGCCAAGCTTGAGAATGACCTGCAAATTGGCCTGCAATTCAAGTCGGCCCTCCTCAAGCCCGGAGAGCGGCGACCATTTTGCTCTGCCAGTGACTTTCGCATGGCCAGAAGCACCGCATCCGACACAGTAGACATTTATGTATTTCCTGTCACTGCCGCCGCGGGCTGCACCTGGGGATCCGAGTGATTTGAGAAGAATCGCCTCGCCCCATGGTGACTCGGCCTGCGTCAGCCCACTCAAAAGGGCCTTGGCCCCCGTGTTGGAAGACTCTGGATCCGGTACGTGGAACGAAATGTCACCGTCAATCTCGCCCCCGATGTTGATGGCACTTGCGACGGCGTGATAGACCGTCTTGGACGCATCCTTGACAAAGTCCCATGCCTTGGACCAGAAGCCTCGTTGCGCAAGAGACCGGCGGCGCATACGCTGAGCAAGAGCCGACAGAGTAGTGTTGGAGCCGGACGAAAGGCTATCGAGGAACTGTCTGGCCTCTGGGCTCAGCTTGGCATACCCCAACTTCTCGTCCAGAATCCGGTCAAAGTTGCTCCCCAGACATGCGGTGGGCAGCCCATGGGCGTCGTCGCTTGGAGCCGTGCAGTCGAGCTGTCCCAGCGGCGTCTTGGGGGCAGACGAGGCGGAAGCAGATGCGGAAGATGCAGAAGTCTGGGCCTTTTCCTTGCTGGCATCCCACCAGCCCCATTCCGCCTCGTAGAGATGGGCGACTTGGTCAGGGTGTACAGGGTCTCCCTTTGCCGCAATCACCAACTTTTCAGGCTTGTATTCGATGTCAGTCACGTTGAAATAACACCGTTCTCCCTTGGCGTACTCGCCACAGCCTGGCGTATACGCAATCAAGAGCAAACCGCTGCTCGTGGTCCAGGTGTCCAACGCGTTCTTGAAGGCCTCTTGGTTGTCAAAGGTCACAGTCATGCCCTGTTGTTCGCGATATTCCACCGCAACATAATCGGAGTGGTCTATGTTGACGGCAGGGGACTTGAAAAACGTCTGGACAAAGGCATAGGAGCCCGACTCGGACGGATCTGCGAGTCTGGTCAGCTCAGACCCGGCTGAAGTACAACCTGGTCGGTAGTCTCACCGGAAACACCATAGTAAAGCTCACAGCCCTTGTCTGGCTCGACTGGCACCACATTCTTCACATCCCTTGTATCGTACGACCAGTGTACAGTCGGAGAGAGCGTCGTTGCTGATGCTCTGTTGACAAAAGTGGCAGTTGGCGACTCTGCTGGGGTCGGCTGCGCGTGAAGGGCATCCTTGGCTGCCGAGCATTCGGCACCAGCAGTCTGAGTGACGATTTCCGTCACCGTCGTCCACACTACGTTTGGGTCAACCTGGCTTTCTGTGGCGTTTGCTGTCGAGTTTCCCAACGAGAAGCGCGCCCTCTGTGCGACAGCCGGGTGCGCTGCTCCCAGAAAGACGGCGACTGCACACGCTACGGGGAGCATGTTGCAGACGGGGAAAGGGGGCGAGCAAGTTCAAGAGGTGACGGGACAAGGGAAAGGTGATGATACTGCCGTACCAAGTCGAGAGAAGCGTGAGTCAACAGTTTCGAACATGGCATTGAGCGAGGAACCACGACACATTTATCCTGTTGGAAGCCGTCACGTCTCCCATAACTGACGACATTAACGATAGTCGCGACGAAAGCTCATTCTCGCATTTAACCCCCTATGCTCGACTATATTCACCTGCAAAGAAGTGAACGATACCAGGTTATAGAGAGGATTCACCGTAGTCAGATGAGTTGTGCTCCCGGTCTATATCATACACCCCAGCAATACATGATGAAGAGGGGTCGACAACTATCGGGCCGGAGATGATCTTCAACGACAAAGGGCCCTACGTCCTACTGTGAGGCTGGCCAAGCGAAATTACTCGACTGCTTCTTTTCTACCAGTATAACGAAATGACGGGCATTCCATATCCACCCGCATCGTCTTGTTGACGGTGGCGTCGGGGCACTCAGTGTAACGTCGCAAGTGTCACAAACTTGAAGGGTCCAAATGCCATCATCAACATTTGCATCATCCATGCATGCTCTCTGCAACTGGTCCAAGCTGGCTCCGTCGGCTGTCGCTAATTAACTCCCCTCCCCCCTTCTTGTCGAGTCAGGACAGGGGCGGCTACCGAGGCCAAGACCCGGGGGGCAGGCTGATAGTACGTGATAGTACTACTATATCCACAGAGTCTATAAGCAGTCGACATGGATACTATTACCCAGTTGGGGCTGGCGCAAACGGTGGCCGGCACGAAATCCGAGTCATCATCATTATCAGACGAACCATGGTTGCTTCCCCCTGTCGGTAGTTACTACTCGTGCATTTGAGACCTCGTACCCGTCGTCAACGGCGCAGGTACGTACGTACTACGGACCGTTCAAGTGGGAAAGGGAGGAGCCGTGGCAGCCTTGGGCCCTTGGTCATGGGCTCATCTTCGTCTGATGTCGCGGGGACGCGATAGCCGGGTCCGGCAACCCAGTGGTCGGGGTCAACTTGGTCCTGACGCATAGTTGCGCTTTGCTTGTTGCGCGTGGAACTTTGTCCCTGCTTTGGTAGGGAGCAAGCCTGAGACGGTAACCCAGAACAGGTCTCTCCCCCTTCTCACTCCCTCTCTCGCGCTCTCCCACGCGGCATGCTGCAAGCAAGATGCAAGATGCAAGATGCAAGACGCACGACGCAGGGTCGACGTACATACGAGCGAGCGAGCGAGCGAGCACACGCGCCGCCCATCTTGCGAGCCGCCAGGCAGGAGGTCCTATGTAATGGCTAGCCTATGGTGGCAGTTGGTAGGCTCGCAGAGTAAGAGTCGCTGCACAAGTTTCTTGCCGCCATTTTGCGGCCTGGCCCTTTTGCCCGACCTTTTGCCCGAGGACCCAGGCGCAATTCTTGGCCGTTTCGCTTCCGGTGGCTCGGGAGGCTGGATCATGATAGGATGAATACTAGTAATACCGTCTCCGCTAGATGACGACTACTGGCAGGCAGGTTGCTCAGGGTGCGCATGATAGGGTAACGGAAACATATACGCCATCCCGTTAGCACTGGTTTCTCAAGAGTCAACGGCCATCCGCACTTGCAACCGTGAAACCATGATGCTGCTCTTGCTCTTTGCCCACTGCTCTCTCCACCTCCGATGCTACTACGTAGCTCGTGGTACTGCCACAGCCATGTAGCTGTCCTGTGGGGGTTCCTGGGGTAAGTTGCATTTGCGGGTTGTCTTGACTCTCGAGCAAGCCCACACGGCAAGTTGGAGATTGGGAAGCTGGGGCAGTACGGGATCAAGATGTTGTCAAACACGCTCTAAAACAGGAACCACAATCCCCAGCCAGAACGATTGGTTGGGACGCGGACGCCCGTGTCGCCTGTGTATGTCAGTCGAGGCTCGAGGTCGTGGTGGCGAGGGCGAGACAAATGGATTGCATGGTGACTTGCAGCACACGGCAACCCGGAAGTCGGAGGATCTCTTACCATGGCCACATACATGGCTTTTGCAACTTGGGCTCTTTGTTGTTTCAGCATCGAGGCCTTGGCGGTTCCCCTCGAAGGATGATGGAGACGAATGTCTGCTGTCCGGTCATGGACACGAGGACACGAGGATTCAGGGCCTCATGGCATGGCCATCCGGGGGTCGCTTCCCCACGTGCTGCCGCCACGTAATAGTGGAGAGGAAGGTTCACACCAAGGATTTACTCCAGGCTCCAGGAATGGCCAGACTCGATTCCGTTAAGCAATGGCTGCAGGTACGGAGTACTGTTCTGTGATACATGGTAGGTGGACGTGGCGTTGCATTCCAACTGCAACCCCTGAGTTAAGCGCCACCCGTCAGCCAACGGGATGCTGCCCACGGGACGGGGGGAGGAAGGGCTGGCACTAACAGCGATGCTCAGAATTTGTCTGGCGGACTGCTAGCCAACATGACAAGCGAGGTCGTGTAAGTTTGCGAGCCGCTCTGCAACAAGTCGAAGCGCTTGTAGATCCCCATTTGCTCACCATCAGAGCCATGTCCCATTGGCTCTGTAGCCTTCAATCTTTGTCACGGTTGGCTCATGATTCAGGGGTTGGGGAGTAGACAGCTAGCCACGCCCAGCGACTCCATATCCGCGTTTCGCAGTCTCTCTGCAATACCACCCACGTACTCCGTACTTTGCAAGAAGACATCGTATGTAGGGTAGCAATATCGTGGTGTTGTCAGCGGAAAGGAAGACGAGGAGGCGGATGGGGGGGGGGAAACTAAACAAAAAGAAAAAAAAGGGGGATTGACACAACATCACAGGCGCCAGTCGCCGTGACGCATGTCGATTGGCAAAAAGCATGTCCCCAAGGCATTCCAAGTCCCATGTCATCTTGACGCTCAAGGTTCAAAGCCCAGGTCGCATCTGGCACGTGTCGTGCGTGGTTCCTCTTGTAGCAACCTCGCGGGCAGCACGTAACGAAACTCGAGATCCTATACACAGGCAGACGTCGCCGCCAGTCAACCCGTCGCGTCACGTCACAGACGTGGCCGTTTGAGAAATCAGGAATGTCTCAGGCTGGCCCCCGACCCTGGCAGAGGGATCGAGTTGCAGAGATCGGACGGAACCCATGCTGAGACGAGCGTTTCTCGGAACGCCGTTTCCAACCCACTCGACTCCGGCAAGACATTGTCTCTTGCCTCTCCCTGCCGCCACTCGCACTCGACTGCCCTCTTCACGCGCAGCTGCATGCGTGGCATCCTCGGCCATGCATTTGACCAGATACGTCTGGATGAAATACTCCGATACTCCGTACTCGCGCAGTCTGCGTCGGAATGGTGCGTCCGTCGACCGCTGGCCGGGCAACATCCTTTTGCCCGTTTTTAAAATTACATGATCTGGAACCAACAGGCGACTAGCCGTTGGACCCAACGTCATGTGAATCTCGCAAGAGGCGGCCCCTGCATTCGTCGCCTCTTGGCCGCTGGTCCGTTGACGCAAATGTCTTAGCAGAGCCTCGTCGTCGTCTTCGGTGGATCCACAAGGCTGACGAGACGGCCATTCTCTCTCTTGTCTGCCTTTCCTGAACCTATTTCCCCCCTTGCCTTCAACCTTGACGCCGGCAGACGTGGGATGGAAATTCTTGCCGCTGTCCCGCCTGTGGCTTGTTTGGGTCGGCCAGTTTGAGGCTCTGTGTACTACTTGCCCGGCCGCCTTGGCGCAATGCGTCAATTGTCAATTGTCTTGGAAAGCGGAAAGGCTTACACGCCGTGAAACAGCTCAGCTTGATAAGTCGGGATCCGGGGTGGTAGTGAGAACGAACCCGTTGGACGGTGGCGAAAAAAAAAAAAAAAGTCCAAGGGCGAGGAAAAAAAAACTAAAAAAAAATGGAAGCGCTCCCCCCCTCCCCCCCCTTTCGTTCCCGAACGAGAATAGGAGTGAAAGATTCAACTTACAGGCAAAGGGAAGGAGCGCTTGGCATCACGTAGTTCCAGCTGAACAGGAAAAAAAGACGCCCTCTGCACCACCGACTCTGACCGAATTTTCTCATCTTCTCATCGCTCTCAGCTCATCGCCGTCAACCTCGCAGTCGTTGACGGCCAACCAACCATGCTTGGGCAAATGGACTTGCAAGTCGACGTGTTCTCAAGTGACTCCCGGGCTCGTTCGTCCGGGTCTCTCTCAAAGCGACAAGACATTCGAAATCTCTCTTGCAGCAGCATGGTCTCTTCTGCACCGTAGCGCGCGAGATTGGCACTCTCGGAAACACGGTTGATGTGCAGTTCGACACCGCTTCAAATGCTCCCATGGGCTTTGCGTGAATCGCTACTGCGCAAAGGCCAATGTGCCGGCCAACTGCGTCAAGGTCGGACGACTCCAAGACCTGTCATTCGCCTTGAAAGGCCTCGGCCAGTCCTCTAACATGACGTATGGCTGGCGCCTTTGTGCAGGTTGAATCTGCCAAGCTGACGACGCCCAAGACTTGGACTTGGACTTGGACTTGTCAAAGACGGCAGCTTCGCGATAACTGATATCGTTCATGTCGGCCCTTCCCAGCGCGGCATCGGCCACCGCGTTGAGTTTGCTGTCAACTCCCTCCGCAAGCAAGGCTTTGTGGAGTGCACAGTCTTGGCGCCCATCTTCGGGATAAGGATTCTGCCCGGCTCGGCGGCGTCTGGCCCCTTGAGGCCGCAAGGTTTTCCCGACGGCGTTTCTTGCTGCTGGATCAACCTCGATAGTATCCCACAGAAAGCCAACAACAAGACATCCGCCCTCATCCTCCGAAGCCTTCCTGGTGTTTCGGAAAAGCGGCAGGACCCTCTCGGACTCGAGCTCTTCTGTTGTGCAACAACTTGTGAAGGATCCCCGGCCCCAAGCGTGACGAGGATGCCAACGACCTGGCCGACTGCTGCTGAGAAACCAGTAATTCCTCTCATGGTTAAGTGGTTGAACGAGGCCAGTCTCTTGTCAGCAGCAGCCCTGGTCCTCGCGAATCCGCCCAGTCGGTCTCGACGAGGACGAGTTCTGTTCTGCTCAGGAGAGCGCAACCTCCGCCAAGACGCAGATCATACATACTATACATACATTACGTACCGCCGCCCAGTCTCTTGTCTCGCCGGCACGTCCCGCAGCCCGTCTTGGCGCGCAGAACCACCAGTCGACCCCATCCTTGCTCGTCTTGGCGTGAACTCGTCACACTCACCGTCAAAGTCGCACGTTCGCTCCATCCGCGTCGTCGTATTGCCCGTCTGCGATGCTTGCGCGCCTGCCCGTGTGTGCGAGCGCCTACTCAGCAACCCGTCACTCACATACACATCTCCGGCAGCAGCCTTTGCGGAGCGGCTTCCAAAGGAGAGCCAGCGCAACGCACACGGGGACTGTATGCAGAGGAAGACAAAAGTAGTAGACCCAGGACAGAAAAAAGGAAACAAAAAAAACCCAACAGAAAAAGTCAGTGGGTTCGTCTCGCACATGGGTCAAGGTCCATAAATAAAAAGGGCCCATGGACCCTGGCTCATGAAACGTCAACGTCAAGCGCCTGGTCTAGTCGGCCAAACGACATCCATCACATCGGGGGGGGGAGCAACTGCAAAAGCACTTTGTGCACGATGGAATCGCAAACCCGAGGCGCTGAATACGCAAGACACGCCCCTGGGGAAGGGAGAGGGGGATGAATGCCCACACAGACAAGCCAAGCTACTCCGTAGTCGTGCAAAATATACATACAACTTGGCGCCACCGTCAAACCAAATGCACCCGCCTCGTTTCCACGGGCGAACCTCAACATTGGACTCCAGTGAAGCAGCATCTACCCATACCACGGGACCCTTGACCTCGGGCCAGCCGTGCTTTGCGACACGCAAGGGGAAATTTCAAAGCATCGAACTGGCCCTCGATCCTCGACGCCTTGTGCCTTACGCGCCGCTCCTCCTCTGGCAGCAGCCTGCGCTCGACGGCCGGACGCGGCCGGGAGGACGTTCCATATTTCGCTTTCGGCGCTGGAGGCGACACGCGGGACTTTGCCGTGCTGGCTCCTTTCTTTGACTGCTACGCAACCTTGGGAGGCATTGAGCATGCACGGGTCGAGAAATGAAGCCGTGCGTGGAGTGGAGGGTGGATTTGCATGGAGCGCCATCCATTGCGAAATACTATTCTAATTGCTATCATTCATGTATTGAATACTGATTAGTGCTACCACCACCGGTCGGGACTCATGTCCAACGTCCACGCCGTGTGTGTGTGTGTGTGTGTGTGTGTGTGTTCATCCCCTACACCATAATGCTATGCCCTTTTAACCTTTTTGGCACGACGTTATCAACCCTTGCGAGTATGCAAGCCTTGTCCGCAAGAAAAAGTCATCCACAAAATCCACATGCGACCCGCGTAATGCATCATGGTCCCATCAATCGTTTGCACCGTGTCGTCGGCGTCGTCGCTTATTCATCATGACAGTTCTTATGTTGATCGGTTCTTACGGTCACTACGCAACAATTTGGTCAATCCAAGGGGTAGGAAGAGTAAGGGGGAGAGTAGGGGGAGAGTAGGGGGAGAGTAGGGGGGAGGAGGTTAAAAACACTTACGTGCTCAGTCTCCGAGAAAGCTGGTGCAACTTCTTGTCATTATCAGCGTCCTGGGCCGCCTTTTGCAGTGCCGTGGCCCGCTCCTCCTCCTGGTGCTTCACGACTTCTTCGTGGCTGGGTGGCAGGCGTTCGTTTTGCAAGTCAACCTTTCTCGCATCCTCAAACGAGCTTATCGCATTCTTAATGCCTTCAGCGCCGAGCATGAGTGTGCCAGCGGGCAGTCTGCCTCCGGAAACGGTCTTGAGCTCCGTGACTTTCTCCGACTCCTCTCGAAGCACCTGGAAGACGCGTGACATGCGACCAATGGCCAGGATCTTGTTCTTGATCGCTCTTCGCTTAAACTCGATCGAGTTGGGGTCGTCGCCGACTTGGGAGGTTGTTGGCGAGTGTGGGCTGGTCGAGGATGGTGTCTCCTCCTTGAGCTCTTCTTCGGAGCACGTGCTGAGAATGGCAATCAACATGTCTGTGATCTTCTCGCCTACGAATGGCAGAGACCATGTGAAGACGTCCATAAAGTTGGGCAGCCAGTAAGGGTGAGGGGTGCAGTTGAACTGCCGGATGTTCATGACGTTGTTTTCGTATTTGAGCACCGCGGCCTTGTTGTTGTACACGTCCAGGTAGTTGGGAGCAGAGAAGATGGTCATGACGCTGGGGAAGCCGGTAGTACGCGTCTTTCGATACATGCGGTACCCGGCGTCTTGAGCCTCGTGCGCTCTGATAATGGACAGCAGGTTGTTTTTCTCGAGGAATGCGCACGCAGCGTGGTATGAAAAGAAGTACGAACAGCCGCGAACGTGGTTGTGCAAGAAGTAGTCGGTCGTCTTTTCCTGGCCAAAATCTTCCAGAGGGTCTGCCCAGAGAATATCGCACATGAGACCTTGTGTGGGAGGTTCTCGGAACCGGTCAATCTGTCAGAGGTCAGCCGCTTGGCAGAGACGCACACATCGGGGGGAGGGCCAAAAAGACCACGGGCAGATACACGCACATTTCTCAAGTCGTCAAGGGTATGCAGTTCAGGGCTTAGGCCACCATGGATGCACAAAAACTGCTTGTTCATCACAGCCGCCAATGGCAAGCTGCAGAACGACTCCATGCAGGCATCGTATACAGCCTCTGAGTACTTGTGCTTGCATTCAAGCTTGAAGGTGAAGTAGTCGGTCAAGTGGCGACACTCGTGGTTTCCTCGGAGCAACCATAGCGTATTGGGGTAGTGAATCTTGAGAGACCACAGATACAGAACGCACTCGATGCTGAAGTATCCTCGGTCGACATAATCACCCAGGAATAGATAGCGGGTCTCGGCTGGGTCGCCGCCGACTTCGAACAGCTTCATCAAATCATAGTACTGGCCGTGAACATCGCCACAGACGGTAATGGGAGCGTCCATCTCGAGGAGGTTGGGCTCGTTCTGCAGGATCTCGGTGCCCTTGCGAAGAATCCAGAGTGCTTGGTCCTCCGTCAGACGGCCCTCGCGATAGAAGTGCTGCTTGAGAAAGGCGATGTCGGGCTTAGAATGAGTGTCGTCTTGGAAAAACTGTTCTTGAGTGGGTTTGGTCATGGCGGGCGCTTGAACATCTGCGTCGTGGCGAAAAAAAAAAAAAAGAGATCAGTCTCGGCTTGTGGCATTTTGGTCGCAACATGTCATGTGCCTCGCATGGCGAGGAGAGAAGGGAGAAAAGGAAAAAAAAAAGGTCAGAGAGGCCAACGAACCTTTGCACACCCTCTCCAGCGTGCTCACTTGCGTGCCATCTTCCATGGTGTGGATGGTGAAGTCGATCTCGGGGACGGGCTTCTTCTCTTGAATGGCCCGAATGGCATTGTCGACTTGCTGGTTGCGGCGCACGTCGGCGTGGGGAGGTCTACTGCCGTGATCCATGGCGAAAGGGAACAACGCGAGGAATGATGAAGGATGAAAAATGCAATTGTAGACAAGGGATGTCGGTATGCAGGAGGCGTGGATGATCAAAGCCAACAAGACCGTGATGGCGGCTGCTGGCGGTGAGGGGTCAACTGGTCGCTGTCGCAGTCGCAGAGCAGCTCGCGCGAGAGGGAAGCCGTCAACGTGGGCGGCGCGACAGAAAAGAAGCTCACGGCCAGCGAGAGGTTCATTCGGCGACGAGGCGAGGTTTTGCCTTGTGCAAGAGCGCGACAAGGACAAAGGAGGTGTTGTGGAGAGTGGACGGGGGATTGATTGATTGTTCTGTTCTGTTCAGGTTTCGTTTGCTCTGGGTTGGTTTGGTTTCAAACGTTTCGTCTGCTGTGGTGGGTGGTGCGGAGGAGACGCGCACAGGCCCACTTGAGCCCGGCCGGCGCGGGGGGGGGAAGGCTGCCGACAAATGATGAGTGTTTGGTCTGTTCAGTGTCCAGTCCAGTGCCCAGTCCAGTGCCCAGTCCAGTGCCCGGTTCAGTCAGTTCAGTGTTCCAGTGCCCCTGAGCCTCTGCGCCCCTGCGCCCCTGCGCCCCTGGGTTCTCTGCTCCGGCCACTGGCAACAGCAGCCAGCCAGCCTGCATTGGCTGCCTACGCACAATCTGGCCATCACTCTGCGTTGGTGGCTTCCGCACATCCAGATCGACCACGCTTTTGCTTCAACTGGGTAGCTATCCCGTTTTGTAATGCATCCGTATATTTTTTTTTGTTTCCTTGTCTTCTTCATTGTCGGAGAATAGAGAGCTCTGCAGATCCATCTTCAATCAGCAGTCTAGAGGACCGTTTCCATCGAGCCTCTTGTGCCAACTTCGCCCGTCCCCGTGAAGCCTCCTCGTTCTACGGCAGAGAGTAACCTCCGTCAACAATCATATCCAAACCAGTTGTATACGATGCCGCATCGCTGGCAAGATACAAGTACGAGCCCTTGAGCTCGCCAACTCTCCCCTCGCGCCTACAGACCCATTGTCAATTAGCAGCATGCCATGTCGCAACTCGATACGGATACTACGACCAAACATACTCACCCCATGGGAATCCTCTTCCCACACTGCTCTTCCGTCTCGGCCGCAGCAGGACCCGAAATCTCGGTTTGGATGTGTCCCGGCGAAACGGTATTGACGCGCGCAAACTCAGTCCACTCCACCGCAAGACTCTTGCAGAAGTGGATGACGGCAGCCTTGGACCCGTTGTACACGGCCTGCAGCTGTGGGACACTCACGATACTCCCGCTCATTGACGCCGTCGCTATAAAGCTGCCGGACATGTACTTCTCCAGGGGCTTGCCATCAATCGTCTTGCCCTCCTTCTTCTGTCGTCGGAAGTGAGCCCCGGCGCTCCTCGCGCACCACATGACTCCGTCGATGTTGACGGCCATGACCTTCTTGGCCGTTTCAACACTGCCGTCGAGGAACGGGCCGTCTTCCCAGGCGATGCCCGAGTTGGCCACGAATATGTCGAGCCGGCCGTTGAATTCGCGGACGATTGTGTCGACGGCTTTGTCGACCGCCTCGGCGGAGATGACGTCAACTTGGTATGCTTTGCCTACACGACCGCCATCGTTGTCAGTCAGTGGTTCTGTTCATTCTGAGCTGTCCAGCTGTGGCGGAACGCATTACACTTGACTCCGTAGGTCTTTTTGATATTCTCTGCCTCCGTGACGGCCTGCTTGTTGCTGTTGTACCATATGGCCACATTGGCACCGGCTTCAGCAAATGCCTGAGCCACTCCGAGGCCAATCCCAGCTCCAGCACCAGACACAATCGCTGTCCGGTCCTTGAGCGACAGCATGGGTAGGACACGATCTCCCTTGGGGATTTCCATGTCGTCGGGCTCAACACCACCGTTCTTCATGTCCGTTGCCGCCTTGCAGTTCCTTGCGCTGGGGGGGTTTCCGACGACCTGAGTGAGTAATTTGAGTACCTCATGTCCAGGGTGTGATTACCCCGACACAGCTCAATCGATGCATGCGACTCGTCTGATTTTGCGTTTCCAACTGGTCATACTTGAGACATTTATTGCGCTGTCCCCTCATTGACCCATCACAGTGCCTCTACATCTCGCCTGCCCGGCTCTCTACTCCGGACAACGCTCTGTCAATCAGGATGTGTGTAGGAACAACGTGTAAGCCCTGATGGTCATCTGTTTTGGTGCGCATTACTCTACGGTCGCCGACTGTTCCGACTGTTCGTGACTCGCGAGCCTATCAAAGATGCGCCGCTGGGCATTGGCGTCATCACAGACAAAGTAGCCCACGTTGCGGTTGCCTCTCCTCTGGAAGTGTGTCCTTGCAGCGCCTTTGCCGCGGACCGCAGTCTGGGCCTGGGTTCGGATCCGGTTTGCTACGACAAATCCTCGCCCGTGAACGTGGGGATTCGGTTGCGAAGCATCCGCATGGGAAAATGGTTCGACTTGGACATCTACTGAGAAGAACTCGGCACAAAAACGGGAGGAAAGGAAAGGAAAGGAAAGGAAAGGAAAGGAAAGGAAAGGGGGGAGGGGGTTTAATCGTTACGGGGCGGGATAAATACGCTTGCGCGTACCAACGAGCAACATAAAGATTGAAATGATATGCGTGGTGCTCATTGATGTCCAGAGTAATAATGTATTTATAAAGCCGTCCGTCTATGTCCACGGCATCGGTAGTCGATCTACGGAACAAGGCACTGCTCAATATGGCGAGCTATTTGAGCTGCATATTTGCTGCAATGACCTCACTGCTGGGGAAGTTGGAGGTCTTCCACCTAGAGATAAAGTCATCGCGGTTGACTGGCGCATCTTTAGCAACGGGAAAGCACTTTGTGAGTCGGCAAGCACTTACTATACCCGCCACAGATACGACGAAGTCCTTCGAAAGCGCTTCGGCCATGGAGAATCCTCCAGTTGTCAAAGACTACACCTATGAATTAGAAACCATACTCATAGCAAACAAGACAGTCGAGTTCAACATACTCAAAACTCGACCCGGCTCAAGCTGGAACCAGTATTCATTATATTTTCGCCGCAAAATGCGGTCCCAATTTCGAGCTGCACTGTACCACTTGTCCACATCCATAGTCGCGGGAACGACTCCTCTGTCGTCATTGTTCCAGCGCACTCGATGAATTCTATAAGGGGACGCTTCAATCACAGGATATGCTCTGTCAGGCGTAATGGCCACGCCTTCGTTTCCGCTTGCATGCCAGGGCAGTCTGACGGCTCGAAGAATCTCGTACGACTCGGGGAATTCTTTCTTCAGCCTATGGGCGGCGTAGAATCCATCCACGAGAAAGGATTTGCCGCCCAAGCTGCCGTCATCATTTAACCTGTTGGGCGGCGGCGTGTGAGACAGCATGTGAAAAGCTTGTAGGCCAGCCGGTTCAGTAAAGTACGTTGTGTCAGTATGCGCCGCGAGGGCTAAGTTGGTGTAAGCCGTATCAGCCTTGGCCAAATCTGGGATGAAATCGTAGAAACCCCCATAATGGGTATTGCGAATGGGACCAATAGCCTCTAGAAGTTCATTCGTAGCCTCGGGTGTCACGGGCGTGTTGGTGACAAAACATAGACCGTAATCATGCTGCAAAAGTTAGCCTAGGCTCATATACCGAATGGTACGACGCACAATCTTTTCGGTCAAGTCAGCCATCCCAGAGCTGTCACCCTTTGCCATGACGCTATCGAATGACACTTCTGGGGGGTTGGATGCTATGGAAGCGTTCCAGAGCGTTTGTTTACTACCGGGATGTTAGTGCTTCCTGTCTAGGACAGTACTTCTCCTTTTTTTTGTTTCATAAGCTTTCAATGGCGGGTAGGACTCACGTCGGGCCTTTTAACTTTTTGTTTTCGACACCACTCAATGCAGTCCGCAGCCACGACCAGGTGTAGCTGCTCTGGTGAGAATCGGACCCTTTCGGCCAGTGGTCAGCGCGGAAGAAGCCAGCAGTTCTATCGACAGAGGCCTACATGTAATTTCAACCGCATCTTGTTTCTGCTGAATGGTTGTGGCGACAATTTTTTCCGATATCTTTTTGAAGTCAGCATCAACCGACACGTCTGGGCAACATAAAGAGAAAATGACATACTCGAAACGTGTCAAAATTTCTCTGCATGGTGTCTTGATTGACACATTTATCACAACGACAGTTGTCGCTGAACCAAGTTAGTTTGAGCTGTCTGTCTGTTCGAACGTTGACTTTTCGTACTAGGACATACCGGAGCCAAAACTGTGATCTTGACATGTTACTGTTAGCTCAACGCACCACCAAGAATTCCAATAAACTTACAATCGCTTCAGACTCGGGCTTCCGCCATCGCTGACCTTGAGGATTAACCCTTTGTCGTCTGATTCCAGAGTCGTAGCATAACCTCGAAAAGCATGCTGCTGTACCAGCGGAGCTCGTCTCGACATTCCCGGGCCTCGACCTGCAACGAGCCTTCAACGAGTCAGTGCCGACAAGCAATGGTCTCCTTCGGAAGCGATGTAATGCTTACCTCCAAGCTCGGATGGCATGACTAGATGAGACAGCCATGTTTAGCTATCTACTGCACACCCCGCCAGTTGCACTGATATTTCAGATGTAGCGAGATAAGCCGTCAGTGGGCGAGGAGAGGTTTTTCTTGATCGAATCGCAGCTACTGAAAGTCAGCTGACTACTCCGTGCAGGGGGAATTGATGGTGCTCCACAGGCAGGCACCTGATTTGGTGGGGCTTGTCCATCGTAGTTGCCCAGTAATATTAAAACTGTATAAAGGTCGTCTATTGGACTGTAATCTCTTCATTTATTACACTCAAATGCCTCCTGATTGCATTGCGGGACGGCCGCGTACCTGCCAAAATACAGAGGAAACTCCGAACATGCTTTCATTTTGCCATCAAAAGGGCTCTGCCTTGTCTCCAATGGCCCAAATTGGACCGGCCAGCTTATGACGGCTAAAAATGTCTATCGCGTCGCGCAAAGACCACTTCGTCCAGTCGGCATCGGCATGGCGGCCATACCATTCGACAGCAAAACCCCAAATTTGCTTGATGGGGCGTACGTCTCCCTTGGGAATCCCTCTGGTGGCACACCATCCGTCCACCTCGGCCTCATTGCGAAACAGTAGCTGGACCGAGCAGGTGTAGATGACGTTGTCCCAGGCATTGCGCATGAGGACTGGAAAGTGTACCACGAAATCCGTGTCCAGCAACCGTCCGTTCTGAACCGTGACGGACACTTCGTCGCCGATAGCGCAAGCCTCGTCTTCAGCGTCGCCGTTCCGCCTGCAAGATGCATCACGCCGAGTGAACACCAGGCACAGGTTCCCCACCATTGGCGATCGCCCGAGGAGACGACGCACGTCGTAGGCGCCGCCGAGAACGGACGGGCAGCCCACACCTCGTCGGTTTGGGGGTGCAGCACAACACCATGGTATGGTAGTCTTCCAAAGCTCGCAGACCTTGCCGCGCCGTGGTCGCATCGCTTTCGAAGCGGGTGGCGATCTCGCTGACGGCGGGAGGACGCTGGTTTTGGAGAAAGGAGCGGATGATGAATTCGTGCAAGCTGGAACGATTCATGATGGCAAGCCCTGCCTACGTCGCCTTCCCATGCTGCGGCGCGGGCCGACTTCAAATGTTGACTCGGATGTATGGAACATTGAATGTCGGAAGACGGCCTGGCCAACATTGTCCCGTAAGGAACTTACCTAAGGTAGTACGTAGTACTAGTACGAAGCTCCCGAGTCCTGCCTGCGTTCCTGAGCACGTGAGACCCTCTGAACCACTGGAGCACAGGGGTCCATCCGTGGCTGAAGGGCTGGAACGTAGATTATCCGTGCCGCTGTTCTGCACTTGATGACACGAGCGGACTGCTTGAATCAGCAAATCGCACAACCCCGTTCAGACCTCTCATATCACCCACCTCCCTGACGAAACGCAATTCGTTTATCGCTTTACTTTGCTTGGACTCATAAAATTTCGAGTGCCCAATCTTTAGGACGACTTCATTAGCCCACACAGAAATATCAGCTCCCTTCGCACTTCACTCTTTGAACGAGTGGCCATGTCAACCCCTTGCATCACGGAATAATCCCCAATGATCGTTGCACCTTCCCCCAAGTCGGATTCCGACCGCTCTTTACGCCAACATCTAGCAGCATGAATTCACGGCAGCCTCATTTCAACAACTTTTATGACGATCGGGTGGGGGCTCATCGCCACATTCAGTCTCAGGAACGCATCTTGAATCGCTTCAACGAACCAGCCATTATTATAACTGCGGTCGTGCTCTTAGTCGCATGCGTGGCAAGGGCCTATAACTTAGAACTGTCTTTTGATGCTATTCTGTACACTACATCAACATATTTGTGGGACTTTGTCGTTTTCATTGTACCAACTCAATTAATCGTTATTCTCGACAACTGGCTTAACCCTGGTTCAATGTCACAATCGCCACCAAGCACGCATGCCGCCAAAAGCGAGGTCATGAGGAGGGTCATGGGCCTGGACCGCTCAGGCGGCATGATGGAATCTGTATTTCAGGCGAGGAACAGGGCCTTGTCTGTCACAGGTAGTGTTCTGGGCTTGAAGTTGGATCCTGAGCGACCGGCTGGTTTGGGCAACCGCGATAATTCTTGCTATCAAAATAGCATCCTGCAAGGACTCGCATCGCTTTCCTCATTCCCCGAGTATCTATCGACGTGTGTACGCGCTATTGACATGCAACAACCGACCAACGACGTAGCTCATACTCTGCGATCCCTTATTGCCGATTTAAACGACACGTCAAACAATGGAAGGACGATATGGACTCCCAGCTTACTAAAATCTATGAGCACCTGGACTCAACAAGATGCTCAGGAGTACTTTTCGAAGATTCTCGATGATATTGACAGAAGCGTAGCCAGAGCCGTCAAATCTATGCGCCGATATTCAGGATTGGAAGCGGACTGCAGCAAGGACGACTCTTCCACAAGCCAACACAGTGATGACAGCGGATACCAAAGCCTCGCTTCAAGTCTGGAGTTGGCGGCAAAGAAGATATTGCGAAATCCACTGGAGGGACTATTGGCGCAGCGTGTGGCCTGCGTTCAATGCGGCTATTCCGAGGGCTTGTCTATGATCCCATTCAACTGCCTGACCCTCAGCCTGGGCCTGGATAAAAATGAACATGATCTCTATGAGAGATTGGATTCATATAGCAAAGTCGAGGCAATTGAGGGGGTGGAGTGCCCCAAGTGTACCCTCGTTAAAGCCCGGAGGCTTCTTGGCAAACTGCTTGGGAAGCTGAAAGAGAGTGGCTCGAGTCCGGAACAAATGGAGGAGCCCCTTCGCAGACTCGAGGCGGTCGAGTTGGCTCTTGAGGAGGATGAGTTTGACGATGAGACGGTCATGGAGAAGTGCAAAATTTCGGCCCAAGGAAAAGTCAACACGACCAAGACGAAGCAAATAGTCATTGCCCGTCCGCCGCAAAGCCTAGCAATCCATGTCAACCGATCTGTGTTCGATCCACAAACGTTTGACATGATCAAAAACTCAGCGCCCGTTTCCTTTCCACTGACGTTGGATTTAGGACCGTGGTGCTTGGGTAGTGCGGAAGATGTCGAGGAAAAGCTGGCTAGTCATGAAGGATTCAGCGAAGAACAGTGGCTGCTAGGGCCCAAATCATCCATGATTGCTGGGGACCTGGGCACTTCCCGTTTGACCGGACCCATATACGAATTACGTGCTGCTGTGACTCACTACGGACGTCATGAGAACGGTCACTATATATGTTATAGAAAGTATCCTGACTTGACGGCGCTCAAAGACCAAGACTCCCCCGCCTATGGCGACACTAATCAAGGCTGCGACGCGGGTCGTAATGCGGAACGAAAGAAGTGCTCGCCACCACCCCACCGACACAATTCCGGCTGGTGGCGGCTGAGCGATCACAACGTGAGCAAAGTCGACGAAGATGTGGTCATGTCCCTGTCGCCAGGTGTCTTTATGTTATTTTACGAATGCGTGGATCCTAGTATGATTCTGCAAAGCGAAACGGACGACATGGAAGACGCCCAGGAACTTCCCGAAACTGCAAACGAGGCGAACTTTGAGAAAGGCACAGAAGGCATCACCAGCGCGCAAGTCCTTCCCGTTGAAGAGAGAGATGCTTCAGATCTGCCCTCTCTGTCAAGCTCAGCAAGCGACACATCGTTGGCGGAGACTATTGACACCAATACGAACACGATGGGAGGCGCCGGCGAGCGTGTCTTGTCGGACGCGTGATGACGATGAAGCTTACGGGGAGACGAGGGTCGAGGAGTGAAGACGGGGTGTAACTGGGGGTTCTAGCTCGATCGGCTGGCCATTGGACGGAGGGCTGCTCGTACTAGGGATTGCATAGCGATGGTGTTCAGGTGGCATTCATTCATTTCATTCAATTCACTCGCACTGAGGGCGTTATTGTATTATCATGGCAGGCCGCGTGAAGATGAAATGTGTGTCGGTGAGCGTGGTTCATTCAATATCACAGGGCGTCAGGACGAGAAGTTGAGAGAATTAGGTTAGGGTTGGCGCAGCATGGTTACGTAGACAGGGTGCAGCGGATTTTTGAAGGCCCCTTTGATACCGTTAAAGCTCCCGAGATGCACATGCATCTCTCCACGTAGCGTTGGGGCGCTGCGGAAGCGTCCTGAGGATTGGGAATTGCTGGTATTCCGTACCTGCATTGGATGTAACTTGCTATCAATCCGCGCGACACAGTACACACTCGAGGCAGCGCACGCTTTACACAAAGTACTTCGTAAGCGGCCAGAAGCGCCATAGCCCATGGCGACCTTGCACGATTGAGTAGCAGCCAGGCGCTAGCCCCATATTGGACATTGGCGGTTGTCCACGACTCCACGCCGGGCTCCACAGTGCGTGACAAGACTCCATCCACAGCCCCGTAAGTTAGTACTACGTACTAAAGTACTAACCGTACTAACTACTCCGTACCTAGGTACCTAGTACTACGGAGTGCGGTGAGCCGGGCCGTGGGCGGGGTGACGGACCAGGATGGCACCAAAACCAATCTGACAGCTTCCATTTTATCGACAGGCATTCCACCCACAAAGGGGCCAGTGCCGACTCCTGAGTCCTGACTCTGTTCCTCGCGTACTACCTCAAGTTTCAACCACAAGAGGAAGACGAAGTGCTCCGTACATTCGGAGCCGTCCTTGCCGACGCGCCACGCATTGCCTCGACTCGGCGTGCAGCGTGCAGTGTGCGGCGCTGCTGGCCTCGTCCTCGCCCTCTCCCGAAAAAGAAGAAAGGAAAAAAAAAAAAAAAGGCCGCCATCGCCATCGTCATCTCGCCTTCTCTCGTCCCACAACAAACACGGTGACGGTGAGCCTTTCCAACCAAGGTCGTCGCCAGTCTCGATCCTCGACTCTGCCTCGACCATCGATCGCCGCACAAGGAAGCAATTGCTTCTTTTCCCGGCAATCTCGCCATCCCTGGCCGAATTCTCTCCTTTCGTCGAGCCCGGCCGCAGCTCTGCTACATGTGTGCGCCCGCTGTCCCCCAAGAATTCCACCAAACGCGGCATCGTGCTTCAAGCGAAACAACTCGCACCGAGTTGAGCGTCTTCGCATGGCCCATCAAGCCGCCACATCTCGGTGCCGTTCCAAGTCGCCCGCCCCCCTCGCAATGGCGTCGTCTTCCTGCTCTTCGACCGCCAGTCCTCTGCCCACCACAAATTCAATGTCCGCCGCCCGCCCTCCCACGCCCAGGTCGTCTTTTGACATGGACGACGACACTCCGCCTCGCAACGTTGCCGACAAGATAGAGCCCCCCCTCAGGCAAACGCTGCACACTGCCGTCTATATTTCGTACGTTTTGCAAACAAAATCTACACCAAACCTGCACCCGGCCTCCACGATGCTCGCTCAAGATTGTGCGTCGACTGCTCGCGAGCTCACACGTCTTGTCATTGTCCGTCTGCTTGGGGAACAACTGCTAACCTCCCAATGTAGATTATGGATTTTCATTTCCAATCTGACCATTCTGTTTAACAAGTGGCTGATAGACACGCAAGGATTCCGTGAGTACTCCCTGTCCGTGTTATCTCTGCTCTCGGGACCAGACTGCTTACCAGGCCCTCAGGCTTTCGTGAGTTTGATGCCTCCGCCCCCTGAAAACAAGACTTGAACTCGACCGGCAACAACAACAACAACAACAACAGCAGCAGCAGCAGCAGCAGCAGCAACAAAAATTAAAATTAAAATTAAACTGACAGCGACAACAGCAATACTTCTCACGTGCTGGCATCTGGTTTTTGCTACCGTGGCTACCCAAGTCCTCGCTCGAACGACGACGCTCCTCGACTCCCGCAAGAAGCTGCCCCTGACCCCTCGTCTCTACGCTCAAACCATCCTCCCCATTGGCATCTTTTACTCGGGCTCACTCGTCTGCTCTAATGTCGTCTACCTGTACCTTTCTGTCCCCTTTATCCAGATGCTCAAGGCCGCCGCCCCCGTCGCAGTCCTCTTCACCTCGTGGACGTGGCGCGTTGCCGAACCCAACCTGGCATCGTTCCTAAACGTCCTTTGGATTGTTGCCGGCGTGGCTCTGGCTTCGGTGGGCGAGATACATTTCTCCCTCATCGGCTTCATGTACCAAATGGGCGGCATTGTCTTTGAGGCTATCCGCATCATCATGATCCAAGTATTACTTAGTAACGACGGCATGAAGATGGACCCCCTGGTCGGCCTCTACTATTTTGCTCCCGTTTGCGCCGTCATGAACTTCCTCGTCGCCATGCCAAGCGAGCTGCCCAACTTTTCCTGGGCTGCCGTGTCCAATGTCGGAGCGGGCATGTTGTTTCTCAACGCTTGCATTGCATTCTTATTGAACATCACCAGCGTCTTCCTAGTACGTCGTCCTCAACTCCCCATGTACATCCCTCTGTCCAGTGGAAAAAAGAAATGTAGAGCCCCTAACCTAACATTTTCAGATTGGCCGCACATCGGGTCTAGTCATGACCCTCACCGGCATCTTCAAAAATATTCTCCTCATCCTCGTGTCCATCGTCATCTGGAACACCAAGATAACCTTCATGCAGACCATCGGCTACGCCATTGCCCTCGCAGGCCTGACGTACTACTCTCTCGGGTACGAACAGCTGTCGAAGCTGTTCCAATCGTCTGTAGCACGGGCATCCAGCATGCTAGGCGCAACGTCTGCGGCTGCCCGAAACTCAGGTTCATCGGCGTCGAGGAGATGCGTGCTCGTTTCTGTCGTCATCTTTAGCGGGTTGTTTATTTTTGTTGCCGCCCTGCAACATTACGACCCGTCGACCAAGACGTTAGGGTTGTCCGCTTGGTTTGGCACTGAATAGAATTGCGTCTTTGCATATAGAGAATAGGAAACACATGACACAATGGAAGTGTAACCGTTTCCCGGCCTCCAGAACCGAAAATGTAAAAAAGACCAAAGAAAAAAAAAAGAGTATAGGCAGTTTGGCGTCCTGGGTGTAAATATGCGTAGTACACAGAGTTGAGGGGAGCAGCTATATGCAATTGAGCATACGTTGCCCCTTGTACGTTCCTCAGGGTATCATCACGGTCATTATTAAATCCTCCCATCTAATTAATCAGCGGCTCCTGCTTCGTCGACGACGACTAGTCGAGCGGGGGCGCCGCCGTTCTCGTCGGGGCGATGCACTACGGTCTCGCCTGCGTCCATCGTCCCGATCCCTCCTGTCTCTGTCTCTGTCTTGGTCTCGGTCTCTGTCCCTGTCTCTGTCTCTGTCCCTGTCTCTGTCTCTGTCCCTGTCCCTGTCTCTATCTCGCTCTCTATCGCGTCGGTCCCGGTCTCGCTCACGACTCCTGTCCCTGTCCCTGTCCCTGTCCCTATCACGGTCGCGATCACGGTCGCGATACCTGGCCCTATCGCGGCTGCGGCTCCTGGATCTACTTCTGTACCGGTCATCTCGCCCTGATGGTGGAGGAAAGTGTTAGAGTTGCTGTTGATTGTTGATACAGAAAAACGCTGCACTCACCAATCTTCTTGTCGTCTACACCGGGGATAGGGAGGCCCTTGGCTTTGGCATCCTTCTGGGCCGCCAGGTAAGCTTTGGCTTCCTTTTCTCGTTTCCGCACTTCTTCCAGTTTCCACTCTTCGTGCTCCTCGCGGGCGGCGGAGGCGGTGCGGACAACCGATGTGCCGGGGCGGGAGCGAGAGCGACTCCTTCTATCGCGGTCCCGGTCACGATCTCTGTGACGGTCACGCTCGCGGAACTTGTCCCGGTCTGCGTCTCTATCGCGATCTCTGTCCCTGTCACGTGCTCGCTCACGGCTGGACCGTCGTGGCGAACGGGCGGACGCTCGAGGATCATAATGATCGTACCGATCTGCTACGCCGCGGCGGCTGTCCCTTGATCGACTCCGTTCGCGTCTTCGAGACCGGCTCCTGCGTCTGTCCGTCCTGCCTGAGGTGCGTGAGCGGTCTCGCTCACGGCTTCGGTCCCAATCCTTGTGGTCTGTCCTTGCGCGGGACCGACTGCGTTCGCGTCGCTCGGACCGTGCCGGGGATCTGGTGCGGTCTCTTCGTCTTGACCGACTCCTACGTCGATCGGTCCGGTCCCGCGAACGGCTTCGCTCACGGCGGTCGTCCCTCCTCGGCCGAGACCGGGTCCTGTCCCGTCGCAGCTTTGATCGACTCCTATTGCGCCTGTCCCGGTCGCGAGATCGGCTTCTTTCTCGCCTTGGAAATTGTGAGCGCCTGTCTCGCCGGCGACTATCCCCACGTTGACGACTCTTCTCCCTGTGCTTCTCGCGATCCCTCTCGACTGGCCGAGAAGCGCTGCGGCTGGATCTCATTTCGTCGCGAAAGACGGATACCTTTGGATCTCCCGTTGTTCTAGAGTCTCGTCTCTCGCTTCTGGGGTCACTTTCACTGGCCTTGCGAGAGTCCCGCTTGATGGGATTGATTGCGGATGCAGGAGCGCTCTTTCGGGGCGGCGGTGCTAGCGCGGCATCAACTTCAAGCTCAGGCTTTGTGTGATCAGATCGGGAGCTTTCCCGTAAAAGGTCTGCTAAAGCCTCTTGTTCCAGTCTTTCATTGTCTTCCTTGGACATCTTTTGATGTGACGTTGTGTCTTTGGTCTTGGACCTATCGCGCCGACGATCCCTTGACCAATCACGCCCTCGGTCCTTGTCCCTATCCTGATCTCTGGATCGGTCTCTGGATCGATTTCGGGATCGATTTCGGGATCTGTCTCTAGATCGCTCGCGGTCCCGCTGATCCCTCTCCTTTTCACGAAGCTCACGCTCCTTGTGCCTTTTTTCTCGCTCCAGATCCCGGAGGCGTTCCCTCTCAGCACGTTCCTCCTCTCGCTTTCTGCGTCGCTCGTCTCTTTCTGCCTGGCGCTTCAGCTCGGCTTGTTCCCGCTCCCGCTCCTCCTTCTTCTGTTCCTCCTGCTTGATGCGACGCTTCTCTTCTTCAATGGCGGCTTCTTTGAGACGCAATTCCTCGCGCACTCGTTCGCGTTCCGCCTGCCGTGCCTCTGTATCCGCAGCGTATTCCTCATCGGTTTTTGCGCCGCGGATGCGCTCTGCCTCAGCGGCCTCTTCACCAATCTCAGCTCGTCGAATCTCGCGAATGCGCTCCTCAATAGCGTCAATGTCGATTAGTTTAGCAATGACACCTTCCGCCTTCTGATAGACACCTGATCGTTCCAGCGCGCCATCAATGAGGGCGCTCGCCTTTAGCCGGTCGAGGGTGAGGAGTTGCTGGGGGTTGCGGTCAACCTCCTTCTCCGCTACCTCGAGGATGGCCTGTTTAACTGTAGCCTCGCAGTCCTGTGAATCATGTGAGCGTGTCTTCCCAGCACCTCATGCACGTAAACAGAGATCATACACTGGCTTCGAACTTCTCCCAGACTTGCTTTCGAATGGAGTCGTAGGCTCCGCCCTTTTTGAAACTATGCTTCAGGGACTCTATTGCGGCTCGAGTTGCCGAGGACAATGGAAGATCGGATGCTTTGAACTTTCGCGGGGCTGAATGACTTGCAACAACATCTCCCGGTTTGCTAGGCTTCTCAGCAAAAGTTGCCATGTTTTCGCTCGGTCGCGTCAGAACAGTGTGCATACGCGTACGCGAACAGACATTTTCGCCAGGATATCCCGTCAGCCCTTTGTTCTGTGCATCTGCCACAAGCAGACGCGCAGTTTGCTGCTTTCTTGAACTGACGTGCAAAAGGATGACTTGGCAATTCAGGGTTGGCATTTTCCGGACTAATAAAAACGCAATCGCCACCGGTCCACGTGACTTGACGGCCAGTCGGCATCTACCCGGGAATCGTTAAATCTGACGTCGACTCAATAAACCAGGACTTGAAACACACTTGTGATCTTCACATGAGTGTTTGGAGAAGGGTAAGTCGCCGAAGAATTCACAAGTTTCTATACCTTGACGGATGATTCGGCCCATCTCTATCAGCCTATTGAACAGCTGCCACATTCTCACTCTGCTGTGCTGCCCAAGTCAGGACAACGTCACTTCCTCTCACTCTCACATGCAGGATGAAGGGATGTGCGCCCTCTGTCATTTCTTTCCACGATGCCCCGGTCTGTCGATTGATTCACCAATCACCAACTTCCTTAGATGGCAGGAATCGCTTCCTGGCGAGGCCGGATTCACAGATCTATCTACTGAGCGGGCCAGTCAACAGCATTAGTAGTAGTACACGTTATTACTTTCATACATTGAACTAAATGGATATGGATATCACAGAGGCCCGTAGAAATGTCGTAGAGGAGATGTCCCGCCCGCAACAAGCAACACGCAACGCCATGCCCGGAAATGCTGCGCCCCGAAGCGCTCGAGGATGATAATACGTTGGAAAGTCTAGAACTCGCCCTCGCCACCGTTACCCACCACGTTTGCTGTCCAGAGACCAACAAGTCCCCACCAGTTCACTTTCCAGCCTCGCCAGAGACCTTGTAGGCCCTGTCCCTTGATGCGGCTGGGTTGGGACGTCTTGTTCTTGGCTTTCCCTTTCCTAGCGACAGCCTTGGATAAGGCTGGGTTCTCGCGACTGCCTTCTTCCGAGGTGATGTGATACATGGTGCCGATGATGCCGTTGTATCGGCCAATAGGCACAATAGTGTCGAGCTTCTGCTCTGTTCCTCCTCCAAGAGCTTTGGTATACGCTGGGCTGGAGAGAACGGCCATTTGACCGCGCCGCAGAGTGGTTTCAATAGGCAGTTTGATAAGGATGGCGGCTGAAGAAGCAAAGAATTTGGCCACAGAGAAAGTCATTGGCGATGCTTGGCTGTCGATGAGGAAGCGAGTTCGGAGCACAAGCGGCGTCGAGAGAGTTAGGAGAGGATGGATGAGAGAGTTCAAAACAGTCGGAAGCGCGATTGCCGACGGGCAAAGGTACGAAGGGAGATCTCGAAGGTTGGCAAGTGTTCGGCGTTGTCCTTTGGAAACAGGGGTCATGATGAGTCTGTCGTGGTAAGCGGCGTCTTCGCATATATAATGACCTGTGGAAGGACCAACCTTGTGCGCACAAGATCCAGGGGAGACAGGAGCACACCAGTCGCAACCGCAGCGGTAGCAGCTACAAATAGCGAAGCCCAGGGGTATGGTGACGCAATGTCAATCAACCGATCAATGTCGTCCTTTACGCCCAGATCGGGGACGTTGAAGATGGCGCTGACGAAACTTCTCGACCAGTTTTCGAGTAAAGATTGAAGCACAGAATAGAGGAAAGTCGCATTCGAGCCCTTCCACACACCCCACGCACCATCCTTTTGCCAAAGCTGTGCGATGACGTCAAGAATCGAGTCTGGTTTGCGGATAGCCAGGTAATGCTCTGGAACCATAGGCCGCTTGGGGACTTGCGACTGCCGCGGAGATGGTGCGCGATGACTACCTAATCTTCTGCTATATGACGGGGTGGGCGTGCCGGGCGCATTGGAGGTAAAGAAGGCGGGCTCGTCGCCTTCAGAGTCGGAGTCAAGATACTGTCCAGGTCAGCCACAGACTCGAGAGGCAACGGGCCCGGGTCCGTCCTCACATCGTATACTGGGCCTCCTTCTTGGCCAGAGTTGTGCCTCTTGAAGCCCCCTGGCTCTGCGGTTTCCCAGATGGCGTTATCGTCCTGATCCCGAGCTTGCAAAATAGTCTTTGCCACCTCAAAGGGCTGGGCCATCAATACGGACGTATACTTCCATATCAGCTCCTCTACCAGCTCCTTTGCATTTTGTATCACCGAAGGTGAAGAATCGCTCAAATAGTCCCTGTAATCAATATCGGCAAGCACATCACGCGCCTTGGATGCGTACCGGGCAGTCCCCGTGGCGTTGCCCGCAGCGAAGGGGTTTGCGCTGGGTGCCGAAGCGGAATCCGCCGTCTCGCCTATGACAGGTGCCCTATAGTAGGGTCGTAGCGGATTCACACCGTCTCTGAGCGTGGCCATGGTTGGTGCCGAGCGAGCAAAATCATTTGGAGTGCGCCCGTTGCGTCGGAAGCTTGCTTGCTTGCTTGTTTTGGCTTCGAGTCTGCGACGGAGGTTCGAATGACTGGACTCTGGAGAGAGCTCGGAGATAACAGGGATAGCGGCGGCTGACGGCGAATGGATTTCCCGGGCTGCTGCTTATCGACAGCAGATGGACCTGCGGCTCCCTGGCCTTGGGTCGGCAATCCGCCACTTATCGGAGCTGTATTTGCAAGCGTTTTGTGTTTTTTTTTCCTTTGCTCGGAATTGCGAGCGCTCTCGACTTGGATCCTGCGTCGCCGTCCTCCGACGGTATACGTATTCCGCGCCCACCTGCACCATGTGCTGAGGTTCAATCGGGGCCACGAGCGTCATTCCTATCGCACCGGCTTCTTGTGATCCTACAGGTGATGACAAACGGTCAACACCTCGAGCACTTTGGACGCACCTGCAAGACCCATCGACAGTCAGTCACATAACCGCGAGGACAATGGCAACCTTCTCAAGGACGCTCGCATCTCGTCTTGCGGCGGTGCCTGCCGCGGCTTGTCGACGAGTGCAACGACAACAAATGACCACGATTGCAGCTTTCACATCAAAATGTCCAACGCGGAGTCGGAGTGCGCCGGGAGCGTTCCGTTTGTCTGTGCTGCCGCCTCGATCATTCTCAACCACCATACCAAGCCGCCACGGCCATATCGACCCTCCGAAGCCCGGTGAGGAGTGAGTGCAGCCTACAAACGCAAGCGACAACAGCGGCCCAAAAACAAACACGAAAAGAATTTACACCGAGAAACTCGCTAACTGATTCAGGCTCTACGTCACCTTTGTTGAAAAGGATGGCCAGGAACACAAATTTGCAGTCTCAGAAGGTGATAATCTGCTAGATATCGCTCAAGCCAACGATCTCGAAATGGAGGGTGCATGCGGCGGCTCATGCGCCTGCTCAACGTGCCACGTTATCGTTGCCGACGAGGAGTTTTACGATAAGATTCCCGAGCCAGAGGACGACGAAAACGACATGCTGGATCTGGCATTCGGCCTCACAGAGACGAGCCGACTGGGCTGTCAGGTCAAGATGACAAAAGAACTGGACGGCCTAGTCGTCAAGCTGCCCTCAATGACGCGGAACCTCCAGGCCAGCGATTTTCAATGAGATGATGTTGTAACAGTAGTTGCCGGGACATACCCTTTATAAAACGCCTTGTACAATATGTATGGATAGAAGAACGCATTGTCCTCCGTCCATAGCCTGAGAACGCCGGAACATATGTGAGGGTATCTTTGACTGCATTTTCAGGCGATCAAAAAGCACTATATATACCTGCTTGACTCCTCTTTCCAGACAGCAATCACCAACCGTCGCCTGTGTACTTTTCAAGTCGTCTGGATCCACGAGAAGGCCATTCCACTTAAGCCTCCTCCAAAGCGCCCCTTTTCAATCCCCCTCCGCCGGAGCTGATGAGATCCAAAAAGCCCTTCTTACTCATCTCATTAACCTTTTCCTCGCGGTTATTGATACCTATCACGCCCTGCTTCCTCGCGTCTTTTTCCGCCTCGGCGGCTTTGACCTGCGCAGCTCTCACGGCATTAAAGAGCTTCACCACACCTCTTTGGGCGACCTTGCGCAGCTTTCGCTCCGTGTTCAGAATCTCGGCCGTTGATGATTCAACTTCACCGGTGATGCAGTCCCGACTGGCTACGAGAACATCTTTGACGCGGCCCTTTTCGAGAGCCTTCTTCTTCTGGTCGCGCAGGTGGCGCTTTGCCTTGGCTTCTAGGGCGCTGTCGACGGCCGCTTTGGACGCTTCGTGTGCGGCCGCACTTCTCGAGAGGACGGGATCGGAGCGTTTTGACGATGATAACTTTGTAGACAGGATCTTTGAGATGGATGTGGCGAAGGCGCTAGGATCGTTGCGCTTTGATTTGCGGTGGCTCGTGGCATTGTCTGAGCCGAGCTCATATTCGTCAACATCTGATACTTCGTCCTCGTCCTCATCCTGGTCCTCGTCTTCCTCGGCAGACTCGGCGCTGTCTTTTCTCGGTGTCTCTACTGGAGTTGAAGACCTCTTGGCTTTCTTCGCTCTGGGCCTTTCGTCTTCCGCACTTGAAGAGCCAACGTCATCCGACTGTGCCACATCGTCGACGGTTGCGTTGTGAATATCGTCATCCGAGTCGAGCAGGTTCACGGCATCAAAATCCTGGTTGTCCTCGCCGTCGCTGCCTGAGCCGCTGTCATATTGTTGCGTCTGCTGGCGTTTTTGTTTCTTGGATGGGCGCTGGTGCTTGGCGTCGAATGCTCGCTTCTTTGAGCCCCCCATTGTATGATTGCTGTGCTCAGACTTGTACGTCAGTGTTGGCGAGAAGCGTGGCGCAGGTGGTGAAGCTCGAGGAAAAGTTGATCATTCTGCCGGGTAATTTTTGTGGACGGGAAGGGGCACCTGGCAGGCGGTGTGGAGGGGACCCCGGCCCCTCCCTTGGACACGGCTCGCAGCGGGCAACTTTGCGTGCTATGCTGGGAAAGTGTCGATTGTCTTTGGACCAATGACCGTTCGACCCAGAGAATCTGCAAGCGACTTGTGCGGTTGTGCTGCAGTCCGGCATCGACAAGACGCCTTGGATTAGAAGCCGCACGTTGCTCGGATGAGCGGGCCGGTCCAGTCCTTGCATTTGGGGAACCAGTCACCTGTAGTCTATGAACAGGCTTGCACGATATCACTAGGCGTGTCGTGACCCGTGAGCCTTTGGTTGGTGGCAGAATCATATCAACCAAGGGGGGTTGCGTTGCCATCGTGTTGGTCATTCACTCTTTCTCCGTCCTCGATCTCGATTTCACGCCAGGATTTATTGATGCTGGCGACAATTAAGCTCGCTCGCTGGGGTGCAGATCCAACAACCCACGCATCCCTTCTGCCGCATCCGTCCATGCGGAACGAAACAACTGTCTACTATGATTCCTAGATCGGTATTGCTCGCTTCCCCGCCAGGGCCCTTCTTGCTATCCCGCCCAGGTGGTACGAATATGAATGGCCTCCCAGTGGTGCCAAGTCGACAGCGATTGATGGCCGCGGCAGCTTGGAAGCACGTGCATATTATCAGGGCGTGTCAGGCTCTCTGCGACTGGTATGAAAAGCCCAACAGTGACAATGATGGTAAAAAGAGCACAATCAGAACTATGGCGAAATGATCAACGCAAAGTAGAAGACACATATTTCCATCTCATTGCGCCGTCTCCTTCTCGGTGACGGTGGTAGAATCAATCCGCACAGCCATACCCGCTTCAATGCTAATTTAGTCTGGTTGGACCTCCTAGACCGGAGCAGACCATTCTGAACAGTCTCATTGGTTGTCCATGGCTCGATTGCATAGATCGTCAGCGTCTTCATTCTCATACCTTGGAATCCAGATGTAGCTCACGGTCCCCAACTCTTTCAACCTGTCATCAAGGTCGGAGGCCTCTTCGATCAGATCTCGGTTGGCGACCTCGTAGCCTGCAGCATTGATCCATCCGTTTTCGCACCACTTGTAAATCCATTCCGTCATACAGCCAATCGCATATCTAGAATCCGAATAGATCTTGAGTTTGAGATACGGGTTCGTGTCCAGGGCATCATACTTTTCCAAGGCTAGCTCCAGTGCCAGGATGATGGCTGTGATTTCGGCTCGCTGGTTTGTTGGTGTGGGATAGTCGGGTAGGCATCTGTAGTGACCCCTGGTTTTTCCATATTTGCTCTTGAAAACGGCGGCAGCGGCACCTATCGCCCAAGATCTTCCATTGCCTCTGCAACCGCCGTCGGTGAAGATTTCCATAATATAAACCATGCTGACAGGCTAGGTGGCGCTCGAGCGGATGCGATGCTCTGCGTTGTGCTAAAATGCGAGTGCGTGCGTGCGTGTTGTATGTGTGTTGTGGCTAGAGTCACGAGAGGAGCGAACACGTCGTTGATCCTTGCCAGCTATAAAAACCCTAACCCTGGATCGCTATGTCATCGTGGGAACCCTACCATACCAATATTAGCTAAAAGATACCTGCTAAGACATAATGAGGTACGTACCTGGGTGCCTGGTACTTACAGTTATTTGGCCACGTAACCGCACGGAATTAGGATAATGCGCACACGAAGCGTGGAGCCGAGCGCCCCTTTTTATAGGGCGTACACAATTCTCTCTTTTGTACTCCGTAGCTCAATCAAGGCTTTTTAGTATCATCTACGTGATATTTAGCTTGGATGCCCACCGCTATCGTGTGACACCTCGCATGTCCCTAGAGCTCATGGAACATGACAGCAACCCACCTATTCAAATGTCCTTTGACGCGGGTCTGGTCCCCCCCCCGGCTGAGTTTGAACGTCAAGTTTCTGGAGGTGGGTGTACAAGTCTCGTGGCACTAGTTACGAGGACAGAATGCTGCACGGTGACTAAACCGAAGCAAGACTCAAAGTCCAACAGGTGCCTCAGTATGAATTGTACGTCAAGCGGCCTGGAAATGTTTACCAATCTACCTAGCTAAGAATCGGACGACCGAGGGTATCAAGCAGTAATACAATGCGCACACCATCTCTGTCAACGCGCCGTAATCGACACCCTAAGAGTGGATTTATACCGAGCAATTAAATAAACTTGAGCCGGTCCCAAAACGAACTCATCATATTTGCAGCTTCTTCTACTGTAGGCTCGGAAAGCTGGGTGGTCCACCGCTCCTTACCATCAATATATAAAGTATATTGCAGCACGCTCCGACCATGGATATTTTGAACTGTGAATGATCCAAATTTTGAGCTTCCGGAAGGAATATAGCTATTGTCTGTCAGCACGGTGGACGCCAAGTAGAACCAGGGAGCTTACTGCAACTTGACGTCCTCGCTGTCAACTTGCTTGTACGTGGGAATTGGTGACGCAAATTGATTCAACGGACTTGTGGAGAACTCGTACACGGCAGCAGATTCAGGCCACTTCGACTCGGAAGGCGGGGGGAATTTGGTCGCGGCAAACTCATGACGGTCCCCAGAGAGGATAACGACGGACGTACCTCGAGTTCCAGCATTCCACATGGCCCTGAGAATTTTCCGCCGCTCCACCAAAAACCCGCCCCAAGTATCCTTGACATTTACGGGCCAGTTCTTGGTGAAAGGGACGGAAGAAGCTACAAACTTCCACTTGACTCCTTTGGGCTCGGGACGGTCAAGCCAGGCCAGAAAATCAGCCAACTGATCTTGACCCAGCATGGTTTTGTCCTCTTCTTCAAATGGAGCGTTATTGCTGGACCGGTGGCTTCTGGTATCTAGCATGAAGAAACTAGCGGGTCCTTGGACAAACTCGTACCAAGTAGCATCCTGACGATGCGTGTCTCTGCTGCCGGCCTGGACAGCTTTTGGCGGATTAACGCTGGCCTGGTAGGTTCGCCACGGACCAACGGCAGCATTGTAAATCCCGGTAGTGTTGGAGGACCAGTCGTTGGAAATTTCGTGGTCGTCAAGTACATGAATCCAGCTCAAGTTTTGCGCGACAGGGGCCCAGTCAGGCGACGCGTAGACTTGTCGGTACTGCATGCGATATTCCTCGATTGACTTGCCGAAACGTTCCGGGACATCCACATAAATGAAGTCGCCTAAGAAAAGCATAAACTGGGCACCCATGTCGGGAAGCTTCCTCGCCAGATGGCGGAGTCCGGGAATGGCCAATGCATGATCCATGGGATTGTACGGGAAGCGCGGGAGAATGCAGGATGTTGAGAGAAACGTAAACTTTCCATCATTGACCGTAGGCATGCTCCCCGGCTTAGGAGGGCTAAGAAATTTGCCCGAATGGTTGTTTGACGTTCTCCACTCATACCATAGTTGCTCAGAATGCCTCAAAGGGACGGTAATAGCCTTTGTGAAGTCAGTTTCATTGGTAGTCTGTTGTATGCCGACGGCATGGGACCAGGCTGAGCCAGGAACAGAAGGCTCAGTAGCCTTGACTCGTATTTGCAAGGTGACGGGCATCCTGGCTTGGTCTGGCTCGCGGATGAGGAAGTTGGCTTCACTGTGCGAGAGGTATCCTAAACGAGCGAACGAGAGGTCTTCAGAAGAGTAGTACAACCGCGCGCGGAACAGTGCATCAGCAGTCAACAGTGCAAGAACAACGTTGATGAGAAATGTGAGAATAGACAACTTTGGTCGAGTAGCACTGGGATGTCCGTAAAGAAGCACCTTCCAAGGCCGTTCGATTTTCTCCTCAAGTACGATTGTCTCGTCGACATCGACTTCCTGGGCAACTACCTCTGGCTCCGGCGGTTGGTCAGTTTCGGAGAGTAAAGGGGTTTCCGATGTAACTGTTGTCTGCTTCACAGTGACGTCGACTTCATCGTCAACGATTTCAAGAGCCGGTACAGTTCTGTAGCTGGCGACATAGGCGGGAACGTAGATTACGAAGAGCGCGAAGGTGATGGAGGGAAAGTGGGCCTTGGAGCTGTCAGAGCTATCACAAGACGCTTCAAACTTCAACACATCATTTCATACCGGGAACTACCGAATCTCGTTAGTCAAAAATGTCTCAACGAAGTAATACCAAGACGCACAAATCTGAAGAACAGGAGCGCGGATATTCTCAAGGCGACCGAGGTCACCTTGGCTATTGTTGCCTGCACTGGCATGGTGATGTTGTCATGCGGGAAGTGCAACAGCGGAGTGTGAACGAGGAAGGTGGTCGAATGATCAGACGAGGTATGAGGCCGAACTCATGGCTATTTTCTCGGAAAGAAGGAGAGTGGAGAAGTCGGCTGTGATGGGACAGGATACATCACAGCATTGCGCAAAGAGGCTGAGAAAGGTGGCGAGGAGGACCTGATGGTGATGAGCTGGTGATGCGGGTTTGGGCCTGAGTCTGCTTTGATCCAATGCTTTGGTTCAACCAGACCAGGCGGCGTGTCATCTAATTGGCAGACACACCGCGGGGTGGGGAGGAGCCTAGCGCCTACGGGTCAAGTTCGAATGGCGGACCACAGATGTCTTCAGCTTCAGGGGTCGGTCCTTGTGAAAATCCGCGCCGGACTCGACATCGTGGCCGCTTTGGTTTTCGGGGCGCATTTCAACACCATATCAGCGCAAGGAAGGTGCTGCATTTTGCAAACAAAACTCCATCCCCTGTTGCGATTCGGCTCGCACTTTCAGTTGCGTGCAGAAATATAGCACCCGGCGCCATCATGAGATTGTCGACGATTAGCGCAGGGCTCATTGCCTGCCTGGCCACCAATGTTGCCGCCACGGCCCTGACCTACAAGCTCGACGCCAACGAAAAGGCTTGCTTTTTCACGGATACCAAACAGGACAACGAGAAGATCGCATTCTACTTTGCGGTATGAGTCCCGCCATACCTGGCCTGCGGCTTTTGCACAAGGGCATGGGCATGTGCTAACCGTCCACCATTCAGGTCCAATCTGGCGGCTCCTTCGATGTCGACTACATTGTCGAGGGTCCCAATGGCAAGCTGATTTTGCGCGGCGAAAAGGAACGACAGGGAGACTTTGTCTTCACCGCTCAGCATGCTGGCGAGTACTCATTCTGCTTCAACAACGAGATGAGCACCTTTGCCGAGAAATACGTCGATTTCCAGATTTCGGTAGGGACGCACACGACCGACCCCAAGCGCCACCCGAGTCAGACTAACACACCGTATCACAGGTTGAAAACGAAGCCCGAACTGCTCAGCTGCCTTCCAAGCAAGGCACAAGCCCCGAGCAGACTTCTGTCCTCGAGGACTCCCTCTTCAAGATCTCCAGCCAACTGTCTACCATCTCTCGAAACCAGAAATACTTTCGAACCCGTGAGAACCGCAATTTCTCTACTGTCAACAGCACCGAGAAGCGAATTGTCAACTTTAGCATGATCCAAATTGGCCTGGTTATCTGCATGGGCGCTTTGCAGGTGTTCGTCGTCAGATTTTTCTTCCAAGGCGCGCGTAAGGGCTACGTTTAAATTTTTTATTTCATTCATCCATCTTGGTTTAGCATGTTACGAGGGCGCACGTGGGCAAAAAGGAAAGGGGAATCGGTGGCCGACATGGGTACAATATGTATAGCAATGGGCATAGAACCTGGAGGTCGTCAAATTTGTGAAAATCAGCGGAGTAGAGGTGGCCGATCTCTTAAAATGGCGGATTTGAAGTATCATTGCATAATTGTGTATTGTTCGGCCTTTTGTTTGCATGTATCATGAATACTTGTTCTTCCATGATGATATGAAGGTGGATTAATTGATTCTCCACTCCAAATCTATTAAGCCTAAAATTCTTGCAAAATATTTGTACCATGTCCCTTTCCTATCATTATCTGAAGCTCCTAGAAACTACCAATGCTCTAATCGTGCCCGCCCCACTTTATGTGGTTCGGCTAGCAAAAGCCCTCACCACCTCGGTGGCCGTCCACATGACGCTCGGCTTCGGCGAGACGTTCGTCTACCTCAATCTCCTGTACTACGTGAGGTAAGAATCCCCTTCCCACAGCGGTAGCGGTCGACGGGGCTCCCAACTTGCCGCCGCCGCCCCTGCTTACGCCTTGTCAGCACCCTCATGCTTCACCGCGAGTACTTCCCCTTCCTGCCGACCCCGGAGTCGGAGCCACGGGGTCCAGTCGACCAGCCCATGCTGGGGGCGCCCGCCCCCGAGGGCTGGTGGGACGACAGCTCCCGACTCCTCTTCGGCGCGGCAGAGCACATCGCCGCCATTCTACACGAGGCCTCCGAGTGTGGCGTGCATCTCATGACGCCCTTTGCCGGGTTCTGCGCATTCTCAGCCGGCTACCTCAACCTCTACGTGGCGAAATACCCCCGAATGAACCTGGGCCGCAGCCCGCGAGCAAGCGACTGTCTCAAAATGTGTCTCGACTACCTGGAAAAGTTTCGACTTGTCTGGAAAATCGCCGACGGATGGGTAAGCCGCCCGCAAGCATGACACGACCGTGGCCACCGTTGCGCTAACATTGAGAGGGCGGCACGCGCAAGATCAAAACGATACACCATGCATCCGTGCTCTACGAGCGAGCAACCGAGGACCGGACACGATACCAGGGGCGCACACGAGCAGACTTTGATACTCTACACCAGTCTGTCCACGAGTTCCGTGTCGTGGATAGATCCGACGCGCATACTCGGGAGATTCGGGGCGCGGAGCGGCCCTCGGCGCAGGCGACTTGGCCGGTTCAAGGGCACGAGCACGAGCACGAGCACGAGCACGAGCTCGACACTAATACCTTGTTGAACCAGCTTTTCGCGGAAGTCAGCAATAACCTCGACGAGCAGGGGGCCTGGTCTCAATGGTGGCCGGCGATTGATCAGGTGGATCTTTAATGAGCTGCGTAATTACATCCGGGGTTTTTTTTTTCGTTGAAGCTTCCAATGAATGAGTGACGACCTTTGATTTTTTTGATTTTTTTTTTAAAAAGGGCTGTAATATCTGGTTTTCTATACATGTCCTATTTTTATTTCCCGGTCTAGAAAAACAGTCAACAGATAATGCACCTCTTCATATGGCTCCCCTCCCGTCACCGCCAACAAATGCATACCTGTCGCGTCAACCATTCGCCGTTTCTCCTTCCAATCACGCCTTTGCAAAGACCTTTCTCGAGTTCATCAGGCGAACAGCAAGCATAAAGAGCATGCCGACAAAAGGCGCCACAACCACGCCAAGAGGACGTTTTTTGAAGCAGCTAAAAAGGCACGTAAATGGCGTCTGGATTCTGTACTAGATCTACTAGAAATTTGGGACGAGAAGGGTGTACATTATAGGCGAAGAGGTTAATAGCGTTATTAGGTTGAAAATTGGCCCGCCTTGGTGTCCGGCCCGCCTTGCTGTCGAGCACCACCTTTGGTGGTGAGGGCTTTTGCTAGCCGAACCACATAAAGTGGGGCGGGCACGATTACTCCCGGCCCAACTCGCCCAAAGGGCGCAGGCGTACGGATCCGGCGCATATGCTTTTGTGGTGGTGGTTGGGTGGTGATCAAAAGCTAAGCCACATTCGGCATGCGCCACATCTGAATTTCTTCTTATCCCGTCCAGAGGCCATCTCCACCTGCATTTTCATCAGTTACCCCGTCGTGAGAAATATGGCGTCGATTGCTGCGTCGCTACAGGCGTCGCTGCCAAAACCGAAATATTCGGGCGAGGATGAGGAGACTCTCTCTCGCTCACATCAACGAGGCCCGCGTATCGTCGGTGCCGGCCAGATTGACGAGACGCAAATCGTGTTGAAACGATCAGGCCCGCCTCCGTATGGCCAACGATCCGGATGGCGGCCACGGTCGCAGGAGGATTTTGGTGACGGCGGCGCTTTCCCAGAGATTCTGGTGGCACATTATCCCCTGGATATGGGCAAGAAGAGCGCCTCAACGAGCAACGCGTTGACTATCCAGGTTGATGCCGGGGGCAAAGTCAAATACGATGCGATCGCGCGACAAGGGCACAGCCAGGGTCGAATCATACACACGTCGTTCAAGGACCTGATTCCGTTACGACAGCGTGCTGATGCTGGGGAGATTGATCTGGCTCGCCCCGACAAGGAGTCTGTGGCAGCCACGACCGAGAAGACCAAGAATGCGCTCGCAGCCCTCGTTAGTGGCGCTGTTGCGGCACAGAGACCTAAGAACATAAATGTTGGAAACAGAAACGATTCGACTTTTGTACGATATACACCTGCCAGTCAGATGGGAGACAACTCGCAGAAACAAGACCGAATCATGAAGATTGTCGAGCGTCAACGAGACCCAATGGAGCCTCCCAAGTTCAAACATAAAAAGATTCCTCGTGGACCACCATCACCACCCCCGCCCGTCATGCATTCTCCACCGCGAAAACTCACAGCCGAAGACCAGGAAATGTGGAAGATCCCGCCCCCGGTCTCCAACTGGAAGAACCCCAAGGGCTTCACGGTCCCTCTAGATAAGCGGCTGGCTGCGGACGGTCGTGGCTTGCAGGATATCAGCATCAATGACAAACACGCTCAGTTTGCAGAGGCGGTGAAGATGGCCGAAAGACACGCGCGAGAAGAGGTCCAACAGCGTGCGCTGATGCAACAGAGGCTGGCGGAAAAGGAGAAGGCCCAAAAGGACGAAAATCTTCGGGCGCTGGCTCAAAAAGCTCGAGAGGAGCGTGTGGGCGGTGGGCGCGGTCGCAGGCGGTCGCCCGATTCAAGAGACTCCAGGTCACGACGGGGAAGTTACAGCAGATCTGATTCAGCATCAGACAGCGAAGACTCTGATATTCGAGAGCGAGAGGAGGCACGACGGGAGAAGCGAAAGGAAGAGGAGAGGAAGCTGCGACAGAACCGCATGGGTACCGAACGTCGTATTCAGGTCATGGCAAGGGAACAAAACCGAGACATTTCGGAAAAGATAGCTCTGGGTTTAGCCAAGCCTACACAGTCCAAGGAAACAATGTATGACTCGCGACTATTCAATCAGTCGAGTGGTTTCGACAGCGGATTCAACGAAGATAATCACTACGACAAGCCACTGTTTGCAGCTCAAGATGCCATCAGCAGCATTTACCGGCCGCGGGCAAACATGGATGATGACGATCCTGAAGCTGGCGACCAGGAGATGGCCAGGATTCAAAAGACTCGTCGATTCGGAGAGACACTTGGCAAAGGCACGTTTAAGGGGGCAGCTGATGTAGAGGTAGGCAGGCTTTTGCCGTCAAGTTGGAGGTCCCATGATGACACCATGCTAACAAGCACGCAGGCTCGCGAAGGACCGGTGCAATTTGAGAAAGAAATTGCCGACCCATTCAACGTGGACAAATTCCTGTCCGAGGTTGACCAGAATTCTTCGTCAAAGAGGGGATACGGGTTGAACGACGAAGAACGGCAACCAAAGCGGCCGAGGGTAGAGGACGAGGATGATTAAGCGTCTTGTTGCTGTTGCCGGCAGGGTTGTTGCGGCCTTGACGGCGTCGTGGATGTATTGTACTCGTTGCACATTGTGGCATTGCATAACGACCAGGCGGTCCGAGTGGGAATTAGGGCGTAAGGATGCAGGTAGACACCAATGGTACATTGGCTGCTTGAGCAGTCCCGCGTGGTGCTTGTTGTTGTTGTTGTTGCTGTTGTTGTTGTTGTTTGCATGCGACGAGGCATTACTCATACGAGCGTGAGCGACATTGCTGTTTTGATGCTGTCATAACTTATGCATATGCGCCAGATGATAAATCCACCCTCGGGAGTGGAAGGTGTAACTCGACGTTGTTAATTCTAAGTTCTTAAGACAGATGCAGATGGATGGTCATTGGTGGGGCTGGCACCGCAAGGACTCGCCAGACATGTGATGAACGTTTGGACCCTGACTTGAAATGTTGCACCAGACTTTTATTTTCCGCCCTCCACCAAGTGACTGGTACCCATGATCGACAGCGTCCTGTTTGTTCAGGATTGCAAAGCTCCGGCGACGCCAGAGCGTTTCTACTACCAGCCACGACCTCGTGTCAACCTCACCCAGGTCCAGCCCAGTGCCATCATTGATCAACCACCATGGCATCGGGAGCATTCCTCAACCCCCAAAAGGCGCTCCTTCTCGCCCCCCTGGTCTCGTCCACATGCTCCCTCGTCTTCGCCTGGGACCAAAATGTCTTTCTCAGCATCTTCACGAGCCCGGAAGTCAGCGACCGCATCAACCCCATCCTCCCCAGCTACTGGCGTGTGTTCTTCCCCCGGGGCCTCACCCACGTGGCGTCCTTCCTGGGCATGACGACATGCACCTCCATCGGGGCCCTCGTCTATCACAAGACGCTGCTGCAGAGGAAGGGCGCCTGGTTTTGCTATGTGGCCACTGCGGCGTTGGCCGTCGGCCACTTGGTCTATGTGCCGTTTGTAGCTCCGGCCATCAAGTACATCCTCGACGACGAGGGGGGCAGGTCCAAGGAGAGGAAGCTTGCGGAGCCGGGGGACCGGAACGTGGACATGCAGAAGCGATGGCTGTGGTATAACATGGCGAGGTTGTTGACGACAGACTTGGGCGCTTGGCTTTGCTGTGCGTTGGGTGTTATGAAGACGTTGGACGTGGTTGAGTAGGCAGTTGGGGGCCCCGGGGGCTGGTTTTCACGATACCTGCCATTGTATTTGTATGGAAGACTGGGCTTGGTGTCTACTCTCTGGTGGCAATGACCGTGCTCCTTGCTTCCTAGTCACCGGCGTTCCCTTTGCTTGATGTCCCGAGTGCGTTTCGTTGTTGGGGCTGCATGTTGGAGGCACCACTGCATCTGGCGTGAGTACATGCAATGTTCCCGACACGAACAACTGCAAGAATTAGTCGCGTGAACTGTGCGGCCACCTCTCGTACATCCCCGGAGCGACTTTGTGAGGGCACGCCGGCCACACTCTCTAGTTGAGCGATGTGTTTCTTATGGATTACTTTTACAACCAACCCCACCGTTCAGTTGCTGGCCATCTCGCTTACTTTGAAGTAGCAGCCTAAAGCATAGAACCCGTCTGGCGCCATCCGCGATGCCATGACTAGATTCGTATGAGATGCCCTTCGCGTACGAGACGACCACTGGCAGGATCTTCCATTCATGGGCAGCTGGCTGCCTCGAGAAGTTCTCTCCCACACAAACATGCTCCTGGGCTAGCTACTGCCCGGCTTTTCTCTCACGAGATGCGCGGAGAACATTTTCGAAGGTGGTCAACGCAAGGAGTACGTTGCCCATATCGTAACTTGCGGCGAAGTTGCTAATAGCTGGAAGGTGAAATTGAGATCGTACCTGGTCTCAGCCCGGGGATTGCCAATGTCTAGCGCGTACATATATCGCAGTTACGTCGAGCTGCTGCCGCATACGTACCGTGCCGCAATATCAAGCATGCGTACCATATCGAGCGGTGGCATGTGCATGACGCCGCGTATTTTGTATTGAGGGTGACCATCTCTCGCTCTCTGGCTTCAAGTTGGCTGACGGTGATTCTTGACGACGCAACGCTATTTTTTTCTTCGGCCGAGTCCCTCTTGTCCGAAAGCCAGTTGCTACACGCTTGTGAAGTCTGGCCCTCCCTGGTGCTTCCAGGTTCATATGTTCATATGCGCCAAGGGGAACGCAGGTCCCTGGGTTTCGGGAAGTGATGAAACTGCAGCTCTGTGATTCGTATGAGGCACCTAGCGAATCCGAGGATGTCAGTTGATAGGAAATACACGTTGTCTTTTCCATACCTGTATATTAGTGAGGAGTGTTACAGTCTCTGTAAAGAACTTCCTGGGTCCGGTCAACGGCCTTCCTGAGCTGTCTGCGACAGCTCTTGAACGATCAATCTGGCGAACAGTACGAGGAGCTGACAATTGCATCTATGCGGCGCTCTTCTCTACAACGGCTAATCGAGTCGAGCGGTCCATACTGCACCGAAATTGCTGAATCCCGGCGGCGAGGCACCATTTCCAGGGTATTTGCTGTCGACTCCGTAGTCATTTGTTTGCGCAAGGCGATCAAGACGTACGGTTTTCAGCAAACAGAAGACGATTCATGTTATTGTTATTTTTTTTTACCCATGTCGCCCTGCCATTGTAATTCAATTTGACTTGCCAGCTGCCGGCGTGACTGTTTGGCACCTGGCATGCCATGCCGCACGCGCAACTCCAACGCCCGGCATCTGTTTCAGCCCATGCACGGTACGTGTTGCGTCGCATTTTTTTGTCGTCTTCCTCGAGTTAGCGATTCATCCTTCTTCTCAACAATCGAAAACCGTTGGCAAAGTCCGGCTCAGCCACTATGACAGTGGACGAAAGGCAATACAGCTGGGAAGGTGAGAAGGTGCTCTTGCAGCTCCCAAGTACGGTTGTACCAGAGAACACGGACGGTGATGCTTCACCATGTCCGTGGCTTGATACAAGCCCGAGTTGACCATCTCATAGGTCTCTCTCCGCGTGTGTTGACAGCGGTCAGCTCCCAGGGCGGCGGCAAGACGTGCGCATCGTACTCGTTGCCAGCTCGCACCCACCAACACGTCCAGAAAACATGGCTTGGGCGGAGTCTAAGGGAACCCGGGCATGTCGGGAAATTCAGAACCGACCTTTTGTGGAAATACGAGACGAGAGCCACAGGGTAGCATTCTTACATTCCCTCTGCCCTTAGATCCGGTTCCCCTGCCCTGTCAGCGGTCCGACACATACGCCATCCGTGGCGCGATCCAGCGTGGTGGCCATCGATCCGCCGGGTTATCCGCTTCGAAGGGAGCTGCAACCGGCCATCAGGGGGCCCGGTGGTGCCAGTGAGGCGCAGGGCCGCGAATGCTGTGCCGCCATCCCGTCTTCTGCCTCTCTCCAGTCCGCTCTGTCCCCTTCGCTCCACCACCGAACGTCCGTTGCTGGAAGGGAACATTGGATTTTAGCATGCAGGGCGACAATATTGACGTGGCTGCTGGTCCGGGCTATGCGACACGCGTTGCCTCTGGTGCTTGAGCACCGGGTGGCATTTGCAGTGTTTGCGAAGATCCATCGGTCCCTTTCCCCTGAAGATCTCGCTCGTCTTGGAGGGGGATGGCCTGCCTTTCCAAACCCACGCTGTTAGAGATGGCATTGATTGTCTACTATTATAACTACTCCCTACGCCGTGCCTCGGACCGCACTGCGGGATTCGGTGCGAAGTATTCTGCTATACATAGTCCCTGATGCATCAGCCCGTGCCACGACATATGCTTTGTTTCCCATGGTTCGTTCTTCCCCAGTTGGCCGACATCATATCTCCAGTTCGCCAGCAGAGATTCCTTTTGCACACCGTCTTGTGGTGCCTGCTCCAGAAGGGTAAAAAAAAGGGCCACACAATTCGAGAACAGATTCCACAAAAGACAGCAGTGTAAAGCCATAAAAAAGGCCACCCGGCAATGCATTCTAAAAAATACCAGGAGACGGTGACATTTGGGGAGATCGCTCCACAGTACGAGAATATCCGGTTCGCGAGGAATCAAGGTCATGGCCAGCTCGTGGCGACGAGTCGGCCGTTGTGGAACCCACGATACTGGTCGAGAAAGATTTGGATAGCCATCGTGGTGGTTGTGGCGATTATCGTGGCGATTATTATTGCTGTTGCCGTCACCGTGACCAAGAAGAATGCGTATCCAGACTATTCGGCGCTGAAATACGACTTGCGGGATACCTGTGAGTAGTATTTGCTGTCCCGAGTCCAAGTTGAGTTGCAGGGTTGAGCTGACGGCACGTAGACGGCGGCGAGACCTTTTTTGACCAGTTTAACTACTTTACTGGCTACGACCCTGGAAAGTCTCTCACTATCTCACCTTCTCACCCGTCCACGGGCTACTAACAACTCTTATAGCTCACGGCTTGGTGCACTACGTCCCGCGAGCAGATGCCGTCAACCGTGTAAGTCGCCCGCAACACCAAACACCAACCATCCCCATCATTACCACCACGACTAATAGTTGCCCAGAACCTCACCTACGCCACGCAGAACTCAGCCTTCCTCCGCGTCGACACCGCCGTAGGACCCGACTCCAATCCCAACGCCTCAACCGGCCGCTTCTCCGTGCGCCTCGAATCCAAAAAGACATACAATAGCGGCCTCTTCATCTTCGACATCAAGCACACCCCCTACGCATGCGGCGCCTGGCCGGCGCTCTGGCTCACCGACCCGTCAAACTGGCCAGACCACGGCGAAATCGACATCATGGAGGCCATCAACCAGGGGGCCGCTGGAAATACCATGACACTCCACACCACCGGCGATTGCTCCATGGGTGTGAGGCGGAAGCAGACCGGCGAGACGGACCAGGAGAACTGCGACCATGGCGTCAACAGTAACGCCGGCTGTGCGGTCAGGGAGAGCCCTTCGACATTTGGACCGAAGCTCAACGATGCCGGCGGCAGCGTCATGGCCGTGGAATGGAGGAGGGCCGGCATTCGCATGTGGCAGTTTGCCAGGAGTGCCGTCCCGAGTGACATCGCGGGCAAGCAGCCGAATCCTACGACTTGGGGGACTGCTGCTGCGGATTTTCCAAGCACGGCCTGCGACATCGGGTCGCGTTTTAAGAACAATTCCATCATTGTCAACATTGACCTGTGTGGCGATTTGGTCTATGGAAGCTGGGACAAGTCTGGATGTCAGTGGTCGCTCGTTCTTTTTCTTTCCTTCCTTTTTGTTGAGGTGTCGTGAAGCTGACCAATTGCATGTTCAGGCCCTGGTACCTGTCAAGATGTCGTTGCGAATCAACCCGACTCGTTCAAGACGGCCTTTTGGGAGTTTGGCTCGTTCGAAGTCTACCAGTCGACGTGAACACGTCGTCCTATGCCAATTATAGATGACGTTTATATGGAATAACAGGACGGCGTCGAGGTGATTTGGGGTTCATATCAATTCCGAATTAGTAATACTCTGACATTTCATACGTGCCCAAAAAAGGGATTGTGGTCATTGATTGTAGTCTATAGCTGCCCTCGCAGCGGGTATTGTACAGGCCTTGTAATACAAAGCATCCAGCTCCCCCTTCCCCCCGTAAGTGTGCTCTAGCCGGAACTCCAAGAAAACAGAAAAAGAAAAAACAACCCCGTCTCTTCTCGTACACAAGCACCATTCGACCATCCCCGCCCACGGGCCATTTTGACCCGGGACTTAGTCCTCCTTTGGCTGTCTCATCCAAGTGTCGATGGCCGCGCTAAAGGCCGCAAACGCAATACACCCACCGGCCATGGCCTGCGGGCCAGCGTTCTTTGCTAGAATACCGCCCGTCAAGCATCCTGCGGCCACGCCGTTCGCGAGGTCGTTCTTGGCCCGCAGGCCCTCGATGCCGCACTCGATGCCGGAGAACAAGGCGCCGACCTTGCCGAAGTTTTTGGCCATTGAGAAGGAGCGGGTGCCCATGTCTTTGAAGCCGTGCTTGAGCTGCTGACGGAGCGGCAGGGACGAGATGCTTTGGCCGGCGCTGTTGGTGACGGGCGTGCCAAACGGGGTGTCGTAGGACATCTGTCGGCGGTCAGGGGGGGGAGGTGGTGGAAAGTGAGGCGCGAGGGGAGACGTACAGAAGCCATGAACATGCCGAAGAGGCCACCCATGCCGAATCCCATGACTCCTGACATGACGGATTTGCCGAAGCAGGACTCCATGGCGGCTTGGACCTGCAGAGGTTAGCCGAGGGACACGGGGGAGTCGGAGTGGCAGAGTGCGTACGGCCTTGACGCCCGGGTCCTGAGGGCCCAGGCCGGACGGGGGTGCGCCAGTGCCAGATGAGCCTCCCGGGAGATTCATGATGTGTCGCAAGAATCGGGTGTCTACTCTGCGGCAAAGAGTTCCTTGCCAGGGCTCCTGGTTGTAGGCCGGCGGAAGAGATAATTTCTGCTGGTTCCCACCGCCTTCGGGGATCGGCCCCGCCGACCGAGATGCGGCTGGTTAAGTGGGGCGCTGCTCACGCAGCACTTCGGCACTTAAATTGCCATCCAACAATTCTCGATGTTCCAAGTCCGAGGACCAGAAATGTCATGAGCATGGGGCGCGACGAGCATAGCAATGGGATCAATCCATCCATGCTTTGCTGGCCCCCAAGTACTCCGTAGCGCTTTCAAATTCAATTGTGATGTGTTGAATTTCCACGTGCCGTCACCTCGCATGACCTCGGTCGTACACCGACTCATCACTCCGACCCTACTCTGACATCTGGAGATCGCGAACAAAATCCGTCCCCAGAGTAGCTAAGCAACGCCTATGCACGCAAAGAGGCCACCATGCCCGTAGTTTGGGCCGCGACTCCGGCAACGCTTTCCTTCCGCCCTACAATTTGACCTGTCGGTCTCCTTCATCTGTTCGACATTGTTTTCTCGTTCGCTAGACGTCGTTTCTCTTTGCTTGGCTCAGTTCCTGGATTCGTCCCACTATCAACCATTCACATTGCCCTGTTGGTTGTGAACTCAAAAAGTTGACTTTTTTCTTGGAATTGCGTACCCCATTCTTTGACACCTTTGATGGGCTTGTTGCCTTGGACCTTCTTTGTTCACTAGGTAATAATCTCAAGGGTCGGGAACGTCAACGCCAGTCATATGGTTGCGAGGATAGGGACTTCGGAAAGAAGGTGGGCAGGTCAGGAGGATTGTGCTCATCCACAGATTCGATCGCACAGTGACTGAAGACAAGTGATTGCCCCACTGTTCACATCGAACACGAGTCAAGGGTGAACTTCAGAATCCATCCATCGGCCCACGAGGCTGTGGGGGTTGGACGCCACCACGGGCAGCAAGAAACACGGCAAGGTTGCGTTCCAGTTTTGAAAACTGCAAAAGTCAGAAAGTTGGCAGCAATTGTTAGACCAGAAACAGGTGGCGAGACGTACAAAGCTCTTTTGTTGCATTGGCACTACGCCATCCTTGATCCAGAAGCCCCAGCCGCCCATCATATTCGCCAGCATCATGTCCGTTGTCAGTCTGTCTCCAACGACGGCTATGTGCGACGGGTCTGTAACCCCGGTTTCCGGGTGCCGTGAGTAGTAGTCCATTATCTCGCGCGCGCATCCAGGCTTCTTCACAGCGTGTGGAAGTACGTGGAGACCAGTGCCCCTTTCAACCTCGGCAGCTTGCTTCAGGTCCTTGTCCCAGCTGGCGGCCCCGGCAGTATTCGAGACCACCAACAGTTTGCGGCCCGGATACGCCTGTTTCAAAGACTCAAAGTGTTTCTGTGACGGCTTAAATAACAGACCATGGCTTGGGCAATGTTTGGGGGGGGAGTAACCTTGTATGGCTCGTAGACCTCCTTGGCATCTGGATATGCGAAGCAGTCATCCTTGTCAAGGACCACAGCTCTTATGTCGGACTTGTAGCCCTTGTTTCTCAATGCCCTGTCCAGGGGGATTGGCAGATCGTTGAACGTTGAGACGGTGTGGTGCGGCAGGCACAAGCCCGGCTTGAATAGCAGCCGTGTGGCGTTTAACGAAGCCGAGAGGTTCGGGTTCATGTCTGGCGGCGGCGGCGGCTTGCAGCAACTGTCAAGCCGTGAAGAGACGGTGCGTACGCGACACAGTCCAAGTTGTGTTGACTTTTGACGACAACGCAGCGAGGGCAACGCAGTCTTGAGATGCACACGTTTTCGTAGCCCCACCGGCCGGGCGGTTGTCGGAGGCTCGGAGCTTCGCCGGGCGGAAATCCATTAAGCTTGCCTGACGCGTTTTGGACGCGCCTTGCGACGACAGACTCTAAGCCGTCGCAACTGCGATCCGCAGACATCACCGCCATGACCAGGAGTAAGTCGCTGGCCGAGGGTTCTCCTCCGGGAAGCGAGCCACGCTCAGTCCGAAAGCGACCTGTCGACGCAATGGACCTCGATGGCGATGCCACACGTACAAAGCGACGGCGAGGCTCGACCCGGGAAACTACCAACGCCCAGTCGTCGTCCACAGACGACAGCGAAACAGAGGGTCACGAAGAGGAAAACCAAGCCGCTGCCAAAGACATGCACCCCCCGTCAACAGATGCCGTGGAAACTCCCCAGCCGACGCCCAGACGCAGAGGACGACCCCCCAAGTCACAGTCGCAAGCCAGCACGCCGTCCAAGACGCCCGCCAAGTCAATCTTCGCAACGCCCGTCAAGCATCACGAGACCGAGTCGGCGACGCCAAAAAGACAAGCAGCCGATCGATCGGCCCGAAAGAAGAGCGCCAGAGCCCTCATAGAGAACGTCCTTGGCGACGGCGATGACGACGAGCAAGAGGACGACGACGACGTCCTCGTGCGGGAGATATACGAGGACAGCGACGCCGAGGACCTCGCTGACCGTGCAGGCGCCGCGACCGATGGACTCAACGGCGCCGCGCCGGGCAGTGCCACTCCGTCGAAGGCCCGAAAACCCAGACCCAGGCCCAACAGAGCAAAGTCCCCAACACCACCACGAGACCTACCTCCCCACGAGCTCTACTTTGCACACAACAAGCCCGGGAGGCCAAGGACGTCCGACAACACGCTCGGCTCCCTCTCGCTGCTCACGCACGACGAGTACTTCGGCGTGCTGCACCATCACAGGGACCCCCACGCCGACGACGTCGAGCACCTGGAGAACCTCCACGCCGAGTCCTTCCCCCAATGGGCATTCGAACTGTCCCAAGGCTACAGCATATGCCTCTACGGATTCGGGTCGAAACGAGCGCTGCTGCAAAAGCTCGCCCAGCACCTGCACGCCAGCCCCCGCGGCAAGCCGGCGCGACGAACCGTCGTCGTCAACGGCTACGCCCATGCAGCCGCCACGCGAGAGGTCCTCGCATGCATAGCCTCTGCCGTCGACCCGTCTCATAAAACACCCACGTCTACGCCCGCGGCCACCGTGCAAATAGTCTGCTCTCAGCTATCCAACACCAATCTCACCCTCACCCTCATCATCAACTCCATCGACGCACCGCCGCTCCGGAAACCGGGCACGCAGGACATGCTGGCCCGGCTGGCCGCCCACCCCCAAATCAACCTCGTCTGTTCCGCCGACACGCCCGACTTCCCTCTCCTCTGGGACATTGGCGTCCGCTCCGCATTCAACTTTGTCTTCCACGACTGCACCACCTTTGCGCCGTTCACGGTCGAGCTAGACGTCATTGACGAGGTCCACGAGCTCCTGGGCCGCAGGGCCCGTCGCGTCAACGGCAGGGAAGGTGTGGCATTCGTGCTCAAGAGCCTGCCCGAGAACGCCAAGAATCTGTTCCAGCTACTCGTCGGCGAGGTACTCATCGCCATGGAGGAGGACGAGGGGAATGCGGTGGACGAAGCAGCAGGCGTCGAGTATAGAATGGTGTATAACAAGGCGGTGGAGGAGTTCATCTGCAGCTCGGAGATGGCCTTCCGGACGCTGTTGAAAGAGTGTGTCGACCTCTTGACCCCCCCTGCCCCTTGCTTATGTGTGCGGGTGCTGACTTGTCCAGATTCCATGACCACCAGATGATTACGAGTCGCAAGGATGCGCTGGGCACGGAACTGCTAAGTGTGCCGTTTCCAAAGGATGAATTGGAGGCTATTTTGGAGGACTTGATGTCATGAGGGGACACCTATCACGCAGCTCCATGGACCGGGTCACGAGGCCTACGAGTAGACGATGGAGCTCAGGTAATGGCAAAACTAGACATCATTCTATTGAGCTGAACATGAATCGTGTCATCGTCAATTATATACGTCTCCACGCCCTAGGGCAGCGCTCATATCCAGCCCGGTGTGTCCTACATATGCATGCTTCTCTTTCTCCGTCTCCCTCTATGAGCCTAGACTTTTCACGCATGTCCACAAAATGACCGGAACAATTACATTATCGTTACCCCCAGTCAAGACCGCCTCGGTAAGACTCCCCATCGTCGCGCAGATGCCCGCATTCCTGACGCTGACATGCCATCCGACCGGTTCATCCGTCGTCGGCCACCCTCCAATGCGCAACCACATCTCCGCGGCCGCCAGTCCAGCAAACACGACAACAGCGAACGCAAGGCTCCCTTCGAGACTCTTCCCTCCGCCCCAGAGCCACTTGCGGTGTCCATAGCGACGCCCAAGAAGTGAAGCTGCAGCGTCGCCGAGGCCAACGCATATGACGCCCGACACCATGCTGACATCGCGTGTTGGTACTTCCCAGCCTGATAAGCAGCCTGTTCCCGCGCGGGAGAGTGCAGCCAGCGCAAGCCAGAGGGGGATTGCGCAGCCAATGAGCAGGAAGATGTGAGAGATGACAACAGGGCCGCGAAAGTCTCTGCCGTCGACGTAGGGGGCCAGAAATGAGGCAATGGGTTTGGACAGCGGCGGCAGTTGACTTGCTCTGAGAAGATCGAGAATCAAGAACACGGCAAGGATGAGCGACAGTGCAAGACCAGCATACGTTGGGTCAACGTATACGGCGGGAAGAAACATTCCCACCATCATAAAGTGAAACACCTTTCGCCTGGTGTCGACCTCGTACATCTCCTTGAGCCTGAATACGACAACTAGACCAAAGACGAGAATAGCGAACCAATACGCGCTGAGGATGAGGCGAGTGTTCGCCTCGCCAAAGGTATCATGGCGAAGATGTTGAACCCAACCGAGATGGCATTCTTTGGCGCCGTCAGTCGCTGGAAGGCAAATCCATCGCTCGACATTGGCATGAACAACCTGGAATCTGAACCAGGGTATATTGCCAAACATGTATCCCAGAGCCCAGCCGATCGGTTCGTGACCATCCAGGGCAAACTTCTCGACATAGATTCGCACGCCGACGAGTATGATTCCAACAAGAGCAGCGTACACATAGGCTGCATAAGCCCATTTCCGTACGACAGCCTGCCCTTGTGTCAGTCTGATATAAGGACGGAGGGAAAGCGACATGGCCCGCTTTCGTCTCCCGGATGGAGTACGTGCAGAACTCTTCCGTGAGTGGTCAGGATATGGGATCGTGTGTCGTCGAGAGACACCAACGCTGGCGCCGTTGGGTGGCGTTACGCCAGAAGCGCCAATAGACTGTTTGGTGCTGGTGATATCGGCATTGGGACCAAGGGTTTGGACTCGTAGTAGACCCCGGAAGCTTGATATATCATCCTCGTCATCACCCGATGATGCCGTCTCGTAGGGACTTTCGTCGCATACAAACCCTACGAGGCCATTTTTTATCCGGTGCCAGGACAAGAGCCTCCGGAAGTCTTTGCAAAGTCGATATTTCTGTAAGCTTGACGGTCGTCTAAACCGCCACTTGGGCACTCGTGCCAGCGCAATGCCCCATCTGATAACCGGTCCGCAAAATACAAGCACAGAGAGACCCCCGCCCCACAAAAGACCCTTGAGAATCTTCGCTTGAGGTGATGCCGACAGGATAAGCACATTAATTAATGCGATAGATAGCAGCTGGAGTTCGGCGGTCAAGAGGCTGGTTGTGGTAAGGTGGTGCAAGACAATACACAATGTCTGGTGAACGGGATATAATAATACAAGCGCTTCTCCGGACAAGAATGAGTACGTTGGGTCAAACCTGGACGAGTCTGACGCAGGTCCCCAGACCAGAGGTAGGCATGACAGTGCCCAGTGAAGGGCGTCGTACGATGTATCGACGTGAAGCTTTGGTATCAAGGCCTGCGGTAAGGAGCTAATGCTCAAGATAATGCTAGGTAGAATTGTTCCTGGATTTGTTGGAGCAACCAACAAACAGACGAACGTGGTAATCGCGGGAGGGTATAATAAAGGGGCAGGGTCAAAGTTGGTCGGGATCCGGAGTGGGATCCATTTCGATGGTCGCCTCTTTGCAAGGCCCCAAGCCAGAACTCTCAACGGATACAAAACCAACAAGGCCAGGTATAATAAACTCAATAATTCAAAATCTGTCGGCCGTTGGTCAACATGACCAAACACAAGTTGCGTACACACATACCTCTTCTCCAGACACGAAATAAGGGGGCGACGTGGCTACTCGTCACAACCATGCATCCTAGCGATGCCACAATACTCGCCTCGGTTACCCGTTGCACCAGAATCCTATTTCGTCGCAAAAGACCGAGCCGGCGTTTCTTAGGCTGTCCCAACTGGGGACGAGATTTGTGTGATGTAGCCCCCAGATAATCGTCATCCAGGGCAGCTGGGGACGGCACAGGCGTTGTAAGCCCTGATATGGGTTCATCGTAGTCTCTCAATCCTTTGTGTAGCCTGCTCTTTGGTGCTGGAAGGCCCTTGAGAAAGTGTTCATCATCGGCCTCGGTGCCGCTCTCAGTCGCAGGCGAAGATTCTTTGGAGAAGTCGGCAAGACGCGTCAGCGTCAGGTGCGCCCCATGGTCACGACCGTCGCGGGCCAGGGTGTGCGTGGTAAAACGCTCCGACAAATGCGGCAGCTCGGAGCTCTGGTGGTGATAGGGATGGGGAGAGCGGTCCAGCGCACGCAGCGCGTCGTGCTGCTCTAGGCCAGAAGACGCCAGCGAAGCTGCGTCGACGTTCTGTGCCATTTGATAAGGTTGGAAAGTCGAATCGCTCGAAAGAAACCATTGATCGCGGCTGCGGAGCTGAGCTTGCAAAAAGGGGGAGTTTCGAGGGACAAAGAACCCAGGTAGAAGGTGCCTGCCTAGATGATTAGCTGGGGCTGACTGGATCAAGACCACGGATGAGGCGCTGGACTAGCAACAGTCGAGATCATTGGGGTTGCTTCGGATTCTCGACAGCGAGCCGATATGGGATGGAAATGATGTTGTTGTGACGAAGCTGAGGTGGGGAAATGGAGCTCGCCAGCGCATGCGATCCGCTAGCTCGTACCTGAGAAGTCCCGCGTCGGTCGGTCGAGGGACTTGTTTTGGGACGCGGCAGCCGCAACCGTCGTCGGTGCCAGTCGCCAGTCTTCTTGACAGACGGTGCTCCTCACCAGCTGAGCATGGCGTGGGAGCGACCGACAAAGGGAAACTAAAGAGGCTTGCTGCATACCAGGTCGAGTGAAGTTGATCATGTTGCTCTTTGTCGTTCTTTTCATACTCGAGCACTGTCGTCATCATTCGTGCTTTGTTTCGATTCGGCGTCCCCACGCAGCTGCATCCTTCGTCGGCAGCCTGGACCACTTCTTCAAGGAGGCGAGGGACCCGAAGGGCAAATTTATTACGTGCTGGAGAAACATTTGAGAGTGTAATAAACCGCGACACACACTAAGTACCGTTCGTTCAGTGCATTTGTGCTGTCTAAGAAGTACTTACTTAAGTAAGTACCTACTTAGGGTACTTAGGTGCTTGAGTAGGGACGCCTGATTGCCCCGTCATGTACTGAATACCCAGCGCTCCATGTAGGGAGGTACTGAGTAGCAGGTCACAGGTACCTACTTGGTTGGTGACGCACAATTCAGTATGCCTTCACTCTTTGCCAAGGAAATAACGCGGACAGGAATCCTCACTCGCCACCTTTGCCTCAGAAAGGCGTGCGGTAACTACCAGGCTACTAGCCCACTGAAGCCACTGGCCGCTGCTGGTCTCTCGGCTCTGTGGCTTCGCGGCTGCGCCGCCACTGGCCACGCAGCAACTAACGTTACTACGTTAGTAAGTAACTTAACTTCCAAGGTTGATATCTAAAATAAGATTCTGCATGTGGCACCAGACCAGACCACATTCTGAAGCATGTCCGTCTCCGTTTGCTCCCTCCAACGCACAGCAGAACCATGACCATGTCAAGCGTCCCGCCGATTCACTCTTGCACAAGATCCGGGCGCTTAAGGCCCTGGGACTCTGACTAAAGTGCCAGCATTTACCGCCATGCAGCAGTCTGAGCTTGGCAATGGACCGAGACCATGCAGAGGACAACCACCATAGAACGTCCCCAGCCGCCCGAAATATGTGCCGCCAATATGGGTAGACGCTAAGGTGATTTGGTACGTATGAGAAATTTTACGGCATGAACACACGCCTGGGAAGACGAGTTGCTAAAATTGGCAGATCTGATATACTCGAGGCATCAAATCACTGATACTCGCACCGAGTATACAGGAGTGATATCTGTGCAGGGCATGCATGAATGGTGGTGGCCCCGTACTATGTTGACGCGGTCTGGCAAAGCACTCCCGGTCCACGTACTCCGTACCCCGTACACAATACGACGCCAACGAGAATACGGCATGTCGACAAGATGTATCATCAGTGAGGGCTGTGTTGATTGGTGCGAGCAGACGAACCGCAGACAGCAATCAAGTCGGCGTCCGACGTCGACGACACTCGTGGACCCCGGCCTCGGGGAGGGACAATGCATCTTGGTGTTGCGGGCGGGAAGGACGGAGTACTCCGTACTGCGTCTATCGATCAAGGCTACTGGACGAGTAGACACGGACAGCGGTTACGCTTTATTTTAGCTGGTTTGAATGGTTGACTCCTCGTATCACCAGTGCACCAGCGGGACAAGATACGAGTCTCGGCCCTCCTCCATGTGCCACGCACGCATACTACGTCAGCTACCTAGCTACTTGGACCCTCGGCACGCGCACAGCGAGATGCGCGGCCGATTCTGTCTGGGCAGCAAACCCATTGCCGTGGGAGACCAGCTGAGCGACTTCGACTTGGCGATGCCGCGAGGGGAGGGTCGGCCCACGCGTACCGCTCGACTTGCTTTCCTCAGCCTTCGCAGTTCTGGTCGGCTTGGAACAACATTTAAAAACTCTAAAATAGAGGAACCATGGCAAAGGCGTTGGACGCCGTTTGGGTCTGGTGGCGTCTTGGCCGAATGCTGCCCCTGTCCGATCGATTGGCGCTGCTCTGCTCAACTGCCATGGCGAGTGGGGGGCACACAAAGCACGACCCTGACAGGGGGTCAGTGGCAGCGTCGCGGGGGGCGTGTGGGCGTGTGCTGGCCTGGCCTGGCCTGGTCAGGGCGATTGCGTCAGAATCAGGCGTGTTGGAAAACCTGTGAAGCGTGCTTCAGCTCTCGTGTCTCGAGCGAAGTTTCTCCCATTGCCAAGCGCCGTCGCTCGTTCCTTGTTGTCTTGATAAACCTCGAGGCCGAATGTTTGTGCATTTGCGTGTCGAGTTTTTTTCTTCTTTCTGCCCCTTTTTTTTTTTTGTTTTGCCAAGCCTATCTGGGCTACTGATCCCCGGCCGACACTCTGCTCTGCTCTGCTCTGCTGTGCTGTGCTGTCGCCGTGGCGGGAACCGGCTTCGACTTCGGGTTGCGAGTCATCGATATTCTCACGGCCTCGCTGTGCCCAGAAAGGCCCAAAGGCTGATATCGGTCTGATCTCGTGGGCTCCACCGAGAACAAATATATCGTACCAGCCGTCGTACAAGACGACTCTCGAGCTGACCAGCTCCACTGGATGTGTCCGCCCAAAGCGCATGTGTACATGCCGAGCACGCTCACTTGCTGACTTCGAACCAAGAGACGACGGGACCTGAACTCTGCACGGCTCCACGTCTGCCGCTTGAGAACAGCTCAAATCACAAAATCATCACGTCACTGCGCACTCGATCCGCTGCCCGTGGGCTGTCTGGCGGCTGCGTCACACTGCGTGCATTGCCTCCCCCGTGTCCATCTTTCTTTAAACGCCTCCCGCTGCCTTGGCGGCGTTACTATTCGCTCTGCATACTCCGTCCAGCGGCCAACATTCACGGCAGCTCGATTGCTTCGTGTCACCAGACCTCATTGACAGGCGCACTCCCAATTCCGCAGCCTTTGTTTTCGGTCTGGAGTGCCGGGGTCTCAGGTTCCCGTATCAGACCCCATCACGTCTCCGCTTATATTCCCAAGTTGCTGCCATCAGATAACTGTCAGGAGGGGTGAAGAGGCTGAGGACGACCGAGCACCTCGAACGCTGCCCGTCTCCCCTCTTCCATCCAATCACTCTGCCTGGTCCTCTGTTGATCTCAAGGGAAGCGTGCGTTACCTTGCACGGGTCCGAGTCGTCTCTTGCCGTCTCTGCTGGTGCACCGACCAACTACATAACACCCTCTAGTCCCAACTCGCCTTGTCACAATGCTCTCTTCGATAACGACGGACTATGGCGACGCCCGACTGGAAAGGGGACTCCTGACGGCACACCAAGAGGACAAGAACCCATCCACTCCATCTGGACTTCAACAGCCCCGTCCCGGACCACCATATCCTCAACCGGAAACAGCCGACGAGTCCCGGAACATGTCTTCCCTGAAGCGGATCGTCATGATGGTCATGCTGAGCGGGCTCCTTGCGTTTGGCTTCGCTCTGGCCAGGGACCCTTCCTTTTCTTCATCTTGCCTGGGATGGGCCTGTGGCAACGATCATGTCCACATGAAAGCCTCTCGTACCTTTCTGGCAAAACGTGCCAACGACTCTGCCACCAACGTTACTGCGCCCGGAGCAACGACGGAGCATAGTCCATCTGGCGCCAGCACGGGACACCCGACGACGCCCACCTCATCTACGACTCCGACTTCATCTAGCCGTAAGTACAGAACTATTCAAGCACCGCCCAAGTGTATCATCTCCAACTCAGAACGGGAACCATAGATGAATCCACCATAGCAACACCCTCGTCGACCAAGAGTCCACAGTCAATCTCCTCTACTACCAGCTACATTGAAACGTCAACGCCTCCGCCCACAACACCACAGGCCAGCCCGACAAGCTCTGCTACTGCGAACTCATCTTCCTCGAGCACCTCAACCAGCTCCCGAGGGCCTGAACCAAGTCTCCCTGGTACGTCTTCAACGAGACACGAGACTGTCTCCGAATCTTCTTCCTCCAGTGTAACGCCAGTGTCCTCCTCCAGTACGTTGCCAACAGATGACCAATCCTCTTTCTCATATTTTTCCCTCCAAACCACCACTTTGTCCAAAGATTCGTTCACCGTGCCGCCCAGCAGGTTTACTGGTCCTTCTTCGAGTGGGTTATCTTGCTAGCGTTGTCCTTCGTTCCCCGGTCCTGCCCATGAGGCCAAATTATTTTGATTGCCCAAGTCGTCCTTTCATTTTGCCGACATGGCTCGTATTTACGAACATCTCAGTCCCCTCCCCACCCCATTTCCCCTTGCCTTTGTACTGCCAGTTACCCATAGCTATGTGATAGGCTTGACTGTCTAACTCCTGGCATCTCCAGCTCCACGGGATTCTTCCACGTCTTCAGTACCTCCTCTATCCACGGGTGCGTGTCCATTGCGTAAACAGCACAAGCCATGCAACAATTACTACATCTCCCTCAAGACCAAGACACGTGGTTTCCGACTTGATTCGCTGGCATTGAGTTGTCTCAAGAGTTGCTGACCGTTCGAACAGAAGCACCACCATCGTCTTCCGAGGAGGCTGTTTCCACTTCGAGCAAGATCCAGAAGACCATCACGGCCGGCCGGGTCGCCACCACCAGCCCGGTACCACACACTTACACCACCACCTTGCCCGACGGCGGTACTCGCACCGTGACATCTACTTCTTGGGTGGCCATTGAGCCCACCGGCCAGTCTGGTACCACCTCCGGACCTCGGCTGCAGAATTACGCGCCGAAAGCTCAGGGTCACTTCACGCTCGTTCTTCCTGCTGGAGCTCTGGCTGTTGGCATGTTACTGATTTAGACATTTATTGTTGTATCCTCTGAGCCCAATTTGGGTATTTGGAAACTTTTGATCAACAACGGCGATATGCATTGCATTGGCGGATTAGGTCTCATGATTTTAACGACTCTCCTTCACAGTCTCCAGGGACGAATAATTTAGACCATAGGCACGCAAATGCCCCATTGTATAGATTGCAAAGGCGGAGTAGAGGGGCCAGTGAGATGAGATTCCAGGGGTATGCGATTGTTTGTGACACTTTTCGGTACATGACATGCAGTTCGGGGAAGAAATAGTTGACAGAGCAGGTACCAGGCCATGGCGCAAGATTCCTTACGATGTGCAGCGATATCTTGGTCGGCACTACTTATTTGTAGGCAAATACATTGTGCAACAGACTGTGTAGAGGACATGGTGTCACGAATATCCAGTTTCTTCGCAGAAGGGAAATCGTTTGTATGCTCTCACTCACATGGACACATGCGAGCCCGAAGGCGTCCGAGATAACCACTGCTTAAAGTTGCGTGCGCGCTAGCTGAGAAGCCTCGCAAAGCCTCGCGCTACTAGGCCCTGGAAAACGTTGTTGAACGACGACCAGGACACCATGAGGCTCTATTCATAGCTAGTAACAGTAGCAATCACAGCAACAGCGACAGACAGGCTTGTATCAGTCGATTCGCTGACTCTTGCTATCTGTAGAAAGGAATCATGTTCCTCCGTCGCTAGATTGAGTGACAAGGACAATTTTTCGACTCTCCAATAGTCGTGGCCGTCGATTCCTTCATACAGAATTGCTCAAGGCTCACCAAGGTTGCGGTCATAATGACTGTTTTAGTCAACGGTATCCTCAAAACACCAAAACCAACGCCTGCTTTCGCCTTTTGTCCGTCTTCCAAAGCTATCCGCGCGACGACGCCCTTAGCCGGGACCTATCTTTGGCATGTCGTGATGTTCACTAAGTTTTGATAGGTACGTGTTGAGCTCCTCGACCCGTTCCTTGTGCGTTTTCAACAGTTCGGGCCGGGAACTCGACGATTCCGCCATCTTCTGTAGCTGTTCTAAAATTAGCCATGGCCACTTGTTCGGCGCTCGGCCGGCTGTCGTGTACACACCCTCTTCTTTCGGACCTCGTCGTATTTTCTCTCGGATTCGGTTTTTCGCGCAACTGCCGCGTCGTCGTCGCTGTGGCGGTCTTGGCCGTGCTCATCTGGCTGCCTCTCGTTTGCGGATGTGCCGTCCCCCTTTGCTGATGCGCCTTCGCCCGCCGACAAAGTCCTCTCGAGGCCGCTCTTGTCCCGCCTCTTCTTTTTCTTCTGGACCTTGGCGCCCTTGAGCTTGAGGGCGCCGCCGCCGCCGACCGCCGCGTAGTCGCCAGACGGCATTGTGCGTGGTGATGTGGTTGCGAGGCCGCCACCGTTCCACTCTGGTGACTTCTGGCTCCAAGTCGCACAGTCTGCTTAGTCACCCGGGTCAACGGACAGCCAGCCTGAGCCGGGGGCGGGCCCCTGCCGGACCCCTGCGGAAGCTTCTGATCTTTTGGGGCAGCCAATGAAATTCTTCAGCGAGCCGCTGCTACCCAGGCAGGCAGGCACCACCGTGCAGGGCTTTTGTCTCCTATTGACAGCTACCAAAGCGCGGCCCTTGTTGTTCGCATATGACGGACAACATCACCACATCACGACTGTTCTATCGCCGTTTTCAAGCCGGTCTTTGTCGTGCACGCCTTCCACAAAAAGCCCCTGCTTGGCTTTGCCGCGGCTCTTTTCACGCCTCTCTGCAACGTCACGGGCTTTGGTCCAAAGGCTTTTCTCTGCCGGGACACCGATCCTACGATTTTGGTTGACGAATGTGCCCGTCTCTTTCCTTTTTCCGAATATGAGCTATTCTTTCTAGCCCTCCCCTTTCTTTTCTTATTCCCCTCCCGCTACGGTATTGTGTTGCCTTGCCGACGACGACCGATAGTACAGAATACAAGCGCCCTGGACCGGAGGCTGCGTCTTCAGGGAGCTCGCGATGTCCCCTTATGCGGTGCATTCGCAGCCTCGAGACTCCCTAGAGCTTGCGTCGCTGGCGAGCTCGAGCATGATAGATGGCGGTGCGGCATCAGAGGTGTCGTCCAGGCCGAGCATCTCGTCCTCACGGAGGCTGTCGCTGGTGGAGGCAGAGGATCCCCTCGACGACGGCAACGACGCCGGAAGAGTAGGGCGGTCGTATTCGGTATCTTCGACATTTGACTTTGCTGCGAATTTGTTTCCCTTGAGCTCGACCGCCGGGGCGGGAGCGTACGCGCCAATTGGGGCCCCGACTTCTGGTGCGCGGTCCGGCGGCGCGCTGGGAGGAGCCTCGCTGGAGAAGCACAAGACGTTGACTTACCTGAACGGGCTGTCGCTCATCATTGGCCTCATCATTGGATCGGGGATATTCTCGTCGCCGAGTCAAATCAGCTCCAAGGTCGGCTCGCCCGGGGCTGCGATAGTGGTCTGGGTGGTTGCCGGGGTTCTGGCCTGGACCGGCGCGGCGTCGTATGCCGAGCTGGGCGGCGCAATACCGCTGAATGGCGGCGCGCAGGTCTACCTCGCAAAGACGTTTGGCGAGCTGGCTGGGTTCTTGTTCACCTGGACCGCCGTGTTGGTGCTGAAGCCTGGAAGCGCTGCCATCATCGCCATCATCATGGGGGAGTACTTTGTGCGGGCTGTCGTCGGCGCCGACGCACAAGCTGTCAACCCGTGGTTCAGCAAGTCGGTGGCGCTGCTGGCAATCTTGGCAGTCACTTGCTTCAACTGCATTTCTACGCGGATGGGCACGCGCATCAACGACGTGCTCATGTTCTTGAAGTTTGTGGCATTGCTATTCGTTACAGTGGTCGGTGTTGTGGTTGCCGTGAAGGGATATACGTTCAACGGCGAGGAGGACACGGCCTGGAAGCCACGGGACTGGTTCAACAATACCTCATTTGACCTGTCGGACTGGGCTATTGCATTGTACGGAGGCCTGTGGGCGTACGACGGGTGGGACAACGTACGTGATGATTTGTTCTTTTCTCCGCGCCTCGCCGTCTCGCCGGCTTCTTATCCACTAACCAACGGGCTTGCAGACGAACTATGTTGTTGGCGAGTTCCGAAATCCTCGCCGGGATCTCCCGCGAGTCATCCACTCGGCCATGCCACTGGTCATTGTGAGCTACGTGCTTGCCAATGTGGCCTACTTTCTCGTGCTGCCCGTCGAGCAGGTCAACGGTTCCAACACCGTGGCGGTCATGTTCGGATCCCAGGTGTTTGGATCCGTCGGTGCCATGGTCGTCGCCCTGATGGTCAGCGCAAGCTGTCTCGGCGCCCTCAACTCTTCCACCTTTACCGCAGGTCGGCTGGTCTACGTTGCGGGCAAGGAGGGCTACATCCCGAGTCTGTTTGGCAAAATCGGCATGCACATGCGGGGGGACCACAGCTTGTCGACCCAGCGGACCCGAAACTGCTTCTCCAAAAAGATGCACGGCCTCGTTGGAGACGGCGAGATGGGCCTCTTCTTCACGCCCATCTACGCCCTACTCCTCAACGGCTTCATCACCGCCGGATACTGCGTCGTCGGCGAGTTCCCCACGCTCGTCACCTTTTACGGCGTGGCCGGATACACGTTTTACTTTTGCACGGTCCTCGGCCTCGTCATCCTCCGCGTCCGAGAGCCGGGACTCGAGCGCCCATACAAGACGTGGATCACGACGCCCATCATATTCTGCTGCGTCAGTCTCTTCCTCCTCAGCAGGGCCGTCTTTGCGCGGCCGGTCCAAACTCTGGCCGTGGTCGGCTTTGTCGTGGCAGGCGTCCCCGTGTATTTTTGGCGCGTCCGGGGCAGGGGCACGCCTCGGAAACAGGGCAGCGATCAAGGGCACCGGCCGTGGTGGCGGTTCTGGAAAGTGAAGAGCTGAACGAGCATCAGCAGGCGTAGCGTTTTTTTCCTTTTTTTTTTCCGAGTGTATTTCTTCGTCTTGGTTATCGGAGCGGATACGTACCATTGGAAAGCAGAACATGTAGCCCTCGTCATGGGCACTTACTTGCCCAAACATGGAGAGTCAGTCAGTGGTCTCTTTTGCCCCTTTTTCTTTCCCTGGCCCATTTCCTCCCAGAGATACAAGTACACCAACCACCTCTAGGATGATCCCGGCAGGGATGGCGGGCTGCCAGTGACGAGACGGGCGGCAGTGCATCGACGATCGTGCAACGACACGCTCAAAATCGAGTGACACGATACCAAATGCACCAAGATGGATGTCGGCGCCCACAGTATGGCGTAGCGCCGGCAAGACGAACCTGACTGAACCTGCACGTGGGACCGTGGACGTGCATTGGAACGGTTGGGATAGATGGAGTGAGTGTCGCACCGAATTTTGGCAGCACATGAGCAGCGCGCCGCCGTCCGGTTAAAAGTGCATGCGTGTCGCCGCTTCTCTCCCGAATCCGGACCACGTGCAATCGACGTGTCGATGGAGGACTGCGGCGCGCCGGCGGCAGACTTTTGAAAGGATGCTGAGCGGCGCGGCTGAGTTTCATGTCATGCGTAATGGACCAAGACACTTGCCGGAGCGATGAAGACACCGCTCGAGGCCGGGGCCGGGGTGCGCAGCCCATGTGCGGCACGACGTATCTGTAGCCGCTGGAAAGTACGTAGTATGTACCAATTACCGCGGCATAGCATTGCCATGTATTCAATAGTGCTCGAAAAGATCCATCTTGGAAAAGTATCCACGCCTCGGTGCGTTACCAGGTACAGACATTTGCGTTGTAGCACAACCAACATGCTGTGGTGATGGGTAACGAGCAACGCGTCTTGTGATGGACAAACTGGGATTCTGAAAAATAACCACACAGGCTTCTGGGCACTGATCCCTGATCCCCCCCGTCGGCAAAGTGAATGGTAATTCTGCTAGACTAGCTCCTAGATATTCTCCACGTACATTCACTCCATCCACTCAAACAAACTCGTGGGTGTGAAAACCAGCGTTCGAGAGCCTTCACTTTGTGGTCGCAGGTTTCCCCTTGTTCTCACCATAGGCCTTGGTGGCGTAGCTGCCCTTGTGGACAATCAAGTCCTCGGGACGATAGTCGTGCTTGCCGCTCAAGTAACTCTGGATGATGGCCTTGACACCATCAGCGTAGCGCTTCTGGGCATCAAGCGAGGTGCCAGACATGTGGGGGACCATGGCGTTGCCCCCTCCAAATGGGTTCTTGGCGGTTCTCAACGGGTGGTCCCGGCTCGCGGGCTGAGGGAACCAGACATCACCACCGTAACCGGCGAGGTGGCCGGTTTCGAGGGCCTTTGCGACGTGCTCCTTGACGACGATGGCGCCCCGAGCAGTGTTGATGAGGTATGAGCCTGTCGTCAGCGTTAGCCTTCGGGGACGTCCTCAAGCGGTCGAGTTCCCGGGACAACGTACCGCGCTTCATCAGGGCAATGAGGTCCTCGTTAAACAGACCCTTTGTCTTCTCATGCAAGGGGCAGTTGATGGTGACAACGTCACACCGTTTTAGCATATCTTCGAGTTTTGCGACGCGTTCACAGCCAATTTCCTCTTCCTTGTCCTTGCTCAGAGGTTGATAGTCGAAGTACAGGAGCTTGCAGTCAAACGGCTTAAGTCGGCGTAAGACGCGTTCACCGATACGACCGACACCAACGGTACCAACAACCTTGTTCTCGAGATCATACTCCTGCTTGGCGACGGCCGCAACGTCCCAGTCACCTCGCTCCACCTGCTCGTGAGCGGGGACAAAGTTTCTAATCAGCACCAAGATGGTCATGACGACGTGCTCAGCAACGGAGACGACATTACTGCCAGTGACTTCGGCCACCGTAACACCGCCATTGGTCTTATTGGCAAGGTCGAGGTCGACATGGTCGGAACCGATACCAGCAGTGACAGCGAGCTTGAGCTTCTTGGCCTTGGGAAGGCGCTTGCCATCAAGGTAGCCAGGGTGGAAGCTGTAACAGCATCAACCCACTGACTTGGTGAAGAATGGCGTCGTCATTGGGGGACTTACGGGGTGGTAATGATGATTTCGGCATCGACAAGCTCTTGGTCGAACTTGGAGTTCTCCCCCTCCTTGTCTGAAGTTGTGACGAGAGTGTGGCCCTGGTCCTCGAGCCACTTTCTCAGGCCAAGTTCATTCTCAGTCGTGCCGAGCAACTCCGGAACCTAGTCGTGGGGGAGAATGCCGGATGCTTGGGTTAGCGTCGCACCACAAGGGACACACGGGTGACTATGGGCCAGGGCCGGACGAGCTCGGGCTGGATTGAGATTGAGAATCGACAACTGGGAGGTAGCATCCTGCTCTCTGTTCCCCGCAACTCCATATTACCTCCCCGCGTTTTGGGCTGAAGGAGGCTAAAAGCGGAAACTCTGGGAACCATGGGAGAGTCGGGGTAGCGCCTCATGCAATGAATGAAGTACGAAACGCAGTCTCGTTTCGGCCGTGACAGTCGATTCATATGCAAGAGGCAAAAGAGATCAACTTACGTCCTTGGCGTGCTTGCCACCGTCGTACGTAACGAGGAGAACTTTGACCTTTTCACGCGCGCTTGTCAGCGCACGCATCGATGATGGCTGCAAGCGAGGCTTCGCAGAACAATGAGGTGACGGAAACAACTTGTTGGCGAGTCTTGCAGCTCGGAGCGAGGCAGGACGAGCTGAGGCAGCGGCACAGGTTGCAAAGAGAGCACCTCGGGAAGCGAGGGGGAGAGAACAAGACAAGGGGCGCAAAGATACCATTTTGATGTCTTCCGTGTATTGTGACCGCTCGCTGGTGGTGTTGGACGCCCGGCGTCGATTGATTCTAGGCTTGCTCCTGAATCCTGGAGAACAGAGTTTTGAGGGAGAGGGAGGGGGTGGTGAGACAGCGCGAGGGCTTCCTTATACGAGTGGCAGGCGAGCGTGCAATGTCAGTGGCGCGTGGACGTGTCAAACCGGAAGGTGCTCGTTCGTGTTAAGCTCAGATTGAGTAGGCAGCAGCCAGTAGAAGTAGAATTTGTGTGTCATGAGTTCTCTGGTTTTGTATTCACGTTGGGAAGCTGGACCGCCGCTCCAATAGATCGTCACCCTCTGCGTGGTTTCCATCCCATCCCATGCATCTCGTTCCGTGCGGCGGCGAACCATGCCTCCCTCTCCGGGCTTTGCGTCTCGGCACCGTCATCTGCTGTCGTCGTATGTACGAAGGCTTTCGACAAGCTCTCCCATGACTCCTCACCATCACCGCCCCGTTCGGCCGGTGACGGTGACATGCACAGTTGCCTGGACCGGACTTGCAGGGAGCTCGGCGTTGCGAGACCGCGTCCATATTGGTGACTTGATTGGCGAGGCGAAGCTCTAATATGGGGTGACAGAACGACTAATTTAGTAGGGAACGCATGGGGGAGTGGCTCTGTTGTCGATATTGGGTGCAAGAAGCATTGACTGTGGAGCTATCTCGGCATTCGGGGTTTGCTGTCTGGTGGTTGGAGGGTGGGGCCAAGGTTGATGCGTTTTGACGGTCGAGGTGAGCAAAGTGGGGCTGTCAAGCAGGCATTAGCTCTGGTACCAAGGTAGGCAAGGCAGAAGCGGGGTAACTAACGAAGCAAGCTCAAGCTGGAGCTGGGAGCTGGAGGGCCGACGGGAGCAGGAAGGTGCGGCCAGTCCACCTGAGGCTTAACTACCTCATCCACCATTCGACATTCGACAATCTGGATTGACACGTTTGCTCAAAGCGGTCAACGGACCGAATTACCGCTTGAGGGGATGATGTGAGCCACCACCGGCTGACTTGGGCACATCAAACCGAGGGCACTTGGGAGCGTCACGAATAAAATCAGCTCTTTGCCGCGAGGTTTTTTTTTTCTTTGCTTTTTGTACACGCTGCTTGCGGTTCCCCATGGCTCTTTTTGTCACCACCTGCCACTGCCACGCCTTATTCGGGCTGGTCGCGAGTTTGGAATGGGGCCAGAGCTAACAAACGCCATTTCGTCTCGTCTCTCTGCTTCTCTCTTCTCTGCCCCTGATGAGTGTCGGGGCGCTGCAAATGGGGAGGATACCCTGCGTCGAGATTTCTCGACAGCTGGCGCAGATGGACGGTTCCTGAGGAATGGTACGACCTGTCGAATTGCTTCCCTATCCAGGATGATGCCGAAATGAGACCTTGCCCTGTGCACTTCCTGCGAGCTCCGCATCATGGATTGAGGGAAAGCTTGCGGATGGGCTTTGGGTGTCATGATGGCCCATTTGACAAGCGGAACATTGAACACATCCAAGTGGGCTGGAGGCACGGGTGTGATGGCTGCTGGTCGACCGACATGTCGACGACCCAAGGCTCTCTGGGGGAGGACACACCTCAAATGGGAAGCTTCGTTCCGTGGATCGATGATATGTACAAGGCCGTTCGTCGTCTTCATCAGCATCAGCATCAACATCCTTGCCTCTCCCACGTGACTGTGAGGACATGCCGAAACTGGAGTCCTGCATCTCAAATATTGGGAGTTCATGCGCGCGACTTGTGTGCGTAGATCGGATTCAGACCATGGCAAACATGTTTTGGGGCCGAGGATCGAGAGTTGTCGATGGGATTCGATGCACTCAGCCGTCAAGCTTTTCGTCCCGAGCCCATTGGCATGCGTATGCGTGATACTGCCCAGGGCATCGAACAAGATGGCTCTTGTTCCTACTCCGTACACGGCCATGAGCAGTGTCTTTTTTTTTGTTGTTCCCCTGTCTTTCCTCCTTAGGCGTTGTCAACGCTGGCCGCCACCACGCCGCTTTACTTTATAAGTTTACAACTACATTAGACCGTCACGGAGCCATATTCTATCAGTCCGGGGTCTGGACCCTGTTGCCTCTTCGATCGATGCCCACATTTCCCTTGACGAGACGTCCTATTGGTTGCTAGACCAGATCGAGAATGTCCTGCAGACTTGAGGGCCTTGGCTTGTGTCGATGCATAAAGTATGCAGCTTTATTGAGACCATCGGCGCCCGCAACAAGTCACTAGTATGAGGCGGCCGACGCCTAGCGAGCCGCCGTGGCGTTGCTAACGGTTGGACTTGTTTCTTCATGCATTTCCGTTCCTCCCCGGTTAGATGGATATAACAGGGACGTGGCCTGCATGAACGGCGGTTCGTCTTGCGTCTTGGGACTGGACTGGGCGGAGCAAAAACGGCACGGAAATCGGCTTCAGTTACGATGAAGGACTTTCCCCCCTGATTCTGGCCAATCGCAATACGTCACGATCTGGGCGCCTGTCAAGCTTCTGCGGCAAAGCCACGTTGAGGGGCATCAAAGGCCTTGTTCCCTAAGCGGTCGAGATGTGGCTGGCCGTTTTGTACGCCATCTGGCCAAACTAAAAGAGACGATGGCCTGAAGCGGGGTTATGCGAGATGGGGTCTTTCTTTCAGTCGAGAATGAGGTTGATGGGCAAAGAAGAGTTTCGTGCAAACCAGAAATGTCGCCATGTTGTCCTAGTCCTCGGGAATGCTGGCCACAGAGAGACCACCATGGCTATTTATGGCCGCGGGTGTCCGTGTTGCCCGGACCGGGCGGATTCTGTAGTTGCTGCGACTCTTGACTATCGACCATCCTGTTATACACCCGGTCCGCGCCATATTGATATCAACCCGTGAGTCGTCAGTCGTGACGACACATAGTACGGGCCCTGACAAGACATCCCTTTAGTGAAGGAGTTTGCCCTCGTTTCCTTGTCATCACTTTTGAGTCAACATGGAGTCTATTTGCACCGGACATCAGCCAAGCAGCTATGTCTTTATGGGGGCTGCTGATTACCCATTTTGGGAACCAGGGGAACCGTGGGAGGGTTATCTTGAGTCGTGCAACCCCGAGCACCCCGAGTTTCCAAAGCATTTCGAAGGCACCTCGCCTGAATCTTCCTTTGATGGAGCCATTGTCTGGGCCGATGGCTGCTCACCGTCGCAGCCATGTTGCACGCACAGCCCCGTGTCGCCCACGGCCCCCTCGCCGTCGTCGGCACCAGAGATATTCGCTCCGCAACGGACCGAATCTCGCCAGGCACAAACATTAGAAGCTCCAGCTGTCATTCAAGACCCAAGCACGAGCACGAGCACAGGACGAAAGCGAAGACGGCCCCAAAGTCCTGCAGAATCAACCCGTGACGTCGACTCGAGACCAAAGCGGCCTTGTGTCTCCCGATCAACCTCGTTCTCCTCGTCTCCCTCCGCCCTCGACCCCAAGACCAGGGAAAGGGACAAAGAGGACATGTACCTGGAGCGCAGCCGCGCTGCATCCAACAAGTTCCGCGAACGCAAGCGCCACGAGATCGCCCAGCTTGAGTCGGAAGAATACACCATTGAAGACGCGAACCGTCAGCTCCGCAGCATGCTCGACGCGCTGACGAGCGAGATTCTCTCCCTCAAGATGCAGCTGCTTCAGCACACAGACTGCAATTGCGAGCTGATCCAAGCCTACATCAGCAAGGAGGCACATCACTTCGTCAAGAGCCTACAGGGAGTTGCCACGGGGTAGGGCAGACTTGCGTGACGAGACTGGGCTTCGTTCTTGTTTTTGCTGGGTCCTTCTTTTCTGATGCCAACATGGTGCAACAACAAAGGCGGGAGAGTGTCGCACGGTCGGTCAGGCCTCCAACTGTCACGCAAAGGAATTCAGTCACGCGGACCTGGAATCGGGGCCCTGGCCTCGAGCCTCGCCGCTGCTCTGTATCAATGGACCTCCCTTGCCGTCAGGGGCCCTGGCAGAACCAAGGACCGGGCGCTGTCGCGAAGAGGATGATTAGCGGAATAGAGCCTTCCTGTATTGTTGCTCCGGGACCTGCATCCCAGCCGCTGTCACAGGGTCAGACACAAAAGTGTACATTGATGTATTTTATCAAAATGCAAAACTCGGCGAAAAAAAAAGACCACTTAATAACAACAACAACAACTACTACTACTACTACCACTACTACTACAACTACACAAACCAAAAAAAGGAAGGAAAGGAAAGGAAACTTCCTATAACCAGAATAGCAAATACCAGAAACAAAAAAGGCCAGAGGGAAAATCGAGACAGCCCAGCCGCGCAGCGAGATGGCCTCATGGCCCATGGAGGCAGCTCCGGCAGAGCAGAGGCTAGGACGCCACACACCTATTCGACGTACATTCAGCCGCGAGCAGGAATCACAAACCCCGCTATATTTTACTGTACGGTCAATTAATTGTAAAAAAAAAAAAAGCTGATATAATGCAATCAACTTAATCCGTTACTGTTGTTACTGTCGTCTCGCTCCTCCCTGCCGGGTTATCATCAGGCAGCAACAGGTCCCTCATGTGATTTCTCCTGTTCTTCCCACTCCGCATTACCACGACAAAAAAGCATGACATTACTGACGGCAGCCCGTGGAGAGAACAAGGCCTCGACTGCGCGTCCGAGAAAGATGCACCGCAGCAGACGTTGGGCACGTCGGCGCCATCAGGGGCCGGGCCTCCTCTCTCGAACTCATGACCCGACAGCGGACGGTACGGGCTCCTGGCGGTACTCTCTGGAGCCAAGGCCGGGACTTCGCAGAGGGTCGCTTGCATCGCTGTGGGTGCTGCGGTGGTCCGTTTTTTGATGGACGGCGGCGGTAGAGCTGGTGATGGGGGCTGCCCTCTCCATGTCGTCGTCGTCCTGGCCCGGGTTGGCACTCTGGTAGGCGAGCCACTTGAGGATCGAGTAGACGAGAAAGGCAAGGAGGGAGCCCATCAGCGGGCCAACCCAGTAGATCCAGTGGTAGCCGACGAAGCCCACGATGCAGGCAGGGCCAAAGGACCGCGCAGGGTTGATGGAAGCGCCGGTGTAGTTGACACCGACGATGTGGGCGATGAAGACGGCGATGCCGATGCCAATGGGAGCAAGGTAGGTAGCCTTGTGCTTTTCCACAGCGAGGAAGTACACCGTCAGCACCAGCTGAGCGGTGAGGAACATCTCCAGGAAGACACCTTGGACCTGGGAGGTGCCGTCGCCGAGGGTCGTGACGACGGTCAGCGGTCCGGGAAGCAGCCCGTCGACGACGGCGGCAGCCGCAATGGCGGCAACGATCTGGGAGGGGATGATGAGAATGGCCCTGAGTGGCTTGACGGCGCCAACCAGTGTCAAGCCAAGAGTGACCTAGGACAAGATGAGTATATACACCAACTAAGCGCTACCCATGTTGGGACGTCTGAAAGGTGGGGGGAGATATCTGGCGTGTAAAGGAGAGCAAGCACAGGGCCGAGGACCTACGGCAGGGTTGAACATGCCACCCGTCACGCGATAGAACACCCACACGTTGACGGCAATGGCCGTGCCGAAAGCACAAGCAATGTAGAAGAGACTGGCAGGGGCGAGGCGGCCCCCGTGGACGACGGGCTCGTTGTTGTTGATGGCTGTCTGTGCTCCGGCAAATCCCAGCATGAGGAACATGAAGGTTCCGCAAAACTCTCCAAACGCCACGATCAAAAGGTTACGGACCGAGTCCTCAAGCATGTGCTTGCGATCTCTCATATTATGGGACACGCCCTCTCGGGCGGTGAAGATGTTGCGCAGCGCCATGGCGGAATATCAAGCGCTGTCGAGAGCGAGGCAAATGGAAGAAAAAAAAAGGGGGAGTAAATGTCAAGTGATAAACGTAACTCGTGCCGTACCGACACTTGAGACAGCTTCCACAAAGGCAACAGGATGGAAACCTGCAGAAGCTCCAAGAGAAAATTGCTGGCACGACTTGGGTATTTATGTTTTCAAAAAGCTTCGCCGAAAAGGTGGGATGATTGCCCGTCGCTGCAACACCACGACAGCCACTTATGGAGAAGGACTCGTGTAGAATCGCGGCCTCGTAACACGAGCAACATCTACTTCGTACTCCGTACATTGCAGCAGTCGAGCTCTTCTCTCTTCTCCTGGCCAGGGATTCAACCACTCCGTAGTCTGAGGGTTAAACTTTGTTCTGAGGGGTGAGGAGTGCGGCTAGTCATCAGCAAAACAAGAAGAGGCTTGCCGTGACTCAGCGGATGGCGGAGAGCGGCGTGTTGCAAAAGGATGCCGTGCTTCTCCTCGCTTATAGGCACTGTTCAGGCAAGAGCACGACGGCACTTTTTTTTCGATTTACAAGTGCAGATGGATGCGGTGCAACCACTCGGTTATCATGTCCCGACTTGATGGGGAGGAGGCGACGATGCTGGACCAAGAGCTTCAATCTGATAGCGTACCGGACCCGCTCTCGAACAGGACTTGGTCTCCTTGCATGGAGAAAGCTATGTATCTGCGTACTACTACCTACACGGCAGAGTGAAGACGTTTCGGCAAGTCGTTGGTACCAGGCTGACGATTGTCCCAGGCCAGACATGACGGCCATGATGGCCCGACTGTGACTCTGTTTCTCAGCTACATGTGTAATGATTGAACGATACGAGCAGCCATTGGGGTAAAGAGAGGGTTAAATAAATGCAACTGAAAAAGCGGCCGTGTAGGATCCAGATCCTGTGGCAGCAAGCCTTTCACTCGAATGTGCGACTCGCAGAGACGGGCGAGGGGGCGTTGGATGACGATATCAAGGCTGGTTGGTCTATGGAGCAGCTCCGCGAGCATGGTGACGACCGAGTGCCGACTGACGTCTGGCTGCATTGGTCAAACGTCAAACAGTGAAGATTGAATGCGTGCGGATCATGATTCTGCCACCAAGTGATGCGGCCCCGCTGACCTCGGTATGCAGATAGATGCAAACCACCACACACCGTTGACCTTGACCGTCGACACCACACCGTTGGACACCGTTGACCAGGCGAGACACGCCGCCAAGCTTATTCAGACATGCAAGCGGTCTAGACCCGTTGAGGGTTGAGGCGCCCAGTGCCGGCCTGGCCAATGGGCGCGGACCTTGGCGGAGCGGGACTTGGGCGAGACGTGGGCGAGACGTGGGCGAGACGTGGGCGAGACGTGGAGTGTGAGAGGTGAGAGGGCATGGGTGTCGGCCGTCGGCTGTCGGTTGTCCGGCGTGCTGGACTCTGCTGAGCACCCGGGCGCTAGTCGTACTAGTCAGCTTGGCGCCAGCCCGGCCCCAGATTCTTCCACATGCTCCAGATTCAGTTGGCCGATTCGCCGTGGCCTCGCGGTTGTGCACGTGCCAGCTCTTCTCGGACGGTTGACGCTGCCTCGACATTTCATCTCGAGTCCCTCGCCGTGACGCCGCACATAAAGGCGATGAATGGTTCTTCGAGGCTGCGACGCCATGTCGAGCACGTCTGTGCCTCTCTGCCAGGTCCGTACCACGACATCTGGCGTCTTGGCGGTGCGGCGTGACCCCACGCAAATGAGCCTCAACCTGCAGCATATCTGACGAAGGCGACATGACAACGACCACCACGACGACCACGACCGCATCAACGACCGTGATGGGGCGCAGGCGCTACGCATGCGTGTCTCTACCACTTTTACACCCGTCGCGAGGCCCGGTGTGCCAAGCCGTAGCGGATCTGCCCAAAATGCGCGCGTGCCAGAATATATTGGACCACGTCTTTGCATTGCACATGCGGCGGCTGCATGCTCATGTAGATGGACAGCCAGAGTCGCACGACAGCATCTCAACGTCGACTCGGTCAACGTGCTGCTGATGTCTCAGCGAGACCGTCGGGCCACAGTTGCTTCATGTTCCTTCTACATGATCAGACCTACGTCAGCCTTGGAACCACAGCCTGGCGGCCGCTTCCCCGAATCATGTTTTGTCATGTTGGCGAGAACCCACAGAGCAATGAGCATTGCCATCGTCAACCGCCGCCCGCCCATCGACCACGCTGCTGTACGCCATAGCCGACGCCGAATACGAAGGCCGAAAAGGTTGAAAAAGCCCTCCTCATTGCTTGCGATGAAGCAAAAAATGGGGAAAACACCAATGTCGGCACTGGTCGGCCAACCTGTCAGCAGCACCTCGGAAACTTCTTCTGCCGGTCGGTAACTACTCGGCACTCCAACTCGGTGGGTAGTGTGCGTCAGTGTGCTGTGTCACCACCCGCGCTGATCAGTCCACCGTTTCGTCGCACGTGTAGTTACGCCGTGTGCCGCAACCATGCGGGCCAGCATCTCCTTTGCATGGTCGTCTGGTTTCAACCTGTTTGCTTGTGTAGCACTTGGGCCGTGTCACTGCCCAAGGCTAGGGGCGGCTGGGGCTGTCAGGGTCGAGGAGAGGGTTGTGCCGCGGCCGAGTTCGATTTTCAACCACCTCGCATCTAACCCTCACTTCTCCCGGCATACATACGGGCGAGTCCTCCATCCGACGACCTGGCGCTCGGACCAATTCAAGACGCGAAATATGCCGCCACAGGGCTTGTGGTCTAGGTAATACGGTGTGAGCAAAATGTGAGAGGCTACAATCTCGATTGCAGGACGAAGAGCCAACTTGGCCCGGAGAACTAGTTTCGGTGCGGCTGCACCTTTCTTGTCATGATTCCGAGTCATCGATTGCGCACGAAATCCGAGTGCCAAGACCTTGTATTTGCCTCGTGACGTGATTCCGGGTGAAAATCAAAAATCCAGCAAAATACGGCACACGGGAGTCGGCTTCGTATCTGAAAGCCAACCAGTCAGTCCCCTCTCGATGAAGAGCCACATTCGCTTACGAAGCTGCTGGTCACCAATGTCTCGACAAGTCGACTCCAACTCGAACAAAATCAACCAAGTGACTGACTGGCAGGAATTGCAGTTGGCGGGCTAAACTGGTCTCCTGCTCATATGTACCTCGAGGCGCCCAAACCTTTACTCTGTCCCGCCGCAAGTTCCGTGCCGTTGAAATAGACTCATGCACCATTCCCGCCTCTAGATGCTGCCGAATGAACGGGCCACAGACCGAACCGAGTGCAGGACCCAAAGGTCAGATTGAGGCCCCTGCTCTGATGTAAAGCCTGACCCTCGTCCGCGTCTAATTTGCCACTCTGCCTTGTACTGACAAGACATACAGCATAGACCACGGAAGCCGCCCCAAGCAGGCGGCGCAACATGGAATGAGATGACGTTGATGAAATGCCAATCCCCTTGCCCAACACGGCCGCAACTCGATACGCAAGGTGAGCTGGGACGTCACAGGCCACCCCGTATGTGCGGACAGGTGCAAATCAATATCTGGAGGTTTCTCGACGCCCGTGCTTTCCTGGCCCGTCGGCAGACCCCGTATTGTCCAGACACGCGTGTATGAGAAACTTGTGCGCTTGTGATTTTCGAGACGCCCGCCACCAACTCGGGCCATGTAATCAACCGACGCCACCATCTCTCATTGCTCAGCTCCCCGGACCACTTCACACAAGATGGCTTCGTGGCTGACTGGGCTACCATGATCAATAGAATAGCAATAAAACACCGTAAATGAGACGGGCGACTACAGGTTATTGTGAGTCCTTGCCAGGGCGTTGCCACGTCACGTCGCGGTCTTTGACGACAGAGTCGAGGGTTTTTCTCCATACCGGCCACGCAGGAACCATGCTTTCATGTCGAGCACCTTTATAAATAACGCGGGCCGCCGCCGCCCAGCCCAGCCCTCCAAGGCCGGTCTGCCGAAGCCTTCGCTCTTTTAGCTTGACGACGATTGTGCCGACATCCTGTGCAAAACATCACTGGGGCGGAACATGTGGTCTGGATCCTCCGAGTACGAGCGCCTCAAATCGCTCGAGAGGGAGTATGATGGCTTGCAGGAAGAGGGCTGCGAGCCGACACGTCGCTCCACGGTCAGGCTGCCGACAAGATTAGTCGCGGCGCTCTTGGTCTGCAACGTACTCCTGTTCCTCTCGTCGGCGTACCTTCTTTGGGTTGCCACATTCGGAAGACCGGCGGCCTCGGAGTGGGAATGCGCGCAAACCGTCTCGCCTTGGTGTGAGTGTTTTCCCGTCCACAACCGCCAAGCGACTCGTTTCATTGGTGCCGCCGGTTAACCAGAAGAGTAGCTCCGGTGTGGGAGGCAGTAGAGTTCTGGGAGGGCAATTTCGACAACGACTTCACCCATCCCTCCAAATACCGCGGCCCGCCGACGCGTCAACTGCAGCAGAACTGGGACGATCTATGGGGAGGTGAGTGAGCACGGCTGTTGCTGGTCCAGCCTCCCTCCCTGCCCGCGCTGGAAAGCGCGCCCGCGGCGGCTGGGATGCAAAAAAGGAAAAAAAGAAACGGGCCGGGCAGTGACTGACGGGATTCCCAGTTCGCGGCATCGGCGTGAGCAGAGACGACCTGCGCAAGCTGAACAAGACCGATGTCGATCGCTACGTCGAGGTCCACGGGAGCGACCCTGGCAATCCGACGTACGCTGCCGCGATAGAGGCCCAGCACCAGCTCCATTGTCTTGTAGGTTGCCTCCCTCGCCTTTGCTTTTGCCGGCTGGTCTGTCGGACGCGCCGCCCCTCGCCACGCAAGATGCAAACACTCTGGACTGGGCTGACCGCGACCCAACTGTCAGAACGTGATACGCCAATACACGTGGCCGCTCGACATGTACGACAAGGCATGGGGCAAACTGTACCCGGCGGGCTTTGAGGACACGGCCACGGCTCGGGTGCACGTCGACCACTGCATCGAGACGCTTCGTCTGAGCTTGATGTGCTACGCCGACGTGACGCCTGCGCTGCTGATGAGGAATCCAGTCACCGGCGGCCGGCGAACCGACTTCAACACCCACCACAAGTGCCGGGACTTCCAAAAGATCCTGGACTACATTGGCGAGCACGGAACACAGACTGATCCGCGTTGAGGGTCGGCCTCCTCGCGCCGGTCTTGCCTGCGTTGCTGTATACTAAAGGAAGGCGGGGATGCTGGTCAACCTTGAGGAAGTGCTGCTTGTTGTAGTTGAAACGCGGCGCAAGTGACACGGGCTCGGTCACGGGTGACTTGTCATCATGACGCCTTGACATCCGTGAGGGTTTTCGTCGCCGTCTCTATCCGCAGAGGCATGGGACCTGATGCGAGATACGAGCGGTGCTCCGAAAACTGCTGGTGGCTGCCAGGAGCGCTGCCTGCTGGGAAAGCCATTCATCACGTCGTTTCACCATGTCTGGTGTAGTTAGGCACTGGCCACGCCAGGGGTCATTCGATCGATGCCTTGCAGGGCGTTCCTTGGAACCATGGGATCAACTGTGGTCCACTCGCAAACCTGTCGGGGAAGTTGGACTTTCCAAAGCCGGTTGCACTACTGAATACAAGGCTTCTAGAGACGGGATGCTCTGCAGCTTGGGTGGCTGAGAAGGCTCTTCTCATAGGAACAATCTAGAGAATATACTCGTGACAGAACCAGTACAGTATCGCCGTCTATGGTCCGGTTCAAATCCCAACCTGTTGTCCGAACCAACGCAGACGGCCCAAAAAAAAAAATAATCAAAATACGCTGATTAGGGGTAGAGGCTGCGGCTCGTCAAGCAAACGCCCGTCTTCTCCTGATTCTGTACGGTATGGCGCCCTTGACAGCCATTGTTCCCAATCCAAAGCCACGCATGTCCATTTTCAACGAGCGAACGTCGACGAGCGGTTCAATGTCAAAGTAAGTCACCAAGACGGCGGCCGTGAAGATGATGTCACGCTTGGCAAAGTGCCGGCCGGGACATTGTCTCTGTCCGCCGCCATAGGGGATCCAGGCCCCATCCACGTCTCTGATCCCGTACGAGGCGTCGCCTGTCGATGCCGGGCAGGCCGTCGGTCGTTCGCCCGGGCCTCGTGCAGGACACGGGTCGCCGGCATGCTTGCTGGCCGTCTTCCTCGGTCCGCTGCCCGGAACGCCGTCGTACTTGAGGAACCTATCTGCCCAAAACGCATCGAGGGCATGCTGGCCGTTTTCGCCCGTGTTCCAGACGGCAGGGTCCATGTGGGCGACGGTCGTGCTCATGACGACGAGGTTTCCGCGCGGCACCATCCAGTCTTTGATGCGTAGACTGTCAAAGACGGGAACCCTGATGATGAACATGTGGACGCGCAGGCGGAGGACCTCGGCGTATATGGACTGGAGTAGGGGGTTCTCCAGGAGCAAGGCAATGTCGAATCCTGACGGCGACGGGCCCCGACACTTGGCCGCCTCTCGCCTTACTCTGTCCAGTAGTCGCTTGTCGCTGATGATTTCTAGCACCGTCCAAAGGCTCGCGACGACGGAGTTACGAGTAGACCTGTGTTTATGTTTTTGTTCATCGGTTACTGAGCCGCTCTTGCACGTCCGAGTTTGCGCTGGCCAACTTACGCCCAAATCACCCCGAAGTCTTCGGAGGCCATGGCATCAGGATCCATTTGATCCATCTCGGAGAAGATTCTGTCGCGTTCTCGAAACACGCTGCTTCCCCAGAATGCGTCATCGCCATCTTGGTCCACGGCAGCGTCTGTGAAGTTGAGCTTCGCGTGGCTTCGCCAGTCCTTGATGCAGGCCAGGACGCGGTCCCGTCGGGCGTACACTCGGGGTGCGAGCATGCGCGGGGTGCCCCGGAAGAAACAATCCAGATGGTAATCCAGCTGCCATAGGTCATTCAGGAAGTCCGGATGGCGCTGCAGCAAATAGGGGCCGCAGAGGGCATTCGTGTTGGCGGCCGAGACATGACGCTCGAATAGCCGGGTCAGGTCAGACATGTCGGTCCACTCAACGCCGACGGGGAGGTCCCGGAGCATCTGGGCAAAGTTGGCCTCGTACCGCCTCCAGAACGCTCTCATGCCGGCGCCCGAGAGGAACTTGGTGATGGGCCCGTACGTGAGATAGTCGATGCGGTTGCGAGGCTCGACAGCGGCAGCCCCTGCCATGGGCTTGTGTCGATAGCCGGACCTGTCCAAGTCGTAGAGCTGGAGTGCTTCCGCGGACATTCCAAAGACATTTCCGAGCACAAACTTGTGTAGTGCGGCCATTGTGCAAGTCCAGGAGTTCTTGAACACGGCCTTTGTCATCTCGGGGCCCCGGGTGAGACACATGTCTGTATTCACAACGCGGACGCGTATTGGGTGGTGATGCCGGAACAGACTTTGTGTGATTCGTTATAGGGTGAAACAAGAGCAACCGGAACCAGGTTACTTACCTCGAGGACAACACCCAGCGTACGGGATTCCTGCACACGGCAAACGACAGGGTCGACAGGACGGGCCCTATACTCGGCATCGTGTACGGCCAATATGGCGGCACCTGGGCACCGCCAGGCTGTGCCTTTGTTGACTTGAACGTCCAGAGCGTCTTGAGCCAGCTCGTGAGCAAGCATGATGCCACAAGAGCGGCGACTGAGCAGACCACGTCACGCTGAGCCAGCCGCTCCGTGAGCACATGCACCGCCGTCAGACACATGTCGACCAAGGACGTGTGCATGGGAGACGGCCTCGAGGATCTTTGCTGAAGACGCATGCCAAGTCGCCACCTACACTTTGCTGCTTGCCTCGGACGCCAGCCCGGCGGCAGCGGGAGAGTCGCACTTATCTAGTCGTAGCTCCCGAGTCCCATCCCATCTCAAGGGAGTCAACGACGGGGACTGGGCTGATAAGGCGCTCCCACGGCACATGTAGCAATGATACCACCAGGGCACGTTTCAGATCATCCCATGCATATCACCCTACACCACATGGAAGCCCAGCCACACCATAACTACCATCCACGCATCCGCCCTACGCCGGCAGGTGATGTGTTGTGGCAGCTCGGTTTCCGTTGGACGGACAAACCTCGTCCCGCCTCGCCTCGCCTCGCCTCGTGTCGCCTCGTGTCGTCTGCTGTCGTCTCGTTCGTCCGTCCGTCCGTCCCGGCGGACCAATGCCCAGACGCAGAGCGGACGATGGATTCAAGATTGGGTCTGCCTCCCAGCCGGCCCCGGTGTTATGCATTGTAACGCGCCTTACAAAGCCCCAGCCGTGGCAATACGGGGCTGGACGTCAAAGGTGAGGATTTCGAGAATGGCAAAGACGGCCAAGCGGCGAGCCGCCATCGAGGGGCCACTTTCACTTTGGGCATCGCCTTTCGCGGGGCTGACTTTGGCCTCGGATCAGGTCAACTCTATTCAACTCCAGCTTCGAAAACTCGCGACTCGAGAGCCACTTTTACCCCGCGCTGTTGCCACTCCTCGTACAAGGCCGACAAAGGCCACTGGTCCAAAATATGACATCTGACGCCTTGCCATGAGCAGCGTGACGCATCAACATGGCCGCCGGCCCAATAGTTGGCATTCAGATGCCTCCAGCAACCTGTAGAAACCGCCCGCCCGTCCTGAGGCGCTCCGTGGCGCGCGGAAAGTACCATCTCGATTCTTCTCCCTCATAACTTGTCACCTCGCGTATCGGAGCATGTGCCGGGGAGCTCAGCCGTCGTCTACCTGGAAACTCTATACGCGATTCATGTACTCCGTACGCGACGGTATTCGGAGACGAGCTCATGGACTCGCTGGGATCCCAGGCCCAACTTCTCCACCTCACCCACGTCCCCGTTGATGGATTGACAGGAACCACATAGCTAGTCCAGTCGCAAAACGTGTGGCCGCCACAGAGGACCTTCCTGCGTCGTTCCTCGGTGCCCAAAGCTGGGGCCTGGGAGCCAGCCCGATGTCTTTCATCCAACCAGTTTGCGCCGATAAACTTGGCATTTCTTGGGCCGAGTACGCCCTTTTCGTGGCACAGGGCCCTCGAGACATTGCGGCCGCTTCAAATTGCCTATATATACAACCGAGCCTTCCCTTCCACCCCCTTTTCAGAAACAGGGGGGAGAGAGCAGAGAGGGACAGAGACGAGGAGAGAGAGAGGGCTCGTATGATGCGCAATGCGTCAGATAGAAGGCACGTGTGCCATGTTGGTCCAAACCACCAACGTGTGACACGGCAAACTTTATATCTACAGAAGCACCACCCTCAAGTCACGCCCTTCACCAAAAGCGCACGGCATCAGGACAAATGCTCTCGCCACCGGACGAAGTCCAGATCTTCTGGTCACGAACGGGGACTCCAGTGTGGGCGGCATTCACCATCCAGCCAGGCCTGGTAAAGATGCCGACATGGACGACGCCAGTCTCGCAGTTGCCGCCCTTCCCCCAGAAGAGCAAGTCGCCGGCTTGGGCTTGGCCACGAGGAATGTGCCTGCCCAATTTGGACGTGTACTGAGTCTGGGCAGTCCGCGCTGCAAATCACCGTTAGCCCAGGTCACGTCGTGGTGTTGGTCCTCATCAAGTTACGGCATGACGCACGAATCTTCCTCTTCTGAGCCTGATAGACGGCGTACTGTGTTAGACCGGAGCAGTCGAAGCCACCCTTCGTGGGACCGTGGATGTCGCCGCCACCCCAGACGTAAGGCTTGCCCTTCATCTTCTCGGCCGCGGCGACGATGCCGGGTCCGGTGCGCTTGTCGAAGCCGGCCTCCCGTGTCTGTGGGAGCTGGTTAGTATTCCGTCCATTCGAGGCTGGCTCGGGGACATGCCTCGGCAGCGGTGGGCATGGCAGGGGCGCCAGCGGCGAGAAAAACGGTCAGGACGGAGGAGAGCTTCATTCTGCTGGCTCGGCTGAATACCGTCACTCTGTGCTGTTGAGTGGCTGTGTTTTGCTACTCGGATCCGAGTTGAGCTTGAGGTCGATGATGAGCGAACAACCGGTCCTACTTGTAGGTTTTGCACAGTCTCTGACACCACACGGCCATGTCTTGTGCATTTTGAAAATCATCTTGGTCGCCGCAAGGCGAGTCTTGGGTCCAAGATTGCCGTCACGTCCTGCGGCAAAGGTTCAGCTGAAAGGCACAGCTTGGCCACCGACACCACCTCAGCCGCAGAAGCCACGATCAGCATCCGCCTGACAGCACAAACCTGGGGTGGAGTTTTGACTAATTTGCCCAAGAAATCAGTCGGTACGTCCAGCCCGGGCAGGATCGCCCTCGGGTCCCTGGTCTCTGACCAGAAGCTGGCTGAGTTCACCCAATGAGAACCGCCAGAGCAGGGCATTTAAGATTGTTGGGATGGCCCAGCTCTGACGGGCTTGGCCGCTGTTTGGCCGCGAATCCGATGTCTCGTCGAAGCCACGGACGGCACATGGAGTTTTCGAGGGGGACAGCGATCCTTCATAAGTTGATGCAGCTCTTTGATAGCTGCTTCTGGGACCTGCAATGGCACAGCAGAGATAAGACGGGCAAATCTGGCCCCCGTCTTAGCACCAAGTCGCAACAAGATGAGCAGTCAGCTACCATTGGCGAGGAATTTGTCCCTTGCAGAGCCCCTGGTGAGTTGCGATTCTCGCAGTGATGGCGGCCTCTTGGCCATCTTCCCGTCTCTCCACGATGCTTCTGGAGACGGACGAGGCGCCTGGCTTACCGGGCAACGTCCGGAGCACGAACACCCACCACACGTCTCGACAAGCGAACAAGGACGAGAAAGAAGTTGCCAGCGATACAAATATACACAACTCACACATGTCGCCAGACGAGACCGCCGCACGTGGTCACTACCGCATGCATTGCGCTCGTTTGGGACACCAGTGCGGGAGTCGGGTCAGCCTTGTATGCGTTTCAGACAGCTGATATCTTGAGGGGTTGCGAACCGCAACACGTGGCTGGCCTTTTTCCATGCCTTATTCTCCGAGTCTATCTTTTCCTCTGACGAGCAGCCTTTCCGATCCATGGGCCATGGCAGTAGATGGTCGGCCCAGCAGGAGCCATGTCCGAACTTGCTTCTTTTCACAAGAGCATCCATCCCTCCCTTCTGGCCGCCGAGGCACACGTACGATGTTCGGACTCTGATTTACCTCGCGCTGTGGGTTATACGCACCTTATCTTTTGTCGGCCCAAAATAAATATATACAAGGACAACAACCCTAAAGGCACTTTTGAATATGGGGGAGAGATGATAGAATTACCTTGATCTCTACAGTAAGAGATGAGGCCAGAAATAGGGCATGGAAAGTGGAAATAATGGAAACTCATTAATCAGATGAGTGGTAATATTAGTGATTGAGCTAAATGATACTAAGCTCATGCAAGGCCTTGTTAGATAAATAAAGCAATGGAGATTCTGAAACTAGAAAAAGTCTTATTATTTATTAACAGATGTAGTCATCTAGCCTCCTGCCCATGCGTCAAATAATTAAATCAAACAAGAAAAGACCTCTCAACCACCCTGTTCCCTGGTGCTGTTCCACTCTGTGTGCCCAAGCCGCCACACAATATACGGTCAATACAGTCTCTATGCCAACAGTACAAAATACGGGCGCCAGACACGAGCTCCCTGGCGCTCACGATGAGCCCCCAGCTCATCTCGTCCTCGTTCCGCATGTCCATCGTCAAATGCCAAACAACCACGGCGGCTTGGTCCCCTACTAGAATATGCGCTTCAGACTGGGACCGACCCAGTTGGCCGTGTCGCACTTCCTGCTCGAGTGCCATTCTTCGATCCTCTCCGTCTCCCAGCCGCTCTTGTAGTCGATCCATTTCCCACCGACTTGGTGTGCTCCCCGGGGTCTCCCATGGTGAATGGTGTGCATGAGGTGACAGGTGTTCTGGTCCCGTCCTTTCCAAAGCCACTGCATACACTTCTCGTCGGCCCGACACAGTCTCTGACAGCCTTGGTAAGAGTCTACTTTGCCGTCCCTGCCGGGCTTGAAACTGACACGGGCTTCGTTGTCCCAGTCGTCCCGGGTCGCTTGCTGGCCCGGGCGGTAGAAGTGCCACAGGTCCGAGTACATGAGCGGTTCCTGTGTGGCAGCGTCAGTCTTTGCCGTCTAAATTGCGCGGAGCATCGACGTCTTCGTCTTCTCGGCCGGGATGGGATGGAGTTTTTCTTCCCGCGTCTGTTTTGCCGCGGCAGTGGGCGACTCACACCGTGTTTTCTGTGTTCAAACTCCCACCTCCACAGCTTGACCATGTCCGGGGGCGCGACCTTGTGCATGGTTATCAACGGGTGGCACCAGTGGCTCTCGTCGAACCGCAGACCCGGCAGCACGTACGGCGTGAACAGCGGATAGAAGCCCTGCAGGACAACGCCCAGCTCCCAGGCCGCAATGGATAGGATGGCATCGCCACAACACTCGCGGTCGTGGGCGAGGTATCGGAACCGCTCGCTCAACGGCGGATCGACGTACGCCCCGTTTGGCCCGACCCGGCGGTGGAGAAGCTTCCTCATGGCTCCGCGACTGAGCACATACCCGGGGCCGCCGTTGGCAAACAATGTCCTCTGGCGGCGTTTCTTGTCCCGGCGTCCCGGGGTAGGCGATCCCATGTACAAGGGAGCATCGGGGTCCAGTGTGTCGAGGAAGCGGAACATGCTGTCCCAGATGATGTACCTTGGATGACGGCTGTTAACGGCACGGAAGGAGGTCAGATTCTCAACATGCCCACGGCGCGGCACTTACGTGTCCGTCTCGTAAAAGACGTAAAACTCCTTGTTCGGCTTCATGGCCCACGCTCTTTCGACTCCGGGCAGGAACTTGAACTTGTCCAAACCCCAGCCGTCAATCTTCTTTGCGGCCTCTTTATCCGTGTCCAACTTCCCCTCCTCCTTCAGCTCTTTCTGCAGAAAATACTGCTGAAATTTGGAGGTGTGCTGCCCCTTCCGGTATGTGTCTGGCAGATAGGCCAGGATATCGATCACCTTGTGGTCTCGCAGAGTCTCCCCCACGTCTGAGAATATCAACAGATCGTCCGCGGAGAAGCATGAGCTGACAGTGTCCAGCTGCGACTCGATCTTGCCTCTGTCTTCGCTGTATCCCATCTTGAGAACAGGCTGGATCCGCGACAGTTTGTGCCGGGGAAAGCTGGCACACAATTCCTGGGTGGTTCCGGTTCCGGGGCCCAGCGACACGGGTTGGAAGTCGCTCGTCGTTGTAAAGTCGCCTGGGTGGTCGACTTCGCCGGGTTCCAACCACAGCTTGTTGGGGGGGACTCGCACAGCCGCTGTTTCATCACGTCGGCTCCATAGAAAGATGGCCGCGAGGACCAGCGGAGCCGTTGTCAGCAAGATGTTGCGATTGAAGCGCTTGCTGGTACGGGGCGTCCGGCACGACTTGTTGAACTGGATGGATGGCATCACGGCCAACACCTCAAGACGCTGAAGTGTTACGGCTGCAGCAGATACAGATCGAGGCCCGTCACAACAACAGGTGTTGTCACGAGTAAACATGAACCGCCATGGCGCCCTGCCTACATGAACCCAGATTTCTCGAGAAATCGGGGTAGGGAAGCAAAGACTCCCATCCCAGCCTGGACCCAGAAACAGAAAATGCCTCGTCCTGCCTGTCAGTCAGTCCACTTGTCCGGAAGCAAAACTGCGGATCATGCCGTTGGCCTGTGTGTAAATAACGTCCGACGTATAGAGTTGTGTGGCATCCTTGGTGTTGGATTTCCACAGCCAACTGCAGTCACTCCGGCTGCGTTGGGAAGTCAATTGCTCGGGGAGGCTTGTTTAGGCGTTTGGCGCTTGATGGCGTGGACAGCCACTTGACTTGATGACGTGGATAGCCTCTTCATGGCGTGAGGTTTCGGCGAGGCTTCCAAGCTTCGTAGGGTTGTAGGGTTCGACGATGATGGACGTGGGCTCATCCGAGACGTCATCCAGGTCGACGATTGGATTGGATTTGGTCGTTTCGTCCAAATGAGGAAGTCTCCGGCGAGGCCAATTCGAATCAATTGCGCAGTTATGTGCCGAGCACCCCGTACCCATCATATCTTTTTTTCTCTTTTTTTTTTTTTTCCCTCCCTCTCCGCCAATTTCCACGCTGGGCTCAATCGAGGTGCGCATGTGGCTATGCAGCCGATGAAATGGGCACCGCAATACGAATTATGGCTCGGGGTTATATTTTTTTCTTATTTGCACTGATTCTCTCAAGAAAAACAATAGTAACGTGGGTGATGCCGATTTGAGGCTTGCCACGGCTATTCTGCTGGTAGACACCCGCACCGGAGCAAGTCGCCCGGGCAAAAAAGCTTGAAATGGGTAGCACAAGAGCTTCATCTTTATCTTACTCCGTACATAAGGACTTTCGCCACAATGCAAAGACCAGTCAAAATTGAAAGATGAGCCAAAAAAAGGTGAGCACTTCACAACCACGTGGTTTCGCCCGGGCTCGAACCGGGGACCTTCTCGGTGTTAGCGAGAAATCATGACCAGACCAACTAGACCACGAAACCCAGTTACTCTGATTGGATGATCATACATGAGGCAATCAATACCTATAAAATAAAGCCTTGTTCTGACCAGACTCTTGCTTGAAACTTGTGTGAGTGAGTAGGCTAGACCCGACAGAATTACGATGACATGGGGACTGCTTCTTGACATGAACATGAACGAGCGTAGTTGTCGTCCGTCCTCAATCCAGATAGGTCTATTGCACATGTTTCCACGTCGCATGCAATAGTTGAGCCGTCTCCTTGCTTACGAGGCGGCACCAGTCCGCGCAGGGTTCCATTTGCAAGGCCGGCAGCGACGTCAATGCGGCGAGACATAAAGGTTGTTGTGCCTGGCCACAGCCAGCCTAGGCGATCAACCCTTTGCTGCGAATGGACATGATTCTTGTCAAGGACTCGACCCCCGCACACAGACGGATCCTGAACTAGATGCTTGCCAAAATGCCCTCCCAACGTCCAAACGGGCCGAAACGGCTGCCTAGCGAGCTGGCTTGGTGACAGACAGGGAAGCATGACGTCACATCGCTCAGTAATCATGTGGTATTTGGATTCGCAGGAGCGTCGACGTCAAAAAGTGGAACCCGCTTCCCAAGGGGAAAGAGGCCAATTTGACCGGCCTTCCTGCAGCTCTGGAAACCGTCTCCGATGGGAGCTCTATTAATCCACCAGTCACAATGATCAAAGAGCTGCACGTCGGGCCTGTTCCGCCCAAGCAGCTTCAATTCTTACTTAAAGCTGCCCGAGACGCCTTGGAGTGTTGGACCCTTCCTCTTGCCTGTCGGCCCTGCCAGCTTGCAACGTCGAGCCGGGATAACTCATACACCCTCAACTCTATCTTTCGTCTCGAACAAGACCCATCCCACAAAGAAACAAGAAAAAGAAAAGCCGAAAAAATGCTCATCCTCGCCGCTGCTTCCCTCACTCTCATCGGCCTCAGCGCCGCCTCTCCTCTCGGCGAGCGGCAGCAAGTCGTCCCCAACTACCCGTCGAAATCCGCCTCCAAGGGCTTCCGCCTCGTCGTCAACGTCACCGATCCCTCCACGGACTTCCAGCCCCCCATCCAAAACACCTACGTCTCCAGCATCCACGTCGGAGCCGGTCTTGCCCTTGTCGGCCAGGGCCCAGACGCCGCCCGCGGCCGCATCTTCTACCAGAACGGCACAGTCACGCAGCAGAGATACAGCCAGTCCAATGTCCTCTCCGACAGCGGCACTCCTCCCTTCCCCTCGGGCCTGAAGCTCGTCAAGGACCCGGACTCGGAGACGCTGTCGACGGCTCACCTGGACGGCGGGCCTGGACAGGCCGGCATTGGCATTACTCGCTTCCCCGAGCCCTACGCCTTCTTGTACCCCGAGACGTGGGTTGCCTGCAACGAGAGCCTGCGCTATTATCAGGGCCAGTACTTTGTTATTTTCAAGCAGGCCAATACGACCATTGGCGATGACGCTTCCATCAACCCAAACGTCCCTGACGGCTGCATTGCCGTACGCCTGGTCCCCGAATGCACCCAGCTGAATGACCTGCCTGCTGGTGCAATCGCCAGCCACGAGCATGCTCTCGACTCTGAGTGCTACCCTGACGTCAAGTCTTTGGATTGGGCCCAGTATGGACCTTAGTCGGGCCAGCAATGATGACTTGCTAGGAATCGGCCAAGCATTATATGATACACTGCATTACTGACTGCCAATGTCGGATATCATGGCGTTGTGTGTGGTACCTTGGACTTATGGCCCAATCTGTTAATTAAACACTATTACTCTACTCTAATTGATAGTTATGCTCGTCTCATATTATTGCAGTATCAGGCTAGCAGTACTTAACTAAAGTACGTACACGGCTCTTGCCTGCCAAGCTACAGTAAACTGGTGTATTGGCGTGTCCTTATCGGCACGCAGAATATCATGTGTTGCAGACTGCAGCAGCGACCATGCCTTGTCATTAGTTCAGTTTGGCGACTGGGAGACTAGAATGCTCACCACTGCAAGCTCCAGTCTGTGGTACATGATATACGTTCATCGCCAAGTCTGTTTTTACAACAGTATATTTTGGCATGGCGCATCGTTTTCCAGCAGGTCGACAGACTACACATCAGCTCGCTTTTCTCATCTCTTTCCGTAACTCGCCTCACTCTCAACTTGCCAGACTCATCATACTCAGCGTCCCATCCATCTATGTCGGCCAGTGGCACTTTAACCCAGTTTATGTGAGAGTACGCTATCGTCCTCGGTGTGCGTAACCTCAGCCCGAACGCGATATCCCCTCCACCTAGGAATAACATACATCCACGCCACAGAGTACAGCCCGCATATAGCCATGCTGCAGTCAAGTTAGCCGTGTTTCGTATTCCAATGCGCTCTTTTCCAAGCCAGAGGAGCTTACACGCCCGTACCCGCCACGCAGTACGTAGCGTACCAAAAGCTCACATCACCAGCATACGGGCACCAGGGCATGACCAACAGGAACACCTGAACCAAGTTATAAAAGACCAAGAGAACATTCCAGACCCGGAACTGGGTCGCTGGCAGCTTGTTCCGGCTTCGGTGCCGTCGAATAACGAAGACGCCCAGAGTCATTGCCAACCCAAACAGGGCCTCGGGATGCGTCCTCAAGATGACAACAAACTGAAAAGCATCACCAGCGGGGGGTGCTACAATCATGACAAACTTCATGAGCCATTTGAGCAGATAAGGGCCGACCGGCGTCCCAAAAGGTCTCGTCGCAACCCAGAAAAGGGTGAAAGATATTCCCAAAGGCGCTTAGCGAAACAAGCACATTGAGAGCCGTCTCGGCCGGCCCCAGGCCAAAGAAGTCGAGAAACACTCCCGCGGCAACTGCTTTGGAGCTTTCGAATTGGGCCTTATCGACGGCAGAGAAGTAGGCAATATTGTAGAGCATGTACAGCATGGCCACAATAAGGACCGAGGCAAAGCCGTGCTTCTTGATGGACCGAACAGGATTCTTGATTTCGTTGACCACTTTAAAAACGTTGGAGAAGCCGAAGGCCATGACGGCGCCAATGGCCCCGTATATCAAGGCCAAGCCGACGGAGCCCGTTGCCTTGAGGGTGTTTCCCGCTGCGGCGTGTCATTGTCAGTGTCCCTGTTGAAAGGACCGGACGGATTGGGCAGACGGGGCGAGGCGGTCGACTGGCGCGTTGAGAAGATGCCAGTGCCAGTCATCTGGTTAATATTGAGGAAGATGATGGTCACCCATCCCACGTGATATCCCAGGGGGGAGTTTCTGTCCACGTGTGCGCCGACCGCTTCTTGGTAGGTGGCCTCGGAGCCATTCCCGCCCTTGGCACGCGTAAATGCGAGCTCTCCGTCGTACACGACTTCCGATGAGCTATCTGACATGTGCGCGGCCCTGGCGGTCTCGCCCGGCCCCTGCATCATCGGTGACATGCTGCTGATTCAAGTCTGGAGCAGGTTGAAGCTAGTCGGCTAGTCATTGTTCCATGTTGCTTTGGAACCGTGCGGACTATCAGTTGCGATGTTGCGCCACCGCCTCTCGCCATTGGGGAAGTGTGGATGGATCATGGCAGTCCAGACAAGACAGTCTGCGGCATGCCTAGGACGTGCTCTTATCTGGTCTGGCTGGATGCTCTTTCGACAATATTCATTGATCGAAAAATGGCAGCCGCGACAGTCAACAGAGGTCCGCCAGGACAAGCTGACGTTGCGTACGCGCCGAGTCGGACCACGTACCAAGAGCGCATTGAGAGGCGTCAAGAAAGTGAAGAGATCGATCGCACTCTTCCTGAGTCCTGACGGGTTTCCGCAAAAGCTAGAATCTAGCTTGGCATGGACCGCGGCCACCGTCACAGATCAGTACGACTGGTCCTACGAGCTGGACGAGTCTGAGTTGGACGACCTTTCCTCTGCCCAAACTCCATCCTCGCCTCCGGTCCATTTCCGCCGACGTGCACAACGGCCAAGGGTTCAAGGTCATTCGTGGCATCCCTGTCGAGCGATGTACCAGAGAAGAAAACGTCGTCGTCTACGCAGGCATCGCCTCTCACGTGGCCACCACTCGAGGGCGGCAAGACCACCAGCACAACGGCCGCTCTTGTACCACCAGCCTGCCGCGAACAACCATGCCGAGCGTGTAATCATCCAGTATGCCCGACGGGGATTCACAAGATACTGGGGCTTGCCGCGCAGTGCCAACATTCCCGCCGTCACGGAAGCGCAGGCCGAGGCCCTGGACGCCGTGCCCTTGGCAGCCGAGAAGCATGCCTTGGCCCTCGCGCTCCGCCCTGGCGATATTCAATTCGTCAACAACCTGAGCTGAGCGTCTTGCATGCACGCAACCCCGGGAATCAAGTGCTCCCTTTGGAGCCGGCTATTCGGTCGGCATCTTTTGGTATCAAAGCCAAGCAAGACGGGTCGCCGTTGTCATCTGCAGGTATCGCCGGCAATGCCTAGTGTGAACAGTCGGTTTTTCCCCCTTCCAATATCCCTGTTCACATCTCCAGCACATCTGGCCAAAGTAACATCCAAGTAGTACTCGTTTTGGTTTGACATGGACCAATCTTCTTGCCAATGCAGAATGCCAATACTGGCGGCCTGGTCAGCCATTTCCGTCCCAACCCCTCAGCTAGACGTGAATGACAGCTACATGATACTCTCGGTACTCGCCACGGTGCCAATGACATTTCCGTCGGAGCTAAAATGTAAGAGGCCACGGCTCTGAAGGACCCGCGCTGACGAGCTGATGGCGTTCATACGGGGCTAGCTGCACCGGACGGAAGCCGCAAAGGCACAAGAACCTGGGCCATGACGGCCACGACGGCCATGTAAAACAATTGCAACACGCAAACGTGGAGTTGGCGCAGTAGGCTATAATCAATCAAGCTGGTGTTTTGGACTTTGGGGCGCTGCCTAAGGAGCGTGCTTGACTCATGCTGCTGCCACGCGCAGCTAGCCAATGCACAAATGCGTCGCGTTGCCAGCTCTCTCGTGTATGGCGATGGTCGCACAAGGCCTCTTTTGAATTTGGTCTTCATACAAGGCGCGCATCTGGACTATCGGTAACAAAGGGCCGTGAGGCTGGCTCGCTAAATCCATGACAAGACCAGGCCTACGTCTGCCGATGCTCCATCAACTACGGCTTGACGGCGACCAACAAGAGGGTCGTGTGCGAGAACTACTTCCTTGCGATGAATAACGTGTGTGCAAAATCCACCCAGCAAGCACCGGCTGGCTGGCTCCGGTGGTACAAAGACAGCTTCGAAGGTAAACTCGACGGGGACATCAAGCCAGGCACTAGTCGGAGTAAGTAAACCTTGAGGCCGACGAGAGCCTTGGCCACGTCGACGATATTATTTTTTATAAGACGGCGCTTTCCAAGATGCCAGGCGACGGGTTACGAGTCTCTGCCAGCTCCGTCCAGGTTACGCCCCTCGGTACGCCATGCGGTTCGCAACCATCGTCGTCACGGTTGCCATGGCCGCCAGCATCGCTCTTGGTGGTGCGAAAGAAACGGCTCCCAACACTACAGAGCCAGAGTTCTTCCTCATCCGTCACGCGGAGAAGAAGCTGAATGGAGCGATATCCGCCAAGGGCAGACGGCGTGCGCAGTGCCTGGTCAAGATCTTTGGCAAGGATAGCAAGTACAACATTCAGCACATCATGGTGCAGAGGCCATACCCTCACAGTCGGTCGTCGCCTTGCGTCTCGCGGCGCCGTCGCCTTGTCTGCCCGTGCCCGGCTAACACTCTGCCAGACAAGCTCAGCCAGCGGCCCTACAACACGACTCTCCCTCTTGCCAACGCGCTGGGCATCGAGATAGACACCCCGTGCAACTACAACCACCCAAAGTGTGCCGCCGACTTCGCCCTCAAGTACAGAGGAGGCAACGTCCTCATAGGATGGGAGCACGGCTATCTCTCCAGGGTGTCCAAGGCCCTGGGCGGCAAGCATGTGAAGAGATACCCTCGTGAGTGGACCACGCGGCTTGCCTTCGGCTTTTGTTTGCTAGCTGTCATGCTCATCATTGTAGTTCTGCGCTTCGACCTGATTTACAACCAGCCGCCGCCGTACACAAACGTGACTGTCACCAAGGAAGACTGCGAGGGGCTAGACAAGTGAATCGTCCCGGCGTGGTGGCCAAGGAACTGCTGCGATGAGCCCAACGCAGACAGACTCGTGGACCGGAAAGCAGGATTGTCTTGTCGTGTCGGGCCATCTCAGGAGTCAGGACCCGATGCTGCCGCGCCGTGTGGTCGCGAATGGGATTTCCACTCAACGTCAGATCAGATGACCCAACGCAAAATAGACGATCCATGCTGCAGCACCAGACCAGCGTTGTATCGAAGTCGTTGTCGTCTCGTACGTTTTGTACAAAACAAATAGCGTAACTATCTACACTCTAACACCTGTTTTGTTAACCACCCGTGACCTGACAGGAGCTTGCAGCTGTGAGGTTGACCACTAACAGTAGTGATCTGTGTTGGGCTAGGGTTAGGGTTAAACCAAGCGCTAATTCCCTATAAGGCGCCCAATAGGCTGTAGTTTGCATGAAGCTATCGTGAGCGCTTAGGAGGCTTCAGCCTTAAAGGCTAGCTGACGTAAGGGCGTCCCAAGGTAGATGTATAGGGTATTTAAGCTACTAATAAATACCAATTTTTACATGTTATTTCCTACGCAATTTAAGTATCTTAGATTCTACTTAATGTCTCAGCTGTTTCGTACAGCCCGTCTGGTTGAACCTTCAGCCCCTGCTTTATACTAATAAAACAGGGGTTACGGAGTAGAGTGTAAGCTAGAGGCGGAGTCTGCAGATAACGCGGGTGGAGCTGCCCTCGGGCTTTCTCGGAAACGTGGGGCGCTATTGCTGTCGCATAGCATATAAGGTGTTTCTACCTCAGACTACCACACACAAAAAGTGTGTCCAATTTAGAGCCTGCCTGGCGTGGCGTCATTAAGAAAGTCGTATGTTTGGTTAATTACTTTAGCATTTCACCAAGAGCTGTTGCAACTATCTATTCATACTAAAAATGTACTGTGGGGTGTTGATGCCTGTGCCGATGAGGGTCCCGCCCTGGTTCGGTCTTTCCCCGAAAGTGCGTCTCCGTACCTGCAAGTTGCAAGTGGGAATGTCCAGACTCCACCACAGGACTCCGTCATGTTGTGAAGCTACTCCTGCAACATTTTGGCCCCATTCGCAAGCCTCAAGTATCGACATGCCTTCCAGTCACAAGTATTCTTGAGATTGGTCCGTGTCAGTATCAAAGCTCGTCGAATTCCTGGGGCCATCTTACCATGTGCACCGTCGTACCCCACCAGGAGAAATCTTTCGATGCCCCCGTATATACCACGGCGAAGAAGATCAGGATGCCTGCAATGGCCGTCGAGCAGTCCAACGCTGAACTAAGCACAAAGTTATACTTGTTCCACCAGGGTCTATACTTCTTCTTGATCAGGAGCCCAAAGATAAGTCCCACTACAACCCAAGCACCATAGTTCGTGCCAGACGCCGGGGGGATGTATCCCATCCCACCCAGAAATAGTGGCACATGTACGCGCCGCAACCACTTTGCGTTGGGAAATGCACGTCGCAGGCCGTATACAACAATGGGCAGAGTAAATCCAAGCAGGAAGAACCAAAGAAGCGGTCGATACGGCGCTCCAGGAGCAAAAAACTTGCGTGGACCAACGGCTCCCCATACCATGCTGGTATTGAAATGGGTGCGAGAGAATGGACAAGTGAAGCCATCGGCCGCTCTGGAGGTGCAAATGTTCGGTATATGATTGAGAGCCCAGTTCAGGACGGCGACTTGAGAAACAGTGCCAACCACCAAGCCCACCGCCTGTACGACGAACAAGTGGCGGGGGCGGATCTGTCGGCTTGGTCAGCGCTTCGATCGCGAATTGAAAGAGGCTCAGTCATGCTTGCATTGCAGTAAATGCCAAGTTTAAGATCCTGTGCAAAGGCAAGGCCTTTGGTGGTGGATATGGATCCGAGGCAGAAAAACCAAATGTTGGCAAGGACTTTCCCTTCCCAGACGTATCCAGCAACAAGGCGGCAGAAGAGCTCGATGCTGATTTTCGTATTTGTTGTCGCAAACACCCAAGCAATCTGTTCTCCTTCATCAGCTTCGGGCCTGGACGTTGCTTCTTTATACAATGGAATCGCGCACCGGGATGAAAAATACAGCCGATATTACGAAAGCTAGAGCTGCGCCGTACCAACGCAGCTGTACAGCGTAGTATTCACAAGAAAACATGGCAAAAAAAAGCCCGAGAAGAGTCACAACGCCATACCACCACACGGGAGCCTGCGAGTAGTGCGCAGACGAATCTTGTTTGGCATTCTTCTCCCCATGTATGGCAGAGCCTCGGTTCGGCCGCCCTTTCGTTTCACGGACTTGCCGCACGAGACGACAAAGCTCATGTCGCTTTTCGAGAAATAACCACGTGAATAGAGATGCAAATGTCGCAAAAGAAAGGCCAAACTTGTTCAGCGCATATGTTACTGGCAGCCGGATCTACACGTGGCATAAGTCAGTTTGTCTTTGGTCTAATTGAGGAAATACATACGTCTGAGTAAGCAACAAACTTGGCTTCGTCAAATGCGAACCCGTTCTTCGCGTCAATCACCCTCGACACATTGTACACCTTGGCTGTATTGTCAAAGATCGAATTGCTCTGCAAGGGGAGATACGCTGATAGCCACGTGTTGGAGTAATATAGTGCTGGAGTTATGATCCATATCCAGAAAACGACAGCGGCGAGGATATTGAAGACGACCCAAGTCGGCACGATGAGAGGCGAACCGATATACGAGATTTGGCTCCCTGTCTTAGCACGTCAGTACCCTTACTTGATGAAACTCTGCTGTCGAAAACAGAGCTCAAATGTCACTGCTCACAGTCAAAGGTAAAGGGGAGTAATCCCATGCCACTTTTCATGCCAAAAACTTGGTTGACAACGGCGTGCTTTGGCGCAATCCAGCAAATCCAAGTAAAATAGCCCAAAGCCGGGAATATCAAGGCTGGGAACCAGTACCAAACGAATGCAGCAGCAAAGGCCCATAGAAAGAACTTGTATCGCGTCGACCTCCATGCATAAGCGTGGCTGAACAACACACCCTGTAAGCCGGCATTTTTATGAAACTCACTTATGATACTCGATACTACTCACCTCGAAACGTTTTGCTTGCTGTTCCCCCCATGAAGAGCGGAGTTGAGAGCAGTATTGCCTAGGACGCCGGGCCAGACCAACTCAGGCGGTTCCACGACGACGGAACGCGCAAGACCAGCAAAGCCAAAGCCGAACAAGATGGTGGAAAGTGTGATCATCAACTCGAAGCCCCAACCGGCCTCCATTGCGTAAAATACTCGTTGTTCAGTCAATACATCAGCACTGAGACGCGTCATGTAGCTCAAGTTGGCAAGAATATAGATCAAGATGTTCTCCTGGAGCACCTTGATCAGTGGGTCTTGTGATTCCCATCGTACGGCGTATGCTCGGGCGCCTACCTTTTGGTTAAACCGACACGGATTCAAACTGTGGCGTGTGCCAAATGCCGTGATGCCCCAATCCGGCACGGCGAGCTCCCAGGCCTTTCCTACGGGATAGGCCAAGAACTGGATCGCCGATTGAGACAAGGAGACAGACGGGAAGCGAAATGTGTAGAGGGTATTTACTCCGCTACCGATGATGCAAAAACCTATGCCGATGGACCACATCCTCAGCGTGAGACAAGGAAGATTCGGGTCGTCACCACTCATGTCGACGCCGGCAGCCGAGAGAACATCATTGCCGGACGCATGGTCTTTGCGGCCAGTCAGCATTTCTGTGTCGGGGGACATCAACGCAGCCACCACGCTTGCCACCAAATGGCTCGGTATTGTTCTCAGTACCTTGATTGTTCTGTGAAGGATGGACAGTGGCGAAGGTATCGATGTCTTGGAGACTCATTCTGAGGTCTGGCATGACGGCGCCGTACAAGAACGCTGCTCTTCCGGCATTCCCAAGAGAGAGGTCTGAGATCAGATAAGATGAGATTTTCCATCTTTTATTGCAAAATATACAACGGCAAAGTAAGCATACATGTCCTGTTCCACTCAGGCTGATAGGGTGGACAACGGACACGGCAAGTGGACCGTGGTGTTGCATTCTGTCTGATGCCGATTATCCGTCAAGAAGCGCATGGAGGCGACTGTTCCCGTCGCAGGTGCTGTTGGACACTCAATGTCTCCTCCTGTCGAGTGCATCTTGGGGTAGAAAGAATGCCTCGACTTTTTGCCTGCGCCGGGACCAGACACGACTCAAGTTCCTCACTATCTGGAAGAGAATTGCAGCTCGTGGGGTACGCCTACTTCGTCTGACGATGCGTATACGGACACTCTCGGGCCGACGGCGCTTTTATCTGATGTGCGCGGTACACTCCGCTCCGAAGAGAAGAAGAAGAAGAAAACTCTCGGAAACCTTCCGAGATGATGGCAACGGAGTACCACGCTGGTCAACGGGTGATTGGACGATCCGTTTGGATCAAGCAGCGGGTGACAGCCTGACATTTGCAAGCGAAACTGGCTGAATCGGGACGGTTCCTTCATAAGTCGGCATTAATTCGCCATACTCCGGTGTGTCCATATTCAGCTGAGTTCTGCATAGACATACCATTGAGGTCCCGACTGCAGGTCTGTGGCGCGAAATATAATGACGGCGACGATCAACCTTGATATCATGCTCGGAGGGGACAATGCCTTATAATAATAATGACTTTCCGAAAATTAATGAAAGCCTCGGGCCGGGTTCCGCTCATACAAAAGGATCGCGGCGCCCCAACGCCAGCGGCGCACACTTTGCTGACTCGCGGTTGTGCATTTAGAATTCCTGCTCCATCTAAATGACTTGAACATCATCACAGTGGAAGGAATTGACCATCCTTTATCCGTTCTTTATCGACCGGGTTCGCCATCGACTGTGCCGGCACCAGCTAAGCGCAGGATGGTCAAAGGAAAAAAAAAAATTTTTTTACCCCTGGGACCCAAATCGTCATCCCTCACCTTGGCGAAAGCTTCAAACGAAACCGGCGCGACGCGTCGACCTCAGGTCCCCGCCGTCCCGAAAAGTCAACATCGACAAGGCTCAAGTCCGTTTGCGAAGTTGCGAAGCAACCATGTCCAACTAGGGTCTACATATGGCGCTTAATGATCGAACGCCGTTGTCAGGGAATGGAGTTGGGTCACGGGCGATGCAACTGACCACTGAGCACTCGAGGACGAGTCATCCGCAAGCGAAGCTGGTGAGGCTAGTGAGTAATGAGTACGACTGCAAAGTCACAAGTGCTGCCGAGTTGGTGTGGATGTGTTGGGGGTTAGGGTTGAGAGACATCGGCGGTCTGGATGGGATGGGAAGGGAAAAATTCAGATGGGATTCCATGTCGATCATACGTATTACCGGTCCGCCCATACGACCGGTAGGCAATCAGCCCAGCCTGGGTTCTTTCTCTTACCCCAGGATTTCTTCCCCGGATTTCGCTTCGCCGGTTGCCCGGGTCTGTCTAAGCCGGGCCCGGCTCCACCACTCGACCTCTCGCTTGGACTTCGCGTCATCAACACTAGACGACCTAGGTGCTTGGCTAGTCTGCTGGTTTGCACAACGGCGTGCAACCGGATATTAGAAGCACACCAAAACTGCAGTAGCGGATAACAGGGGTACTCCGTACGTGGCCAAATTTCCCAGACTTTGTCTCGGTCGACGTCGATCGTCGCTTGCTCATTCTAGCCAACTTCCCACTTGGGGTTGGACTTTTCAGGAATCAGGCTCACGCCGTGGCATCATTTCGGATGGAATGACGCGGACTTTTCGCAAGATACCATACGAAGCCCAGGCCGAGGGGGAGGGCCGAGGGGCCGAGGCCATGATGGAACGACCCCCCGCTAGCAGTAGCGACGCTTCATACAGAGAGCGGGCGATTCCTGTATTAATACAATCCAATGTCTTGGTGGCAAGGCCTTGTTCATAACTTGCTCGGACGAGCCCTATTTGAAGTAAGGTCTGCCCCCCAAGGGAAGCCTGTGGACAAACCTCGTACCTCAGACAAACCCTAATAGGGGCTCTGATCATCTCTCACGGCAGGCGCTCTCATCATGTCTCGAGCAAGTTTGATCTCGCTGCTTCGTTTTCTGGGCTTGGTTGTCGTCAGCCTTCCATTTGCATCCAGTCGAGCGTTAAACCAGCCACGAGCTCTTCCCCCTAGCATAGATCCTTTCTACAAGCCGCCCGCAGGCTTCGAATCCAAAGCACCTGGAACTATTCTTCGCCAGCGTCTCGTTATATCTGCTTTCTTCGGGCTAATTCCGGACCCGGTTGAGACATGGCAACTCCTCTACCGCACGACGGCCGTCGACGGCTCGCCCATCGCCACGGTGACGACAATCTTTAAGCCGCTTTCCCCCAAGCAAGACCGCTTCATCTCGTTCCACACAGCGTACGACAGCTCGGCAACCGCTTGCAACCCCAGCTACAACTACCAACTGGGAGCTTTACAGAATGACCTGATTTCCGCGGCCGAGTTTCTCCTCTTGCAGGCGTACCTGCTCTCGGGCTACATCGTGGCGTCGCCCGACTACGAAGGACCCGATGCGGCCTTCGCGGCCGGTCACCTGGAGGGCATGGGTGTCCTGGACGGCATGCGAGCCGTGGTAAATTTCAAGAAGACGCTGAACTTCTCAACAGCTACCCCCATGATTGTCGGCGTCGGGTACTCTGGCGGCGCCATCGCAACCGGCTGGGCGGCATCTTTGCACCCAACGTATGCTCCCGAGCTGGCCATGAAGGGCTGGGTCCAGGGCGGCACTCCCGCCAACCTCACCGGCGTCGTGGTATTCATCGACAACACCTTGTTCAGTGGCTTCTTGCCCATTGCCGTCAATGGCCTGAGCAAGCCAAGTGCGTACGGCGCGCAAATGAATCCCCTCCTCGAAAGCATCGTCACACCGCACGGCCAAGACATCCTCGACTTTTCCAACTCCCACTGCGCCGTCCCCAACATCCTCGCCTTCCCAGAGCAATCGATACTGGCCACCAGCGTGCAGAGCCTAGGCCCTTCCCTCTTGTACCAACCGGACGTCGCAGTGGTTCTGCAGCAAAACACCATGGGCACTCGAAAAAACGAGACGCCCACGGCGCCCGTGTTCCTCTACCACGCGGCCCTCGACGAGATTATTCCGTACGCAAATGCCTCCGCCCTGTTCGATGCCTGGTGTGGCTATGGCGCCAACGTCAAGTTCACGACGTTTGCCAACGGCGGCCACATCACCACCGAGGTCATCGCCGTCGTGGACGCCCTCCAGTTTGTTTCTGATGCCTTTGCCGACAAGGTCCCCGGCGGCTGCTCGCACAACACGGAGCTCAGCAGCACGCTGGACCCCATTGCTCTCGGCGTGGCGCTTGAGCCTTTGCTGGTGCAGCTCATTGAGGTGCTGGCAACTGCGGGCAAAAACGACGCCAATATTATTAACGACATCAGGACATTGGGCAAGCACCGAGTATGACAGTTACATCTGAAGGATGAGTTGGAAAAGGGGGAAATCTTTGCTTTGACCGGAACGAACACCACATGCGTACATGACGACAGTAAGCATAGGCACGGATAGATTGCGTTGCTTCAGGTTAGATATGCTGTTTCTGACAAATTCACTTCAACATGCTTGACAGGACGCTTCGCCATTAGCCTGGGATGCTCCGAGCAATCGTTTTGTTGCCTTGTCGGAGAGTTTCGTAGAGTGGAAATCGAAACGAGCCATGTTTTCGCCAGTGGGTCCCGACTTCCCGAGTCCCGAGTCCCGAGTCCCGACGATCCGCGCAGGCATGGGATATTCCTCGACCGGTCATCTGATCTGGACAATTTGACCCCTCCTGCCGCAAGAGGCAGGTGGATCGTGCATCGGGCATCAACCCTTGCGTTGAGGAGGAATCCAAAGGGTAGGTAGGTGGTCAAGCAGGCAGTGAGGATTTGAGAATGTCATCCAAACCTCTGGCTAATAAGGTGGAGCCGTTGCCCTTGTCACCATGACCCGTGCACCCTCACCGAGTCACCGTTGACCGTTGGCCCACCTCGTCGCATCGCCCTCCCTCCTCCAACTCCTCACCAGACCAGACCAGACCAGACCAGACCAGACTCTGCTCTCCCAACTCCTACTCCTACTCCACATCCAATCCTCCGTGCATCCCATTCCACTGCACACGATTCACCGGACAATGACGAGACGAACGCCTGTGCCCTACCACCAGTACTCTGTGCTGCCGCTGCGTCAACCTCCCGCAGCAGCTCCTCCATCTCCGTCCCCAGCTCCCGTCACTACGACACCAAATTCATCCCTCGGGTCAAAAAACCTCGTCCTGGCCGACATGGACGGTCGGACATGCCGGGAAAACCGTGCTTGCGCAAGCTGCATCTCCAGGCTGATGCCCAGCGAAATCGGCCAGGTTAACCTCGCCGATGACCAAACTTGCCGCCTCTGTCGAGTCGCACGATGCGAGCCCGAGGCCTTTACCAAGCCATTCTGCGACTTTCTGCAAGAGAATCCCACCGTGTTTCACACTGTCCACTACTTCCAGCGCAAGTTGAGCGACAGCGGCTTCAAAGAGGTACGCCACTCCAGCGCAACTTATCGACTCTCCCAACATGAACAAAAATTTCCATCATGCTGTTGTCGGCTAGCATCTGTTAACAAGCATTGACACAACGCAGCTCTCCGCGCGGGACGCGTGGAATGGAAAGATCCACCCCGGAGGTAAATACTGGGTCACCCGCAACGGCAGCACCATCATTGCCTTCACCGTTGGTGAAGCCTACAAGCCCGGCAACGGCGCGGCCATGATCGGCGGTCATATCGACGCCCTGACAGCGCGCCTCAAGCCCGTCAGCCACCGACCCAACAAAGCGGGCTACGTGCAGCTGGGCGTGGCCCAGTACGCCGGCGGACTCAACCACACGTGGTGGGATCGCGACCTCAGCATCGGCGGCCGCGTCGTGTTCCGTGATCCCGAAACCGGCAAGACGTCCACGAGGCTCGTCAAGCTCGACTGGCCGATTGCCAAGATCCCCACGCTCGCGCCTCACTTTGGCATAGGCATGTTTGGCAACAACAACAAGGAGACCCAAGCCGTCCCCATCATCGGCCTCCAGGGCTCATCGCGGCAGGATGCTGAACCTCTGGGTCCCGACGGCGCCTTTGTCAACACCCAGCCGCCCAGGCTCGTGCAGCTCATCGCCAAGGAGCTTGGCATCTCAAGCTATTCCTCAATTCTCGACTGGGAGCTCGAGCTGTACGACAGCCAGCCCGCGCAAAGGATGGGCATGGACAAGGAGTTCATCACGGCCGGCCGAATCGACGACAAGCTCTGCTCCTGGGCCGCCCTGATGGGCCTACTTGCCGCCGACAACAACCCTACCGACGGCCACATCAAGCTCGTCGCGCTCTTCGACGACGAGGAAATCGGCTCCCTGCTCCGACAGGGCGCCCGCAGCAACTTTCTCCCAATTGTCATTGAGCGCACCGTCGAGGCCCTCAACCCATCTAGCTACGGCCCCGGACTCCTCGGCCAGACATATGCCAGGTCGTTCCTCCTCTCAGCAGATGTCACCCATGCTGGCAACCCCAATTTCCTGGAGACTTATATGGATGGCCACGTGCCGCAGTTGAACGTCGGCATAGTCATCTGCGGCGACTCCAACGGCCACATGACTACAGATGCCGTGTCGACCGCCATACTGCGAAGGGTAGGCGAAATGGTCGGTGCCAAGACACAGAATTTCCAGATTCGCAACGATTCGAGGAGTGGCGGAACAATCGGTCCTTCTTTGTCCAGTGCCATGGGCTGCAGGGCTGCAGACGCAGGACTGCCGCAGTTGAGCATGCATTCTGTTCGGGCGACGACGGGAGCCCTGGACCCGGGCCTGGGCGTCCAGTACTTCAAGGGATTCCTGGATCTGTGGGAGCAAATCGACGGGGAGTGGTCCTAATACTTTTTTTTCCTTTTTTTTTTTGGAAAAAAAAGGGGGGGAGGAGGGTTGGGCAAGTAGTCGTGGTTAGTAGTCGTGGTTTGGAAGAGTGGAAGAGCGCATTCTTTCCGTGATCAAGACGGTTCAATTGCGCACGCACACCGTGGAGTATAAACATAGGCATACAATGGAAAATCTACAACTAGAATCTAGAACAAAGACTTGTATTGCACCACATCATGCACGCTTCTCTTGCCTGGCCGGAAACAAATGACACCCACAATGCACGTCGCCTTCTCATTCTCAACCTCTAGCCTCACCGGCCTCCAGTAGGCTTGCAGCCTCGGCCTCATCATCCTCCTCCTCGTCGTCATCGTCACTCTGCTCGACAGCTTCGCCCTCGGCTGCCCCTCCGGGCTTCCGTCTCTTGACGAAATCCTGCTTATGGGCTTCGGCGAGCATCTTGGAGAATGACCGCGCGGTAATCGTGTCTGCGCGCCGTCGCAAAGCGCCCAGTGTCGACGCGACGGCCGTAGAACTAGCCGTCTCCGGCGCCAGCTCGGGCCTGCGCTGGTCAGTCGTCAACACAGGCGACGTCTCCTCACTGATGCGGTCCATGAGCGGCTCGATGCGATACGGCAGCGGGACGTCACGGGATGCCTTGTACTGGGCGACATTGGCGCAGTGTTCATTCTCGACACGGAAGAGAGCCCACATGCCGCGGCGGAGGACCTCGACAAACGACACGACGAAGGCGACCAGGGTCGAGTGCTGGAGGTCGTGGGTGAAGATGGCGTAGAAGATCCACGCGAAACGGAGCACGGGGTCGACAACCATGATGAAGTAGTACGGCCAGCGGCGTTTGAGGGCCAGGATGTCGCGCAGCGCAAAGTGCCGTGCGTCGGCTTGCAACAGAGAAAAGTCCATGAAGACATCCCATATGGCTTTGGCTGCGGTTAGCCCCACGGGTCCTCTTGGAAAAGAGAAGGTCGTGACTGCGGCGCGACTTACAAACGTAGATACTGTTGAGGATCGAAAATGTGATGAAGAGGGCTAGGTTCGAATTGGTACCGTCTATGCGGTATAGTGAGAGCATCACGGTAGATATAATGGTCATGGTGTACTTGCCGCCGTTGACGAGATGGGGGAACACGTTGCGAGTGTCCCTGTATCGGCGAACGCATTGGAGCAAACGCCAGATGGGCGGCAGCGCCATGAGGAATCCCAAGAGCCGGGAATGGTTCGAGTTGCACTGTGGAGGGTCGTCCCATTTGTTGGCGTATAGACAGAAGAATAGTTCAATGTTCTGGGCTTGTTAGCAGAGTCGTCGTCGAGATAGGGGTGGGAATGCGTACGGCCATGGAGTATGTCAATGAGCAATACAAATCCCCGAGAAAAAAGTCCCGGAACTCAACCGGGTAGAGCCCAGCTAGCAAAAGCCGCCACTGCCACGAGTCAGCTCGGGAATCTCACCGCGCTTGGCTGCTTGCACAACTTACATGAGCATAGACAAACCATGAGCGGCTCCTGTGTCTCAACGCGGGTCCAGGGAAAAATATAATGACAGCCGTAATCACAATCAGGAATACGGGATAGTAAATATACAGCCAGTCCGGACCGTATCGGCTAAAGTTGATCCATATGAAGATACCGAATAGGAGCAGAAAGAAGCTTGGAAACTCTGCCAGTCGCCGCCAGTCAAGTACGCTTCGCTGGTCAAACTCGAAGATAAAGCGGTAGTTGATCTTTTGTTTGGACCATACAAAACAATTGATGCAAAACGAGGAGAACATGAAGAGCATCAGAAAGTATCCTGCGTATAACTGCAAGAGGTAGCTGGTTTGCACCGCGATGATGGGGTCATTGTCAAAGAGCAATTGTGAGCCGAATACGAGGCCCTCGATGGTGAAAAGGAGTCCGGTACCAATGAGAAATCCATTGAGGAATGAGCTTCCGGATTGGCTTCTTGGGCGCTTGGACATACTTCGAAGTTTGCCAACTGCAAGTTTGTGGTTGCCGCGTTCAAAGTACCTCGCATACAAGTCTTCGACTGCCTTGATGTGCCCTTCAAGAGTGTCACTGTTGACAAACCAGGCCGTGTTGACCTTTTCATTCATGTAACGCAACGTCGGTCGAGCATTGACAGCCTTGTCAAACTTCTTGTTGAGCTTGCGAAACGCAGTACGATTCAAAAGTGCATACGACTTGAGGAGTTCCAGCCCCCGATAGAACTCTTGCAGCGCCAATTTTAACTTGCGCTTGGCTGTTCGATATGACACGTCTTCCTTTTGCCGCCGTCTGCTGTAGTCTCTCGTTGCATCACCGGCCGATAGGCTGAGTGGGAGGATTGGTGTGTTGGGCATGTTTCGAAGAGCCTCAGAGTTGGGTCCCGGTGGGAAGATCTTAGCCTTGAGCGGTTGAACCCATCCATTGAGGCTGTCCTTGGAATTCTCCGTGTCGGTGTAGTGGCCGTTATCGGGGTTGTTGTCCTGATTTGAGGCCATTTCGTGAATGCGTCGGTTTCGCATTTCGTGGAGCTGTTCTCGTAATAAAGTGAGCCGTTGCCCAGCTTGATCCTCCTTGAGCTTGTAAAAAGACTCGACTTTTTCCAATTCCGAGTCCAGAAATTCATAAAACTCTCTTTCCCTCTCTCGCACCAGGTCAAAGTCGTGGGCGGCACCACCATCCATGCCCGGCGCGTCTCGTTTTATTGGGCCATGTGCATTCGAGAGAATCCGCCTTAATTGTGACGGAGACTCGGACAAGGCGCCTCCAATAACTGACTGTCGTCGTACCAGGGGAGACAGTATGGGTAGGTCGGTCTTTGGAGACGCAGGTCCGGCGGCTGTTGAAGAAGCCCGTCGCTGCAGGGAGACCTTGTCGTGGCTCTTGACGGTCTCGGTCGGTCCCGAGAGTCCCGGATAGTCGGATGCGTTGAGGGCGGGTGCCGGTAATGCAAAGTCACCACTGGCCTTGCTCTCATATTTCAGCAATGGGCTATGATTTGGCGGCGTCGGCACAAAGCTCCCATAGTGCAGATCGTTGCCCTCGCTTGTTAATACTTCGCCTTCGTTTGCATGAGCAGCAATTGACATGGGATGTGATCTAGGAGCGGCCAATTCATTGTTTCCGTCTGGACTCCGACGAGTCGGACAAGACGTAGAGGTGGGCAAGAGTGATGCTCGGTCATGATTGCTCGGTCGAAAGAAGGGCGGAGTACGATTCGAAGACGGCTTTGGCGTCCTATTCATTGCTCGCGAGACGGCTTTCACGCACTTCTTGCCAGCCTTGTAGTTGAGATATTTGATGCGCCACTCTAGAAGGGCCACAAAGAATAGAATAAAAACAGTCAGCCTCAACAGCCTCGTTCCTCAGCATGGGCACACGCCGTTCCATGCTTTGCCAAGTCAATTGAAGATGGCCAAGCAGCTCACGTCTCGAATTGAGCGGTGCGGACGGTACAAGTAAAAAGCACATTGTTGGCAGAGTGGGAAAATCTTACCTGGGACAGCATCTCTCTCGAGCTCCTTGGCAAACTTCATGGCCGGGGTTTCAGCTGCAGCGCAGCCCTCAACTGATGCTGGTGCATGTGCGGGAGCGTCGAGTTCAAGGACCAAAAGTCTTGGATAGTTGCGGAATGGAGGATAAGGCTATTATTGTTCGTGCTTGCCTGGCACATCACATCCGACACGGATCAAGGGCGATCTCGGCACACCGGCCAAGGCGTGTAAGATCTTATGAAGCTGATAATGGTATTTACCGTCGAGGCGGCCACGAGCCGGCATGGTGATGATGAAAGTAGAACGAGGCCTCTCAGACACCGACGCACCGATTTAGAAGTGGTGGTCTCGATTGATGAGGTCAAGTCAAGGCGGCTAATCAGCTTGCACCCAAGTGGCTAAAATGGCATGGGCGGGGCGGCGCTGGCGGTCGTGCATAACTCGTGCCCAACCAAATCTACTGTCCTCCAGTCGCGCCCCACCATCAAAAAAATTTAAGAGAAAAAAAAAATCAATTCCGATCATCGGATAAATCCAAGATGTGTTGCATTCAGCCACCCGCTGCCTGGCCCGTTCCCCGTTCCCCGTTTCCCGTTTTGCCTGCCACACCGTTCGGCAGGGTATTCCATCGAGGCAACAAATCCAAATTCGGACTCGATTTATCGTCTCCTCCCCAGCACTGACTGCCCAGCTATCCCGACTCTTCCGCCAATTTTGTGTGCCTGGCCTGGGCATGCAGGTCGTTAATCACTTTCCTTCAAACACCATGCCCACGGACCGCCATGTTTGCTTGTTGCTCCATCGTCCTTGACAGCTCAGCAACCGTGCGTCACGCTCGATATGATTAATTTCGGTAACGTGGATTTCTGTAGCGTGCTAGTTTTTCCATCCTCGTGACCATGTTCGCCCGTTCTCCAAATTGTTCATTCTGATGCCCGATTTACGTCATGGTCATTGAGGACTGACCCCCAAACCTGACGGTGCCGGAGTAGCGGCCAAACAGCCGGCGTTGCTATTGAAAATGGACAAGCCCCCTTGATTGGGTCGAGTTTCGTTCTGCAGCGGGTCCGTCTCGAATATAGCCACGAGACATTAGCTACCCTACACATGCGAACAGGAACCGTCGCAGCGGACCGCAAGCATCGAGGCGCAAAGGCTGATGGCGATGCCCACCAAGTATGACAGGACCGTCAGCATCGAGCATCTCGTCTACTCCTGTGACACTGCACCGATCGCGCTGTCGACAGACTGAACCACTGCCAGCCAACACCATGTCAAGATCTTGCCGGCACCAAGGCAAAGGAAACATCACATCAACCAACCGGACGACAGACGTGGGCACCTCACCGCTCCTACAAACCAACATGTTGGGACACAGGTCCATCTGCGAAGCACTAAATCGCCGCGGCGACGTGTAAACTTCAACTTGCGAAATCGTAAAAAAAAAGGGTTATTCCCCTGCGCAGGCCGTCATCAGCTTCCGCCAGCACAAGTCCGTGTGTGCAAGACCACGACGGCGTTGAGCCGCGCAGCCAAGCTCAGCACCCAGCATTGTTGCCAGAAACGGACATGCCGGCGTCGTGGACTCGGCGACGGCGGATAGTTTGACGCACAAGGGGCGGGGGAATCAACGGATCAACGGCACGACCAAAGCCAGACATGGCCAGCCGGCATGGACCTGGATACCAGGGACGAACCACTGCACCGCACACCACGGGCCGGAAGCGACAAGATATTCACGCCATACTCGATGTACTCTGCAATGCCGGCTACGTGCATCATCTCTTCAGCCGGGCTGTACACTCGAGCGGCTGCGAAAATCGTCAACGAGCGCTTGATACAACCCCCCCCCCCCCCAAAACATTCGGCCAGGACGAAGCAGGGGTTGACTCTGACAGACGGCACGGCCGGAAACTCTGCCACAAACGCAGCAGTATAGACACACAGATACCCAGGGAATCACGTCCACAGCCGGGCTTGCAGATTCATACCACACTGCCTATTATCAGGCCGCAGGCTGTTTCGCATGCTCCGCGTTTGTGGCGCTCGTGGAGCTCCTACCGCGCCTAGGTATGTGATGTCAAGACGCGCGGTAACGGGGCACGCAATGAATACTTGCGGGCTACGGAGTACCAAGGGAATGGATCTGCCGAAGGCTTCAACGTCTCGGGTATCGCCTCGCCAGCACAGCCTCTTTACATGGTGAGTTTGATCCCTTCGGCTCTACATGGGTACAACGGGAGGGGAAAAGCCCAGGTTGAGCCCGCCCATGCGTGGTCTCGCGCCTCCAGACCCTTGAGACGTCGGTGGATATGAGAATAAATAGGCGGACGTAGAGCAGCGTCGCTGCTTGGAGTACACACACACGGTCAACAAACCACATGTACATTGGGGTTGTATTCCGTCTTGGTGTTGTTGTGCGCACACGGCAATAACTTGAGTGCCAGGTTAGTTTCCCCCGGATCTCACCCCGGCAGGGAGCACCATCACAGTCATATCAGTGAGGGGCCGACGGCAATGCCGCGACTTTCATGCAGCCTGGTTGCAGTCCAGTTTTGCTGGGGAACAGCCATCATCGTCGTGGCAAGGGAGAGCTTGCACCCTTCTACAATCAACGTTCCTTCAAGCAACACCAGCTGTTTAGGTACGGATCATGACCGTCGCACATCACATCACAGCCTTCAGTGCATGGCATGGCATGGCATCACATGGCATGACAGATCAGCGTCGCAGGGATCAAAGCAGTGTCGTGCGGTATGAGTTGCACATCCCGCTAAGCACAGGAGGCAAAAGGCGACAGCATCGGAAATAGGTCATCCAGTTTCCGTGATTGGGAGTTCCCGTCACGCACGCAAGTCGAGCGTCCAAGATACAAATGCGGCCTTGCTGAGTCCATACCGGACCCAACGCGGCACGGCTGTCTTTGGGCCGGTCACCATCCAAATCAAGTTACCTCTGCTTTTCGGCAACCAATCTTGGCATCGTCTGGATGATACCGCATTAGCCAAGCCGTTTGGAACGCATCCTATCACGGGCAGCGATGCCACTTGCCAGACTGCGGAGCGCCCGAGGCAGGTTCATGACAAGGTCATGCTAAGACGACAGAGTTGGTCTGTCCGCAGGAGCAAGGGCAGCGGCGGACAAGTCGGACATTGAGCAACTGGAAAAGCGGTTTCATCCATGGCAGGGAGCATCGTGGGTGGGACTTATGCTTCTCGGAAAGTCCTTGATACATGGTTACGTATCACTTGTGCGTAGGGGTTTCCCAGGCCTCTTGCGGCGATAATTCCCGACATGAATGTGGAGGAGGTTTGCAGGGAGGTTTGCAGGGCGAACCACAGATGTCTGATGCTCAAGGGCCCTACACTTCAATTTGATGCAGCGAGTTGCCAGACATAGATTGCAGATGCCAATGAAAGAAGGCGTAAACGCTTGCGCAGGCAAGGCAACATCTTGTGTGTCTGCATTGGACATTAACCCCTTGTCCAATATCGCCTCGACACTGCACTGCACCTCTGTGGTTTCACCGGTCCATCTTGTCCGGCTTGTTTGTCCGCTTGCCAGTGACGGTTTGATAAGGCTCATTTTCTTCCTGCGGTGTTGAAGCCCGTCTTGGCCGTCAAGGTCAAGCAAGAGAAACTCGGCCCCACTTGGGTGTTTCTTGTTACCTACGCTGAGACGATGGCTTTCACCCTTCCACCTCACAGCCAATCACAGGCGGCTCACACCGCATGAGCCAACTATAAACTCGGCAGTCATCAACGCTTCGGCAGCCTGACGACACAATACAGCAGTACAGTGCGGAAGGGAGCTGGATGATGCGTAAGTGTGTTTTTCTGTCCAGTTCACATCATCGCTTGCAGGAACAGATAACCAGGCCGTCGGCTGGCACAGCTCGGTCGCCCGAAAATGCCGTGGACCACGGATGGAGATTTCGAGGAGCATTCCAGACTCGAAAATTGGCAGGACCACGGAGATGGCTATGTCCTGGACCCACAAAGTTTGGTGTACTCCGTATGCGAAATGCGATACCAAGCGTCTTTACTGGTAGATGTCCGGTGTCAGTTGTGAGTGGAGCGACCGGCCACGCCAAGGTTTGCAGCACATATCGCTCAATAGTATCCGTAAGTAGTTACTTGGATTGCGCCATGGCTCTGTGGCGGCGGCGCCAGTGCCCGGCGAAGGTTGTCTCACCATCACTTAGTCATCTGGGCGTGATCTCTCTGAAATCGCCTATCCAGGACCGAGTACGGCCATGGCGTTGGCGTTTCTCTGGACCGATATTGTCCCTGCGTAGCTTGCTGGGCTTGAGCACTATGCGAGCTGCGCACCATTGTGTCGGTCGAGGGGCAATGGTACATGCAAGTATCCAAACAAATCCGGATCAAACAATCCAGTTCTTTGCCGTCAACGGAGGACCAGTATGTTGTTTGGTGTTTGAGGGCGCTGCATGGACGCGCCAACGAGTGCGAGTCAAGTAAGGAGCAAACAATTGCGAACGTCGGTTTGAGTCAAAAGTCGCGGATGCGGGAGGGAGCCTTTTCCGCAAATATCCATGGTCCGTGGTGCCATCGGAAGACCATCCGGGTGCTGGGCTAGCGCCAATAATAAGTCTTCGCACTTGCGGATGCGAGCGACCACGTTTGGCAGCATCGTCATCGCATCGCATCCTTGCAGTCCATCACCTCATGGATTGATGATAAGTAATTGATTGGCCTGGTTGCGCCTCATGTCGGGCTTGGGCCTGAATTGTCCCCGCCTGCCCCCCCGTCTTGGTCGGACCGTTCAGCTGGGGAGGGGCTGGGCGCAAAGACAAGAAGCGTACTTAGAAGTAAGTAGCACCCGGTTCTCCGTCGTATCAACGCTAACCTGTTAGTACAAAGGGCTCAATACTTTGTAGTGGCTTTGGACTGGACGTCGACGCGCGTGCTGCGGTCGTGAAATAATGTGCAGTAAGCCGTACGCCGTAGACATTCGCCTTGCGCCGTAGAACAGGTGCAAGGTGGGCAGATGTCGGCTGGTGTTCATGCCTATGAATTGATTTGGAAGGTGCGGGCGACAGGCAGCCAATCTCGCTGGCTCCAGGTACCTGATTCGTGAGGACGTTCCGTTAAGTACTTGGGTACTCCGTACTTGAGGACTTAAGTCCCCGAAGTAAGTACCTAAGTACTTAAAGGCAGGCACCCAGCACCGTCGAGGCCTAGCTAGGTACTTACCTACTCACTTACTTAAGTGCTCGAGATACGGACTACTTGAGTGATTCAGAAGCCTTCTGTACCGATATCATGGCCTGGCCCCTTGACGATCAATTGGTGCCTGTCGTCGTTGGCGGGCGCGCGGGAGCCGAAGCGTTACACTGCCGTCGAGCTCGGGGCCGCGCACGGCCAACGCTGAACATTGTCAGGAAACAATGAAGACGGAAGAGCGTTGGGCTGACAAGCCTAGGCCCCCAGCGGTTTACAGCTGGCAATCCACGGCTCCACGGCTCCACGGCTCCACGGCGCCCCCAAATGCTGCTCTGCCATTGCAGGCCCCGAACGTTGAAGGCTGCCTCGGCGCGCGCATGTCGGCATGAATTGATCCGCTGTAATTTAGCCGGCCCGGACCAAAGACGCCAGCATCCAGTCCCAGTCCAGACGTCGGCGCCAGAGGCCAACTGGTCCCACCGCTTCTCCCCGTCCAACGTGCTGCGTGGCTGCCATGCCCCATCAGCGGCTACTGTCACTGGCTGCTTGTGGCTCTCGCTGCTGTGACTGCACATGTGGCCGCTGCCAGACGCCCTCACGCGCCCCCATGCCTGAAGGCCGATGCCCCTTGGCCCTGCCTTAGCCTTGCCGCGCCCAGAACCTTAGAACCTTACCACTCGGCCACCCGCCTCTCTGCGCCTGGCCTCATGCTACGTATCATCAATTGTCCTCGGCCTCGGGTCTCCCGTCTCCCGTCTCCCATCTCCCATCTCACGGCAACCCTGGTCAAAAAGTCCCGGGCCTCCCATGAGTCAGCCTTTGACGCAAAACCGCATGGAGCACGCACTTCGCACTCCACCGCCGCCTTCTCGCACCGCACACCAGTTAGCTCTCCTGGACACCTCCCTCCATCCATTCTTTGCCGGGGCACTCTCTTTCTTGCCCTGCACCAAACTTCACGGCCAGTCAGTCGTGCAGTGTGCTGGCCTTGTGCACGGGTCTTTTACTCCCAGCAGAATCTCTTCCGCCCTCGTCTCTCGAGTGTCTCGCCTGTGCGGCCTTCTCCTGCCTCGACGCCGCCGCTCAGCCTGGCTAGAAAACACGGCAGCTTCGCCATCATAAGACTCAAGGCGCCGTCGCGCCTGACCGTGCCCGTTGCCATCGCTAGACACAAACACCCTTCTGGGCCTTTGCATTCCATTTTCAGTTCTGCAGACCAGCAAGGAAGCTTCTGCTCCCTTTGCCGCACAACAAACAGAGCAAAGAGACAGCTGTGACAGCCGCTGGACTCGGCGAGGCACATCCCGCCGCAGCCATCTCCTCGACCATCATGCTAGGACCGCATGCGATACCCAGGCCGATGGATCAAACAAACGCCTACGGCCACTCGCGGTCCCGAACGACCTCCTCCAGCGTATTTCCCATGCAGCAGCAGCCCGCGTCTCATTACCCGCAGGCAATGCCTCCACATATGCAGAACTCGCGTCGGTCGCCGTCTGTCAACACATTTAGTACGACATCCAGCATGCAGCCGCCGGCTGCATATCGGACCTCGTCGTCTACAGACCTTCGCCGTTCCATCTCCAGTCGCTCTACTGGAACAACCGCGCCGCCGTCTAGCTATGTCGCTCTTCTACGCCGGCAAAAGGCTACAGTCTGGTGCGATCGGGCTCAGTACGAGGACCCTCGGGTAGCAGCTCAACAAAAGGCGGCCAAGGTGCGCGCTAATCTCGAAGTTGTTGGCGGCGGCCGAGGTACCATCACTCCCAGCCGGACCAACACTGGAATTAGCGCGACAGGCAAAGTTGCTGCCAAGATCAGGCATCATGGCAAGACACCTGTTGTTGGGTATGCTCCAGGCGATACGAACCACGTTGGTGTTGGCGGTGTGCCTCTGCGACTTAGTGCCACAGAAGTCGAAGGAGAGAGTAGTGACGACGACGATGCTCACGCTGCGTCTCGCGCACACCACCGCCGTACAGGAAGTAGTGGCCGAAGCAGCATCGGAAGCGGCCGACGGGGCTTGCAGTATCGAGTTTCTGGCAGCTCTGTTACCATAGGAGGCCACCGGAGAAGTCCCGGTGGCACCCCTGAGCGTACTGGTAGCCTGATTGAGCGGCCGGAAGAGGCCATGCGCACTATCTCCGACTCGGCGTCAGGACGGGCGCAAAGCTCACGAAGCACTAGCAGCGGTGAACGAGCCGACAATCTCGGCGAATTGGGTAGCAACCCGAAGTTGGCACCCAATTCCCAGAAGCTTTCGGTTCTTGTAAGAGAGAAAAGCGTCAAGAGCGCCGACGAACTTAAGCGACGAGGCAGCGTTGACGAGCGAACCGCAACACTCACATCCGGCCGTCTTTTCATCGCCAATCCCGATTAATCGTGCACGACACGCGAATATAGAATACCGGCATATCCTGCCTGGCAACAGCAGTGCTCAGACAGTATCACATTATCGAAAGGCTTTAGAAGCATTTTCCAGCACAGTGTTTGTATTTTCGGGCCTTTGGACCTCCTGGTCATTCCCTTTACACAGCCCAACGCTTATACCAGTTGTTTTCATTGCCGGTTGCATTGAAGGTGTTTGGGGAATAGGATTATAATCACTCGCTACTGTTACAAGGTTTCGCAGGCCTTCGATACCTTTTTGATTTCTTTTTTTGCCGTCGTGTTTTTACTACTTTCGCTTGTGTCCCTTGATTCTTGTTGTGCAGGGCCGGTTAAAATGATGCTGCGATTGGTTTTTTCCCCTCTGCGCATGGCGAGACAAAAGCGTGTGTTTGATGAAATGACAGACTCACATAATATCAATATCAATTTTCGGGAAGTGTACATATTAATATTCATATGAATACGGGTAACGAGAGAGATGGTTACCGTAGAAGCCATCATGCTACGAATGACTGAGACACTGTGAATTTTTGTCTGTCGATTCTATATGAAACTTAATCTGGCAGCACTCTATCACTAATTGGAAAGGTCTCCTGCTGTACTCCGTATCTTAGCACTCATTGACTTGCCAGGCTGCTAGGTCGTGTGTTTGTCCAGGCTCCGTGATGCCGTTGTAAAATGATTGCATCATTGCCCTTTCACAGGAAATTTGTGACCAGGGCCAAGCCACTGCTAGTCTATGCGGATTAGCGCAGGACAAAAAAAGGATTGCGGCTGGTGGGTAGCACCAGCCACATAATCTGGTTGCTCAAATGACCGCGGGCCACTTGACGCGTCCAGGGCGAAAAGCGGAGCGGAGCAACTGAGTGGCGGCAGCAAGTTTACGCGGACCGCGTTCTGAGCTCCTTCTGCCTGACAATTCAGCAATTGATGTGCACTTTCCACATCAATTGATGCCACTGATTTCTACAATCTCAAGCAAGACGGAGTCTCGCTCGACCGGTCCATGTGCAAAGGGGCTTTTCAAACACTGCCTGAGTCAACATCTGTTTTCTCGTTTCGTCACCCACTCGAATTCCATGCAGCAGACACCACCGTGTTGCAACGAATGATCCTTTTGCCCCCTCTCCGACCTCTCTTCTGGCTGGAATCATTCACCGTTGACGGTTGGTTATTGCTGCGGTTAGCGGCGAGATTATTTTGATGCCGTTACTCGAAATGCCACACAATGTGCAGGAGACTGAAGCCGTCGTGCGAAAGAGGTGTCACGATGAATTTGCTGGAGATACTTTGAAGATTGACGGCGAAGGGGACGCAAAGTCACCGAAATCCACTGCTATCGGGCAATATGGTGATGGCTGTGAGCACCTGTACCATTCTTTCAAAAGTCCCCCATTGTGTAACGCGACTGACCTCGTCCAGTGCCTCCTCAGGTGCAATCACAGCTTCATTCTTCACCAGCCGGGTCACCAGCATTCACTGAAGCTGGAAGCAGCACCCCCGCCCGCAACTCCCCAAATCCCATTACACCAACCAAGGCCACAGTCGGCAACAATTCTTGTGTGCGGAACAGCCCGGACACGATGGTGAGTCGTGTCAAAGGCACGGCATCAAAGCGGAAACGTCTTACGACTGTAGAAAAAGTGGCCAAAGATAGGGAACAAGCCGAGAAGAAAAAGGAGCGTGAGGAGCTAACCGCTAAGAGAGCCGCCGAAAGAGCAAAGCAAGAAGAAGAAAAAGCTGTCCGCGCCAAAGAACGAGAGGAACAAGCAGCCGCCAAGGCGAAGGAGAAGGCTAAGCTGGAAGAGGAGAAGGCTGCCCGTGCCAAAGAGCGGGAGGAGAGACGCAAACAAAAGGAAGAGGAGGATCGCCTCAAAGCCGAGCAACGTGACGAGAAGAAACGAAAGAAGGAGGAAGAGCAACGTCGCATCCAGGAAGAAAGGGATAGAAGGGCACGGAGCCAGCCAAAACTGAATGAGTTTTTCAAAATCCCCGGCGTGTCAAAGAAGTCGGACAATGGCAGCAGCTCCGCTGCCGGAAGCCCCATTAAAGCCGCCCGTGGTAATGCGTCCGTTCAGCAATTGGAGACCGAGTATGACAGGTTGTTCAAGCCCTTCTTTGTGAGGGAAAATACTCGTTTAGCGCCTTCAGCAACACAAATGGACGAGGAAACCAGAGAGGCAAAGTCTCGAAATCTCGACAGCTTTCTTGATGGCCAACGGAACGCGGTCAACCAGAAACCCCTGGGATTCGACCCTGTGGAGGCACTACTGCTTCCAGGAAGGGCTCCTAGACGCGGCCGCATCCATCACCCCGTGAAGCACATCATGGAGACGACGTATAGGAATGCTGCCGGTGCGTCCGATGCAAACAATATCTTCCAGGAGGCGCGGCAGAAGCTGGCCAGTATTCCTCAAAAAGTGATTACGTTTTCACAAGATGTCCGACCTCCGTACTATGGTACAGTAACGTTCAAGCCTTACGCCTTAGGGCGGGATGCAATGTTTAAGCTTGCTCGGAAGCCGACGAAGCGACGGCTGCCACTCGATTACGACTATGATTCAGAAGCTGAATGGCAGGAGGAAGAGGGCGAAGACATTGACATGGAAGATGAGGAGGAGGAGCTTGATGATGACGATGATATGGATGGATTTCTAGATGATACTGATGATGGTGGACTCTCAAGACGTGCGTTCGGAAACGCGATGGAACCAGAATGTACGGGCGTTTGTTACGAGAACTATAATCGTCTTGGTCCAAACCGAACGGTATACGAACACAAGATGGAATTCATTCATGGTAAGGCTTTTTTTTTGTGCTGCAAGTATCGTTGTCAGATACTAACTGGGAGCGAACAGAAGGACTGGAAGATACGTGGGGCATCGACCCCTTTTCATCTCAATATTGGGAAACAGAGGTAAAAGCACAGCCGGTCAAGGTTTCACTGTCAGCAACTGAAAGCGCCGCCAAGATGCCACCACCACCTGCGCCGACGAATGCTTTCGCCGCTCTCGATGGTTGCGCCGCAAACGTAGCGGCTTCCGCCAAGTTGGTCAAGCCAGAGCTGCTGAATGACTTCAAGAGGGCCATACTGGATAACAAGGCGTTGTCGAAAGTCGGAATCATCGACTTCATATTTCATCAGTTCCGCAGCAGCGTCTCCCGCGCCGAGGTGAGAAATACACTAGAACACGTGGCTGAGAAGAAAGGAGCTGGCCGGTCAAAGGAATGGGACCTCAAGCCCGGCCATGAGATTGTGTTCTGAAGGAGGCACAGAATTCACTTGGACAGGAATTCAAATGTTTTTCCCTCTCAACATGATAGCTAGGCAACGTATTTAGCGAGGAGCAACGTGGCTGGCATTTGACATTGATAACTTATTTGAGCCCGATTAGCGCGACCAGAGTGGCCAGTGCGACACACTCGATGTACGGAGTATAAATGAGAATAACTCGACTCGAATATATTTAAGTTGACAATAGAGCACTCCTGCTCGTTCTAGCGTCAGCAGTATGACTATTTGCTGTGTGCTTGCTGGGAACCGACGGGGTAAAATGTGAGCCGGAGCAAGAAACGCTCAGCGTGTTGCAACGGTGACCATGGAGACATGTATTCCATTAACATTATGTATATACTACGTAGTTGTGGCATGTGATCATTAAATGTACTCATTTCCAGAGCCAGTCATTGAGTGGCCTGCGGGAGTGCCCCCTCGTAGCCTCGTAGCGGAGGCTCGCACACGGAGACGAAGCACCAAGCTAGGCAGCGGAACTGGACGGGGGCGCCACGCTGTACAGCTCCTGGCCGTCCTTTTTGAAGTCTCTGACGACCTGCTGACCCTTGCTGCTGACCAGCCACGTCGCAAACGCGCGGGCCATGGCTGGGTTCGAGGCCTTGCTCCCAATCAGCAGGTGTGCGGGATTCAGAAGGGGGTCGTCCGGGCTGTCGGTGCCGGCCTTGTAAGTGACCGTCTGGCCGCGGAGCGAGGCGTCCAGGGACAGCGCGGTCCCGCGGTCGGTGATTGTGTATTCCTGGAGGAGGATGGCGGCGGTGAGGGCCTGTATGGGGAAGGCGATGTATTGGTGGTACCAGACTGAGTAGGCCGTTGCCCATGGAACCTGCCTCACGAGATGGTTGAATCGAACGTCAGCAACTGGCGACGTTGTTGATTAATGGGAAGGGGCTTGCCTGGTGTCGTCTGATAGGGGGGGAGGAAGAGCAAACATGTACATGACACACGCACGCACGCGCATACGCACCTGTCCGATGCTAGCCCACAGCAGGCTCTCCTTGATGTTGGTGGCGGACTTGTCGTATCTGCTTAAGAAGCGCACCGGGGGTTCAGTCCGATTGTTCTGGGCGACGTTGAGGATCTTTGAAAACATGGTGTAGATGTCGTCCGTCTTGAGCAGCCCGGCAGGGTTGGACTTGGGGCCGACGAGGAGGAAGTGATCGCGGAAGACGTAGTAGCTGGGGGCCAGGGCGATGCCTTGGCTGATGGCGATGGCCTCGGCCGAGGGCGTGTAGGTGATGCCGACGTCGATGTCGCCCGTTGAGAGATACTTGATGGACTGGGTCGTGTCGCTGGTGTACCAGGCGACTTTGAAAGGGGAGGAGCCGCTTGCGACGGCGTCTCGGATGAAGGCATCTGATAAGGCTGGTTTTGAAAGGAGGAAGAGAGTCAGTCTCGTTCTGGGGCGACGACGAGGGAGGAACAAGACGAAAACGGGACGGAATTGGACGGTGAGATTTGAAAGTCGAGAAGAAGAGAGACACAAATACAGACATACACTTGATGAGGCCGCTTTGCCCGGCGCCCCCGTTTCCGATGCGCAGCTCGACCTTGGAGTTGGCATTGCCAAGTCCACCGTCGTAGACGGCGGCGGGATCAATTGCCGAGCACGAGGCGGCGAAGCCGCCGACGAGGAGCTTATTCGCGCTGACCATGTTTGCTGACCTGGATGGGGGTGGGGGGTGTGGTTATTGTTTGTCGTCGTCGTCGTCGTCGTCAAGAGTCGCAGATGGAATCACTGCTAGTATCGTGTATCGTGTCTCATGGACTGTGTGTCGTGTACAGGCCGGACGTGTACGGCGTACGGGGAGCCAAAGTCATGTTATAAAAAGCCTATCCGAGACCCCCCCTTGGCTCTCGAGAGCTGCGCTTTCTTCTATCTCGTCTCTCTCTTGCCCCCAAGCTGAGAGGACATTGATCGTTGCATGGCAAAGCACATGACTGGCAGGCACCCTTGGAGCATGTCTGCGGCGTGCGCCAGAGGGCAAAATAGTCGGCAGCATTGTGTAACCAATAAGAGGATTCTCAGCCAGCCAGCTAGGACAAATGCGTTGTTGCGCAAAATGAGGCGCAACATCCACTTTTTGGTGATGTTTTAAAACTTGTCCGACTTGCAATGGTCCGGAGCCCGTACGAATAAGTCACTCGGACATGTGCCACCGTACAGTTGGCATCTCATCTCCACTCGGCCGTCTGATGGAGGCCCCGGGGGCCCTGGACGGCTTGGTGGAATCAAGGGGGTGAAGGGACCCCTTGACATCTCGACAAGATCTGCGTCCGGGGGGTTGAACTTTGAACTTTGCGGCCGCGGATCCCTGCTCGCCCACTTCATATCACGCCGTGCCGGGGTCGGTGGTGAGTGGAGAGAATGATTTGGGACGGTTGGTTGGGCGGCGACGTCATTGTTGATGTTGTATTTATTTTTGGACCTTTGGCCGCGCAGCCCATACGCCATGCACTACTGTGATTTGACGGCTTGGGCGGATACTTTTCCTCTCAATATTTCGGTGTAGGGCGCTCGTTGGAGTGGCCTCATCTACGGAGCACCCAAGTAGGATTCCCCGTTCGTGGGGTCCTGGAGTCCCCGAAACTGTGTTGTTAAGCTGCAAACGGTAAACGACCATGCCGTGGGCTTGACGCGCTTGGTTACGGTCATGCCAGGGAGTCGGAGACTGTGCTTCGGATCGCTCGCTGCAAGAGGGGGGATGCCGTTTCCTGCCAACCATGGCATGGTGTAGGGAGGAAGTATAGTATGGTGTTATAATACTTCGGCTGCAATATTGCCATGGCATCTACCGACGTCGAGGCAAGGCCAGCTCGAGGCGAGACCTGCATGAGACTGGCGTAGGCGAGTCGGCTGTGCGGAGGACGTTGGTCTCGCTTCTGCAGCGACTTGTCAATAATATCCTTTTTGCCAACCCAGCTCATTGCTCGACGTGGCACTTTTTCTCCCGATCTCGGCTTCGGTATTCGCCACAAGTCCCGGAGAATCATGAGCAAAAGGTGTCCTTGCTTACCGAGACGCCGGATCATCCCGTTAAGGTGCTTCAGATGGCCGCTTGTCGAGCGCCGGCCCGGATCGAGGGGAGGCTCGTCAACGCGAGGGGAGGTCCAGCGACTCCAGCCCTGTCGAGGTGCAAATCTGAGGGCTGCTAGGGCAGCTCCGCCCTAAAGCACGCGCTAGGGTTAGGGTTGACGGGATGCTTTCGGAAGAGCGGAGCTACCCTCGGATTTGGACCTGGAGGATTTTGCCCACACACAAGATTGGGAACAGGAAACACTGGACTGCCTTCGCCAAGGTCCACCTTCGGGACGATACATACAGTGAGTGCATTGTCGGCAGGGAGCCCTGGCTCTGCGGCTCCAGACGCTTTGCTGGCCAGTGGCGACGAGAGATGGACTGCCTCCTGACTCTTGATACTCAGACCGCCGCTTCATCAACGCCAACAACGGCATGGGATGACGTGGGGAGCCGCGTAACACCACCACGAGCGCGGCATTGCCCCTGATGCACGGGGACCTGGATATGGCGCAGCGACGCGTCGTGCCGATCTGCAAGGGGGGAAAGGCAGCCCCTGGACAACGGCTCGAGACAGCATCGTGACTCCTGCATCCATACGAGTCTTCGATAGACCTAGTACTGACGCCACGAGGGGCTCGTAGGCAAACACAAGGTTGGAAACTCGCACGTGGGCGGCGCATACAGGTCCTCTTGGGCAAACGGAATGATCCGACCCGGGTGCGCCATGTAGTAGCCGAGGAGGTCGAGTTCCTGGGAGCTCATCGCGCCGGGCATGACGGCCTCCTCGCCGTGTCCAACCTGGCAGGCTGGGGCATACGGCGACAAAGGGCCCATGGTCGACTCAGTCGCGTAGACCTTGTCCGACCACGACGAGCAGCTGCGGACGAGGTCGGGAGTTTGCAGACGACAGGACTCGGGAAGCCCTAGGGCTAGGGGCTGCGACATGTCGTCTTCGCCACCGGTCGCTTCCGGCTTTGATTTGCCTTGCGAGTCCCGTCTCGTGGCGTCGTGATAGCGACAGCAGTGGTTGCGCCTGTCACACCGGGAGCAGACGGGCCTCGCCTCGTCGCACTGCAGCACTTTGTTTAGCGACGGCACTGGATATTTTTGGCTGGCGTTTGTGCTACGTATTGCCAGGACTTTGCTGCTGCTGTTTGTGCGATAAATACCTTTTTCCTCTGCTGCTTGCATCTGACACACCCGTTTCTCGATTTTCGATGAGATCTGCGTGGGCGGAAGACGGCTGCGGCCGCATCTTTGCTGGTTGACGACATTCTTTGCTCGTGAAGGAGAATCACGCACCACGAGCCAGCGGATGATTGTCAAGCTGTTGGAAGGGGGCTCCTTCAAGTCCGACTCCCAGCGACCTGCGAGCCGAGATAGCGGTGCTTGGTGAAGTTGTCATCGCCCGGACTCAGCCACGACGCCGCGCCCCGGATTGGCCGACAAGCCAAACATCGTGATTTGTAATTCAGAATTTATAAGACGGAGCCCGGTTGCCGTAGGCTTGGCAAAGGGTCCAAGACGAGAGGCAAAGGGGGGAAGAAGGCGAAGACGAAGGCGGGAGGGAGCGCTTTGCAACATTGACATTCGAAACCAGCTCATCCAATCGACATGTGATGCGACACTGAAAAGGGCAAGGCTGTTTGTCCGCTGCTGTCAAAGCCAGGGACATGTGCAGAATAGACGGGCAGTATTCGAATAACCATTCCAACCGACCCGCGATCATCTCCGTGTCTCCGTGCCTCGCCTGCGGAACACGCCGCCTGACAGATGGACCAATTTTCGACCTTGAGAGGGACTGACAGCCCGTATGCTCCCGAATGAGTGCCGCGTGTCTGCAGAGTACGCCACGCCAGGCCAGCTCGGATTCGGAAGAATGTAAAGAAAAGTAAAGTCTGCTGAACTGCCTCGACGGAGCGAAGAAGCGCAACTCGCGAGACCACGTTGACAAGAAGATGCATCTAGATGATCAAGATGCCCCGTGCCAGGGCTGGGGTACTGTGTACGCATGGTGATGAAGGCGTCATCAAAGCCGCTGTCCAGAATGCCCAAGTCAGAAAGTACTCCGTGGACGAACTTGACTCGCGCGAGGAGGGAAGCCGTCCATGGCACGACGCTGCTCACGCGCTTGCCACGAGATGCAGACCGACACCCAATACGAACGCCACGATCCATGTCATGTTTTTCGCACCGCGCCTCGTCCTGCCTCGCCAGAGATTCTACCCGCAATGCGATTTGCGTCGACGGCGTCCTCTTGGGCAGTGCGGATTCAAAAAAAACATCCATGCCGACTGACGTGCTGTCCAAGGCGGTCCCATGAATGGGGAGCAAAAAAAAAATATGCGAAATATCGGACATGGCGCCATCGCGAGGCACGACGAGCCCCGGCAAGCCATGGGAGCACGCAGGGTTGCAGAAAACATCCAAGGCGATGCATTTCGTGGCCGGGCAGGACGAAGCCTTTTTGGGGATTTCAAGACGCGCACTAGGACGGCAATGGCGCCAAGAGCGAGTGCCGTCTCACTTGGTGTCGAGCGTGGTGCTGAGTGCCATCGCACAAGGTTTTGCTTTGCTGCCTTGGGGGAAGTGAAAAGCTGAGGCGACTGTCCACTGTGCGTGCGCGAGAACAGTAACATGCAGTCTTGATGGTTGTTGGGGACAGGGAGTCGCGCTTCACTGCGTCCACGCTTGTACAGTCCACGTTGTGTTTCTACATCATGATGAGCATGAAGCTGCAGACGTGTGGTGTAACCAGTAACAAGACGAGCCGAGGCCATGATGCCAAGGCATCTGCTTCGAGTCCTGCTAGCTCGGGCTAGAATCCTGTAGAATCCAAGCAAGCAATTTGGTGTCTAGTGTCATGGAAACATCCTTGAGTCATGCCCCAAAGATGTTGGTGCGAGCTTCTTGGCTTAGCAAGTCTGTGGTAGCATGTATGCCGGCCTGAAGATATGCGGCCGGGAGGCGGAACTCGATTCTTCTGGTCCCTTTACGGCAACACGCCGGCAATGTGAAATATAGTAGACAATGAACGGGCCGAGCCATCTAGACTAGCGCAGTAGCAAGCCTCTGTCCTTGGTCTGGTCTCTGGCGCTGGGCGTCAGCACAGTCTGAAATCCCAAGGACTAGCACGATAGTTGCGTAAATGTACGCGCCGACTCTAGTCGCCAAGTTGGTCGACCACACTACCTACTACTAAAGTCTGTATGATCAGACACGTCTTGTTCTAGTTTGGTCGTAGTGCGAGAAACCAAGCCGGTCCCTATATAAGACGAGAGAGAGCACAAGGACCCTGTGAGAAAATTGTCCATCACTCTTTTCCTCACCATCACCAGCAAGTTTTCCCATCTCCTGAAAACTCTGACAATTCTGCAGATAAATTCTTCTTTTTCAAGCATCTTGGCACAATGTCGCTCATCACCACCGCCATGTCTTCAAACAAGTCTGGAAAAGGGACCAGCACGGAGCTTTGCCTTGCCTCTGCCAAGTCTGGCTTCCCTGAGACCGATTTCATCATCCCCAGCAACATGATCGACAAGGACGCTCTCATCACCGCCACCCTCCTCTACCTGCCACCGGAGCTGACGCTTCGAATCCTCGAGGAGATGGACAACGATGTCGACCGCATGTGCCTCGGCCTCAGCTGCCGCCGCCTCCTCCAAATCGTCAACCAGAGCAAGCTGCGACTGCCCTGCATGAAAGCCAGCCGCAAGGTCCGCAACATCCACCAGGACAACAAGCTCGCCTTCTCCATGTTGAAGCGCGTGTACCCCCTCGGCCCCAGCGGCAACCCGCGAACGGATGCCGCGCTCTGCGAGTCCTGCTTCAAGTGGATGAGCATGAACCACCACCTCTCTTCAACTAGGAGCATTGTCCTCTCAGAGGTTCGTGTGTGCTGGGACAAGAGACTCGACCTGGCAGGCATCTTCTTCGAGTGCGCCGCCTGCAGGATGCGCGATGGCGCGCCGTCGATGGAGAGGCTTCGACGCCAGAAAATTTCCACGCTGTCCGCCGTTCTGGATCCAGCCAGCTTCTGCTCCGCTCCCGTCTGGACCAGCCGTGTGAACATGCACAATGGCAGCGAGGTGGATCCATAGGAACCTTTGACGGGCAGGATTTTGGGCCCAACCTTGTAATTAGCCATTGGGCAAAATTGTAATTGTGCATTTGTATTGGGGTTTGAGTTTTGGAGTCTCGCATTTTGAGTTTCGATGGACGTGGCGAGCCAATTTTCCATGCATGTAGCCTCTCACGAGCGTACGTAATGGTTTGTACTTGTATTGGAGGGAGGGAGGCGTCGGGGTCCAAGTAGGACGAGTCATGTATGATGAATGAATGAGTGATTGTTGTTCTAATTTTCAACCCAATCTTCTTGCTATGAGCCTGTGACTGGCGGGCATCATGAGCTGGCTGATCTATTCGTCTGTTTGCCCGGTTTCCCCGTTGCTCTCAAATATGCCGCTGCGAGCCCTCAGTGAACAAGTCCGTAGAGGAGTCGGTATTTTTCGACTTTGGATTGCCGCTTAGGAAGACGTGGCATATGTATCGTGGAGGAAACAGATCCGCAGATGTAAAGCCTTCTACAGCGGGATCCCGCTGACATGACCGAGTTTAATTTCCATTTTAGCGAGGTTTTGATGTCTGAGTTGGCCATAGATTGCGTCCATACCATGTCATTGGGGAATGACAGCAGACCTCTTGAGCAAGGGGATTGAGTGAGGGCTTATGTACGGGACAACCCGGATGACTGGCCCGATTGAGGAGGCCAGCTGATCGCTAAGGGTTCCAAAGGGGGTGCCTCTTGGGTATTACTGCGAGTAAGAGGGCTGAGAGGACTCATGGGTAGTTGATTGTTTGACGATTGAACCACGCTGTCGTCGCGCAAATGACGGGTCGCAGCTTTCATCGGATGGTGTCGAGCCCAAGGCTGCCGACGACAAGGGTGCGCCAAACAAGGCCTATTTGCGCGGTAGGGATGCGTGCAGGCTTGTTGCCACAGCACGTCTGATGTGTGACTCTGATAGCCCGACAGGGTTCAAGGGAGGGTACTGACTCCTGAGTGCGACCTTGGATTCGCGTCGTGCCCCGTGATGCACCAGGGCCTCACCGGGGCAGCACGAGTTGATGTTGATGTGTCACGTGTGCCATGTTGTCAAGAACTCAACGGTCAGGTTGATGTTGCCGCATCTGGCTTGGAGTGGCTGGCGCGCTCGGCCGTGGCCCCTGGCGACTCGGCCGAGTGTTGGCTGTGCCTCGTGGCATGGGTATGTGTTCCAGACTCCCAGCCAACTCTTGAATCGTCACCGTCGTCGGTATTAGATGGTGGATACTCCGTACTGCATTTGACACTGCCGAGATGTAGATTGGCCATGTTGCAAAAGGCGAAAACCTGGCCAGCCGGTGCCAGCCTGGACGTGGTGAGCGGGAGATTGCACAAGGAATCAAACCCCGTCCTTGAGTACAAGACGCACAGTGCGTGGAAGTCCGCTGGAAGTGCCGTTGCACGAGCGTGGGCCACGGCTGCCAAGACACGGATGGAGGAGCAATCAGTCAGTTGATGGTTGATGGAGGCCAACGGCACAACAAAAGCAAGTTGGCATCTGGCCAGACTACGGACTACCTTGTGAAGAGTCAAGATCTGTGTGAACGCGAAATGGCCTCTGCTTGATGAGGTCAACTTGGGGCGGGGGGCATGACTGAGTGCACAAGTGCCAAGTGCCGAATGCCCAGGTAAGGTTGACCACGTCCTGCTTGCGTGTCCGTACGGAGTACGAGCACAGTGTACAGTGTACGCACATGTTACGCAGTGGGTTGACGACTCTGCTGCGTCAGCCCCGCCGCCGCCCTGATTGCCATGGTTTCATTCCCTGAGACTCTGCCACGCGAGATTGCATTTTGCCAGGTACCAGATACGGAGTAGTACATGGGTACGTACGGAACTGCGTCTTTTTGTCTTGCACGAGGTGGCGTGGCGTGGCGTGGCGTGGTGTGGCTGGCCTGGGCCTTGCACCACGTCGACGTCGGCTTTGACGTCACACGGCGGCAATTGAGACATGCATCTCGGCTCGTCTGCCATCATCCCGGGCCGTGGTCTGTGAATGTCTACAAAGGTCAATGGAAGGCATGCAGGAGCGTGCAGCAAGGAGATGGGGACATGGAAACATCGGGCCGTGGGCCGAGGACAGTGGCAGTGGCGGTGGGAAAAGGATGGCTATTGAAAATTCTAGTCCCTAGTTTCAAAGTTAGCATGTGGGTGGCTCTTTCTCTCTTTGTCTTTCTCTCTCTTTCTCTCCCTCTCTCTCTTTCTCTCTTTGTCTCTCTCTCTTTTTTTTTCTTTGTCCCCTTTGTGGCAGACGCCAAGTGTCCATCCCCAACATCATCACACGGCCTGGTTTGTTTGCCAAAATGGCATCAGCTTTTGTGCCTTCGTCGTCGTAACATCTCCCCTTCCGCCGTCACTCCCAGGTTCTTCAACAACCCAACTCCTGCCAACTTTTCGCTTCGCACGTTGAAACCATGAGAGATCGGCCGCAGCCCAGGCCCAATTAGCGTCTCCCAATGGCGGCTCAGTTCCGCCTCGGGTCCATGGACTCCCTGCTGGATCCCCATGATCCTCACTTTGGCCGGCTGTGGGCTTTTGTGCTGTTGGCTATTATCGCTCTCTCCTTCCGCTTGTCGACGCAACCCCGACAGAATTGCGACTTTACCCTCGCGAACCCCCCCAAATGGTACGAGTTGAAAATCTTCAAGCAGATTCAGTTCTTGTTCAACGGCATCAACGAATTGGACAAGGCCAGGGAACAGGCCAACGGAAAACCGTTTCGCCTCCTCACAAACTCGCGTGAAATTATTGTCCTGCCGCCGGCCTACGCAGAAGTTCTCCACGCTGACAATAGATTGAGCTTCGCCAAATATTTTGCCGACGTACGTTTTTGCCAGATGCCGCCAATAAACATGGGCTGACAAGATGCAGGAATTCGATGGCGATGGCAAAACGCCCGGCTTGGAGCCGTATACCCTCATTGCAGATCCCTGCAAGAGAGTTCCAAAGTTGGTCACCAAACGATTGACAAGATCTTTGAGTAATAGAACCACCGTCTACAATACGTCCGCATCAATCTTCGGGCTAACAAGCTTCCAAAGATACTATTCCAATCAAGATGTCATCCGAAGCTAGCTTCGCCATTGAGTACAATTTTGGTGGTCGTGTCGGTACGTGCAGAATAATCCCACCATACAAAGCGGGAGCCCCCAGCTTATAGTCTGCAGACTGGCAAGAGGTGGCTGTACACGGACATCTTCTCGACGTGACAGCACGTATGATTTGTCGTCTTTTTTGGGATGGCGAGGAAGTATGCCGGAATGAAAGATGGCTTACCATTATGAAACAATGGTCAGTCAACAGCATCATCGCCGCCTTCACGATCAACATGGCACCTAGCTTTGCTCGACCGCTCATCCGCCGATTCTCTCCTGTTGTCCGACGGGCTCGCAACGACTACCAAGCTGCGCGTGAGTTTATCGAGCCGCTGATTAATGCGCGCCGTGAGGGCCGCGGAATGGATCGCGAGGCCGGAACGAGGGTTCGCGCTTTCGACGACATTGTGGACTGGATCGACTCCGAGAATCAAGAATCGACGTGCGATCCTGTTGCTCTGCAAATGGTGCTCAATGTTGCTGCTGTTCATCCCATCGCGGCGCTGGTTACCAACACTATTGCGTTCCTGGCCGCCGACCCGTCCACGTTCGGGCCTCTTCGGCAAGAGCTGCTGGCTGAGCTCCGAAGCGACGGCTGTCAAGCGGCAGCTTTGAACAGACTGAAATTGCTGGATAGCGCCATCAAAGAATCACTGCGGCTGAAGCCCCCAGGTGTTTGTAGGTGGACGGATGTGCTCGTCGTGTTATTCCCGTCATCACTAACCCACCAACTAGTCGGCATGCATCGCGCCGCCTTGGAGGACATGCAATTGCCAAACGGGATGCACATCCACAAGGGCGATCGTGTATTTGTAGATACTTCTCGTATGCGAGACCCCAGTATCTACGAATCTCCAAACACCTACGATTTGTACCGTTTCCACCGCATGCGCTCCCGGCCCGACCAAGCCCAAAAGGCACCTCTTGTTGTGACGAGCCCGGAACACTTGGCCTTTGGACATGGGGCTCAGGCGTGTCCAGGGCGATTTTTTGCTGCACTCGTTGGCAAAGTCGTCCTGTCTCATCTTTTGCTCAAGTACGACTGGAGACTCGCTCCAGACAGTGACACGACGTCTCTGGCCATCGGGTTGACAAAGCGAATCAACCCCAAGCTAAAGTTGCTATACAGACGGCGCAAAGAAGAGTTTGAGTTGAGCTAAGCTTACTCCGTACAAGTTGGCATTTCGCCACGTTACACATTTCAAGAGACTTGGCATGGCATCCTTCCCCTCATGTCTCATAAAACACCCTGCTTGGCATGTTGGGAACATTCATCACATGATCGGATTCTCTCTAGACTTATAGATGGCTTGGGTGCCGGCTTGGGTGCCGGTTTTGGGAGGCGGCGTTACGTGTGGCAGGAGGCATTGCAAAATATGGTGAGATTACGGTTTCGTGATCGTTGGCGTCATGCATGATACATACAATAGAGAACAGGTCATAGCTCCATGACTGTCGAGAACAGCGGCAATGGCCTTTTGTCCTTGCTCAAATTCTTTATGCGCCGAAGTAGCCTGGGGTCATACCGCTCTGTCAGTGACTGCACAACCGTACTGTCCAGGAGAATCACTACCAAAGTGTATGGGTCATAAATTTGTTACACACTTTGGTACCTCTCGTCGCTCTGCCGTGTATTTCTTTCGAGTTCCAACCAATTTTTTGCGGCGCGTCGGCGCAGCAGCAAATCTTCCCTTGCAGGCCGCAGGACGTCCATGTTCAAGCGGGTTGGGCCAAACAGCGGCAACGGCGGCCACATGCATTCGACGACGGTCACGCGGGCGATCTGATCTGGGCTCACAGATGCGACTCGACTTGTCACGACACACGAGTACGAGCCGCGGTAGCACGAGTCGGTCGATGGCCGCCACCAACACCAACGCACCAAGCACGCGCTGCAGCTCCCAAGGCCGGACGCCACGAGGAGGCCGTCATCTTGTATGAATTCTCCACATTTCTGCTTGCAGCTTGCAGGGGAAGGGGGACGTTGAAGAACGATGGAGGAGTGAAGATGAGGAATTGATGGACGATGTTGGTTGCGAATGTGGAAGCCCGCATGCATGTCTGGTGCCTGGACCAGGACCAGGCGCTTGGGTCAGGCGCTTGGGCCAGGCCATGCCAGAGGACTTGCAGGGCCTCAGCGCCTGGCGCGTCTGGTCCGGGGGCCACGGCAGGCATTGAAGCCACTTCAGCGGGTCGGGCCGCCTATTGCCCCGGCCGCAGCAGCAGCTCCATCAGTTCATCCTGGTGGTTAGTGGGTGTCTGGCTGGCTTGCAACATCAACATCAACATCAACCATCAACATCAACCATCAACATCAACCATCAACATCGACATCAACCAACCAGCCAGTCGGTCCATGACTATACCAGCAGTGCCGTTTTCTCTCCTTGATTCCCTTCCATGCACGGAATCCAATTCACCGACTTGACAGTCTTCACCAACATAACGGTTATGCCAATCGCGTCACCTGGCATAGCCACAAGAATGTGAACACATTTTCTGTACGAGTATGCGCGGGGTTTCCATTGGCCGGAGCATACTCTGTACGAATGCTCAGTATTCATTCCATTTGGCTCAAACTGATGATGCCGTGCACCCTGGAAATTCACTACCGTACAGCGTCCTGCCTCTCAACCACGTCCTCGGGGGCAAATGTGCGCTCTAGACTCCCCTGCCAATGATCATACGGCAAGCCTTTGTCGTATCCACCGAGCTTCGGGATACGATACTCATTCAAAACAATCTCGTCCTTGCCGGAGCCTTTGACCCAATAAGCGCGCGCGCTGTCGGTCGCTTCGACGTATTTCCAATTCTTTGCAAACGGCCCTGGCATATAACCCCTCCTGTTCCTGATTCGATGGATGACACTCGGGTGGACTTCCTCGTTGAACTGCTTGTACGGAATGCGTCTCTTTTCATTGCCAATCTTCTCGTAGGCCTTTGTCTCGCCGGGGATCCGATGATAGCCAAGCTTGGCCGAGGCCAGGAGCGATGTCAGCCACCACATGCTCGTGAAGGAGTTGGTCTCCTTGAGCTCGCCGTCGCTCCACGCAATGGCCTTCCAGGCGGCAGACAAATCACGAACATTCTTATTCGTCGTGTCAAGTCCAGATGTGCCTATCCTGAGGAGGATGTACTTCTGCAAAGCAGTCCCGCTGAGCTGCAGGAGCCCAAAGAGTTGGTCACACATCCAGGAGAAGGCGATTTCGTCGATGCTGTTCGTGTCGACTGACCCTTGGCTGTGGCCTCCAACGTCACAGTGGTATCCGGGAAACCAACACTGCTTCAGATTCACCCTGGGTGTTGTCCCGTCTTCCTGCATACACGTCGAGTCGATATGCCACAGCGTGGGGGGGAAGTTGCCACGGCTTTCATCTAATGCGAGGGCGTGGAAGGCATTCTCAATCTCTGTGACGGACGGCATGAGTATGTTCCGCCCTCCTCGGTAAGGTGTCTATCATCATTAGGACGAATGTGACTTGGGACTCACTCGGGCTGAGCTTTGTGGAGAGAAACGTCGTGTCCTCCCCGGCCTGGCCAAACCAATTCGGCCCTCCGACACTACCAACCGTATCCCACACTCCAACCACCTTGATCTTGACATGCAAATGTGCGACTTTTCGCAGGTGTTGGAGACGAGTGCCGTAGCCGGGCGCAGGCGCACCTTGCTGCGGAGGTACGGTGCCGAGCTCGCCCGGGATGAGACGCTCGTTTGCCCACGTCGTCTCGTCGAAAGCCTGGTTTCCTCTATTTTTGTACGCGCTGTATATGTCGAAGAAGTCGTCCATTAGTAGAGGCGTCAGCAGGCCTACTTGGCAGATGACGCCGGCCAGAGAGCGGGCCGTATATGCGCCGCGGGAGAAGCCAAAGATGAATATCTCGTCTCCCGGGCCCCAGTTGTTGGCGAGGTAGTTGTACGCTTCGCAGACGTTGTCTGCGAGACTGCCCCCAAAGGCACCTGCAACAAGGTCAGTTGATGTGGATGTTTTGAGGACCTGCATGGGCGTGCCTTGTCGAACTTTGTCGACATATGTCAAGGACCCTGTGCCAACTCCGGACTGATAGTATACAACCTGTGGTATCTTTTCACCGGCCTTTGAGATTCCCACATTAGAAATCACACGGCACAAGCGAGCAACATTGCTAGAGTACTCGTTGGTTCCTTTATCGACGCCGTTGAAGGTCCCGTCGCAGCACACAATGAGCCGCTTCTTGACGTTGCCGGAGAATTGAATTGACGTGCAGGCGTTGCAGTCGGACGCCATGATGCAGTACGGCGAATACTGATGTTGAAGGAGTATACAGATGTGAGTAATCTTGCAACGCTATTTGAAAAACAAAACAAGAAACAAAAAAAGACAAACACTGTGAAATGAGACGTCGTTGATATATCATTTCTCGCGGGGCTTGCCTGCACCCTTCACGTATCTTTTGGTTCAGCCGTCGCGTGTAAGTCGGCATACTGGACAGAGTTTGGAGCAGCCACAAAATTTCCAAATTCGGGAATACACCCAGCTTGAGGGCTTCCGAGCCTGACGACAGCCGTGTCCGCCACTTGCTGTGGTGAGGCGAGAGGGTGTCAGCCAGCTCTCTTCCGGCCAATCGCCCATGCCGCAACCTGTAAGCTTACGTCGCCCGAGGAAGTTGTGACATGTCGTGACTCTTCGTGACTCTTCAGCTTTCCCAAACTGTTCCTCTCAATAACCTTGTGTTGGCTGAGCGAGCGAGTGGCGCATCGAGCGCTCTAGACTACTCGATGAATGGCCAGGAAACGCCGGCTGTCGACCCACGAAGCTGAGTCCTGACACGTCCGGCAGTCGAGGAACGCTCAACGCACCGCAAATTTTGACCGTTGGAGCTGAATCCAATGCTTAGACGGTGTTAGCCCGTGCTGTGGCCGTGGAACGCGCTTGAGCCGCGGTCGATGTTGCATGTCAACAGATGGTTGGCGATGCCTACAACTAGCTGTGGAGAGAATCTGGCTTTTGTTGCACTCGCGATATTCCGGAAAACTTGGACAGAGGCCCCATTACTCCGTAGCTTGAAGACAAACGAGGGCCTCTCGGTGTGGCCGTGCTTGGTTTCGCAGAGCAGTTGGAAGCTATTTGATGCATGACGACGCTACTCATGAGCATTGTCATTATTAGCCTGCGAGGCCCTGGCACGAACTCGGATGACGGGAAACGCCTACAGATCCCAGAGTGCGGACTGACAATCGGTGCGAGGGGACGACCCTTGACATTGGTTTGAAGCACAGAAATCAGCTCGGCTGCTCTGCATTCTTGAAAATCATCGTGTCAACCGGAGTTCGATGGGGCCGACAGAGTTCGATGATGGCTTGCTGGTCAAATTTCTGTCATGAAATGCTCGCATTCGTCGCGTGCTTCGCCTTTCGGTTGAGGTCGCCCTGACTCGGAGACTTTCCGTTAATCTGAAGGCGCCTGCCGCTTGGTACTCGCAGTTAAAATACATCGTAGAGCCTGGGATGGGCAGACTGAAAATGCCATTTGGATCCCGAAATGCCACAAGCCACTGCCTGGCGTCATTGCAGTGCGAAAAGCATGCTCGAGACATCGAAGAGCCGCTTCCACTGGGTCTCTTTTTAATCGTCAATTGGTGAAAGTGAGTCGGTATCTGATGCAACAACGGCAGACACGTACCTCTGTTTTCTTGGTGCGACCGTGGCATTTGACCACGATTTTGGCCTTGATGTTGAAGAGACACCGTTGCACCAAGAATCACGTGCGAGCACACAGAACGCAACCTTGGAGCATCGTGCATTCGCGATTGCGCTCTCTTCTTCCCCTCTTCTTCCCTCTTCCTTTTTTTTTATGTGCCCATGTTGACCTTGCACCACCACCCCCTTGCCGTCCGTCACATGCAAGGGCTTCCGGCCTGCTGCCATGGAAATCGTGGTAGTAAAACTCGGCGGTGCTGCCATTACAGACAAGTCGATTGCCGACACCCTGGCCCCGAACATTCGTGGCCTGGTGGACAAGGTTGCCCAAGTCTATCGAGATGAATTCCGACGGTTGAGAAGACACATGATTCTGATTCATGGGGCTGGAAGCTTTGGACACCCTCCGGCAAAGAAGTACAATGTCAAAGCTGGCTGGTTGAGTGCAACAGCAACAACCCCCGACGGGCCGGAGGGCCATCCACGACAAGAGGAGCAACGGCGTGACAGAGTCAAATTCGGCATGGCATTGACAAGACAGCGAGTGCTGCAACTGCATCATCAAATGCTGCAACTGTTGCAGGACTGGGGCGGACTGCCCGTGCTGTCAGTGTCCACGTATGACACGGTCGAGACAGACCGGGGCGTTTTGACGCAGGCAGCAAGCACTCGATTGATAAGCCGGGTGCAGAATTTGCTGACCCAAGGGTTTGTTCCCTTGCTGTTTGGCGACGCCGTCCTGGATCAGGCGTGGGGAGCCACTATACTGTCGGGTGATGCTCTCATGCATTCGTTGGCATCGCATCTGCCAGGTGTGCACCGATGCGTGTTTGTCACGGATGTTGCTGGAATTTTTACAAAAGACCCGAAACAGTATGCGGATGCCGTCCTCATACGACAACTGCATTTCGGTGAGTCGGGGGATCGTGCCACGTACGAAGACGACGCTGCCTCTGTGGTGGACGATGTCACGGGGGCTATGCGTACGAAGTGGCAATGGGCAAAACGCATCATGACGGATGCACATCAGGTGAATCGGGTCATTATTTGCCAGACCTCCGTTTCAGATAAGGCTATAGGTCTATTTGACGAATGCTGCGGCAATGACCTCGATGGCGATGATTGTTCTGATGCTTGGACCACGGTTTCTCGATGAAAATATAGTATCCGACGTATTCTCCTAGCCTTGAGGTGATATAGAAAGTTTGGCCGGCGTTGGCACGATCGGCTGTACTCTCTGTGCCAGCTGGTTGTTTCCAGTGCAGGTGGTGTTTGTGATGAAGACATGTAGAGAAACAATGGCCTGCACGACAAGATGTTTCCTACACTTCCGGAAACACGGATTGCACAATGGCGTTTTCCGGCTCCGAGGTCCAATTCCTTTACTCACGTTGGGGATATAATGCTTATGCACTGCTTTGTCAGTGTTTCAAAATACTGCCTATGATCGTACGTGCCACTGAAGGGACTCGGAGGTGTGATATACCTTTTATGTTATCCCATTGCTGTAAACCAGGCAGATCCCACACCTGAAAAAATCTGTACACGAGTTCCAAGGCGTGTGTTCTCTGCGGGGAGCTTATCTGTAGCTCTGCGAGCTCTTGAGTTGGAGAGCCGAGGCAATCGAGTCGCAGACGGTGGCGGACGCTGAGAGAAGCACCGTTCTGACTCATTTGAGATGAATGGGCCCTTTGATCATACCAGCGCATGGAAGTAGACTGTAACTGCAAAGGAGATGTTTCGGTAGAGTCAAAACAGTTGCTTGTGTTGTACATGGTCTACTACGTTGTAGGCTCAACAATGACTTCTCCATGTTTGGGAGCTCCGAGATGGATGTCTGTATCGACTCTGTATCTCTTTATTAGTCTTCTCCCATTTATCTCGTTTCAGATTTGTTGACACGGAACTTTGTGCGCGCAAATACTCTGGTATTTATCGCCGCAGGGCGCCCACTGCTGTTGTGCCGATGCATTTTGTAGGCATCAAGACGTTCGCACACCCACTGTACGTCTCCCCCACGTGCTCATGGTGAAAAGGGGAAGCAGAAAAGTCATAATCCAGACACAAACCTATCAATGCCAAGCACAGTCGTTTCTTGTAGATTGTGTGATGGCCCTGGTGCTGGGTGCTGCAGAGCCCGTGTAGGTGTCCTTTCTTGACGTATCCATAATGAAAAACAATTGACAACCACACAGCCGATATTCTCCTTGTCGGAATGTCTTTTTCTCAAGAAGCATTGAAATATCAGTGCTAGTGCGTCTCTCGTCTAAGCCAACACTGCAGAATTGCCATGCAACAAAACGCCTTTTCGCTGCTCGAAGCAAAGTACTGCTCTTGTCAGGGTGCGTAGATCGCAGTAATAAGATTAGGGTCAAGGGGCTAGGCTCAGAGGGTTTGTTGCCTTGGTCGAGTATGGTGGCTTTCGTGTCGCTGCCATGGTCTTGTCGGCGTCAGATCCTATCGCCATTCCTGCAGGAATTTCCGCGCATTCGGCCGAGCCACGGACGTGCCAAATGGGTCGAGTGTGCCGACACTACGCTGGATTTTGGTCTTGTTGCGACTATCGTGGCTTCCGTTGCTTGCAGTGGATATTCAAAAGTATTTCTGGAAAAAAGGAACGCCTGCCACCATCCGTTGTCTGTGACTTTTTCGGTTTCAGTCGAAACGAGAAAGGTTAAAGCTGGACCACGAGGCCTCCTTGCGTGTGATATAACAAACACCCTTGGTATATCAGGCCACTGCCGTCCGCGTTACAAGCTGACCGTTATCCTCCGAGGTCCCATCTCGCTGGACGACAGCTAGATAGAACGGAGGATCCTGCAGCCTGTGGCGTGCTATTCTCGCCTGCGAACAAGTATACGCCGTTATATCGTGGCATATATTGCAGTATCTCCCGCGACGGCCTGGGCTCCGGTGCCTGCTCGGGTCAAATACAGATACGTCTTGGCGCCGCTGTAGCCTCAGCGCAGCAGGGACACGTTCCCCCCCTTGCCGTGTCTCTCGTCGGTCCTGCTGCATCTAGAATGCTACGTAGGACACCGAGATGCCGGCAAGCGGGCCAGCAAGTAGGAGACAAGGTTCCGCGTCCTTGGGCAGTGTGAAACAGTGCAAGAACAGGTTCATGGCTCCCTGCTCTTAATGACGCACCTTGGCGCTTGAGAAGGCTTAGGTGTGTTCAAGAAAACGTATGACCTGAAGTCAATACGCTTTTCGCAAGGCCGTGCTGTGCTGGCTGACCATCCCAAGGCACGGCCCGTGGGACATCACGCCATGACAATTGCCGAAGGCCAATCGCAATGGGGATTTGACTCGCAGCCAGCTGGTTTGAAGGCTGAGCCTCGGCTACAAAGCTTGGTGGCGAAGCCGTGTCAGTCAAGCTCTGAGATGAATGGAGTCACTTGCTAGATCCTCAACCATGGTGATATGGTAGTCAAATATCCACCTTCGAACTGTTGAATCATGCCCGGTACAATGAACCTGCTGCTCCCGGTTTCTGGCTTGGTACGGCCGGGGAGAGCCAAGGATATTGAAGGGCATATTGAAGGGCTATGTATATAGTAACCCAGGGACTTAGCTACAAACCCTGTAGATCCAGAGGACAAGCACCCGTTGTGACGTCTCCTTTGACGGCGGTTTTGCCAACAAAGCTGAAAAAACACACCGAATGGGTCTAGCAGCGGGAAAGCTCGGCTCAATCCTCCACTGAGTCCACTCAGGGATGAGTTATAACCGGAGACAATACAACGGAGACTCGAGAGCAAAGTCTGATGTGACTGGGCCGGCGTGCATCAACAGGTCAACCGACAAAGGAGTGTTTTGTCTATATGGACTCTGCATTTGGGTATGGGCTTCAACGCACCATGTCAGCAGGGTGCATGTGTTGCTCTCGTTTCCAACGAATCGAGCATCCCGACGATAGCGTGGAACCTGTCTCGCACAGGCTTCCCTGCAGCCCATGATGGAATGTGTCACCGTGCTGTCAGTAACATGAGGCGGTCATGTATAACAAGTCGAGTTCTTTTTGTAGTCTCGCATAGGCTTCCCTGCAGCCCATGATGGAATGTGTCACCGTGCTGCCAGTAACATGAGGCGGTCATGTATAACAAGTCGAGTTCTTTTTGTAACTTTGAGCTTTGTCTCGGCGTCTACCCCAGTGAGACCCCTGTTGACATGCTTCACAGCACAGGGATTATGCAAAAGCAAGTCGATGCTTGAGGAAGCATAACTGGCCGTTACCAGCGCAGCTGGGAAGCAGGGGAGTGGATTGCTCAAAAGGAAACATTGAGGACAAGTGGACAAACATGTTTGGCAATGGCAAGCATCCCAACAAGTCGGCGGCGGCGGCTGAGCTCACAAGTAACAATAACCACATGGATTTGTTTGTTCCATGCCAAGTCAACCGGGACGTGCTCGTCTTTTATACATACATACACACGTATGAGTACAAGGAACCTTGGCAACGTTTGCATGAACGCTCCTCTGGGGCCTCGCATACGTGGTACGAGACCGGGCCAACACAAGGCTTTGAGTGATTTTTCAAGCGTTGGATGGAGCCTCGAGCCTCGAGTCTCGGGCACTGCGATAATTGGCTTGCTGTACTCGGTAGTCGGTCGTGAGACGTCAAGTCAGTCGTTGTCGTTGCCAAAATTGCTGTTGGGTTTGGGTTTGGGTTTGGGCTCTCGCTTCTCGGCTCACAAGTCACGGCCAGGTTGTGAAACAAAGAAACTTGAGTAAGTAAGTTACTTAGTAGATGCCCGTCAGGCAGGAGTATTTGAGCCTCAAACACCTTACTGCCACTGCCACTGCCGCCTCACCTCGCCTCGCCTCGCCTCGCCTCACCTCACCTCCCTCGTCGGGACCTCACGTGCGGCAGGTGCTGACAGCATCCCTGGCTATCCGAGTCCATAATCCTTGCGATGTTTGCTTGCCCCTTTTATATCTTCTGGCCGTGGTCTGCTCTGGCTCTATTGTGGCCCGTCCGTGGGTGCTTTCCCCCCTCCTTCCCGGCTAATGACTTCCATGTCTCGCATTATTTCCGTCAGTTGCCACGGCGACTTTTTTCGGACTTGCGCGCATCGACCTGGTCATCTTCCTCTCCACTCGACGGCCTCGTGTATAAATGGCCTTCACGTCGGGCAGGCAAAGTGAACAATTCCATGTTCGACACTCCGTTCTCGAATCTGCACCAGCTTCATGTTCCAACGCCCTCTGTCGACACTTGTTGTGTAACAAATCCTCGTCCTCCGCCTCGCCACTCGCCACTCGCAAAGATTCACCACTTGCCCAACCGCTCACGACGTCGTCATCTTCATCTTGACTGAACAAGCACTTCGCCATGCACATGGATCACCATTCGCGACTGGCCCTCTCCACCTGGAGACGACTAAGCTCTCTGGTCAACGACGATCGCAGTCGTGTTCTCGTGAATGGTGAATCCATGTCCATCGCCGATGTCGTCGCCATATCTCGGTAGGTCAACCGTCACGCCGTCATAGTCATAGTATCATGGTCTCGTCGCCACATCAAGAGCACCCAATTCTTACAGCCACGATCCTCAGTCATGGACACAAAGCTAGGATCGATGATTCTCCCGCAGCGGTCGCCAAGGTCAATGACAGTGTTGATTGTCTGAGGCGACTTCTGGACCAAGGCCACGTCTTTTACGGTTAGAGGCCATCCATCCTTTTTGGCGCCCTTCTTTTGGCTGATTTGTGATGCAGGCGTGGGCACTGGTTTTGGAGGCAGCGCAAATACTCGCTCCGTGGACACCGGTGCCCTTCAGGTTGCCCTTATGCAGATGCAGCAGTGCGGAGTCTTGTCAGACCATCAGTGTGGTGCAAAGTCTTCCCAAGGTCATGACCTGAACACTACATCCATGCCCGAAGCTTGGGTCCGAGCTGCCATGGCAGTAAGATGCAACTCTCTGGTACGAGGACATTCGGCAGTGAGGTTCCAGATCATCGAGATGCTGGAGCGTCTGCTCAATGAAGACTATATTCCCTTGGTCCCCTTGAGAGGCAGCATATCTGCCTCGGGAGACCTCAGCCCCCTCTCCTACATTGCCGGCGTGTTGGAGGGCAACCCTAAGCTGTTTCTTTGGACCGGAAGCAGCGCCTCTAGAACCCTCATCAACGCCAGCCAAGCTCTGAAACACCTCCAGCTTGAGCCCGTTGTCTTCGGCCCCAAGGAAGCACTGGGACTGGTCAACGGGACGGCGGTATCTGCTGCGGTGGCGACCTTGGCTTTGAACCAGGTTCACCAACTTACCGTTCTATCGCAAATCCTCACAGCAATGGCCGTGGAGGCTCTCCGCGGCACCACTGAAAGCTTCCATCCTTTCCTGGCCGCAGTCCGTCCACACCTTGGTCAGATTGAAGCGGCACGAAATATCCTGGGCTTTCTCCGCGGCTCACGCCTAGCCACACCACATACGTCTTCGACCAGTGTGGAGAATCCGGATGGCCTATATCAAGATCGCTACCCGTTGCGCACCTCAACGCAGTGGATTGGCCCTCTCCTCGAAGACTTGGTGCTTGCCGATAGGCATATTACCACGGAACTCAACTCGACAACGGACAACCCCGTAATAGATGTCCAGAAGTCCAGGGTGTTTCACGGTGGAAATTTCCAAGCGTCCACGGTGACATCGGCCATGGATAAGGCCCGATCTGCGCTGCAGATGATGGGAAAGATGCTCTTTTCTCAGTGTACAGAGATGATGAACCCGAGTATGAGCAACGGGCTCCCCCCAAATCTGGTCTTTGACGAACCCAGTGCTTCCTATGCGTTCAAAGGTATGCCATTTCCTTGCCCCCGTGTTCCCAAGGCCGTAGAGCTTATGCTTTCCATAGGCATCGATATTGCAATGGCTGCCTATACCTCAGAGTTGGGCTTTTTAGCTCAGTCTGTTGCACCGCATGTTCAAAGCGCCGAAATGGCAAATCAAGCCATCAACTCTCTGGCCCTCCTCTCAGCGCGCTATACCCATACGGCCATCGACACCTTTTCAATGCTGACGGCTTCCTACATCTACTCCCTTTGCCAAGCTCTCGACCTGCGGGTCATCCAGGTTCAGTTTGAAGACAGACTGAAGGCGCTCCTGCCAGGGCTTCTGGAGGATTTGTTTGCTGCGATTTTGCCCGACGTTTCCCTCTCTGAGTTGAAGTTGTTGACATGTAGACACATCGTTGACCAGTTCAAGAAGACAACCAGTGAGGATTCGACTGTTCGCTTCCGCAATATTGCGGCATCAACTCAAGCTGTCTTTATGACGTTTCTCTCCAAGTCGCATCATTTATCTGTCGAGCTGCTACTGCAAGGCTTCTCGACAATTCCTCTCTGGGCAGCCCGCGCGGAGGCCCTGATGCAGAACCAATTTGACGAGATTCGTCACTCTGCTTTGACTATCTGCGATACCCCCGCGTATCTTTGCGATGCCTCCAAGAAGATATACGAGCATGTCCGGGTAAAGATGGGGATTCCTTTCAACCGCGGACTTTCAGACCACCCTTCACTTGCGAAGGCGAGACATACCAAGGAGCAGCGCGACATAGAAAGCACTCCTTCCGGCGATGGGTACCTTATAGGGGACTGTGTGAGCCGGATATACGACTCCATTCGGTCCGGGGATCTTGTGGATACGGCGATGCAATGTCTGGCGGACGTGGTGACTTGGGATGACGCGTCGAACAACAACGGCAGCGCGACGAATGGAACTCGCCACTTGCACAATGGTGTTGATAATTCTGTTAATTAGTAAACTGCCAAACCGAGCCACCGGGTCGTTTTACACGCTCACCATCAACGGTGGGCGTTGCGACGCCCATGCTGCTGCTCCTTGGATATTTACGAAATACAAACTCCCATAAAAACTTGGCCGCGTGCCTGCCGCTCACAGGCAGACAACAGAAGCATCTCGCTCTACAAACTCCATGCCCGCATCGGCTTGTCTCTCTTCTCGGCCATCTAGATGGCATTTCGATCGTAGGCGGTGGAGAAGGGGAAAATCTCTCCGAAACTGCATCGCTCGCAAGGAAGAACTTTGCAAGGGCGGCAGTCCCATTCAACATGCTACTGTTTGAGGCTATGGGCACCATTGCCGCTGCAGCGGTAATAATGGGCGACGTCACCCAGGGCTGTCGGTATTGCCAACGCATACCTGGGCGTTGATAGCGTTGTGAGCGCTGTCGGGAGAGCCGTGCTTAACAAACAAGAGGGCCTTGACCATAGGCTGGCTGGGTATTGGAGCCGTCCAACAGTAGTAGTTCTCCGTCAGAGTAGGTATAGCACAAGCATGGAGCATAGCCCCAGGAGCCCAACAGAGGGACCGCATTAGATGAAGCTGGCTATTGGTACTCGCTGGGACATGGCACCACGGTTGGTCGCACGATGGCGTGATGATGAAGGCTCGCGTCCTTTTTGCCCTAATCTTGGTCTCCTGCGAAGCGGAAACCGTCTCTGCGTGGGCTTTTTGGGTTTTTGCGTGGATCAGTCATTGCTTTGGTTACAAAGCCCGAGTTTTCATCGTCAGAAACTGCAACTAGTCCCGTTGTTATACATCCTCAAGAGGTTGTTGAGTCGGACTGCCCTCGACGTATTATCGAAAGTTGAGTCACTCCCGACGCCACTGGCTATTTGAAAGGGCTTGACAGACGGAACCTGAGTGTGATGTAGCTACAGTGAGAGGCGAAGAAGTACTTGACCAGAGCAGAAGCCATGCTGTCGCGTGCTGCACACGCAATGTACTCGCCGTACTGCGGTATATTTTCGCATACTTCTTGATGGGCAACCACACTACGCCACGGACTGTACTAGCCAGGTCCATCGGTCACAGACGACTTCCGGAGGTGGTTGGTTGGGTTTTGGCGAAACCCAAAGACTCGGCTCAGCGCGGCCAATGGTGCCGCTCACATTCCGATTCCGTGTGGCGTGCCCTGACAGATTTCCAGGGGGCCGTGATCAAGCCTCTTGGTGTAGAGGAGGGCAGCGAGTTCCGGACCATTTTGGCCTGAACACCACACAAGTAAGTAAGTGGCTGTGGGAGCTGGACGGACAACTTCGTTTCTAGACGCCACCTTCTCCCGTCATTCCCCCCGCTCTCGAGTCTTTCGGCACGTCTGTGGTCCGTCACTCGGCTGTGCAACGACCGGCCCGAGACATTGATTGCACTTCCGATGCACCCGCTGTGTCGCTAGACGGTGTGTTTGTGGCGACGTTTGTGATGGCAGGGCTTGGCGTAGCTCAATTCCATAGTAACCACGCGGCATTGGTGTGAACGGTCCTTGATTATCCCTCGGGTCTTGGGCGACCAGAGACGGACGTCTGTTTATTTATGCACCGAGTCTTGCGTCCCGGCTCTCGTCATTTCCAGTCCTTCGGGAAACCCCGCGACGTACGGGCGCTTGGTGGTGTTTTTTTCACGCCGCATCCATCCATCCATTGGTCACGTCTGTCTATTACCAGAACGTGCTCGACTCCGGAATAAAGGCATGTTTGCCGGCGAGCAGTACTGTGATCCGCAAAAGGCAGCCTGGGAGACACACTGGGCCTTGGGACGAAGGAGTCCCTCCTCTCATCGACGCCAACGCAACAAAATGTTCTGCACACAGGACGGCGTACGGACTCATGACATTGGCGGCAGTAGCTTTGCGTAGACCACGCTTCTATATCTATTCGCTGTGTTCGAGTACGTCTTCTCTACACTCTCCGTAGGTCCCGGTTGTCACTTTGCCCATGCACATCTCATGGCCATCAACTGGTTGTTCAGCAGACGGTTCTCAGTATGCAGTGCCAGCAGCTTACGCCTGGCGAGTCGCAACGTCGCCCCTTTGCTCTGGTTCCTGGTTCCGGCGCCCGTGAAGCCCGCGGACACGAGGTCTCTCTCATCTGTACAGTCCACAAGCGTATTGAGTAGTAGTTGAAATTCGTTGTTCAACCTGCTGCGATAGTTCCTCTCGACCTGGTTGTGATAGCACCGCAGCAGCTCACTTCGATTGGTTTCATCAGCGGCCAGGCCATTGTTTGAAGCTTCCTCATCGTCTTCCGACTTGGTGTCTCGAGCTTTCCTCTTGCGGTGTCTTATGTGCCGTCTGACCCTCGTAAGACTCCTCTCGGCGGGATCGGCAGCTGTTGACATTGAGCCCGCTTGCTGGCCATCTGAACAGTGCATGGGGTCATCACTTGGACCGCAAGTCTCTTCTTGTCTTGGCTTCAGCGGCAGTGCTGTTTCAGAATGTGCAGCATCGTCGTGCTTGGGGAAAGGCGAGGATTCATATCTTGACGTGAGCTGGAAGGGTGCATCAGCCGGCAGGCACGGGTTTGGCACGTCGGTGAGTTCATTTGTCTCTTGACCAAACTCCGGGCTGGCTTCATGCATATTTGCACAGGGACCATTCTTGAAGTCGTTGAGCAGATTGTACCCTGAGATTGGCGTCCAGGCATATGCCTCATGGGGTTGATATGGGTTCTTGGCCTGGTGCAAGACGTAAACATGGGTGCCCTCGAGTCGGCTAATTACTGAACAGGGGACGTTTCGGCCATCTTACCGACAAGTTGCTCCATTCGCATGCGTCTCCCAGCCAGATGAGGCTGGCATCATGCATGCCTATCCAATCCAGATGCGTCACTGGCATACTGAGTACACGACATCAGTGTCGTGTCTGATGCAAAGTACCGAATATAGATTTTGGACGCTGCAGGAATCGCGGCAGCTGTTATTTGATCCCCGCGTTCAAGATTTCCTCGCTACTCCGGGGAGTTTCGCGACGCTTTATATTTCGACACAGCGTGTAGGCGGCGATGCCCGCGCCAAAATCCGGACGAAGTTGCTCGCTTCTGGCAACCCCGACGCAAACTACTGCCCGCTTCCTGAAGTGCTGTAAGATGTGTATATGGGAAAAGGCCCGCTGCTGGTTCGAAATTCTCACGCCGCCGACCACTTCTAGTCTAGGTCCGTACCACCAGACAACGTGGCGCCCAGTTCCAGAACTTGTACCCCATTCCAGACTCAAATCGCAAATCGACACAGCCTCATCGTCTGCACATCTCGACACTATTTGTCGCGGCTCTGGGTTGCCGACCGGCTCCGAGTGATTTGCTGCTAGGCTCCAATTTCGTGGCCAGCCCACCCAGCAGCTTGAACAAAGCGAATAAGTAATTTCGACGTTAAAAAAACAGTCCCAGCGCCTGCTATGTAGCCGTCAGGTAGCCCATTTTATTTCTCGCGGCGTCACGTTTACGACGGAAACGCTACAAACACAGGCTTGTATGACAAGAGGGTGGCGTTTCCTGCTGCGGATTGCGCAGTGAAGAAGGAGAGTCTTTGGACATACAGTAAACCATGTCTATAACGATCCTGTATCTTAGCGATATTAGGCTTTTACGATAATTCACAGTTATAATTCACAGTTATTTAAGGTTTTTCCCTAGTAAATTATTAATAGTTGCGTTACTAACGATATTATTAACCTTTTGCTTAGTTACTATATATTTTAGTGTTTTATTATTATTAGGCCCCTGCTGTAAGCGCTAAATTTTGCTGCCTTTAATGCGTTTTTCTTTCTTTAACATTACTATAATAACGCCTCTATTTATTATAATATTACAAATTTAACCTCTTTTATTATAATTTCTTAAGTTATACATAAGTAGATGCTAATTAGTTATTAAGAAAGGCAAATTATACAATAAAAGTATTGCAAGAATCCCCTTTAGCAATAGGCATAGCTCTAGCAGTAGGCTTATAATAAATTTAATTAAAACTTCTCTTAATCTATAATATCTAAGTTAATTAGTATATAATATAATTATATTAACGTTAAAAAGCCCTTAAATACCTAAAAATGCTGTTAAGCAAAATATTTATTACTTAAGTTAGCTCTCTTTAAATTAATAACTTAATTAAATAACCTTAGTTATATTATTACTAGCAAGATTATTACTAGTCTTGTAAGATAGCTTTAGGAGAAGATAGAAGACTTTAATAGCTTAGAGACTTCTTTATTCTCTTAAGAATAAGTTAACAGCTTTAAATCACGCTTTTATATTAAGAAATATAAAATTAACAGCAAAAGTAAGTCTACTAATACTTTTAATTCCTCTTAAGACCTTGCTGCAATATAAGAGATAAAAAGACAGTACTTAGATAATAATACCTATAATATAGACAAGACTAAGCTCTTTTAGCATAAAAATCCCTTATATACGCTAGCAATAAGTCTACAAAAGAGGACTAAGCAAGATAAAGCCTATATTACAGTCTTACCTTATGCTAATGCATTTAGAACTTATTAGCTTAATCTTTAGATTATTAGTAAGTCTAAAAACTTATAATATTTTAGTAAAAATAACAGCAAAATTGCTACCTTTCTAGTATACTATTAGAGTAATATAAAGAGCTAGATAAACTTTAATATATTTCTTAAATAGCTGCAATAGTTTAATTAATAAATAAGCAGCTATTGCGTTCTTCTTTTATTAAATAACTTTAGCGCCTACTAATATACTATAAATAAAGCTATTCTTATAGATATTCTTGCTAATATAATAGTTATTTTTCTTCTAGTAAATATAATAAGCTTATATTAACTAGTTAACTAAGGAATTATTAATAATCTTAAGGTCTACTATTAAAAGCAGTAGCTATAGTTTGTAGCTAAATTAGCTTTCTGGAATATTAACTTAATGCCTTAATTAACTTTATTAAAAGCTATTATATAGCTTATATATATATAGCATAATAGTATAAAAAAAGACACTATTGCTAATTGTTAAAGAAAGTTAAAGCTGCTTAGTAATATTTATAGCTGTAAGCGCTAGCTAAAGAATTAGAATAAAAGCTGTTGATCCCTTCTTGCTATAGTATGTAATATTTATATTTAAGGCATTATAAATATTAGAAATATTATTAATAGCAACCTTAATAACCTTATTAAGCTCTTCTATAAGTATATTAACAAGAGTTATAATAACTTAATTAATAATATTGCAGTAAGGTTTTTATAGGTCTATTCTCTTAATTTTAAAGACATTAATAAAGAACCTAAACTACTAGTAATTACTATATAAAAGGCATCTAAGGTAATTAACAAATTAATCCTCTTTAAAGAATAATATAAATCTATTAATTTTAAGCTTCTTTAACAGCTTTAACAGCATTAAAGGCAGATTTAGCATAATTAGTAGAAAGCTTATAAGGCAGCAAAGAAACAACAATCTCTTAATATATACTTTACAATATTCTTAAGTATAACTGCCTAGTAAATTTAATTAAAGGTACAAGCCCTATAATTGCTGCATCTTAACGATAGTTGCTATATTACGATGAAAAAAGGCTCACAAAGGTTATCGTTATAGAGGTGGTTTACTGTATATTGCCTCCGACCTGAAACCGGAAATCAGGAACCACCAACGGTGAGGCTGGGGTGGGGTTGCGGCTTGCTCCGGCATGGAGACTCTGGCGGTGTGAGGCGACGCTGCGCAGCCCCGATGGGTGAATCTTGGCGAGTGCTTTGGAACTGAGCTCGTGGCTGTGGGCTCCATCCGTGAAGCTAAGAACGGGTCGGTCGCCTCGAGCGAGGCACGCCCTGGCCGGCATGCACAGGAACGGTCACGTCTCTGCTCCCTGGCGTCTTGCTCAAGTCTCGGTGTGCCTTGGCCGCAGCGCAGGTATTGCCGGTGAGAGAACCTGCTATGCGTTTAGCATTATAATGTGCAGTGCGGAGCCTGCCACGATGAAATGTGCAGGTGCTCCAAAATGAACAGCCGTGATAGTAATTTGTGTGCAGGAGGCAGTGAAGAGGCCAAATCGGCAGTGTGGCACGTCCGACGAGGGGACTACATACATGACGCGGCCCGGCTGCATCACGAAGTCGAACATGACAGCGCCAAAGCCCAAGGCTATCGGGCGGAATCGGCTCTTCTCGAGGTATCGTCACATTCGATGTCGTCAAGAGCACTTCTTGTGCTTCATATCGTAGGTCAGGATGCGGTCCTTGGCGGCGAGTTTCGAGCTGGACATGACATCCAGCCGCTATTAATGAGCTGTCGTGTGCTTCACAGCTCTCCAATCGTCTGCATCGAATCTCGACGAGATCAGATCAATACAGCTTTCAGCTTTGACCAGAGGTCAAAACTGGTCAAAAGAGTACGTGACTGCACGATTGGAACTGAAGAATACAATTACGTGTGTGCTCCACGTGATAAGGGTTTTAGCCTCGTTAATTGACGTTATGACGAGGCAGGCGAAGTCATTACTGGCTACTGAGTTCCTTCCCCATTATCTTCTTTGTTTCTTCTCGTTCGCACCACGTAGTGTGGCCACACCAGGTGTTGTTTATCTAGGTGAATTAGAAGAAAGCGCTATATATTTACTAGCTAACTGCTCTTTATATTTATATGCACCTCCTAAGCGTTGTAGTCCCTTGCGGGCTGCTAGGCCAGCAAGGGAGCAGGAGGTAAGCTGTGCTTGGAAGTGTTGCTTTATAAGTCCTACGCGCTGACCGTCAGACTGGGTCCCTAGAGCCGGATGTGTTGCGCGATATGAAAGGTGATAAAGGTCGCTGCTTTAAGGAGACCTCTGGTCGCTCCAAACAATGCCGCTTGTGTAAGGCAGGCAATTACACTTGCCAGCCTTAGTAAGCTTAGATTCTGCTCCTCCGATCAGCTAATTGCTAATCGTGTGTGTAGTCACGCCGTGTTAGTCCCCATCGCCAAGCAGATGCTGTTAGCGCTAGACGTGGACAGCAAGGTAAGCTCCTGACGCCCTGTCACCCCTGATCCCACGCTCGATTCTGATATTTTGAGCTGTAGATGTATAACTAGTAACGATAAAAGTATAAGCTTATAATTATATAAAGGCAGTTGCAGAAGAAAGAAAAGAGAGCTTATAATACTCTTAGGAAGTGCGTATAAATATAAAGAGCAGCTAGCTAATAAGCGTGCAGCACTTACTTCTTAACTCACCTAGATAAACAACATGTAGTGTGGCTACACTACATAAACAACACAAAAGGGGCGAATTAGGGGCGCTAGCAGGCGTGCGAGAGCTTTAATTGAATGCTCCATTAAGCGCACGCTTGCAGGGTTCTAGGCTTGTGATAGCTTCAAACGCAGCTTCAATTGGGGGGTCATGACGCATGGATTGCTGGTCACCATTTGCCTAAAGGCCCAGCCCCAGGGGTTCAACTTCATTCCGTTCGACAGAACTTGAAGGACAAACAAGCACAATTGGGTAAAAAGGTTACATTTTGACATCTCTAAAGAGCACGATCAGGATTCCGAACCACACGCGGGTAACAAACGCCCTGCCGTTGATGACCCTCCACAAATTTCCCCAAGGCGAATTTTGGACAAGATATCCGCGAAGATGGCAAAGGTACTGGGACAACTTCAATACGCAGAGGAAAACCAGCAGGAACTTGGAACTGCATTGCGACATCATCAGGACGCGCTGGATCGCCGAGATCAACAGATGGTTGAGCAAATGAAAGTTGTCGCACGGCACGGCGTACCCTAGCATACCCACTAGGGTAGTTGGCCCCTTTTTATATAGGGCGCACACAATTCTCTCTTTCGTAGCTCAATCAAGGCTTTTTAGTATCATCCAAGTTACGTGATATCTAGCTTTGGTGCCCACCGCCATCGTGTGACAGTTATGAATTCGCCGCCGTTCGCCGCCGTGAAGGAGGCCTCGGGAGGACGGAACTTCCGTCTGCTTTGGCGCGCAACTGGCTTATGGATATAAATGACGGGAACGGACCCGATCACGTTGCCATGGAACAAGGGCAGTAGCCGTCGATGCTGCCCAACAGTCCAGCCATAAGTGCTGCTTGTGTAGCAGAGCTGGTATCTACGATCAGTTGTAGGAAACAAACACTCGGAGATGATGCTAGGATTCCAGACGGCTTGAAGTGAACTTCTGCTAGGCAGACTTCCGAACACCATCAATGACGCACATCACAGCTTGGACAATGTCACTCGGAGTCTGTGTACACACGACAGTGCAATGCTTTGTATCAAAACACAGTATGAGCAGCTCTTCGTGCATTATTATAGCTGACATGTTTCATTTCTGACCCACGGTCTTGTTCTCACCAGCCCTCCACCACTCTTACCAGCATCTGCATGCCGCCATGTGGCTTTGCCACCGCACTGGGGGGAATCCTGATATTCCTCTCGTCCAACAAAGACTTGTCTTTCAACTCAAACGAGAACCTTCCTATCCAGGCGGCCACCGTGCAGGCAAGCTCGGCTTTCGCAAAACTAGCACCGATGCAGCTGTGCGGCCCATGGAAGAAGGTCAGAAAGGCATAGTTACTGGTAGCTCCGCCGCTCGCGGCCTTGGATGTGCTAGTTCCGCCCTGCTCTGGGCTCAGCCAGCGCTCGGGCTTGAACTCGTTCGCATCGGGTCCCCAGAACTTGGGATCAGTATTCGTCGCCCACGGGACCAGCGCCAAGAGGGTGTTTCGAGGGATGAACTGGCCCTGGACCGTGATATCGCAGGTCGAGACGCGGGCGCTCTGTGGGATGGGGCTATGAAACCGCAGCACTTCGCTGCATACGGCATTCAAGTATGGCAGCTTGTCTATGTCGGCACTCGTGATGCCCGTACTGCAATTTGCAGAGGCTAGGTTCTGGCGGATTTCCCTTCGGAGGCGCTCCTGGATGTCGGGATGCTTTGCCATCAAGTACGTTGCCCAGATGAGTGACGAAGCGGTTGTCTCATGTCCCGCGGAGAGGAACGTCATCATTTGGTCGACGAGAGATTCCTCGGTGCAAAGCTTGCTCCTGAGTGCGACGGTGAGAATGTCCAGTCCGGCATCTTCCTTGTTGGCCAGCAAGTCTCTCTTCTTGCGTATCAGGTCGCGATATACGGCGCGAATGTGCTCCGTGGCCCTTCTCAGATTCCTCAGTCGGTTCACCGGGAGGTTCTTGATGACCACGTCGGGGAGAAGTGCCGTCAGGATGAGGAGAGACATATCCATGGGAGATGGCTGAAGATACTCGTAGCTCTTGGCCAGGGGGCTGTTTGCGTCCCTGATTGAGCCAAAGTCCACTCCAATGCCCGCGAGGCCGATGACGTCGAGTGTGCAGCGGGCGGCCCAGGAGCAAATTTCAATCTCTGCAACGCCTCTTTCGTCGCATTTAGCCATCAACTCATGCACTGCTTCGCAAGATTTCGCCCAGAAGATGCGGTACAAGTCCTTGATGTGGCGGAAAGAGAAAGCCGGCAGCATGTCCCGGCGTTGCTTCTTGTGCTCGTCTCCTTCGACGTTCAGCAGTCCCCAGCCAACTATGAAGGAGAGGAATCTGCGAGCAAAGTCGGGCTTCTCGAAGCTGTAGCATTTGGTGACGAGAATCTCGGACAAGGCCTGCGGTGAATTTACGATGATCATTTCCTGATTGCCAAGACACAGGATGCGGAGCATGCCGTCGTTGGGATTCTCCGCGATCCTACGTGCTCATTGTTTTAGTATCACGTCGACCGCCTGAGAAGGAGCCAGTCCCCGTACCATTTCTTGGCCAGGAAGCCCGCGCCGAACTGGTTGAGTTCTCTACCATGGCCAATAAGAGGCAATCCGCCCTTGACGCCCGGAAGTTTGCGGAGGGGCGACAGGAAGAAGGGGTAGACCAGGATGACGTAAAACAAGAAGAGAGAAAATTGTCCAAGATATAGCGCAAAGAAGACTTTCACAGCCTGGCCATTGTCCTCATACAAGTGCAGCAGCTTAGGCAGGACGCCGGCAGCGAGGCTGATGCCAGCCATGTGCCTGAGAGGGAAGTGCCGTATAGTCGCCATATTCACCTGGTCCTCGGTTTCAACATGTGCCCGTCTACCCGTGGATTTCAAAGTGAGAGCTGGAGCCCTTGGAGGGCGCGAACACCAGCACGGAAGCGCTGCTTGATATATGCGCACACGGCGTGGAAACTCAATGCTGCTCTGGGCGGTGCTCCGACGTCGACAAGAGCGGGAGCGCGGCCTCACCTTCGGCCCTCGGCCCCGAGTTCACGGTTTGACTCCAACGCACCCCGGATCCGGTGTGGTTATCTACTACCGGGGATTTACCTCTGGCTTCGGCATGGCCTGACGCCTTGGGGATGCAAACTTAGATGATTGTTTCGCGCACAGCGAAGGTTCCCATCATGGGCCCAATATTCTCTGTATCTTCACGTGTTAGTCAATTCCGCGGTGGGCTGTGGCACTGCCACTGGCATGCAAGTGATGTCCCAACTTCACATGCAAGAAGCTGAATGAATGTAGCATCAACCAAATTCTTCATCGCGTCTTTCTGCATCGAACTTACCCCATGCAGCCAGACCGACCTCCTTCCCCATTCGGCCGATAGGTCGGAAGCTCACCGACCCACAAGTCACAACCTCATCTCCGCCCAGGCGCGCCCTGCAGTGTACACCGTGACTACACCGCAGGGCGCACGCCGGGCTGCGTCGTCGCAAGCCCTCGCCGCGCTCGAGAGTCAACAGCCCGACAAGGAACGTCGCGCATAAAAGCCCTGGCCAAATACCGCATCCTCGCACAGCGACACATCGTCAAGGCGTCGCGATGCAGCCCACATTCGCAGGGACAGCTGCCCAGGCGGTTCAAGCCAGGAACCGCATCCGAAGCCACATCTACCAGACGCCCCTGATTCCGTCGCGGAAGAACAACGACGGCAGTGGAACGAGACTCTTCTTCAAGGCGGAAAACTTCCAACTCACGGGCTCCTTCAAGCTCAGGGGAGCAATGTCCAAGATGTCGGCCCAGCCATCCGGCGGCGGCAGCCAGCGTCTGATAACCGCATCCTCTGGCAACCACGGTATCGGCGCCGCGTGTGCAGCGCACGCCCTCTCCAAGAACCTCACCGTTGTGCTTCCCGAGACTGTAGTGCCCGCCAAGCTGCAAAATATCCAGTCCTACGGCGTGGACGTGATTCTCCACGGCACGGAAACCGGTCTCGCAGAACAACACGCACAGAAGCTCGCCGCCGCGGGGGAGTATACCTACATCTCGCCTTACAATGACGCTGACATAGTCGCCGGGCAAGGGACCATTGGACTTGAAATCCTGGAACAGTGTCCGCAGGTCGACAACATTTTCATATCCATGGGCGGCGGCGGCCTCATCAGCGGTATTGGGTCCGTTTGCAAGGCTTTCAGCCCCAAGACCAAGATATACGGTGTTTCCGCGATCAACTCGATGGCTCTGGCCGAGTCGATGAAGGCGGGCCGCGTGGTGGAAACAGAGCATCTGGATACGCTGGCCGAGGCCGTGGCCGGCGGCATGGACGAGGACTCCATCACACTTCCTCTGGCTTCGTCCGTCGTGGATGAGGTCATCGAGTGCGATGAGGATAGTATCGTGGCTGCCCTAAGGGCTATCGCGTTTGAGGAGAACATGATTGTTGAAGGCTCCGCGGCACTTGCACTCGCTGGATACACCAAGATGGCCGACAAGGTTGCTGGCCAGACCAACGTTGTCGTCTTGTGTGGTGCCAACTTTGACTGGCAACGCCTCACCCGCCTCATTTTTGGTTAGCCGAGCCAATGATGCAGACATGACCTTGTGCTGGGTCGCTTGGCGCATTTTTATCCACGACTGGCGCTGGTCTATTTTCGTTTGCTGCGCAGCTTCTCAAGACCTCGGGACGCTTTCACCAAGTCGGCTTTCAGGTCGTGTGTCCAGATCCATTGGGACCTGCCCTTTGCGTTGGCCACAATTTTGGCTACGTCGTCTTTGCATTGCGGATGCTTCATGGTGTACATGAGCCCCGTCTCATTGCTTGTCCTGACAATTTCTTGAGCGCGTGGCCGGCAGATGGAATCGTAAACCTCCAGGGCAGCAGGTATCTCTCCAACATGCCGAATCTCGCCCAGCAGATGAGATAGGACGAGGGCATCCTCAAAACACTGCCCGGCGCCGGCACCCTGATGCGGTGTCGAGGCATGAGCCACGTCTCCGAGTAAGACAATGCGTCCACGGGTGTAAGTCGGCGTGTCAACATGGTGGAACAGACCCCATCTCAAGGGTTTTGCCCACTTCCAGGGAAATAGTTAGCAAGCCTCTTTGACGTGGCTTGAAGGATCAAAGCAGAGTTTATCCATCTCACCTCAAGTAACCGCAGCAGTCTTGGGTCGCACCCATCAAAGTCACTGCGCATGTCCTCCTTGCTCACTTGCTGGGTTGAATGTGAATGTGTCCAAGGCTCATCCGTCTGCCTGCCGCCGACAAAGTTGAAGCAGCCTCCCGACGTGGGATATGCCGCAAAGTATCTGCCTTGCCCTATGAATATCTTGCTGTCGTCGGCATAGCCTCCCAGAAGCTCGTGCGCCTTGCCTGGCGGTACCAAGGCTCGATAGACATAGCGACCACTGTATGTCAATTGGACCTGGTCTGGAAACTCTTGTCCCAAGACTGCCCGCCGAGTGATGCCCTTTCCGCCGTCGCAGCCAACGACTGCATCGAATTCGGCAACCTGGCCGTCTTCAAAGTTGACGTGGACTCTTGATCCGACCTGGCAGACGCTGGCTGCCTTGGATCCAAATCGGACACAGCCGTCGGGCGGAAGCAAACTCATCATGGTTCCGAGCAGGTCTTTTCGATGAGCACCGCTGCGGACGAAATCCCTTGACCCAACTGCGGCACCGTGAAATCCTCTCGCGGCGCCGAATCCAGGCTCGGCGAGTAAGAAGTCGGCAAAGTTGTGCTGCCTCTCCGGAGACCGGTTTTTGACAGCAATTTTCTCATAGCCCTCCCGCAGCGCCGGGTCGATGAGTGCCATGGCCCGCGTCGTGTTGGGACCCAGACTAATGCCAGCGCCGATGGCGTTCAGCCCCGGTGCCGCCTCAAATATGGTGAAGGATACATGTCGGTAGCTGAGGCCAATGCCAAGCGCGAGACCGGCGAGCCCTCCGCCGATGATGCCAACGTGCAGGTTTTCACACGGTGGGTGCATCGTGGGTATCCCGGCTGTGAAGATGCCACGGCGGCAGTCTCGGTGGCGAGGGCGTACTCACTACTGGCTGACTGGCATTGTCTGGTCGAGACAGATTCGCGCAAACGAGGGGCCGACGTGGGATGTTGATGGACGGCATTCAGAAACTGGGCAAAGCGGTCTGTCTGGGCTGTTGCGGGGAGGGAAGGAGCGAGCGCAGGCAGGCAGACGGCACCGCAGACTGCAGAGTCCAGAGTCCAGAGTCCAGAGTCCAGAGTCCGGCCGTCTTCACCACCACATCGTTGCATTCTTCAGCCTTTCCCACGCCACAAAGGCAAAGAGGAAAGAGGCGCACATCAACAGCAGCCGTCCAGGAACGTCCCGACTCCCGACTTCTGATTCCTCGTCGCGGCTTTGTGCGGGCTACGGCGCAGAGCAAGCCGCCCCCCCTTTCCTCTGCGCCTTTGTGAGCATGTTCCTGACTTCTTGAAGAAAGTATCATCTGCAGAGCACGCACGAAGTACCGTGTCATAGGGAGACTCGACTGCGTTGCGTTATACTACACCTTTTTGGCCAACGTAGCCCAGAGCCTTCGACGAACGTTTGCGCGCAACAGCACGCAGCACAGCATCTAGACTCACACCTCCTCGCACGCACGCACGCAAAAGCACACCCGCAATGCGTGTACGGCCCATTGTGCAGCAGCCATTACGAAATGAGCATGAGTCGGCGGTGACCCTCATCTCGGCTCATTTGCTGATCCCCGGCCGTGGCGAGCCCATTCCCCGTGGAGGCCTGGCATTCTGCGGCAGCAAGATCGCATGGGTGGGATCATTCTCATCGCGACCCGACAAGTACCGCAACTTGCCGTTCACGACCGTCCCTGTCCTCATGCCGGGCTTGTGGGATTGCCACGTACACTTTCTGGGCATAGACGTCGCCGCATCGGTAACGTCTGGCATCGTCGACTTCCTGCCCGGTGCGCCCGCGCTGGCGGGTGCCGTCGTGGCAGACGACCTTCGTCGCACTCTGGCCGCCGGCTACACGTCTGTCCGCGAGCTGGGCGGCTATGGCGCCGATGTGTGGCCTGGCATCGAGTCTGGCGCGCTCGTCGGGCCCAACGTCTATTCCTCGGTCGGTGCTTTGTCCATTACCGGCGGCCACGGCGACATGCAGATGATGCCCTTGGGGACGGTGGAAGCCGCCATGGAGCACGGCAGTGCTCCCCTGGCCGTCTGCGACGGCGTCGACGAGTGCGTCAAGACCGTGCGCAAAATGATCCGCAGAGGGGCCCGCGTGATCAAGGTGTGCTCGAGCGGCGGCGTCCTGAGCCTTCATGACGACCCGGAAGACTGCCAGTTCTCTGACCAAGAACTGAAAGCCATTGTCGACGAGGCGGCCCGCAGTCGCCGCGTCGTCGCTTCGCATGCCATTGGTAAGGCGGGCATCATGGCTGCCCTACGCGCCGGCGTCAAGTCCATCGAGCATGGCATGTACATCGACGAGGAGACCGCCGACGCCATGGTTGCCGCAGGCGCAATCTACGTGCCCACACAGCATATCATCCGCGTCATCACCACCGACTACCGCCACAAGATTCCCCTGTCGAGTTTGGAAAAGGCCCTGGCTCTGGTCCAACAGTCCAAGGTGGCTTACAAGATTGCCCTGCGCAAAGGAGTCAAGTTTGCACTGGGAACCGACGTGGGCAGCAGCGATCCTCGTTCCAAACTATCCCACGGCCATAGTGCCCATGAGCTGGTCTATGCCGTCGAGCTGGGCATGACACCCCGACAGGCCATAGAGAGTGCCACGGCCAATGGGCCAGAAACTCTCGGCGGAATGGCCCCCTTGAGCGGCCAGCTCAGGGAGGGCTACGACGCGGACATTATCGCTGTCAGTGCAAATCCGCTCGATGACGTCTCCGTCTTGACGAATCCCAGCAATGTCACACACGTGTGGAAGGGTGGGAAGCTCTTCAAGCAGCCATCGAGCTGACCGGCCTGCAAGACCTGCACCTTGATGTAGTTACCAATTTCATGTGCAACGTGGGAGTTGTATCACGCGCCATTTGTAGCAGTTGGAGAACCACCAGCGTTAAAGATGTTTCAAAATAGGCAAGCAAGCACTACCCCCAATGAAAAATTCATAGTGTCTTCTAGCTAGAAACTTAATTTCCAGACGCTTGGCCCATGAATTCACACGTCTGATGCCTTGGTCGTCTGCCAAGTGAGGTATTTCATTGCAGCAAAGCCTGCTCCAGGCTACTCGCCGACGAGCACTTCTTTCATTTGATACTCCATCAGGAGGAGCTGATGCCTGACGAAATGTCCCCCTGTCCATGTAAATGTACTGGCCGGCCACACCAAATGTCAATATTTACTCCCGAATCAGGCCGGGAGTAGGGGCACGCGGCCTCTCTCGCTTTGTGTCGCAAGCGTACAGAGACAAGCAACTCCGAGTGTTGGTTGGCACAGAAGGAGGCCTTGACACTGCGCCTTACGGAACTACCGATGCGTGGCTGCCGTCTGGAGTTGCTCTTGGAAATCGCTAGGCATCACATCGTCGTCACCTGCTAACAAAAGCGCTACCAATCCACAGAAGCTCAAATGCTGACATCGAACTACACATGTAATGAATATTGCTCAACGCCAGCCCACGCCATGCAGAAATGCGATTCTATCTCGTGGAATAGCAAGGATACTAACAGGCGCTGGAGAGACCTTTCTTTTAAACGAATTATTCAATCCTCGCACCGCTCGTGCACACGCAGCGACTCTGCTTTGCCTACATAACATGCTTCACGTCAGATCCACCGCCCTTTCAATGCCGTCGTATCGAGCCTTCGATCTCATGGGCGATGAACCTGGACTTGACTGCAACAGCTTGACGAATGTGGGCGACGACTCAAGTGGCTTGGGCTTGGGCTTTTGTCTAGTGGCCACGTTAGGGGAAATGAGAACGACGTCTTCGGCATGGACTGTTTCAGTGGTTGCTCGCTGCTGTTTCTCTGGCGTAATTGCCCTTTGAACATCGACGTCGCACGAGGAGCTTGTAAGCCTGCGTGTCAAGTAACCGTCGAGTGTCCGGTGAGACGAGCTTGCAGGTTTCGTGCCCGGCTCGTTCGGCTTGGCCTTGTCGGCGCTGTTGGCTGAACTTCGACTTGGCGACGTTCGTGCCGAATAAAACACATCATCTGCACTGGTATTGCTAGTGCTAGGGTTGTCGTTGGGAAGGTCAACCAGCTTGACTTCATCGTCATCCACAGAAAGCTGCGTCATAGGCAATGAGCCGGTTGCATCGGATTCACCTATACATGAGCCAGCTCCCACTGGTGTTCCTGCAACAGTTGCCAAGCTGCCCGACTGCCTCCGTAGTAATTTTTCCCTTACAGTAGTTGGAGAAGAGGCCGGTTCATCTGCTGCTCGAGCTGCAGCTACTTGTTTCTTCTTCTTTGCAGACAGCAGCCGTTTTTCGGTCTTTTCACTTTCTAGCCGCTCTTGTTGCTCCTCCTGTAGCTTGAACAACAGGTCGCGCACTTGATTACGCAAGAGAGATGGGCGAATATCCCAATTCACTGGCTCCTTCTGGAACAGTCTTCGGACAGTCTCGTCAGGGTCTTTTAGGAACTCTTGCATGTAACCGAGAATAAAGACACCGCAGTCGCAAAAGTTGTTCTGCTCTGGAATCCTTTTAGCGGTCATTCCAGTGGGAATTATGGCCAGCTCAACGCCCTTCTTGTCCTTTGCCTCTGCCACAAGGTATTCTTTCAAAACTCTGCAGGTAACTGCATGTGGACTCCCCAAAGAATCCAGTGTGACTATTCTTGGTAACCTAGGGTCGACATGCGGCCCCGCTGCCAACTTATTCGGTGTTGCGTTTTTCGAGGGTGGTGACGACTCTTGCAGAGTTGTCGAAGAAGCCGGGGGCTTCAGATCAACCGGCTCCTCGAAAAATGCCGAGATACCATCATCGCTATGTATGGAGATATCTGACATGTTTTGCGCGATCATCGTGATCCCCGGAGGTGTTGTGTTCTCTTCCTCTTCTTTCTTGGAAATTCCATCATCTTTGGGCATGCCACTAACAGCATTGGGTGTGTTGCAAATTATTGCCAGATACCAGTGGGCATTTTCGTTGACGGGGACCACGATATAGTCGTACGAAAGTAGATCAAATTTTGCCGTCCAGGACCTCACGCCGTCGTAGTTGACTTTGCCCTTGACTGACCTCAACTTCTCAAAGAAAAATGTGCTGAAAATATACACCTTGCTTAACAATTCGGGTCGTTCGCTTTCCAGCTTGAACTGGAGATATCGCACATAAAAGCTTATCAAATTGTCGTTTAAAAATTCACCTTCATCAAGTCGCAGGATATCGTCATCGTCAACAATGGCCCTATTTTTGCCAGCGGGGGGAAAGATGAGGGACTTGTGCCAACTTTTCCTCCAGCCAGGATTCTCATCGGTCCATCGATTGGGACTCGGTTCTCGCGTAACACAGGCAACCGAGGACCTTCGGGTTTGGCGGGTGGTAGGGGCCCGCGAAACAACAACATCGTCATTGACTTTGGTACTGCCGGTGGCCTGGCTTTGTTCAACCAATGCGGATTCCCTCAATTTTGCAATTATGCCCCCCGGTCGTGACCCGCAAGGTGATTCCTTCTGAGCATCTGTCCGCCAAGGGAGATTCGTGGTGGCATGTGATGAACTTGTTTGCATTCTCGAGGCACCACTGTTCGAAGTCCGTTTGGCATTCTGCGCTGAATACGTTGTGGCCAAGTCCAAGGCTTTTTGCCATCTGACTTCAAGCTCCCCACTAGGTGATATTGATCTCAGCAACTAGCGTAGTATTCGGTAAGGCGGCGGGAACTTACGGGGGGCAGGAGGATATTTTGACATGAGAAGCTACTTGCATCAGGGAAAATACGTCTCGGTGATTTGTGAATTGCAACCACAGATTTGCCTCGAATTCGTTGCCCCGCGGCCGTAACATGCGAACGTAATGGCTGCTGCCCATGGCATGTTCAATGCTAGTGATGCTGTCCAGCGGGACCCTCATCCATTGTAGTGGAGGATTCTCGTCTGCGGGGAATTTTGGCACAAGGGTTGTTGAGTTACCATGTTGCTGAAGGATTAACTGTCCGCGTTTGTCGTCGTCCCCAAGGTAGAAATGCTTCCCTGACACTGCTCTCCTCACATTCAGGTCAGGAATGCTCGCGTGTAGGGTGGGAAGAGTCATTATGTGGTGTGATTTCGGGTGATTCGTAAACTGCGTGTGCGGGATATCACGGCGTGAAAATAAGTGTCGTTTTGGGCTGCACAAGGCGGAGAAGTTTGTTCGCTTCCTGGGAGCATCAGCAGTGTCTCTGCAGAGTTCGTCTTCCGACTCGATAGATTCTCTCGGCGCAAACTTTGCACGTTTGATATGCGGGCTCGAAAGGTCGGCGTAGTTCAACGGTCGTGACCGTTTGTTGGCCTGTGGCATGGTGGGCATGAAGTACAGGAGCTGAACCTCAAAGCATCCTGATGTGAGGCAGCATCTGAATACGGCATCTTTGTCTGCCTGACACCTCCGAATGCGCAGCTGCCGGGCAGCCGCGATCTAGGTGACAAAGACTGTGTCGAGAGAACTTGGACGAGAATGGGGTAGTTTCTGAAATCCAGTGTTGGCCGCAGGTGTGGGGCTTCGTCGTTGGCCGTGAGCCACGAGGAAAGACAGCTGGCAGTCCGGGCATCGCAAGTCATATGATTCATCACGTGCTGCATTTGCCGCAGAAGCCAGAGACTGCCGGGCTGCTGTGGGCAGTGGGCGGCGGGTTGCGGTTCTCAGAAGTGCCACCCGCGACCAGTAGCAGCAACGAGAAGTACGTAGTGCAGTAAATAATACGGTATGCGGTATGTCCTTCCTTCGCAGTGATTGGAATGCAGAGGCCCAAGACTCTCGTTGTTCGGTGGGTGCCAACCAACCACCACAGCGCACGGCGAGAGACGAAACGTGGGGCAAATAGCTCAAGGGACCAAGAGGGGCTCTGAGGAACGAGGAGGGGACAGGACAGGCAGGGTCTTGCTCTCAACTCTGGTGCAAGTCTGCCCCCCATGTCGAGGCTCCATCTTGTCACCTACGGCTGCGATAGATTGGACACTTAAGTATTAATAAGTACCTTTTAAGTATTTAGGTAAGGTCATGATGGTACTAGTGCATTCGTACCTACTTTTTGATTGAGTATTTCTTAGTGGAGCTACGTGCCTTTGATCCTGGGTGGGCTTTTGATTGGCGGGATACTCCGTACCAATCAATACCTGCACTTGGACTCCGAACCAGTTGACTTTTATTTTAGCCGAGTGCGTACTTAACGCACTGCCTACTAAGTACTCAAGTACTTACGTACTTCGTACTCGAGTACCCAAGTGCAGTACGGAGTAGCTGCGTGTACAAGAAGAGAGCTTTGGGGTTCCACTTTTCTTCCCTCCATCATGATTTCAAGAAGAAGCCACCAGGCACCGACGACCGGGGAGGAGCACAGCAACTAGTACGGCCTACCCCTTCATCTTTCGACCCCTTTGCGTGTTGATCTGGCCGCCGTTTGACCATTTGAGCTAGACTTCTCGTTCGCTACGCGATAATCATCATCGCATTTCGATTCTTTATTTTGCGCGCTTCTTCACGTCGGGATCATGGCTGCACAGACGGGGATTGAGGCTGCTCTGGCCAAGATCATGGAGGTTGTTCAGAAGCAGGTCAGTTCTCCTTGGACACGTCGCTCAGGCGTTCTCTTCTCAAATCAAGGGGGAAGGTTGTTCGCCATGCCGTACGACACCACAAGTCACCGATGGATGTCGACTTGACGAATTTGCCCAAGCGATTAATCATGCCTGACATCTAGAATGACGAAATGTCTGAGCTGCGCCAGGAGTGCGCCCAGCTGCGCCAGTCCAACGGCGAGATTGGCCAGCTTCTAAGAGAGGCCGTCCTGGTACGTTGATGCTCCAACCTTTTACATTTACATGTTGTACATGCCTGTTCCATTGTCTTGCTGCAATTCTCGGGCCAGGCCTGCTAATCCTTCCTCAAAGGGTCGTCGCGAGAGCACTGGCCTCGCAGTCTTCACCCCCGGTGGTGATGGTTCCCTGCGGTCATTCAGCCCTCACCCGTTGCCCGAGCTGTCTCCGGCCATGAGATACATCCCGCCGCCTTCGCCCAGCCCACAGCTAACCGTTCCTGCCATGGACCGTGAAATCCCTGGCTTCTACGTCATTATTCCTGCCGGCGGTGCTGGTACTCGTCTCTGGCCTCTATCCCGCGAAAACCACCCCAAGTTCCTCTTGGACATTGACCTCTCCGGACGCAGCTTGCTCCAGTCGACATGGCACCGTCTCGTCCCTCTGGCCGGACCATCCCGCATGACTGTTGTGGCTGGGCCGAGCCACTCTGAGGCCATTCGGAAACAGCTCCCCCAGCTCGAGTCCGACAACCTCTTTACTGAGCCTGGTCCCAAGGACTCGATGGCTGCCATTGGCCTTGCTGCGGCCATCCTCCTGCACCGCAATCAGGATGCCGTCATTGGATCCTTTGCCGCCGATCACATGATTGCAGGCGAGGACGCCTTCCTCAACTCGGTCACCGAAGCCGTCAAGGTCGCCAAGGAGGGATTCCTTGTTACCATTGGTATTGCTCCGTCGCACCCTGCCACTGCTTTCGGTTATGTCAAGCTGGGTGACAAGCTGGATGTTCCCAGCGCTCCTACAGCCCGCTTGGTCAGCTCGTTCAAGGAGAAGCCCGATGCTTATACTGCCGCCAAGTATTTGTCATCCGGCAACTACCGCTGGAATGCGGGCATGTTCGTCACCAAGGCTTCTACATTGATGGACTTGGTGCACGAGTATGAGCCCGAACTGCACAATAACTTGAACAGAATTGCAAAGGCTTGGGAGGACAAGACGCAACGGGAGACTATTCTCAACGAGGTGTGGCCTAGTTTGGAGAAGGTGGCCATCGACAATGCTATTGCAGAGCCCGCTGCCGCCGAAGGCCGAGTTGCCGTCATTCCTGCTACTTTTGGTATGTGTGTTGCTCGCAATGACACAAAGCGCATGCTAACGTACACACGTCTTGAGGCTGGGACGATGTGGGCGACTTTTCTTCCCTCGCCGAAATGCTTCCTGCCGAGGTCAACTCGCCCAGGATTCTTGGCGACCGCAACTTGGGTACGTTGGCACGTGTAATGAATGCCCTTTGCAATATCGCACACTAACTTGGGCTGTAGTTGTTGCCCAACAAGCCCCTGGCGGCATCGTCGTTCCCGGGTCTGGCCGTCTGGTTGCCTGTCTCGGTGTCGATGACCTCGTCATTGTCGACGTGCCGGATGCACTCATGGTCACCACCCGTGCTCGAGCACAGGAAGTCAAGTCGCTCGTTGCCAGCTGCCGTAAAGCTGGGTTTAAAAATCTCATGTAAAAGAGGGCGTGTGCCAAGTCAGGCGATGTGCATGTCCCGAGCTGGATTTATTTGTCTCTTGTTCATTTCATGTTTGGTTGGTGCGCAAACGGACGGCATAACGGGCGGAAAACTCTGATTGGCTGTAATATGGTGGGCTACTAGTGCTACGGATAAAGAAGCATGTAGCGTTGAGTAAATATTCTTCCTCTGGCTTCTCTGTCTGTTGAGTGCCGTGGGCGGCCGTCTTGCACCGCCGGGGGTAAGCACCCAAGAGCCCGAGACCAAGAGGGCGGACGCAGCCGCCGACGAGACCCCATGGACGCGACTCCATGACGTGTGCACATCTGCATCTGGAGGCATCCAGGCACGCAACGACAAGCAGCTCTCACAAGACCCATAATCGTCAGTCAGTCGAGTCAGGTTAACGCTGTTTTGGCGCAACGGGCGCTCGGTGACTCGGTGCGGTGCGGCGGGGCCCCGACGCGCCGTCAACGCCGCCCGAGATGCCGTCGTCGGTCGACGAGCTCCCCACGGGCACGGGCCACAACCCACAACCCACAACCCACAACCCACAACCCACAACCCACAACGTGTCCTCGCGCAACCTCCCTCCAGCGGCCAGCCTGCGTCGACGCATCGTCAATCCGACACGAGACGAGACACGACATCCAACATCCAATCGAGCCCTCCCATCATGCACTCCTCCTTCACCCGCATCCAAAACGTCTTCGGCTTCTTCACAACAGTCGCCTGCGTCCTCGCCGGCTTCATCGCCGCAACCGACCTCCTGGCCGCCCGCAACCCCAGCGGCACCCTCGTCCCGACCAACATCCAGGTGTAAGTGAATAAATCTCCCCCCTCCCCCCCAGAGTCCACCCGCCGAGCGCTGACAAAGATCCCGCCGTCCTCAAGGGTCAAGGGCCGCCCCCACTACTACAGCAGCAAAAAGGAAGAATACGCCATCGTCAAGTTCTCCCTCGACGCAGACCTCTCCAGCCTCTTCACATGGAACACGAAGCAGCTCTTCGTCTACGTCACCGCCGACTGGCCCTCCGCCGAGGGCCAGAACGCCACAAACTCAGCCGTCATCTGGGACAGCATCATCACGAACCCCAGCGCCGACCACCTCCAGAACATTGGGCCCATTGCCATGAAGAAGCTCAAGCGCAGTGCCGAGGGCAAGACGATTGATCCCAGCCGGTGCGTCTGCCGTCCCTACCCCTTCCCACCCTTTTGAGCAGACAGTCTGGGCGGGAAACCACAGGGGCTAACCGTCGTGTCGGTCCAGCGGTCTTCTCAAACTCAAGAACCAGCGCCCCAAGTACCAGATCACCCATCCGTCCGGCAAGATTGCCAACGTCAACGACGTGACCCTCCGGTTGCATTATAATGTCCAGCCCTGGGTCGGTCTGCTCACGTGGAACATGGACAGGGTCCTCGGCTGGTGGTCCCCCATGGAGAAGGGGGTGAGCGAAAAGTTTGAGTTTCCCGCCATCAAGACCAACGGTGCCAAGAGGAAGGCCAACGCTTGACCGAACCGAGAGTCTGGAATACAGAAAAGGAGCATGTTGGCACGTTTCGGGGGCGCTGGTGCGCGAGGGCGTGTGTGTGCGTGCCATGTCTGCTCTCTGGCCGCGACGTGTCGCTAAACCGCACGGGTTCTCGTGCCGTTCGGACGAAATTTTTGGTATTGCGCCATGTCACGGCTGCTGTGACGAGTTGTCTTGCTTGGCAACGACGAGTCCATACGGAGACGTGCACAGTTGCTGCAGCGCAGGTCTGGACATGTCAAGCCACCAGGTGGTGTCGCCGTCTTTGGGGCTCGCGCACTTGTCATCTCATATACTACGTAATAGTGATGGTCGTTGCAGATATGGCCGGTTGTTGAGACATGATTTCTATCCCACCCGTACACAAAATAAGCCCATGGCGGCATTTTACCGCACTCTTGCCGTTGTCCAACATCCTGCCCACCCGTACGTACGTGCCCCCAACATGACATGCCAACATGCAAGAATAAACCGATTCGCCCTAGCTTTGGGCCGAGGGAGGAGCTCCTCCCCGGCCATTGCCTCCTCTTCCTCTGTTCAGGCCACCGCGACCGCGACCACGACCACGGCCCCGTCCACCGCCGTTGCTGTCCAGGCTCGCGGGAGGTGGAACGCTGCTGTATTTGCCGGGCTGGGGGCTAGGCGTCCCTTGATGATTGCCACGGCCTCTGCCTCGACCGTTACCTCGCCAAGTCGTCCCGTTGGTAGTTTGCCCGAGAGGAGGCGTCCCACCAGCGCCATCACGATACACCAGCGTGCTGTGAAGCAAGTTGGGTGCGGGCCCATTGCTGCCGCCGCGCTGGGGTCCCATTCTCGGGCTGCCTCTACCCCTACCAGGCGATCCCCTACTCGGGGAGTTTCGTCCGGGGGTGCTGTGGCCACTGCCGTTGAGAGCACCACGCCAGCCACCACGTAGAGGCGCGGGAGCGGCAGCGTCCTTGTACTGGGGGACACCAACGGATCCGTAAAAGCCTGTCGACATTGTCGATGTAGCTCGCTTCTGCTGGGACTTGCTGGACGCAGAGATGACCTGCTTGTCCGTCGTGTTCAAGACAGATGAAGACGGTACGGTTTGGCCTCGGAACACGGGAGCCCGTTCGCCCAGAGTTGTGCCACTCATAAATGACGTGTCCCACACCACGTCGAGGAGCAGGGCGGTGGCAGTTCTACTGATGCCCGCCACTGTTCCCCGTGTAGCAATAGGTACTTTACCAGCCGAGGCAGCAAAGGTGACGCGATCACCCAAGCAGAAATTCTGGTTGCCCAGAACCAACTCTGCATCAGATGGCTTCAGGATTGCTGCGCGCGGTACGCCCTTGAGCTTCTTGATTTCGACGTCTTGGGAAGCTTGGAACACTTGCTCGCCAGCATTGGCCAAAGTCATGACGACTTCGGAGTCAAGCTGCTCCGCCTCGAGGGGCACCCGCTCAAACTTGCTTGTTTCCTGCTTCTTCAGCCAAGCAACAATATCCTTCACGCGCTGCGAGGCAACGGCAGGGTCATTCCACAGGTCGGTCTCGCAGATCTCACTTTTCTGGGGCTCTTTCTGGATAGCCGCGAAGAAATCGGGAAACGCGACCATGTAATCAGCAATGAGCTTTATTGCCAAGGAGCTGAACTCCCATCCAGTGTGTGCCTTTCGAGAATATCCAAGAACCTTGAGCTTGCGAGCCTCAAACTTGAGGTTGAGGCCCAGGTTGAGTTTCAGCCCTGCGACAGTGCTAACCTGATAGGATGATGTGATTTTGCTCAGCACCAGGGGGTGCATGCTTAAGTGTTTCGCTACCGCGAAGGACGGTGTGTAGGGGTTGCTGCGCTCGGCCTGGTGGATAATTCTCTTGGAGAATTCAATTTCTTTATTTTTCGGAATGGAAACGACAACCTCCGTCTTGCCCTTGACATGCCCAGTGACCTCTAGGGGTCGGCCATAGGCATACTCACCGAGGAAAAAGGCCCTGGTACCTAACGGCAATTCCTGCTCAATGGGAAGCGCCTCCTTCTCGATAAATCGCTCGTCTTCGTTGACAACCTCATCCACAATGGTCTGAGAGGCATAGACGCTGCATAAGCTGGGGTTTTCGGCGTATTCCTTCGTCAACGCGCCCTCTTCGGTTTTGATAAGTCCTTTGAGCATGTGCACGTGCACAAGACACTCTACTTGACCAATCGTGACGCCGAGACGCTTCGCGTGCCAACTCTCCAAGAATTCGGCCTCCTTCGAGAAGTCAGAAGCTTCTCGATTAGAATGGTCTTTGACGACAACATCTTGGCCGTTTTCAGCAAGCTCGTAAGAGAAGAGCTCGTCTTGGACCTTCATAATCTTAGCTTCCTGAAGGAAAGGGTAGCCCACATAGCATCGCTGGCCCAATTTAGCCTTGAAAGTTTCGATACTGGTGCGCATATTCGTATCGGTCAGGGTGACAACAATACTCGGATTCCTGCTATCCTGCTGGAAGACGTTGATGCCATAGCCTTCGATAAGTTGGGCAGTATAAGGCAGTGTATGCAGAGTCGGAAACCCTGCCAAAGCCTCGACCTTCAACAACGCCCCAGTGGCCAAGCCTGAAACATATTCCAAGCCTTCCATGTCAGGCAGATCGAAAATGTTTTCAATACAGCGGCAGTTTTGGACCTCGGGGAAGATTCCCGGCAGAGGAGAGGGATATGTGAAGTTGACATCTGCAGAATAAGTGAACTTGATCGGAACACCAAACCCATTTCGTGACTTTTCGTCCTCCTCTAATAGATCATTTTTGGTGGCCATGGCGTCCAGTAGTCGTTTTTCGTCGATGAAGGGGATTTTGACGACGGCTTCCCAGTCCATCTTCTTGCCATTCATGTCGAGCTCAAAGTCACGAGGATAAAAATCGATGATTGGTGAATTCGGGTTCGTCATTAGGTCGTGATACACCTTGGGTACTATCTTCTTACTTCGGTCAGGCAATACGCCCATAAGCTGTTCGTAGGGTTTGAAAGGCTGTCCTTTTTTAAAGTTGAGATCGGCATCGAGGCCCTTGGCGACATCTATCTCTCGTTAGGCCGCCAAAATCCACGCAAGAACACAGAAACATATCTTACCAGAAATTAGAGGAGAATAGTGATAACCATAAAACCATGGCCACGAAGCGATACCCCTGTAGTAATAGAAGAGCACCCACTGCAAGCCTTGCACATAATTTTGGCACAGGCTAATTTGCTCCTTTTCATACTTTTCCGGAGCCCACTGTGGAAACTTTTGCAAGTAATACTTGGTTTTCCATCCAGCATATTTCTCATTGTAGAGCTTTCCATATTGCTGCCGTGCCTCTTCCGATGTCATATCGACAACTTTGGCCTTGTCATATGACTTTATGACACGAAATGCAGCCAAATTCCCTTCCTCCTCTTCATCATCTCCGTCTTCGTCGCCTCCGGGTCGCGCAGGGAATGACAACACAAGGTGGCGATCTCCATGTTCATTTTCCTTTGTTGACCAGTCTAGGTGCATCGCATCCGCTATATCCTGCGCGAACTTGCGGTCTGCTGCCTTGAGACTTGTGCCGAGATCCAAGACTTCATCAGAGCGTTTCGATACAAAGGGACGAATGGTCTGTTTCCACAGATCGCGCTGAGACGAAGTGATGACCAACTGCCCGTTTTTTGTGTTTTTGTTGCTTGTGTCGTTCATCGATTCGAGCTTCTTCTCCATTTGTTTCGATGCAAACCATTTTTCATCTGAAATGTCATTCTCGAATGACACCAGCTCAAGCTTGCTCAACTCCAGCAGCAGCTTCTCTAATCGAGCCATGTGAATAACACCATTCTCATTGATATAACCGTCGCAAGTGGGCAGAACCGTCTTGTAGATTCTAAACATGTTGGCCAATGCGCCCTCGTTGATATGAAGACCGGGGAGATTTGGCAGGAAATCATTTCCAACGAAAAAAGCCATCAAAATAAAATCATCAATAACTCTTTCGAGATCAAATGGGAAGCTTAGCGTTCCCTCCTTGTATAGTTCCTGAAACTCCATTTCGAGGTATTCCCGTACAATGCAAAGATGAAGAAGATAAAAGTTTTGATGCTCAAGCTCCTTTGACTTGGTCTTGGATGCTCGTCCGAAGGTGACTTCTTCTCGAAGAAGACAAAAATGGGGATCATGGCTGAGCAGTCCCAGCATGATGAGGTCTGCGTCCAACCCATACAGACAGTGTCGCACGTTGGGGTTGTAGTTGGGCTGCGCCTTTTCGTTTCTAATGTACTCCATGATCTTGTGTTCTCCTTCGCCAGGAACCTCGTGGCCTGAAAGAACAATCTCGCACCCTTGCCAGTCGGCATCTTCCGAGATCTTTTTGTTGACAAAGTATCGCAACTGCTGTGAAAGCTTGGCCATGAATTCAGTTCCTATAGTTGTTAGCATTGCACTGGCAAGTCACCAGCAGCGATCAGACATACCTGGTGTGATACAATTGCTATCGAACGGCTCTTCCTTGGGCATCTCAACGCCCTCTTTGATGGCTTTCTCGCGGGCCTTCTCAACATCCAGAGCAGTACGAAAGCGACGAGCCCGTTGTTGGTTCATTTTAGCTCTGGGTGCCACGCCGTCAATCGCCATGAAAAAGAGCTGTTTGGGCTTTATTTTGCCAAACAAGTGCTCTATGTAGTTGAAAATTCTTATAAACATTTCTTCCTCCGAGAGACGGAAAGAAACGTCTTCTCCAGCATCCTTGTGGGTGCAGTTGTGAATGATACCGTTCATATCGAGCTACGGTCCAAGGTCAGCGGGGACGGGGAAGCGAGTCGAACGGGCGAGGGTATGTCGAACATAAAGACAATCAAACTCCGGTATCCGATTCTCCGCAATGAGTTGCGAAATGGCAGGGTATCGCTCCGAGAGCCATCTGAAGAACTTGGGAACACTAGAATGACCAGTCAGCGTTAATTCTTCAGGTCGAACGGTGCTTAAACAAACCCCATAGCAGCGGGGGGTGGCCAATCGTCAGCCCAGAAAAATTAAAGAAATGAATGTACCACAGCTCCGATGAGCAATAGGGGACAATATGTTCGGCCACGTTACGTCGATTTGCGCAATGCGAAAAATGAAAATACTGTGGAGGCTCAACCTCGGATCGACCAGTCTGTTGCGCCAGAACAAAACACAATGGTGACAACAAAGAGTGCGCAGAATTTGAAGGCGAACAAAAAAAACTCAATTTGCACAACTGAATCAGTTCGCAGGGAGAGAGTCTAGGAGGTTGGCCAATATTGAAGGTATGAAGGGCGGTTGTAACTTGTTGGAGCAAGAATCATCATCAGGCATGCCAGAGCTAGTGCAGGAGGCTCAAGGTGGGGTTCAAGTGGTGGCAACTGGGATAGTACTCAACAGGCGTCATGCGAATCGCTCCCTGGTGGCCGAGAGACATGTACTGCACACTCGGTAGGGCAATATATTGTCACAATTTCAAAAAAACTGGAAAGATAATCAAGATAATTGAACCAATTCAGCAATGTTGAGACCAAACCCATGATTTGCTACATCAATACTTATTCCTGCTGCTTCAGGGTTTCGGGAGTACAGGGTAGCTCACAGCTTTTTCACGGCAGTCGCCAGGTGCACCTGGTGGGATGGATGCGACCACGGCACATCATTGGTTGACGAGGCCGGTCACTTTACGCGCGACGCGTGCAAACCAAGTTGGCCGTCCAACGACGCATTTTGCAGACAGCGTCGCATCACCACCACCAATCGCCATCGGTGGCCTGTCCAAGCTTGAGAAGCTGATACCATAAGAAGATCCCATCTGCATTACTTATTGCCAACAGATACACCATGCCCCCCGCTCAAGTTTCGGACCCCGAGGTTGATGGTAAGCTCGCATCCTTACTACACTACATTCATTTTACCTTCCGGTCAAACCTTGGGCCGTCATCGTATGCTGACTAGCCGCTCATAGTCGAAATGTCATACGAGGAGGAGGACGACCAGATCGAGCGCCTTATCAACGAGGGTATGTGCTCCTCAGACTCGCTAGAAAGCATCGTACGATGGGAGTGGGCTCTAATCATGAGGTACCAGAGTACAAAACGTGGAAAAAGAACAGCCCATTCTTGTATGATATGATTTTGGGGTACGTCGCAAGCAGCTTCCACTCCACCGTTGCCTCGTGAATTCTTATTTAACAAACACTAGAACGGCCTTGACATGGCCAACGCTGACTGTTCAATGGTTCCCCGATGTCAAGGAACCCGAGGGCAAAAACTACCGCATGCACCGACTGCTGCTTGGAACGCATACCTCGGACGGGAGCGCCAACTTCTTGCAGATTGCCGACGTTCAGATCCCCAAGGCGGTTGCCCCAGACCCCGCCAACTATGATGAAGAGCGAGGTGAAATTGGGGGCTATGGCAACCCTGGCGACGTCGCTGCCATCAGGTGTGACATTGTCCAAAAGATCGAGCACCCGGGCGAGGTAAACAAGGCCAGATACCAGCCCCAGAATCCAGACATTATTGCCACTTTGTGCGTAGATGGCAAGATTCTCATCTTCGACCGCACCAAACACCCTCTTCAACCCGCCTCTCTTGGCAAAGTAAATGCCCAGATTGAGCTGAGTGGACACAAGGCAGAAGGCTTCGGTCTCGCCTGGAACCCCCACGAGGCTGGATGCTTGGCTTCCGGAAGTGAAGACAAGACTATGTGCTTGTGGTAGGCAGCAGCAGCGTTTTGCGCGAGACGACCCGCAGACTGGGACCAAAAAATGCTGACAATGGACAGGGACCTGAAAGCGCTCGAGGCCGAATCTAAGGTTCTCAAGCCTTTCCGTCGTTATACTCATCACGCACAAGTTGTCAATGATGTCCAATATCATCCCATCTCGAAGAATCTGATCGGGTCTGTTAGTGACGACCAGACTCTTCAGATTGTTGACATCAGACACGATGACACAACTACTGCAGCCCTTGTGGCCAAACGCGGCCACCTTGACGCCATAAATTCCCTAGCCTTCAACCCCAACTTAGAAGTCCTTGTAGCTACAGCGTCTGCCGACAAGACTGTTGCTATCTGGGATCTGCGAAATGTCAAAGAAAAGGTGCACACCCTTGAAGGACACAACGATGCCGTGACGAGCATATCGTGGCACCCGTCAGAGGCTGGAATTTTGGGCAGTGGTAGCTACGACAGGAGGATCATTTTCTGGGATCTTTCTCGCGTTGGAGAGGAGCAACTACCTGATGATCAAGAAGACGGCCCCCCGGAACTGTAAGCGACCAAGACCCTTTATCTATGAGCTCCAGCAAGTCTAATAACCCGCTAGGCTATTCATGCATGGCGGACACACGAACCACCTTGCCGACTTCAGCTGGAATCCCAACGAACCATGGCTGGTTGCCAGTGCTGCCGAGGACAATTTGCTCCAAATCTGGAAAGTGGCAGAGTCTATTGTCGGCAAGGATGACGGCGAGTTGCCGGTTGATGAACTTGACCGATAGATGAGGTGGAAGTTCGCAGAGGGGAGGAAGTATCGTTCTTCATAGGATGAGGAGACCGAAAAGTTCTGCTCGGAGTTGATAATGAGGCTGGGGAGTATTTCCGACGACTGAGGCCCGGAGAATGGAGTCCACGATAAGTCGGAGCCCTTTTTTGCTAGTTTGGGGAGATGTGACCGATGCGCCCTTCCTTGTATTAAGGTTATGAATGGATAGTATTTTACAGCCGGTTCATTGTTTCGAAATTCTCGGGTGTCAGCTGTCTCGGGTGTCAACAGGCCGCGGCAGCTGGCAGCAAACGAGATGCTGACTCTGATTCATTGCGAACCACCTGCGTATGCGGCCAGGTGGTTGTACCCGGTTCACGACGAGACCGCACTCGTGGTCAACAACAAGTGAGTTCGCCCGATAACATTGAATACAGGCAGACAATGGGTGACCACGATGCAAATCTCTCAGCCTCTCCAGCATCTAGCGAGAGCCTCGAGTGCGCCGCACCACACAACTTCTAATACCGCGCTAACTGTGTAGCGGTTGATTCTCCTTGCAGGCTTCTTCCCTCTTCCTGCGTTTCCCGCCCCTTCATCATGGCGCTCCCGTTCAATCCAAACACGATCAAGCGCAACGCGCGCGTGTATGGCTTCAACACCCAAGAAGCCGCCATATTCGCGCACATTGCGCTCGACCAGCTCCGGGGCCTCAACGCGTCGTCCTCCGAGCCCGTCTCCCTTGAACAAATCGCGGAAGCCATCAAGCGCTATGCCACCTCGGAAGTGGAGCGGGAAAGGGCCATTAAGCCCGAGATTCGGGACCGGGGCATCTCCATCCTCGACGACATGGAAGCAGACTTGCTGCAGATGGGGACTGAAATCCACGAGTCCAACGATGGAAACATGCCCGAGCCGATGATTGTCGAGGAAGAGAGCCATGGCCAGCCGTCTAAGCGATTCAAGTTTGACGACGACGGACTGGAGCAGTACTTTGGCAAAGACGATCCGTATAATTCTCGAACAGAAGTGGCACCGCTAAGTCTCAAGTATTATAATCAAGACATAATAACAGCAATGTGCGCAAGGGTCGAACTAGCAGTTGAATTAGGAAAACAGCTCGCGCCCGAGGACCTGGTCAACCTGTACGCGACGAGCCGTACCTTTCACAGTGCCATCAACGAACACATGCTCTCCAGCATCCGCATGTGGATTGCACACCGAGCCCCCGAGGCAGGCAAGATATTCGAGTTCCGCCTGTACCGACGAGTCCTGGTGACGGACCCGGCGGGGAGGACATGGCACGAGCAGTGCCAGGGAGGTGAGGCGGCGAGGACAAACCCCGAGCTCATGGCCCAGGTCCGCTCGGTTCCCGGCCTGCGATACCTGCAGCTCGTCCTGGGCAGGGACCGGTGCTGCAGGCAAATCATCGGCATCATGGCCAGAAACGGCTTCCTCATGCCCAAGTCGATGCACGGGACGCTGCTGCGGCTCTGGCTGCTCATGGACATAGCCACCTCTGGCCAGCGGCAGGCTCTCCTGCGCAACCAGGACATCTGGTCAGACGGCCACATCTACAATGCTCAAATGTTCTTCATGAAGCTCCTCATGGCGTTCAACGATCCCACCTACGGCCCCGGCAGCCCCGAGCTCCTCCACCTGTTCCTGGGCCAAAAGGGCCTCTACCCGCTCTGGCAGCTTCTCCTGCGCAAGAGGTTCACCACCCTCCCCGACCTAATCGACCTCCAGGTCCGATACCAGTACGACGTCCCTCCCGAGCTCGCCGCCAACCAGGCCGGCGAGCAGACCACCATCCACGGCGTGCCCCTTCACGAAGTGGGAACGGGCCACTACGAGGGCTGGGGCCTGGGGGACAACCATCTCCTCCGCCCGGACGAACTCATCCCCATGGAAGCCACGGCACGGACTCTCGATCTGGAGCATCACTTGATATACATGATGATGTGGGGGTACTTCGACACCCGCAGCGGCGACAACATCGTCCCCACCCAAGACGACATGTACATCTCCGACGAGGAGAACGTCCTCAAGCACATGGACACGTCGTACCACTGGAAGAAGAAGCACGCCCTGAAGAAGAGCTTCTTCCACCTGTCCGCGGAACAGAAGCAGAAAATCCTGGATGACGACGAAGACGACCGCCTGAGAGCACTAGCCTGGACAGGCGACTCCTCAGAAGGCGACTCCGACGACGACGCGGGAGAAGAGCACCCTTACCCGCTCGACGAAGAAATCAACCGCGGCTTCATCGTCCGATCCCCACGCAAGGACGAAAAGAAGGTCAGCGTCCCGGAAATGAACGACAAGCAAGGGTGGGAGGACTTTGTCAACGCCGCATTGACGACTGTCGGCCCCGATCTGGGGGAGGACCAAAAGCTCAGAGCGCAGGCGTGGTATAATTATTCCAAGGGCCAGGCGGAAGGCGGGAGGGACTGGCAGGCCTGGCTGGCGCACGAGGAAGCCAATAGGGCCGCCGAGGCCGACGGGGAAGGCGACCGCGAGAGCGAGGCAGAGACCATCATCGTGGGCGACGAAAGCCTGGCCGGTGACGAGGACGCCGGCAGCGACACGGAGGACGGCGCGCTGCATGATCCGCTGCTGCGCGAGTTGGGCGAGTTTCTTCACGGGGACGGGGTCCAACCTAGCGTCGAGTTGAGGCAGCTGCTCGGCGACTATTATCATGCGTAGTTCGCAGCCAGCCAGCCGTGGGTGTTGGGAAAGCGCCCTGTAGTTCATAAATACTTTACTGTCAATGAATAAATCATAAATCACGCACAAAGGGTCATACGGCTCCGAGAACCTGCTCCTCTCCCTTCACCGCGTTGGGCTTTTAGCTCTGGCTCACACAACAGTGACAACACACAGACACACCCAGGCACCCTTCACTCGTATCAATAAGCGAAACACAAGCCAGGTAGAGTCAACAGCGCACGTGAACCTCAATAATAGGCTAATAGGCAATGCATTGTTGTTCTGTCAAAATCTCCCCGAGTCCTCGCCCCGTATACAGATCCAACTCTGCCATCTGCTTTTCTTCTTACATTGCTCCCAACTCTCTGCGCAAGCAATCTACTTCTCCCTCAAACCCGAAAACCAAAAAAATTCCTTTCTCGGCAAATCATGAAGAAATCTCTAGATTCGTTCATGCAGAAGGTTGGAAGGGGTGGCATCTAAAAGGGGGGGGCAGATGGAAGGCAAACAAACTTGACAAAATGATCGCAACAGAAATGGACAAGTGCGAAAGAGAGTCAGTCGTAGGGAGGGAGAACAAGACAGACAAGAAATGCCCTTAACCACGGCCGACGTAGCATGGGCCATGAGCAGTAAGTGAGAAAACGGCCGACCAGACGCAAGGATCGAAAAAAAAGAACACCACGACCTCGATCCCTCGATGGACGGACAAGTATATGCAGACACTGAGTGAAACCGGAATATTTCATGTCACACGCCATGGCCAAAGGTATACCCTTACACTCCCTTTCGCTATGCACCCATCCGGGACAAAAATGGCTTTCCAGCAAGATACCACAATCCGTCCCACAAAGTCCCAGATCAACCTTCCCACCCTTTTATCACAAGATATGCGGGCCACCCTCCGCTGCTGCGACAGAGACATAAAAAAACAAATGTGAAAAAAAAAGGAAAATAAAAAACATGGTCCTAGAATCCTTCACCGAAGTCTCGTCAACCCAGAGCAGCTATGGTATAGTGTCACTTTTGTCTTTCCATCCTGTCAAATTTTGCCTCTTACCACATCCCGCCTGAAATAGAAGTCTGACACTCCGCCCTGGTCCTGCAAAAAAAAAAATAAATGAAAAAAAGTCAATACGCACCGGTATTCCCCGTTCCCTTGAAAATAGCAAGCCAAGTCCAGAAGTATGTTTTTGTTTTTGTCGAAGGTCAAGTGCTCTCTATGCTCATCATTCCAAAGTCGTTCTTTGTTTTGTAGACAGAAAAATCGACGGATAGATACGCAAACGTAACGTTGAAAATGGCAGTCTAGAAAGGCTAGTGCAAAAGCCGGCACCTAAACTACAGCCGCACGTGGTTCTGGTGCTTTAAGCAGGAGACTTGCTTGGGGGGGCACCACCACCGTTTTGTCGAGCGTCATTGCCACTAACAGAAAGTCCGCCAATTCCTGCAGAAAGAAATGCGAAGGGATCGTTTTCTCCGCCGCCGTTGTTGGTGTAGAAGTGATTCGAAGGTCCAGAACCGGCAGACACAGGCCCGTTGGAGGCAGACTGGAAGGCAGCCTCGGCAGCTCGGCTATCGAAGGGACCAGCAGAGTGTGACCCGGGAGTCGAGGCAAAGGTCTGGTTGTTCATAGAGCTAGGATATCCACCGGCACCGCCGCCAATCCCAGCGGGGAGGAAGTGGCTTGGAGGGCCTCCAAAATGTTGATTGTAGCCGGCACCTGAACCAAAGGAGTTACTCGAGTTGAAGGGACCGGGGCCAGGAGTGCCAGCCATGGATCCCTGGGCCATGCTGTACTGAGAGGAGTTGTCCATCGGGGAAGGATAACCGGAATCTGCAACTACAGCAGCGCCAGCTCGACTGGCGCCGCAGCGGAGGCAGCAAACGTTTTTGGCGAAGTTGTGATACCCACAGACTTCGTTGCCACACTTCCAGTCACCAGCACGAAAAGGGACGACACCACCACCGCCCATACGACCACCGTGGCCCATGGGACCATGATGGCCTCCGTGAGGTGGAGGCGGCATCATGGCAGGAGGTCCGTAGCCGCCGCCATATCCATAACCGCCAGCTGCGTCGGCACCACCTGGACCACTTCCAGCAGCAGGGAATGAGCATCTGAAACAAGCAGTTCGGCGCTGGAAGTTTGAGAAACCGCACGAAGGGCATGTCCAATCGCCAGGTCGCGGGCGGTTCTTGCTAGGGGGGAACGGAGTGAGAATATCCTGGGCGCGGTCAAGCACGCGGCTGGAGGAGGGAGAAACCTCAATAGCCTTTTCATTCAAGGCACGCCCATTCATACAAAGGCTCTCAGCCGCCTAAATGACGAGTAAGTACAAGGGCCGCTGCAACGTTGTCTCGGCAAAATTCAATTTGCAGGAACAATTTATTCCAACAGAAATGCGACTTACCTCCTCGTGAGAAGAGAATACTGCAAAGCCGGTTCCGGTAGGTTTGTGCTGCTCAGGAGTACGCAAGGTCCAAAATGCGATGGGTCGACCGCCAAACTGAGTGAACCAGCTCTCAAGCTCCGACTGGGTAGTGTCGTGGGGAAGGCCAGACATATGGAGGACCTTGCTTCTCTCAGAGAGGAACGCACGGACGTCGGCTCTAGCATCCATAGGTCTGGTCAAGACATCTGGATGATCCTGAGATGGCTGTGACTTTCGGATCAAGCCACGAAGAACACGGGCCAGAGTAATGGCCTCTTCCATGGCACGGCGGGGAGAAGCAGGAGCCAGAGCTTGCAAGTGAAACGGAAGGTTGTGCTTGATCGGGGCGCTGGCCTGGACGGGTTCAACCTCGAGAGCAGCGCAAATGTTGGACAGCATTGAGGGACCAAAAGGCAGAGACTCCGGGTGGTGCTGCTGCCATCGCTGATATTCCGTTCGAAGATCGAATGTGCGTGAGTGTTGCAGATAAGGGGGAAGAACGACAGCCTTGTCCCGGGCCTCTCGGGGAAGCTGGACACGGAGGTCCCAGGCGTCCAGTGTGACAAAAACGAAGTCGAGGTTCTTGGAAGTCAGGTACTCCGTCGCGAACGTATCGAATCGAGAGATAGCGTCTCTAAAGGTACCCGCGTTTCGAACGTGTTCCCAAGTGAGAGTCGTAAGGCTTGCTACACGGCAGACCTTGTTAGCTGCATTACTCTCTCTTTTCTTTTCTTTTTTTTTCTTTTTTTCTTTTTTCTTTTTTTTTTTTGCGAGCGAGCGAGCACTCATAGATTGCGGAAGATGGCATATTTGTGGACAAAGGGACTTGTTGCGATGGATAGGGGCGAAGGATTCAAAGTTCTTTTGCATGGCCCGGGAAGCAAAAAAATCACCATCAGGTTGGTTTACGTACTGCAAAGAGGGGTTATTGGGGTATTGACAGGTTTAACAAGGACACTTTCGTGTGTGATCTGCCAATGTAGAAAAAGGAGGGAGAAAAAGTTAGCAATGGCTTCCCAGGTTGGTGAAATGCGGATGAATACCAAGGAAGAACCAAGTTGTCGTGGCTTCGGGAAATTGGTGGGGAATATCTCACCTCCTCGAGCGAGTTGGCATCAAGAAGAATCCATCCGAGCTCAATGACCTCAGCAGAGTCTTTGGTCACGTAGACACCGTGTTCATCACACGTCGTTGCAACGTGGATCACGACATAGCGATCGACGTTGAGCTGAGGAACCTGCTGGGACGACATGGTGGCCAGCGGAGCGTCGGGGCTCAGCAAGCAACGCAGGATATTGATTGGCGTACGCGGCGGCGTCGGGGCAGTCTTCTCGCTGGTCGACTTTCGCGAGGAAGGTCGAGTCGAGGAGAGTAGAGAAAGGACGGAGATGCAGCCTGTGACCCAGCCGGTTCTCCAAGGTGTGACGGTTGCGGATTGAGAAGTGTTGGGTCAGGAGGGAACAACTGGAAGCTTCAGGAGGTTTTGCCGAGCAAAAAGAGCCGCAGGTCGGACGGAGCTGGAGAATCGCACGGGCCGAAAGGACTGCGGGTTGTGGGCGGTGGGCGGTGGGCGGTGGGCTGTGGGCTGTGTGGTGGTCTTTTGGGGGGTTGGCGGGCAGTTGGCAAGTCCGGTTTAGCGCTGGCAGCTGGCGGCTGGCGGCTGGCGGTTGCAGGGCATGGAGGGTGTCTCGTCGTTGAAAAATAAAGAAAGAAATACCTACTTGGTAAATAAATAGTTGAAGACACCGGCATCAATCTAGCAAACCCTATACTCTGTATCGAAAGGTTGACCGCACCCAACCAAGGACGAACCACACCCTCCTGGTCAGACCGGCCGACAGGGGACGAACGTGTGTCTGCGGAAATGGCCGGCTTGACCAACGTGGAGAGTATTTGAGACTAGAGCAAGCACACTGGGCGCGTGGTGTTTGGTGCTGGGATCAATGGTTGCTCAATCCCAGGCTGTTAGTCGACAGACAGTGTTGACCGTTCGAACAAGGGACATTACACCGGCATAGACCTAATGGGCGGAGCCAAGTCAATAACCATCCTGCCAACCTACGACGGCAAAACCAACTCCAGCCAGGCAAGACGGCGACGAAGAATCATCCAGTCAGTACGCGGACAAATTGGGAAGCCCCATAACATAACAACAGGCGGCGTGAATAAACGCTCTGCGGCAGGCAAGCGCCTACTCAGCGACTCGGGCCTAGGTATCCGGACAGGCCCTAAAACAGTGTCTAGTAGTTATTTGGAATTGCAGCTACGTATGGTTGCACTCCAATGCCATGTAGCATCTGAAGTATTACTGCCACTCCTCCTCCTGAGTCCTGCACAATGTGTCCACTTACTCGACTCCGAACACGCAGGATCCACACTCCTGGGAGGCACCACAGAGTCGGGGAGTCAGGGACCATGGCAACATGGCTCGTCAGTCTGTCAGTTTAAGTGGCCGGGGCAGGAAGATACATGAACATGTACCAACGGGAAGGCTGCGCCATTTGGCCACCCAGAAGGCTAAGCAACCTCACTGCGATGATGCGCGAATCTACCTAGGGAAGGGCTAGGCAGGTCCGGAGACGTTCCAGGATCGTCCTTGAAGAGATGACTCGAGGAATTTGCACTCCGTACTGTGATGAAACCAATCAGTCCCGTTGCAAAGCTGTACTGCTCTGTACTCCTTACCCAGCCACGCACTCAATAATGCGGCGATCCTGATTCCTGACTGCCATTCCTCGCTCCCACGAAGCTGGAAGCTGGGACAGTCGTGGGATGGATGCTCCCCTAGAATGGTACCTGTAGTTTTGCTCAGCATGGAATATATCAGCACCAGTGACCTGACCACACAGAACGGCAACCAAGGCTGGTCAAGCGAGTTGGATGCTGTGACATGCTGGCTGTCATGCAACGCGCTTACCGGTCAAAGCACACATGCTTGCGGCTTGCCATGATCAACTCTTGCATTATGACGATGGCACATGGCAGAAGGCACATGGCACATAGGAACTACATAGCACATGTCATCAAGGTCCCATAACGCCCATTTAAGCTGACAGACAATAACAATAAGAATCCGCTCCGGGCACCTTCGAGGGGCCAGGAAGAAAAGGCGCGCCATCTATCCCGTATGTTCACGATAGCATAACGAAGCAGTCATGCCATCCATATTCGATTCCATACCCCTTACAGACCCCTGGAATAATATGTCGTCCTGTGCCGAAGCCAGACCAGCCCGCACGAAGAGAACCGGATCAGGGGCGATGAGTAACGTACTCACTCGACGAAAGAGCAATGTTGTAGCTCTGATCAGTCGGCACGTTCCACAAAGAGACGGTTTGTTTGAGCTGTGGCCATCGGTGGCGTCTTTGCCTGGTCAGAAAAGCCCCGCGAATTGGCAACACGGCATAAACGTCCGCATGCATGAAGCGAGGCTGCGAGTACAAAGTCCAAAAGTTCACGCTTCAGAGCTCTCTTCTCTCCCTCGCGGCGGACAGCATCGTCGGGAAGCAGCCGCTACCCGCGAGTTCTCTCCTACGCCATCCAAGGATAATCACGAACTACAACCGTCACGGCTCTCCTCCGTGCAACCGCATCAAGTAGTGGTTACCATGCTGCTGTCCCGGTACGGAGTATGGTCCAGTGTTGAGGTTATTTTTAGGTAATCGCGGCGGCCATGGACTGGCTAGATTTTAGATTCATGATCAATGGAGAAGATGTGGATGGCGTTGGCTCCGGCCGGGCCAGATAGCCAGCACAGAGTCACAGACGGCATTGTGGTCAAATGAATAAGGCTGTAGGTGACGGAGAATGCCATATCCCTTCCCTCCCGATGTTCTCCCCCCTCCTCGTTGGCTTTTGGACGTGCCTTGGTCGTGAATTGATTGACCCCGGGCTGGCTTTTTCTCGTCATTCCCACGTTGGTAGGCGGCTGGTTGGCTCCTTCCGTCCACAACCGGACACGTGCAGGTTACGTCATGGTCGCATTCTAGAACCTGACTGACTGGCTGTGAACACTGAACCAGCAGCGCTTGCACAGAGCAGCCCATCACCGCCCAGGCAGAGAATCGCTGTCTGTGACCTAGACTGACAAAGGGCGGCCAGACATTTTCCACATGTGCGTGGTCCTTTTCGTCACCGACGCCATCACGTTACGCCACCCGCATTTGTTGATGACGCACCCGCCCCCCCCGGAATCCCTCATCCCGACTCCTCGGTCCTTCATTGCCAACTGGCCCGTTGCTGTAACCAGAATACATTTTTTCTTCGTCACTCCTCGATAACGCGTCGGCCTTGGACGGGAATTTGAAGCTGCCTCGTCTCGCAACCTCTGACCCCGCTCTAGAATAATTTCAACCAGGCAGCTTCCTGCGCTCGGGTGCTTTTTTCCAACCGCAAATATGGGTGTCGCGTCTGCTATCCTCATTGTCATCATCACCATTTTTTGTGAGCCGCCTTCCAAATCTTGGGACAAAATTGACCCTCAAGCTAATTACTGTGTGCAGTCCCTCCGCTGGGTGTGTGGGCGGTGGCAGGATGTGGCATGGGTAGGTTCCGTTGCCCGTACAGTGGATTGAAAAGCGACCAACTCGGATTCTGGCTGACATGCTGAAGATTTGTTGATCAACGTCTGCCTGACGATTCTGGGATACCTTCCGGGTCACATACACGCGTTCTACCTCGAATACATCTACTACGACCGCCGCGAGCAGGCACACCAGGGACGATTCCCTACCAGCCGCGCGCCAGGTGTGTACTCTGACAACGTGCAGACCGGAGGACAGGGCTACGGAACAATTGTTCAGCCTACTCGCTAGTACCCGTTTCCTGGAGGGTACGCCTGAATTCTGCGGCTCGCGGCTTGGCAGGCGGAATGGATTGTGCCGTTCAGGCTGACGTTTTTCGTGGGCAAGTTTGTGTGGAGGGTGCCCAGGATTTTTGCCTTTGACTTTGTTGGTTGGCTGAGATACATGCTGATTTGCGTCAACCGAGTGAGTTCACTTGAGTAGACGGCAGACGGAAAGGACGGAAACACCGGAGGAGTGGATATGATGATACTGCGTGATGACTCTAAAGCCTAATTTATGCCGCATTATTTTTTTTTTTTTTTGCTTATTTTCGACGTTACGTTTGAGAAGCCAAACTACTTCCCTGTGGTGGCCGAAATTTGGCGCAATGTTCTCCGGTAGAATCAGCCATTGAATAGCACTGCCCGAACGACTGCTGGTGTTATCTTGGGGCTTCCATCATTCACCCCGACATCTCCATGCTGCCGTCTGTAGCATAATGTACTTGCCTACTACCAATCACATAAATGTCCCGCGGCGTGCTCAAGGATACTACGCCATAGCCTAGTATCTGCTCTCGTCAAATGCTTGTTGCCTCCCACTGTATGTCACTGATTCTCAAACTCACCAATATCCTGCAGGACAGTATCATTCCAATTATCGGAGCTGAATAACTGGTTTCCCCCTCCCCTCCAAGCCACTTCAACACTAGTCTATGAATAACTGCCTACAAGTCCCCTTTCGCGCCTACCAGTCGAGTTCCTTTTTCATCACGCTTAGCACAATTTGCAGGCTGCCCATGGCTATGACAGGTCACAGCACATATGCTACATGATCGCACCACCGATGTGGCAGTTTGTCGACAACAGCTAACTCGACCACAGGCGCTTGGCCCGGGTCCATGAACGGGCTGATACGGTGCTCGCTAGATATCACGGGCTTCCATCCCGAGCAGCCAGTCTCCTTGTATTCCCCTTTGTACTTGTTGGTGATGTTGCAGTCGGTTCTCCTAGTGTATTGCGCGCATCAGGTCGAGCAGCTTCAGGCCCCATTGAGGCAAGGGGTTGGCGTTGAAGTTATTTCTCTCGACAGTTGGGGCGCACCCAAGACACCAGATAGCGGTCATGTCTGTCGGTGCTGGTGACGTTTCCGAACGTTTCTGGAAGTTTCTGGAAGTTTCTTTTCTGCTTGACATTGCGAACTGCTTATCGGGAGATCAGGGCTTGAAGCCATCGCGATTGCGTAATCATCGCTTTCATTGCGTCAAGACCGCCGTATCGGCCTGCGCCCTTCGCGTGGCACTACACGTGGTGAGTGACAGCGTCACGTAGCGAATCATCGTGCTGTCTATATACTCGAGCGCTACTCAAGTACATGAGACGCGAAGCACTTGATCAGGCCCCTCTCAAGCAATTGTTCAGAGCGCCATTGCCCGCTCATCGACGACGATGGACAAGGCAGTTGGCCG